CGCGCAAAGGCAAAATCAGCGCGTTTTAATTTGATTTTTCCAAAACACCCAAAAATAATTTTATCAAAATTATTTCATCATAGAAAGCATACAATTATCTATCCGTGAGCGAAGTTTCGTGCGTCGGAACGCACCCTACTCACCCTGACATCCTTGCAAATCTTGGCATCCCATGCGCGCAAAGGCAAAATCAGCGCGTTTTAATTTGATTTTTCCAAAACACCCAAAAATAATTTTATCAAAATTATTTCATCATAGAAAGCATACAATTATCTATCCGTGAGCGAAGTTTCGTGCGTCGGAACGCACCCTACTCACCCTGACACCCTTGCAAATCTTGGCATCCCATGCGCGCAAAGGCAAAATCAGCGCGTTTTAATTTGATTTTTCCAAAACACCCAAAAATAATTTTATCAAAATTATTTCATCATAGAAAGCATACAATTATCTATCCGTGAGCGAAGTTTCGTGCGTCGGAACGCACCCTGTACACTCTGACACCCTTGCAAAGCATGGCGTCTCATGCGCGCAAAGGTGAAATCAGCTCGATTTAATTTATTTTTTCCAAAACACCCAAAAATGAAGGACTCAAAAGCATTTTATCATGGAGAGGATACAACTAGCTATCCGTGAGCGAAGTTTCATGCGTCGGAACGCACCCCGTACACTCTGACACCCTTGCAAAGCATGGCGTCTCATGCGCGCAAAGGTGAAATCAGCCTTGTTTTAACCTCCGAGTGTATCTGTGACGTACACAAAGTCAGTCAGTTCGGTACTTTATTACTCGAAACATAGACATGGGATATGCTGTAATATAGAATTTTAAGCTGAGATGAATAAAAATATTGGTTAAAGTTATTAAATAATATAAAATAATTCAAAGAAAAGTAAAAATTAAAAAAATTATCGCATCTTGTTCGATAACTTTATTTCTAAATTAATAACAATTTTTTCAAGCAGTTTTTTCATACAACATGAAAATGACAACTAAGTAGTTTTTAATACTGCAATAGTTTGAATCTTTGCGAGGTAATGTTGTTCTTGTTTGATTTGTCACGCAAATTAAGGCAATTAAGTTTTTTAAAAAGAGCAACTCCCTTTCTCTCTCTCTCTCTATCTATCTATCTATCTTTCTTTCTAATGTGTCGCTGAGATTTGATTTACAGAATGTTATATGTATTAATCTGTATCAAGTATAGTTTGATGAAATGTTTGGGATTTCGTGCCGCCTAAACTGTAGTAGTAATGTGACCTATACAAATCATAACATTGGCCGCCGTCGCGTATCTTATATTTCTCGATTTTCGTGGAGTGATCAGCCGGTTGGAATCCTTTTATAGGCCAACCAATGAAGCCAAAAATGAAGTATTTTGTGACATTAATACTAACAGCAAACCGATTATGCAAATTTGTTTATTACTATGGGTAGATGAAAACGTATATGTTTCCAACTCGCAACTTTCATTTAATAACTTTTTACAGCCGTTTGAAATTTGCAAAAACATGTTTTTCACGTATAAAACCAAAACTATTGAAGTTAGGTATGTACCTCAATGGAATAAGTTATAGATAATAGAATTATCTATAAAATGAGCTATCGCTCATCTCAATCGAATAATTAATAATCAATATAATTACAAAAAACATCAAAAATGATCAATAAAGGTTACATTTCAAAAATTCATATCTCCACATAGAATGATGTTGAAAGAATTAGCTTATGATATTTTGTAGATTGCATTGTCTTCTTCATGTATGCTAAATCTGAGCTATATATAGTTATTACTTTCGGCACTATAGTCATGAGAATCAAACCTTTTTTTTATTTAGTACATCTTGCATAATTCCCTGTGGCTCAGCCGTTAGAGTTATACATTATTTGAAAAAAGTTTTTTAAATCTCAATCATCAAACTACAACTTTGTCATTTGGACTTTTGCTCTAAAATCAGTTTAAAAGGGTGAAATTTGTCGTTGAATATCGGGCAAAATGTGCCCGAGCGTGAAAGAAAGCGAGCGGCGGGAGATACAGATCCCGCGGAGGGGAAGTATATATAGTAATAGAAAAGCCAGGCGCTCGGCGTTTGACTGTAATATTACTTATTTTGATATTATTTACGCTATTTTACTGAAATTTTTTTTCGTTTTCAAGTTAATTAAGTACGCATTCGATATTTGTTAAATAAATAATACGAAACATATCAATATATGTGTATATTTTATTATAATGTAGGCAAATAGTAATTTATATTTATTTTTAATACATTTATCATTTAAGTATAATGAAACAAATTAAAATTTATTGTAAATAACATTATAAATATAATTATTATAAATAATATCTCCAACTGTTAATTAAATTTCAGTAAAATATACATATATCAAAATAAGTAATAATACAGTCAACAACCGAGCGCCTGGCTTTTCTATTACTATATATACTTTACCTCCGCGGGATCTGTATCTCCCACCGCTCGCTTTCTTTCACGCTCGGGCACATTTTGCCCGATATTCAACGACAAATTTCACCCTTTTAAACTGATTTTAGAGCAAAAGTCCAAATGACAAAGTTGTAGTTTGATGATTGAGATTTAAAAAACTTTTTTCAAATAATGTATAACTCTAACGGCTGAGCCACAGGGCATTATGCAAGATGTACTAAATCAAAAAAAGGTTTGATTCTCATGACTATAGTGCCGAAAGTAATAACTATATATAGCTCAGATTTAGTATACATGAAGAAGACAATGCAATCTACAAAATATCATAAGCTAATTCTTTCAACATCATTCTATGTGGAGATATGAATTTTTGAAATGTAACCTTTATTGATCATTTTTGATGTTTTTTGTAATTATATTGATTATTAATTATTCGATTGAGATGAGCGATAGCTCATTTTATAGATAATTCTATTATCTATAACTTATTCCATTGAGGTACATACCTAACTTCAATAGTTTTGGTTTTATACGTGAAAAACATGTTTTTGCAAATTTCAAACGGCTGTAAAAAGTTATTAAATGAAAGTTGCGAGTTGGAAACATATACGTTTTCATCTACCCATAGTAATAAACAAATTTGCATAATCGGTTTGCTGTTAGTATTAATGTCACAAAATACTTCATTTTTGGCTTCATTGGTTGGCCTATAAAAGGATTCCAACCGGCTGATCACTCCACGAAAATCGAGAAATATAAGATACGCGACGGCGGCCAATGTTATGATTTGTATAGGTCACATTACTACTACAGTTTAGGCGGCACGAAATCCCAAACATTTCATCAAACTATACTTGATACAGATTAATACATATAACATTCTGTAAATCAAATCTCAGCGACACATTAGAAAGAAAGATAGATAGATAGATAGAGAGAGAGAGAGAAAGGGAGTTGCTCTTTTTAAAAAACTTAATTGCCTTAATTTGCGTGACAAATCAAACAAGAACAACATTACCTCGCAAAGATTCAAACTATTGCAGTATTAAAAACTACTTAGTTGTCATTTTCATGTTGTATGAAAAAACTGCTTGAAAAAATTGTTATTAATTTAGAAATAAAGTTATCGAACAAGATGCGATAATTTTTTTAATTTTTACTTTTTTTTGAATTATTTTATATTATTTAATAACTTTAACCAATATTTTTATTCATCTCAGCTTAAAATTCTATATTACAGCATATCCCATGTCTATGTTTCGAGTAATAAAGTACCGAACTGATTGACTTTGTGTACGTCACAGATACACTCGGAGGTTAAAACAAGACTGATTTCACCTTTGCGCGCATGAGACGCCATGCTTTGCAAGGGTGTCAGAGTGTACGGGGTGCGTTCCGACGCATGAAACTTCGCTCACGGATAGCTAGTTGTATCCTCTCCATGGTAAAATGCTTTCGAGTCCTTCGTTTTTGGGTGTTTTGGAAAAAATAAATTAAAACGCGCTGATTTTACCTTAGCGCGCATGAGACGCCATGATTATGCTTTGCAAGGGTGTCAGAGTGTACAGGGTGCGTTCCGACGCACGAAACTTCGCTCACGGATAGATAATTGTCTGCTTTCTATGATGAAATAATTTTGATAAAATTATTTTTGGGTGTTTGAGAATAAATAAATTAAAACGCGCTATTTTCGCCTTTGCGCGCATGAGACGCCAGTCTTTGCAAGGGTGTCAGAGTGTACAGGGTGCGTTCCGACGCACGAAACTTCGCTCACGGGTTGATAATTGTATGCTTTCTATGACGAAATAATTTTGATAAAATTATTTTTGGGTGTTTTGGAAAAATCAAATTAAAACGCGCTGATTTGCCTTTGCGCGCATGAGACGCCAGTCTTTGCAAGGGTGTCAGAGTGTACAGGGTGCGTTCCGACGCACGAAACTTCGCTCATGGATAGATAATTGTATGCTTTCTATGATAAAATACTTTTGATAAAATTATTTTTGGGTGTTTGGGAATAAATAAATTAAAACGCGTTGATTATGCCTTTGCGCGCATGGGATGCCAAGATTTGCAAGGGTGTCAGGGTGAGTAGGGTGCGTTCCGACCCCGGAAACTTTTTACGCATGTAGGGAGTATTTTTCTCTCCTTCATAAAATGTTTTTAAGCGCTGAATTTGGTGGTGTTTTTTAATACACAAATTTATAGAAGCCTAATAAATAAACTGTCTTAAGGGTGGTTTTTAGGCGTTGGGAATCGAATAAACTACTGACTATAGTATTTTATATTGTTAGTTTGATATTTATAGCAATATATGGAGTCAAATCCTCATATTTAAATTTTCGATTTTTTCGTTCACGATGAACGTTGCAAACTTCACAATCATTAGATTAGCTTCGAAACTGGAAGAGATTTTCAACGTGATATGCCTTTTCGAAGTATTCGGAAGCTCGTGCATCGTCTGCTTTTTCGGCTATTATTTAATAACGGTACGGGCGCATGAATCTGAGAATGACCTGCTTGTGTCAGTCGATACAAACGCTGATTGTAAAATATCGCCTCAGGATTACGAAAACAGAGAGACAGTCGCTTCGATAACGTACTCGCTCCTTTTGGTTTCGTGTGTACTCAACATTTTCATGCTGTGCTACGTCGGCGAAATTTTAACTGAGCAGGTAATCGTCGACCTCTCGTCGGAGAATTACGAGCGCGTTGCCGGCTTTGATTGTGTCGGTTTTTTGTGTCTTTTTTTTCAGTGCGAGAGTATAGGATATGCGGCGTACGTGACAGACTGGTACCGGCTCCCGCGGAGGCAGGCGAAGAATCTAGTTCTATTGATTGCCACAACGCAATGCCCAGTATACCTGACGGCGGGAAAGATGTTTAACCTTTCGATACTGAGCTTTTCCAATGTGAGTCTGGGATGTTTTTTTTTCTCTGCTTCGTCCGAGAACGACGAATTTTTGAAAAATCAATTACATTTTTAGCTCATCAAAGCGGCAGCAAGTTATCTTGAAATTTTAAGAACCGTAATCACTGTTCTAATTTAACGGATCGACAGATTCAGTCAAATTTGTGGATTTAATCGATTCATTAGACTTAATTTGTGCAACGTTTGATTTTATAATTGACACATATATCAAGTGAAGAAAAAAAATGGTCTTTCTGGTGTTCCTTGCGAATTCTTTTTTCAAACCTTTTGGTCGAATTCGTTATGCTATTATATACATTATAATAATCTTGCTACATCGTTATGTGGCTTATCATGCGATTTATTGTATTAATGAAAATCTTGAGCGAATCGACTGCGACGTCATGCGATATCTAGAAAGCCCTTGTATATCTTTAGTTCAGAATCATAACATTTCCGTTAAATTATTTTTCGTCGGAGTCCTTAGAACTCAGGTCACCCTAGAACGTCGTAAATTATTTAAATACGACGGAGAAATTGAGTTGGCAACATGTCACGGGCTGCCCCGTTTCACCAACGATGGTCGTTAATATAAAGCTCAATGCCGAGGAAGGTACCGGAAAATTTGTAGTTTACAAAATAAATAGTTATAGTGCAGCGCAGTTATAGAATAGTGCAATTATAAAACCGTCTTAGACAGATCAGAAAATTTCTGTGACAAAAGGAAACAGTCAATCAGAAAACCCAATGTTGCATTCGAGGATGCCATGGAAAATTTAGTGTATATATATATATATAATAGAGCCATTATTTGCAAAAGTATTTAGATTGTCGTGCTGCTGCCATCACATTAAGTTTTCTATCATTTGATTCCCGTAAAGATATTTATTTAAATTACTGAGACGTATCAAATTATACAAAACTTATTTCGTTTTTAGATCGTAGTCCGGATGTCTAAACTCTCTGAAATCGTCTAAGAAAAAATGTTTTTTCGTTTTTTGTTTCTTTTTTTGGCTGCATTACTATGAAATTGTATTTTTTTATCACTGTGTGATATTAAAATTCATGGTTTTTTTCACTAGAAAAGTATCGGCTGTACTAAAAAAAAATGTATACCGCGAAAAATGTTTAGAATTACCCATGACTACGCGTGAACTTTTTCATAATCGTTGAAAACATTCTTTGATTTTTTATTTCAATCCTTTTTTAAAAAATAAAATTTCGCTTAACAAATTTTTAACGAAGTACCATGAGTTCTTTAGTTTTTTCTGAGCATCTGTTGACAAAGTTGTTAATACCTTTCGTCGGAAAGATTCTATTTTTTTGTACATTTTTATAAATACATTAAAGAAAATAGTTCTCTGCCAAAGAATTTTACGATTTCTTCATATCAGCTCCAAAACTGCCACAACTTTGCAAAGAATATAGAATTTGAAAAAAGTTGAGTTATAGGTTTTTTGTGCCGCTCAGAAATATCTAAGTATTTGTAAACAGTCAGTAGGGTTAACTGAATAGATCAAAAATCCAAAAATATAAAATTATGAAAAAGTTAGGTTATATGGTTTATGGTTACAAAGTCGCGGATGCTGCCCGATGACAGGGGTTCAGTCGAGTCGCGGTTGGCTTGTCGAATGTTTGGCGCATCGATAAAATTACCTTCACACGGGAACGACATTTTTTGTTCGCTCCTCTCGAATAGATGGAAATACAAAGCTAGCCACAGGCAGAAGAGCACTTTCGGGCGCTGAAACCTGTCTCTATCGAGATTTGGATTACGCGATCTAGTCAACGCGCCTACTGCTATCACCGCTGGGACTTTGATTTGTCAGAAGCTGGCGCGAGCTGCTGCGTTTACAATCCGCCTGTTTGTCATGCTCTTTATAATCATACCGTTGTGCCTGTTCATCGCCTTGACCGCGAAGGACTTGAACATGTGATTTGAAAATGGCACGCGTAACGGTGCATTCGGTGCACAGTCTAGTCGTGAATGTGTTTCAGGTGTTCCTAATTCATAGGCCTTTTGGGCCTTGGCGTTATGAGCTTATTCAAGTGCGCAGTGGTGATTTGCAAGGAGGGCCAGGTGGCCGAGTGTATCGACAGCGTGTCGCTCGGCTGAGGGAAGGTGCGCGACGTCACCAAGCTCAAAATCAGTCGACTGCTTCTGTTTGCCTGCGTGATTTTTGTGTACGGCAGCGGCATGCCTTACGTCACCGTGCAACCACTTTGCAAGGGATCCGTTCGGCGAGGCAAAAGAGTCTACTACCACTGGCGTATCCCAGAGGCTTTGTGTTTCTCAATCCGCAGGTAGAGCATTATTTTTCAGGCGGACGACTTTCAGGCACGATCGATCGTTGCACTTGCGATCTAACGGTACTCACTTTTGCATTTCCACCGCGCCAATATAGTGAAAAATCAGACGTGAAACGCTTTGTCTCTGGTGCAGTATTTTCTGGTTACATCGCAAGTGAGACTGATCTATGTAAAAAATTTTATTAGCTTCGAAACTGCAGGATCTCTTCACCGAAATATGTTTGTTTGAAGAGTTCGGCAGCTCGTCATCTGCTTTCTTGGTTATTATTTGATAACGGTACGGTTGTCCGGCTCTGACGGCAGTATTCTCGCGTTAATTAGTAATTGTGTCGCGAAATCTATCTCCAGGAATACGAAAACCGAGAAACGGTCGATTTCATCGTATACTCGTTCCACTTGGTGTCATTTCTATTTAACATTTTCATACTATGCTACATCGGCGAAATATCGACGGAACGGATGTTCGTCGAGTTTTGCATTTGGAAAATATCACGAAGCATTTGTCAGTTGTCGATTGTAGTTTTTCAGTACGAGAGTACAGGAAAAGCTGGCAAGAATGTACTTTTGTTTATCGTAGCGACGCAGCATCCCGACATTACCTGACAGATGGCAAACTGCTCAACCTTTTGATACTAAACTTATTCAATGTAAATCCGAAACCCTTCATAAGTGAATTTAATCAAGCGCGTACGCATTGTGACACTTGGTATAATCACTTCAAGGACACCAAAGCAGCTGCCAGCAACCTTAACATATTGAGAACCGTAATCACTAATTCAACGTAACGGAATGTCACACGTCGAGTGCTCATAAACATCGAACAGTGGATAGAATACAGTATAACGTTATTTCTCTCTCGATAAAGCCTTTGCTTCGCTGATCATTGCGAATAGCGTCCATTCCATCGTTTCAAACACTGATTCTAATTACTTGCTCGTTTACAACAGCATCCACCTCGATGTTCGCGAAAACGTAGCGTGAATAGAATACCCACTTCCGTGGGTTCTTTATAACGTTATCCTGTATAGTGTCGTCACTGCGGCTTGACTTTCGAACGCTCAGTTGCCGCAGCTGGAATGGAACGAACTAACTTCAAATCATAAAAGATCAATAACGAAATTGCAAGTGATGACACTTGAAACTTATTATACAAACCTTGTGCTCTTGCTCTCGTTAAATATATTGACCCGTGCCTTGCGATAGCTATCTTCGAATCCCTCGACGGGCAAAGAAATAAGCCCGTCAGTGAAATAAAAAGCACGCTGATGATGTTAGAGCAGTCGAATCAGCACAATTACAGCTTCAAACTTGGCATGGCTTTGGAAGTTGGAGCGAAACTGCGAGCGTGGTTCACCCCACGGTGACTTGAGCGCAAGGTAGAAGGGTAATGTTTCTTTTTTCTCGGCATAAATTTCGCAGCACCTAGCAATTCTCTCTACTCACTTTGCATACATAACCAAGTTGCGAATGCTATACAACGGGGAGGGTTCAGTCGAGTTACGACTGCTCTATGAAACGCTTCGCGATACCGAAAGAACTGAGATGAAAGAACGGAACCTAGTTGCCGGTTTATTTTTCACGTCTTAACAAATCAAACGAACAGTTTTGATTGTTTTGCAGTTCGATTTTTTGTGAATCACACTCGTTTTCGTTGGTTGCAGTTGGTGCAGTTTTGATGCATGCCTGTGCGCGTCTAACGAGACATACCGTCATTGTCTAATTACTCACCCTGACTACGACAGGGAGAGAAAATATTAACGAGCAAATTAGAAAGTTACTCATTGGGACTCGATGGAGCCTTCGAAACTCGACAAAGATTTCGATTACGCGATGCAATTCACGCGTGTGCTGCTATTGCCATTGGGACTTTGGCCCGCAAACTGCAGGGTTTATCAGAGGTTCGTGCGACCTGCTGCGATCGCGATATGCCTGTTCGTCATGCTGTTCGTAATAATTCCGATGTGTTTATTCATCGCTTTCGTTACGAAGGATTTGAAAGTAGGATTTCACAGCAAATCAATGTACCGCTTGCACATCCGGTTCGTCATGTTTGCAGATACGCTTAAAATTATTCGGCCCCCTAGGCTTCAGTCTGATGAGCCTGTTCAAGTACGTGATGGTAATCTACCACAAGGGCAAGGTTGCCGAGTGCATACGGAGCATGTGGCTCAACTGGCGGTCGGTGCGCGACGTCACCGAGCGCAAAATCATGATGGACAACGTCAGGACCGGCCGTCTGCTCATCGTCGCCTGCGGCTTCTTCATGTACGGGGGCGGCATGCCCTACGTCGCCGTGCTGCCGCTCACCAGCAGGCCGACTTTGCGCGGCAACCTGACCCTCAGGCCTCTCGCGTATCCTAGTTACTTCGTGATTTTTGATCCGCAGGTGAGAGGAGTCATCGCTCCCAACACCTGCACGGTGTACTTCGCCTCACGCGAGTGGCCCTGCGGTGTCGGCTTTCCGTCCGGCGCTTCAAAGACATTTCTTTCTTGATTACTGCCTGCTTCGCCTACAATTCGGATACGTATTCAAAAATTGGAACTCGGTACACGGTCCAAATGTGCCGAATGCAAGAGACGATAGCAAAATGCTTGGCGTACGGTTTACATCATAAAAAAGCAAATGAAAGGTGATCGAGCGAATCGGCTGGAACCAAATTGACCGTGCACAAGCGAATTCAAATCGTTCGATATTAAAGCATCAGACCATAATTTCTGTTGTCTCGTGACGGCTTTGAATGAATCGCAGGTGAGGCCAATCTACGATTTCGTGTTCGGGCTGCACTGCGTCTGTGGTCTCGTCAGGTACACGGTGACTTGCGGTATCTACAGCATCGCCATCCTCAGCGTTATGCATATCTGCAGCCAGATAACCATCACGCACAACATGCTGAACAAGCTCGTAGAAAATTTCGACTACCGGCTACTCGGCGACATTGTCAGTCGGCATCGACACTTGCTCAAGTAATTGATTTGACTATTTGTCATATGTCACGGCAATGCATAAAGCTGCTATCCGTAGATTAGCCTCGAGGCTGGAGGAGATTTTCAACGTGATATGCCTGTTCGAAGTGATCGGTAGCACGTGCATCATTTGCTTCCTCGGCTACTATCTGATAACGGTACGAGCGCGTGCATATCCAAGCCAAAGGCATGTGTAAACTCATGCATTGTCGTTTCGCAGGAATACGAGAACAGAGAGATGATGGCCTTAATAACGTATTTCCTGCTGTTTCTTTCGTTCGTATTCAACATTTTCATATTGTGTTACATCGGCGAGATTTTAACGGAGCAGGTAATTTTAATCACCGAACCAGACTCTTCGCATTACGGTTCGAGTATTCGTTTGGCATTCGCGGTAATGATTTTATTCTCCAGTGCCAGAGCATAGGGATAGCGGCGTACATGACAGACTGGCACCGTCTTCCACAGCGAGAAGCAAAGAATATAGTGCTGCTGATAATAAGAACTCAACGCCCGGTGTACCTCACAGCTGGCAAGCTGTCCAAACTTTCGATACTGAGCTTTTCCACTGTGAGTACTCGTGCTCGATTCCTCGAGGTTGCATCTCTCAAAAGCTGCACGATTTCAGATTATCAAAGCATCTGCCAGCTACCTCCACATATTGAGAACCGTGATAATACCCAATCTAACGATGTGACCGACTGTCGAGCCCTAGTATCAATGTATCTTACGAATAGCGCGTGAAAATACAATGCGTTATTTTATTTTTCCGTACTACGGACAATGGTCCTTTCATTCAACCTGCAACTTTGCGCGTCGTGCGTTCTCTTTTCCAATGCAAAGCGCTGCTCCTTCGTAATGGCTCTCACAGAAACGCGCTGTACCAAAGCGCGCTTGCTGGAAAATGCAATTTCAAAATTATTTTTTTTTTAATTTCTTTGCAGCAATCCTAATGATTGCAATTGCGCGAGTACATAAGAAAAGAGCTCCCCCCTGCCGGTTGTCCCATTCGCGGCCATTATCTTATACGGGACGACGGAAAACTTGGACAAAGTTATGGAGAAGCGACGTCGTCGTAAGATAATGGGCCGCGGAAACTTGGTGCTCCGCCGTCGATGCCCGTACGAGGTAATGACGTTAATTCGCTGGAAAGGGTTAGAGAGTCGGCCGACGTGGACGGGGGATGGGAAACTTGAGCGAGCGTTCGTCCGTCGAGAGTTCCCGCAAGGGTTGAAGCTCTTTGAAGATCGATCTAATGGGAGCCGAGACGGGAAAAAGTTGGCGAGCGATTGCGGACGAAGGCTTACAGGTTGTAAATGGTCGTGTCGCCGACGAAAAGACCGCACGGCGACTTTATAATTTCGAGCTATTAAACCGATCAGCCGGCGGGGCACGGAATAAGTTCTCCGCTTGTCCGCGCGTCGCATAAGAAAATCAAGTGTCATTATTGTCGGGGGAGGGCGGGCCTTCTATCTACTACCTGATCGATGGCGCAGGCGTAGACGAAGCGACACAACTCGCGAACTTGCCCTCGTGATCTCGTGGGTTTCGGGGATAGAGCGGGGCGAGCGACAACTCGGCGCCGAAATTGCGAGACGTGCAATTGCCAGTTGCAACGATCGGCGACGGACACACGAGTACAAACCAGCCGAGCGAGCCGTCTTCCTCGGACGAGCGCCAACTTCGAACGCGATCGGCAAGTGCAATGGACGCGGCCGCAATAGAACAGCCAAGGAACGCCGAGGACTTCGAGTACGCGGTGCAGATGACGAGGTGGCTGCTGCAACCACTGGGTATCTGGCCTCTGAAGCCGAGCAGCAGGGTGGCGCTCGTTTTGCGGCCCGTTTCCGTCGGCGTCTGCGTCTTCCTCCTAGCTTTCCTGCTGGTGCCCTGTTGCCTGCACATGTTCCTCATAGAAAAAGACATCGGGGTACGATGTCGCGCAGGAAAATGCGCGCCTCCAACTGATTGCTGAATTGCCAAAAGAGTGCTTAGGACGTGATTGCAATACGTGCAGGTGCGCTTGAAAATGATAGGCCCGCTGAGCTTCTGCCTGATGAACATATTCAAGTACCTGGCGATGCTGGCGAAGAACGCAACGGTGGCCTCGTGCATCGCGAACATGGCGCGGGACTGGCACGAGGTCGCGTCCGCGGAGTACCGCAGAATCTACCTGGAGAACGCCAAGACTGCGAGGCTTTTCACGACCGTCTGCGCGCTGTTCATGTACGGCGGCGGTTTGCCATACAGTACGATCTTACCGTTGACGAGGGAAGCTATCGTCCTTGGCAACCGCACTTTCAATCATCTGGCCTACCCTAGCTACTTCATCTTCTTCAATCCACACGTGAGTGAAATCGAGCAACTTGTCGCGCTGTATATAGCCTGCCAGCTCTTACCTGACTGGTGGTATATCGAACCTACTTGTTGCTCGTCTTTTCGAGATGGGTCGGCTAGATGACAAACATTTGATAAATCCACAATCAGGTGACGATCTCACTGACGATCCTTTCAGGTAAGGCCAATTTACGACCTGGTATTCGTCACGCATTGCCTGTGCGGTTTCGTCATGTACTCGGTGACTTGCGGCGTTTGCAGCATCGCCATTCTTTGCATCATGCACATCTGCAGCCAGTGTAACGTCACCTCGGCGATGCTGCAGGCACTCCCGAGTAGCCTCGACGAAAGATCCTGCAGCGCGATCGTCAGGCACCATTTGCGATCTTTGAGGTGAGATCATATTTCTCCGTTAGTGTCGCGATCGCGTACTCGTGCTCGAACGTCGAGAGGGAAATTCCGTTATTTTCAGATTTGCATCGAAATTAGAAGAGATTCTTAACGAAATGTGCATAGTTGAGCTACTTGGCTGCACTTTCAACATCTGCATGCTTGGATACTACTTTCTCACAGTAAGCTGAACTAGAGTATCGCGTAAAGAACGAAACAAAGAAAACAAAAAGCAAGCGAGCTGACAAGTTTCACATAGACTAACGTTGCAGGAGTACGAGCAGAGTGAAATGATTGGTACCATAACGTATTCTCTGCTACTGATATCGCTAACGTTCAATATCTTCATCTTCTGCTACATCGGCGATCTTCTCACGGAGAACGTAATGTCAATTCTATAGTTTGAGCGAACCAATGATACTGTCGTAAGTAGCTTAAGTTTGGACATTTCAGTGCCAAAGTCTAGGTGGAGTCGCGTACACGATCGACTGGTATGGTCTTGCCAGCGTGGAGGCCCGCAGCATCATATTGATAATTGCATCGACGCAACGCCCAGTCGTGCTTACCGCAGGAAAAATGGTTACTCTCTCCATTCAAAGCTTTTGCAATGTAAATCGGCGGTCAAAATTTACCCCTGACAGTTTATGCTTTTTCCGTCGATGCAGCTTCGATTCGTCTAATTGTAGGTGGTCAAAGCTGCTGCCACGTACTTAAACATGTTGCGGACTCTGATGGCCAATGAGAGCTACAATTTTGAACGTAATTGAAAGTTGCAGAATGTACAATGTGATTTTGCAATTAAAACATTTTCACGTGCACCTTGTTGCTGTATTTTTGAATGGCGCACGTAGGAGCAGAACGTAATAAAGAATATTATTTTGATATACCGTACGAAAATGTAACAGATATTTTCGACGCAAACTAACAGTGACGTCGATGGTTATTTATTAATCCTGAGCCGCGCGCGTAAACTTTAAGTATGTTTACTTCGTTACGTGAGGATATGTAAATATTGAGATTTTACTACCAAGACGTTAAATTAAAATTTATAACAGAGGAAATAAGTTTGACCACGAGTTCAATTTATCTTACATTCAACAAATGCATATAAATAGACTATTTCTTGGAACGGTAGCTTGTGGAATACTCCTTCAATTGGCCCGGAACAATCGGTAGGATTTTTGATTGTCAGCGATATTGTGATTTGCAAACTCCAACATGACGAGGAACGTCTGCATTCATACCATATACAGTTAATTCGTGTACTACGTGCACTTTCCGTCTCCAATGAGCAGAGGGTTGAACTTTGCAGCCTACCTTTTGCAAAGTCGTCAGCTGTAGCCTCATGCAATAGCCTCATGTGCATCAGTCACTACAACTCGATCCTCAACGACGTATCAATCTTATTTTTTTTGTTTCGCTTTGAATTTTATTTTTCTCGTCGACAGCTGTAGTACCGACATATTGTAAAGAATGGACTTCGACTTTGAAGAAAAAGAGATAACATGAAATTTCGAGTATACGAGAGAATTGTGGCCATTCGCGTCGTCGACTTACGCTCATCTTTGATCAACGTCGTTTACCCGCTGCTGATGTTTTCGGTCATATCTTATTACTTGTGCATGGTCATCGTCGTTCAAGAGTTTTAAGGTGAATCACAATGAAAATAAATGTAGCTCACGAGTATAGCTCTATTTAATATTGTCGCTTAGAACGATTATTTCACGTCGAGATTTTTTAATGCAGTTAACTCGATTGACTGAATTGCCATTTAATAAAAAAAAAAAAAAAGAGCGATAGAAAAGCGTGCAACAAAAGAAAATCCAGCAACTTTATGTTGCCGAGTCTCAATGAGTTTTTTAAATTTAATTTTTAGCAATGTCTGTGCATATTTGACAACAACAAAATACAGTCGGCTGTTTGCAGCTAAAGAATGTTTTCCCACAGATTACTCTTCGATCGATGGGTTCGTTGAGTTTCAGTTCGATGAAGGCCTTGAAATATACAACTGTTTCACTGCCTCGAGAGGAGAGTGTCCGACAGGTGCTAGGTGCACAGCCCGAATCCCATTGAGAACGACCTGATGCAGGAAAACGCTAGATCAACCAAACTTATCCACGTTATCTGGTGCGCGGGCACGTATACGTCAGCAGCATGTATGGCAAGATGCTCTTCAGCTTCACGATGAAGCCCATCATCGTCGATCCGCACTCAAGCTGTTTTCAGTACGACCAAGTCAATTTTAACTTTACTTTTAGGCTGCGCTTTTTTGATAGTATAACTTAACCTTAACTTTTAGGAGTATATCCAAGGTCCAGTTGGACTTTATAGGTACTGCATGTTACTTATCTCGTTTACCTTTACCGACCGTTTCCAAAAAAAAAAGAACTACGGTCATTGTACAACGTGCAGTACAGTATTCGCATGAAGTGAAAATTTCGGAATCACCGTGAAACGTGAAACGCTTATTTAGGATCTGTTTGTGTGTAGCTTAGAAATAAATTATTCTACATTAAATGCTTCTATTATACTTTTCACGCGTCCCTGCAAAAAAACGTTGAATATTTCTCAATCTCGCCCGAAGAACATATGCGCATTTCAAATTTACACACGGAATGTTTATTTTTATGACCAGTTACAATTAAGCTCATCCTCCGAATGCAAATAAAAATACTATTCTTTCGATTTCAGAATGTTTCTTTCTCTTATTATCGTTGAAACTACATGATATTGATGCAAGAAGTGGATAGCGGCCGATTGACGATCAGTACGAAGCCATGCGAAGAAAATTCTGTGCTATAGAAAAAGCAAAATCAGCGAAAACCTTCACGGTGATCTGCGTCGCGTGTATGTACGGCAACGGAAAGTCTTACAGCGCGTTTTTCAGTTTCCTGGTGGATCTCATTACCTTTAACAATGAAACCAACCGAGTGCTCGTGTATCCGAGCTATTCCGTGTACTTGCATCCACACGTAAGTTATCTTCGATACGACAATTGAGGATTCAATATTTTTTTAGCAGTAGGCCAGAAGATAATTGGATCTTGGACGCTATACGCAACGTCGGCGTCGGCCAGCTCGGCGTCGTTGCTTTTGGACAAACTGTCCAGACAAATAACAAAGCACTTGCGCGCCATCACGTAATCGAACGTGACATATTTTTTTATATCGTCGTCGCTACTATGATGGGCTTGAGAAATTAACCCTCGCGAATTGCAGGCTCGTCAGAAAATTGGATGACTACTTGAACAGCATGCGTCTGATCGAGCCAACGGGCTGCTCCTTGAACATTTGCATGCTCGGCTATTTTGTAACGCTTTCTTGTGCCTCGTTTTTAACAAATAAAATAGTCAAATCAATTTATTTTATTTATTCGGTCTTTCAAAGTTCTACGCGTATCTATAAAACTTTTATTAAATTTGCTCTCGTCTTTGAGTTGCCGCAATTGAATACTCGACTACCAAATTAAAAACTCGACTGTGCCTCATAGGAACACATCCATAGTTTAGTGATGCCTTACACGTACTGTATACTCATCATTTCGTTTAACTTCAACGCATTCATTATTTTGTCACATTGAAGACCAATTGACCGAAAAAGTAGTCGAAATGTGAAATTAAACTTTCGTCAGACAACTCTATCCATGACTCGTTTCCCCAGTATACGCAACAGTTATATAATTCGGTCGATTGCGAAAAAATAAAAATAAAAATAAAAAAACATCGTCAATGATACTTTCTGTTGTAGATGTAATAAAAATGTTTCCCTATCTAATCATGCCTAGAATTCTACGTGCAGCATCCTTCGAGAATGGCGTACTGCTTACGTTGGATATAATTACCATCACATTTGGAATTGATTCATCTAGGTAATCTTTAGACAAAATGTAAGTGTAAAATTTGTTAGATACTGCGGGATGCTCTAATTAATTTTATTTACGGAACAATTAGTACTCTGAAAAATGTAGTTACTCGACATCGAAGAGCTATTGGGTATGCATGCAAAAAAAAGATGGTTGTATACTTGGTTGAAGTGAAGGTTTCTATGCAGTTGGCAATGCCTAAGTAAATTTATACAAACGCAACGAGAATCATTTTTTATACATTCAATCTTTCCAATCAAGCGTTACGAACGAAAGGCCGTTCAGGGTTGCCACATTTGATTTCTACACAATTTCCCGGATTTTTTTTCATGATAACAGAAGAAATGTCCATGATGTCTTGCAATAAACAATAAAAAGCAATAAGGTTTGAATAATTAATTTTCATAAATTTAAAATTACAACAATGTTCTTTTGAGAGACAGGTAATAGAATAAAGTTAATGTAATTTTATTCTATTACTTTACGGAACTTATAAATTCTTTGAAATATAAACTAATGATTTTATGGAAAAAATCAAAGCGGCTCTTGTTTTCCTTGAAATTTCCATGAGATTCTATGACTTTTTCCAGGGCGGACGAATTTCCCTGACAATTCATGACTTTCCATGTTTGTGGCAACCCTGCCGTTAAATATAAATGTAGTATTTAACTGATTTTCATTATTTGAAACATTAGTATTTTCATATAAACATAAAAATACTAATTTTTTAAAGATTATTGTATGCAGATATATGGGCTTATAAGAACTACAAATCAACAAGTAAATATAATGCAATATTCATAACAGTTTATTGTAAATAAAACTATTTTCATTACAAATATATCTGCTTCTTACATGATATACACAACATTTTGTTTCGAATTGATAATCCGACAACAGGTGTTCCTTTTTATATAAAAAGAAATCAAAGCGTCAATTTTACATGATCTTTTCCTTCTATCAACGAGCTGTACAATATAAGGTTTCGGCGAATTTTGAAATTTAAGTCAGATTTTATTGTCTTAATCTAAAGAAATGATTTTTACGTTAAATTTAAAAATAGATTTTTAATCTGTATCGTACACAAGTCATTTTATTTGATTTGCGAGAATAATAAAAATGTAAAAATAAAATGTATTATGTACAGTTTTCTTTTCAAACAAACGCACACGAAAGTTAGTACGTATTGTTACTATCATAATGATTCATCATCTTTGCGTCATAATCCATTACGAGTTGTTTAATATGACCTAGTTTATCGTGCAGGTAATCAAAACGAGCTTTGACGTTTCTCGTTCTGGCGTACTCACTAAATATTTCTAATTTAGTTTGTTCATACTCGTACGCGTCACCAGCCTCGAGTGTTTTCTTCAGTTCTGCCTCCAAATGAATGAAATACTTGGAAATTTCGCACACCTGAAGATGTAGTTGAGTATAGTCCTTGTAGTAGGCAAAAAAATCTGCTTTATATTTCGCCTTTTGCTCCAAGTTAAGAATTGGCGTGTATGTATTTAAGTAGTCGCCGAATACATTGTGGTTACTGTCCGCGGCACCTTCTTGTTCTGAATCGGCGTTGGAATCCATGTCGTTAGCTTGATTCTCCTGCTGGTCGTCTTGTACAGAATTTGCTAAATCGGCCGCATTCACGATATCTTTGACGGTGTTTTCTGGATAAGCCACGGGAGAATGTCTGCTGTGAGTCTGGTTCTCTTGTTGCGATCCACGGGATTTGTTTGGCACAGAGTTGGTCGGATCTGGCAAATTGTATTGAGAATTTTCCTGATTATTGGTTACGGAATTGGCTACGGGATTGGCTACGGGATTGACATCGGGCTTGACATCGATCTTGGCATCGGGCTTGGCATCGGGCTTGCGATATTCCGATATCCGCTGTCGTTTCTGCGGAATGCCGTCGGTGGCTTGGTCGGAGCTGGTTCTCTTAGCGGTCACCGACGGGCTGGCGTAGTGCGGCGAATTAGAGCGCAGAGAGTTGGGCGACAGTCCACTGCCACTAGAGCTTCCGTCGCTCGAACCAGGTGGAGTCAGATTCTGCGGTTTCCGTCTCTTCATGATAGCTCTCTCCTCATCGCTGTAAAAGGGCCAGTCATCCTGAATCTCATTCCAAGCTCCCGAGTTCAAGTGATATGCGTTGCTACGCATGCGCGCGACTTGCTTGAGCACGCTGCTCACGAGCTTCTTATCCTGCTCCTTCAAACCTTCCTGATGTATGCGATCGAAAAGCTCGGGCCTTTTGTAGGGGCGCAAAGCCAGAATGTGAATGAGCCTTTCTTTCAGCGACCTGCGCATGATTTCCGGATTCTTTCTCGGAGCATCTCCTTGCTGCGGGCGAGCGGTCGAGCTGGCAGACACCGGCCTGCTCGCGGGCTGCTTAGGCTGAGGTATTGGTGCGATAGCGACTGGGTTCGGGACGACTCGATGTTTCGGCGACGTCGTATTGTTGGTCGTGCTCGAGGGCACGATTTTCCTCACCGTACCCTTGACTTTGACTTTTTTGCCGACAGTCTCGTTGGACTTGAGCACTCGTGTGCATTTGTTTTTGTTGTTCACTTCGACGGCATGCATGCGGTGCCTCGTCGTCTCGAATATATCGTCGTTGGCGTTGACTCGCATCTTGCAGGCCAGAGAGCCGAGGCTGTCCATCGTCTTGGGGCCGGTTTTTTGAATGCACTCGAATCCTCCTTGGGTGCCCTCGATGTCCTGATCGTTGGACAGAGTGAAGGTGTAATTGCCATTATGCTCCGACTTGATGGACGGGAAGAACAGACAGCCTCCGTTCGCGTTAAACTGGATGGTAGGCTTTTGCGTGATTCTATTTCTGTTTTTCAAATGCTCGTCGATGCTGCGCGCCGCGGAGTCGGTCAACTTGACGAAAATGAGGGTTTTGTTGCTGTTGAAATGGCCTTCCGAGGACAGGTTGTACTGCACACCCGTTTCGAGCGATGTCATTTTTGCGTAGTTCACTTATCACGGCAAAACCACGGACAGCTGTTGATCAAGTGAGCGCCGCTCGGTCGTTACCTCAGCAGCACTTCTTCTCCACAGGTCGGGCCTCCACAAGCTGTCGAAAATTTATACCCGTTTGAGTTATTGACGAATCTATTATTTCGACAATTGCGTTTTTTTTTTAAGTTTAAGACACTTACGGAGAAACAACGCTGAATTTTGCGGACAACAATCTGAATTCTCAAGCCGTCCGTCGGGTGGCGCCCGTACGCGTTGTTGGCAGATCTTTTGTTTGTGCGTATTCACTGTTCATTACCAATGCTTTATTTCAACCACACATATGAAGCAATCTGGAACTCCGTGAAACACTTCTCGAGATACGTATAAACAAATGCCTGGATGGAAACGTTGACGGCCAACTGTCGGGAACGAACGAATGCCAGTGTGAGAAACGCCCGTGGATCAGTCGGGCCATCGCACTTGGGACTCTTCTTAGCAGTAACGGGAGAGACGTAGAAAAGCCATACTTACTTTTTCGACGGCAGGTTACGTGATTGCTCGAAACTGCGTAGCGAGTGAAATTTAAATGGCTCGCAGACGGCACGCACAGCCAGCTGCTCCACGCACTTTGCGGTATACTAAGGGCCTTCCACTCACTTTCCCACTCGTACTCTCGGAACTGTATCGTATCTTTATTACGTCTGTAATGGCCAGTATTGACCTCCAATTACTCAAAGGTTCACGCTATTCACTGAGAACTGACTCTATTCAGCCGTGCGCACTAGACTCCAATTTGACCAAACAACATTTGGAACAACCTGAATGAATGCGCTTGAACAACTGTTCTGTTTGACTCTGTGTATAATGTGTACGCACTACATATGTCAAATGTGAACTGAGGTATAATAGTTGCGTGAGGCAAGCAGAACGCGCAGCACGTGTACTACAGCGGCGTCATCTCGTAGCCGAAACACTCAATTAATCAGACTCCGAGATAATGGCGCGCTGTACGAAGTGCTTGCGTTTGTTTTATTCCCTTTTTATACGCTTGGCGAACGTAATTGAGATTTATTTTCGATTTGATTTTCGTTACGTGTTCGAACAAATAAGAGATAGGAGGCAACGAAAATTACCAAAAGCTACGCGTTCTTTTTACTATTACATTCTGTTTTATCATGAGAAGGTATACGGTATTAGAAAAACCTTTTCTCGGAATTATACTATATACTATGGTCATTCATTTATCTATTGATAGATCCAGTTAATTTCGAATTTATTCAATGATTTTTTATACAGAGGAGAAAATTAACATTGTTCAAAATTTCAGAAAAAATAATTTTTCAATTTTTCTCAACTGATGAACCATATCAGAATTAAGGTTTATTCCAATTAATTTCTACCATATTAAAATTATAATGATTATAATAATGATTATAATATTTATAATACGTAAAAATTGAATTGTAAATTAAAATAAAATTAAATAAATAGCTATTTCTTTTTAATTTTAGTGAATTATTTATAATACTGAATGACTTTATAATCGTAATTTCAATAATTATTTCTCCGTTTAAATAACAAAAAAACTCAATCAATTAGTTTTTAATTATAAAAATCATTTCAATAATAGAATATTATTATAAAATATGTCTTTGATTCGCGCGGTACATTGGCACTATATAAAACTGTTTTTACCTGCTTTTCTCGATTATTTCATGTCACGCAAATCCGCATTGTGTTTGGCAATAAAAAATTATGTTTGTGCCCTTCTGGAATATTACACTCGTTCACGGCATCAATCAAAATATCTAAAAACTACAAGAATCTTTTAACATGATTATAAAGCAATGATTTGATCGTATCGCTTCTGAGCACAAGTTTTTGTTGCAAATAAAATTAAGCGCGGCGTGTTTGACTTGAATAATTATTTGTAAACAGAGAATAACTTTTCAGGTCGCAGTTCCAACTGAAACAACAACGCACTTTTGCTGTCGTGTAATGTTACACTTTGCACGAAACCGCAGAAACAGAGCGGCCGCGTAAATAAGGGTTCGCGTTTCCGTGTGTAATTTTTACTTTGCCTCGCTTCTTAATGTAAAGCAGGCTGCGAAAGTTTTGTTATAATAAGTAGTTTGACGCCGGCGCGTCGGTGCACTCGGTGCGGCGCGTCTTTCGAATGCCATTCGTCGCCTGCGGTTTGCGCGCATTCAAGTTCCATTCGCGAGAGAGTTTTGAAAATATTCGAATACAAAAGGGGGAAAACAAAGCTGCTCGAGGATGTTGAATTTGATATTGATTGTTTGGTTACCCTTTTGCGACCTCGACGCTAATGGGATGCCAAGGAAAAATTTGGAGGTATGCAAGTCTATGGTTTGTTTTGTATAAAGATATCCGAACGCGCGCGTTCACTAAGGAATTTCAATGACCGCAGGTGTTCGCAACGTGCTGCTTTATGAAATTCGTAACAAATTCGTTGCTCCGTTACTTGTACACGTCGACCGACAGCACTCGCAGCGTGCAAGTCAGAGTTCGCGGACGCACTATAACGAGTGCACGCCGCTCGGACATTCTCTTGAAATGCGTGCTCGTTAAGCGGAGCCGTTGGCTGCATCTGACATTGATAATGAAACAGAGCCGTTCGACCCTCGTCGAAGTTGCCTTCTCTCACCGACTACTCGGCGAGTCGACGCTCATCGACACGGCCGTTTCGAGAATGTTTTGCCTGTACTACATCTACTCCAGAGTGGTCGCCGGCAGCTTTTAATCGCTGTTCGAGATGAAGCGTCGGAAACCGCTCTGGCGGGCGGATTCGGCGAGGCGAGTCCGTCGCTGCGCTCGCGCGCTCGCTCGAATACCAATCGTTATCGGCACTCGTAATAGTACCCGCGGCTATTGCGTTCGCTTATCGTGGCTGCCGCTCGTCCCGCTAGATCGAACGCGGCAGTCCGTAGTGTTTGCCGCGACAGCAAGCTTGTCGCAGAATGACGTACTACCAGGGCTACGGCACGACGTATCAGAATCAGGCCTGGCCTCACGGCTGCCAGTGCCAGCACGAGCGCTGTCGCGTACCGGGCTGCCAGTATCAGGTCCGGGCGAGCCAGCCGACGGCGTGCGCGCCGCTGCTGGCCCGACAGCAGCCCCACTTGGTCGTTCTCCGGCCGCACGACGACTGGCCGGAGGAGTCCGATTGCTGCGGCGATGCGTTCTGCAGGTGCGTCGACTGGTTGCTCACGGGTGTGTGTTACGTCATCCTCACGCTGCTCTTGTTCGCCTCTCTCTTCGGCGTTGTCGTCTTCTTCCTCCAGCATTACGGCAACTGAGATTGCGAGGCGAAGCTCGGGCGCCGCGACAACTGGCTAATTCGATAACGATTGTGTCCACAGTGATCGTGCTAGGAGTGAGAGGAGTGAAAAAATTGCTCCTCGGTGACGCCGCCTCGAAGCAATCACGTATGCGCGATCGTCAGAGACTTTACGAGGAGCTGTAGGATTACTTTATTTTGCCATCTCGAAATTATGGATTTCAACAGCACTGACTGGAACAAGTGCCGACGATATGAGAATGTTTACAGCTGCTCCGTGGAATTCGCTCTGAAAGCAGCGTTATCGAAGTCCATTGCGCACGTAAACACGCTGATAGATAACTTTGTGTGATAATATTTTGTACCAGTATTTTATTGTATTTACCTTGACTATTGCAATTATTACATTAATTCTGTCTCACGTGTGAATTATATTGTGTCCGATGAACGTATCTTATTCGTCTTCACCTCTATTGAATATACTTCTCAGGTATACTTGTCGATTTTCCTTATAAACAAACGTTATAAGTCAAATTGTATAACATGAGTTAATAAATTTTTAAATATTGTTGATAAGATACTGTTGGATCGATGTTGCGATAGCTCGTAGTTTTATGAGTATTTAAAAAGATTGACGTCGATAGCCTTAGCGATCGCGAAGATGAATGATTTTTGGGAAAATTACCATAAGTTGTTTTGTTTTTTACCTTACCTCTACTCATAAGAATGGTGCTCTGCAGACAATACTTATATCATTTTTTTAGGGAAATCGGTCACTTACACTTCCGAAACTGATCATAATAGCCTCTGGAACGTGTCTTATAACAATATATGTACTTGGCGGGTCGACTGTGCTGTGCATCTCTAAAACTGCTCGCTTTCAGATACTTCGATTAACGTACATTTAAGATCACGATGAACGAGATGTACGCGCAATCTACGAAATCTCGAAATTCGAAAGTACAGAGTGAAAGTCAATGCCGCGCGTGCGACCGTGTACGTTCGATGCATGCAAACATTGCGAGGGAACTGACGGAGGAAAAAGCTCGACGCATTACAAATTCAAGAAAGAAACCAAGATAAGCGGCTGTTAGCGGCTTTATAATAGCGCGCCACCGTTTGTATTAAGAATGAGCAGAGGGCGAAAGTTTCAACGTAGCTTCTCTACAGCCACGAGCGAGCGGCAGCTACGCGGCCACCTGCTTCGCTACGATCATGGTTGTCTTGCGCCGTACTCGTCGCTTTTCGAGCGCTCGCGGCAATATAATCGAAGCATAAATGCCGCGTTGCGTTTCACCGAAAAGCATGACCGTCGTGGACAAGGATGAGATCGAGCATAATATCCAGTACTCCACGGAGATGATGCACTGGTTGCTTCAAATCATGGGACTGTGGCCCAACATAGCTTATCCGAAAATTTTTCGGGTGCTCTTGATCGGCCTTGTCTCGACTGTCATGATTCTTTTCACTGTGCCCATCGCTCTCAACATTTTGCTTGTCGTCAAGGACTTCAAGGTAAATTGCTCGAAAGTGCTTTTAAGCATACCTTCTTATTGTTTAATAATATGGAGTTTTCCATGTTATTTTTGCACGAGCTTGCTATTAGCCTTTCTAAACGACAGACACTTAGCAATGAAAAGTGCGTTTTTCACGAACGACGTACTCTTTACGCGTCTTTGTCCAACAGACGATGCTCAAACTGGTCGGGCCATTGAGCTTCGCCTTGATGTGCATCTTCAAATACATAGTCGTGTTACTACAAGAGGGCCAACTGTGCGAGTTCCTCGAATGGATAGCGAACGATTGGCGGTCGGTGCATAGCCCAGAAGAGAACAGTCTGATGCTGGAGAATGCCAAATCAGCGAGAACCTTTACCACATTCTGCTCCATCATCATGTACATCAGCGGCACGTCTTACAGCGCGCTTTTTAGCTTCATGATGTCCCCCATCGTCGTCAATAATAAGACCACCAGATTGTTTGCCGTTCCTAGCTACTTTGTTTTTTTCGATCCTCACGTGAGCAATTGACATGAATTATAATAATTTGGTCGAATGAGGTCCACGATGAATCCAGTCTAGATGCCCGTGCCACATACTTTTCGCGCATTACATTTGCGACATCTTCAGGATCACTTTCCCGAAGTGTACACGTTGCAAGCGGTGGCCGGCTACATCCAATTCACGATCACCAGCGCCGTGGCGAGCATCGCCGTCGCCTGCGTGATGCACGTCTGCGGCCAGATCGCAGTGACGTCCTGGATGTTGCGTAACGTTAATGCCGGCTCCTTCGACGCCACCATCTTTGGCCGTCTTGTCGACAAACACCTCCGCGCCATCACGTAATCGCCATTGACATTTCATCTCCGTCGTTATACTTATCGCGCTCCGATTAATGGATCAAACGGAATTGCAGGTTGGCCAAAAAATTGGAAGACTACTTGAACAGCATGTGCCTGATAGAATTGATGGGTTGCTGCTTCAATATCTGCATGCTTGGCTATTACTTCATCACGGTTGTGTTAATTTCTCGTACCCAGTCACGCCCACCCAACATACCCAACCGTTACATTTAATTTTGTTTATATTTCCATGATCACGCCCATTCTTCGCGTTACAAACATCAACATTATATTTGATAATTAACTTGCGGATTTGTAGGAGGAGCAGGAAGGTTTAGTTGGGCCTTACACGTACTGTATGCTGCTCACGTCGTTTGCCTTCAACATCTTCATTTTTTGTTACATCGGAGAACAACTAACTGAAAAGGTGCATTTACTATTGATTTGTTTTTTCACCGGAACGTTGATAGCACACATGTCGGTCAAAATTTCAGTGCGATAATATTGGAATAGGCGCTTACAACGTGGATTGGTATCACCTTCCAGCCAAAGATGCAAAAAATCTTCTAATGGTAATCATGTCGACCAAGCGTTCGGTAACTTTAAGTGCAGGAAAAATGGCTACGTTATCTATGACTTGCTACTCCAACGTGAGTTGATACATTTAATTATGTGGAAATTTCAGTATCGCTGAAAACTATCAGTCGTTATTATTGGCGATTTTAGGTTTTGAAGGCATCGTTTTCGTACTTGAATATGTTGAGGACCGTAACATGAATTTTTTGATTCTACAATGTCGTCTAGCAGCTTATGCGCAACGAGTATGCAGCATTTCGTCCTCTTTTCCTATTCCAAACATCGATTACCCATTTGCTAGTTCTATTAGCATTTTCGTAAAAATAATAAATCATGTTACAAACTTATTTACTTATTCACCACATTAAATCATAGATAACGCGCAAACGATTTCGTAATTGAGTGATCCAATCGATCCCCAGATGAATGAACTGCACCTTTATATAAATAAATCCACTCAATCGTGAACATTCGTTTTTCCTATAAAAGAAATAAGTATACACAATCAAAAAACTTTGCAAGTTTTATCAAAAAATTTTTCATATACATAGATTCAAATTGAATTATTTTTCTAATAGAAACTTATAAAAGTTAAAGTTTGAGAAATTGCTTGCGTATCTACAATTGCTTAGAATAGATTGCAAATACTTGTCGGCTTCATAGTTTTCAATTCTTTGATTCATCGTGTTCAAAGAACTGATGACCACTATGAGTCATTGTATTGAGTGATCATTATCGAGTACGTAGACGGTGCTGAAAATCTCACCGTATGCCTATGATTTTTCATATCACACGTTATTACTTTTTCTCAATTGCAATACTTCATCGAAAACGCGAACGTTACTTATTTCATCAACGAGTACGGCTATTCATGCTTTTACACTAGTGGCTTTATTTCATCAGTATCGTTGCATTCCTCAACTTATTAGATACTATAATAACGAATTACTTATAAAAATAAACATTTACATACCATATTCGAGTTCTCCACACTAATGTGCTGACGTTTCACGTAACTATTTTTGCGCGAGTACTTTATCGGCAAACATTTACATAATAATCTCCGTAGCGAGACAAAATTCAGTTGATTCGAAAACATACCCACTGGAACGACGCATGGTGTTGCGTTAAAAGTTGTAAAAGTGCAGTGTAAACAGCGAAATCTCAAGACAGCGCGCTTGATCCGCAGAGACATCGCAAGAAAACTAATGGATGCCGGGGCACGCTGTGTTGTAAATGCAACAAAGTAAGCAAGACGAGGCTGCTAGCTCCGTAATAGCATGCGGTCATTTGTATAATAAATGAGCAGAGGGTGGAAGTTACAGCAGAGCGCCTGTGCAGTTGCGAGCGAGCAGCAGCCACCGTTGTACGTGCGACGCGAGTCTCCGAGAGGCCGTCGGCAATCCGTATTTCCTTCGATCGCCCGCGGCAACGTCAGAATGCCGAATTACGCGGAACAGGACAATTTGGCCGCGGTGGACAAGAAAGAGATCCAGCAAAACGTCGATTTGTCGTTGGCGATTACGCGAAGGCTGCTCCAAATGATAGGACTATGGCCTTACGCGACTTACTCGAAAGTTTGGCGAATGCTTTTGATCGCCCTTGTTTCCTTCGTACTGATGTTTGTCGCTGTGCCGGCCGCTCTATACGTGGCGATCGTCGTCAATGATTTAGAGGTGAAGATTATGAATTCTTCCATTACTCGTTCGTTACGAAGCCTCGAATAAATGCTTGTGCGCGCGTCACGGCAATAAATCGCAATCTTAAGAAATAAAAATGAATTATTACAGAGTTAGGTGTTTCGATGAAAATGTCTCATGATAAAACAATAGGAGCTCCGCGCACATAATCACTAGAAGACACCAATATCATAATATCGTTTTGCCACAGATGCGCCTTCAATTACTCGGACCACTGAGCTTCGTTTGTATGAATATTTTCAAGTATTTCGCGGTGTTATTTCAAGAGGACCAGCTTGAACAGTGCATCGAGCGGATCACTAACGATTGGCGAATGGTGTGCAGCCAAATGAAGAATTATCTGATGCGCGAGAACGTCAAATATGCCAAGTCTTTCACGACAGTCTGCGTCACTTGCACCTACATGGGCGTCATGTCGTACGGTATGTTTTTCAGCTTCGTCATGGACCCCATCATCGTCGGCAACAATACATATAGAATATTCGCTTTCCCGAGCCACTTCATTTTCTTCAACTCCTTCGTAAGCGGTCCTCCTCTTTACAAGTCAGTCCCGAGGAATCGTTACAATGCCATTTCCGCAGGACTACTTCAAGCTGATCTACACGATACAAATGATGTGCGTCTTCGCACTGTGCACAATTACCTTGAGCGTGGAGAGCATCGGCATCTCCTGCGCGATGCACATCTGCGGCCAAATCAACGTGATAGCCTGGATAATGCGCAGCCTCGCCGCCGACACCTTCGACAAGGCGAGCTTCGGTCGGATCGTCGAGAAGCATCTTCGCGCCATCGCGTAACTAAGCTCTCGCAAATTCTCCTGCGCTTTTAGATCGAAATGTGAAACGTTCTTTGCAGGTTCGCCAAGGAACTGGAAAACTTCTTGAACGGAATGTGCTTCGTCGAGTTCGTTGGCAGTTGCTTCAACATATGCATGCTCGGCTATTACATGATAATGGCTCGTTGAATTGTCTTGCTCATCTCGCTACGACACTGTTGAGCAAATCTGCATCTGTAGGGAATACAGTGGCAGAATATGGACCACCTAGACTTTTCACGAGTTGACAAATTAGGAAACGTTTAACAAAAATTTTTTTAATATACCATCGTATTTCTCAGACCCCCAACTACCAGACCCTGTAATTCATTTTTTTCTAAAACATTGTTGAATATCGAAAATTTTTATTTAACAAAAAATTCAAAAACGCGCTTTTGAAAGAACTAAGGGTATTATGGACCAGTCAAAAAAATTGTTCCAAAATTCGTGGAAAATGACAAAATTATTTTACTACGGAAAAAGCCTAAGAATACTTGAATAGTATACAATATTGCATCAACTTTATTCAAATATTGCGTATGTGTATTGACATTTTTGTACAAAGAACCAATCATAACTCTTTGTATTTTATCAGATTAACAGATCATAAAATAATTTCAAACAAAAATTATGTAGAACGGAACATACATGCTCATTTATACTATTAAAAAATTTGAAAGCTATTTCAAGTAGTCAAAACCTTACGACACGTTATTCAGGCAAAAGGCAGTTTGAAGCAAAAATAATCGAAAGTCGTTAAATATTGCTTAAAATTAAATATCTTATTTGAATAATGTTAAGTTACGTAGAATCAAAAGTTTACCAATTGTTTGTTGACAAAAATAAAAAACCGATATTCATAAACTAACACATGGTCGTGACAACAGTTATATGCGGTCTGCACTTGCGCCATTTTGAATTGCCTGCGTGATTTTAAATCAAAAGGAATAACAAAACAAATAAATATGATTTGATTAAATATAATGAAGTGTCTTTTGAACCATGTTACTCAGAATATTGATGGTCCATATTCCCCTGAAGGTCTTTTTTTATTTGAAAAAATTTAGAAAAACTCCACATCGATGGAAAATAATTTTGAAAATGAATTTGTACTCGTTAGTACCTAAGTAAATTAAGGACATAATATCGAAACGAACGAGTAGTTTACCCATATGTTACATGCTAAATAATAATTCAGAAATATTCATGACGAATAAATAAAAAATTTTAAAAGCCTATAAAAGACGCCTGGAGCACGGACTATGGTCAAAAACTTATAGAATATGATGTGGAGTAACTAATAAATATAGTAAAAAAAGCTCCGAGATATAGGGTAATCACATTCATAAAAAGTAGAAGGTGGTCCATATTATCCGTAGGGACCATATTCCTCCACACTCCTCTCCATCAAATACGTACAAAATCAAAATTGAACATCATATAATTTCCTGGTCTAGTATCGCAACCAAAATTTGGTCCTGTTCAGTACTTATTGTGTGTTATTCGTCTCGTTTACCTTCAACATGTTCATCTTTTGCTATATTGGAGAGCAGCTGACTGAAAAGGTGGGTATAAACGATTCTCTCGAAACTTGCCCCCGGATGAAGTCTGACTTATCGAGATAACTGAATTCAAGCAAACTCGGACGTAGACATCAGTCGTCAGAGCTAATGTGCTGCACCTTACCTCGAACTGAATCAAGAAAATCATATGAAAATGCTCATTCCATGCTTTTCCTATAAAAATTATAATAGGTAGTTTTTAATTTAAATAATCCTTTTTTATAGTATTGAAATCAAAGAACTCGAGATCTTCGCATGTTGAATCGTTCATACTAAAAAGTACATAACACTTTATAATTTTATCAAACAATCGAATCAACATTTTGACCAGATTGTCTTGATTTATTTTATCGTAAGATGCCGTAAATCAGTTTTAATAAATCTTCCAAAGTTAACTTCGCTACGAAGCGTATAGTTTTGTGTAGTTGAAATTCGTGTTATCACGCGCATTCGCTCAAGTTAGCAGCGGACAGCATCCAGGCAAGTTGCGAAAGAATCACCAATGAAATAACGAAAAGTCGTCGAAATTTCAGTGTGGAAATATCGGAAGCGCTGCTTACAACGTCGACTGGTATTGCCTGTCAGCCAAAGACGCCAAATATCTCTTGATGACAGTCGCGTCGACCAAACGTCCAGTCGTGCTGACTGCCGGAAAATTTGCCACGCTATCCATGGCTTCCTTCTCCAGTGTAAGTAAATCGATCGTCTGAATATCGATTACCCTTTAACAATTATCACGTACGATTGCAGATTTTGAAAACGTCATTTTCGTATTTAAACATGCTGAAAACTGTAACGTAAACACATCGAGTCTGTAAACCATGTACATCGCCAATGAAAACAGATGAGTTTTTTTCCGATCTCATCAGTGGCCATGTACAAAATCTGAAACTTAGCAAGGGATACATGGAGATAAATTATTGTATAGTTAGTTAAAGCACAGAGAATACCTCGACAACCACCCTATGCACTTATGTAATCAAGTCAGAACACGAGAATTGCACTTCCGAATTTGAGCACTCGACAAAGTTATTCATTGCAAAAATATATATTTTTCGTTCTATTGTTACAGCTGTTGTGAGTTGTATACTCTATTTTTATCAATGAAATGGTGTATTGCAAGGTAAAAACTAATTTCTGCAGAATGCAGTATTAATCCGACCAAGTGATTCTAATTTCTCTCGTATAAAATATTGTATATCTTTTAATTATCTTGAAGCAAAACTACTTATGATTTATCACACGTTTAATACTTTTCTATAAAATGAAAAATCTAATGAGCACTCGCAGAGGAGACTCCGAAGAAGAGAAGTCGAGCGAGAAAATGTTCCGTCGGTCCACGTTATCCAGGTTACAGTTGAAGTACGTATCAGCTTTTTTCAGCTCGATGAAGCCTGTGCACCGGAGATAAATCGTCCATGTGTGACGTGTCACTCGCAAAATAAAGTTTTGCAAATATTGCAACGCGATCGAGTACTGCAAAGAACGAAAGCTCTTCGCGCAGTTGTGCTAGAGCGACTGCCGGAGGTGCACCGTGAAGGAGTAAGCACATAACGAATTCCAGCGGAAGACCAAGATGAGCCGATTAGCGGTTTTGCAATGAGCGATGTGCTTTACATCAGTAATCAGCGAGGGGTCGAGCTCGCAGCGTGCCGACGCCTCAGTCGTCCGTCCACGCTCGCGCCGATCTCCGTGCGCGCTGGCTGAGTATCCGCGATCGCCACGGCGAGCGAGCATGTCGAAGGCTGTCGGCAGAGAGGAGCCAGCGGAGGTGGACGAGAGCGAGACTGCCAAAAATTACGAGCAATCGGTAAAGACGATGCGCCTGCTGCTCCAAAGCATGGGCATGTGGCCGATAACTTCGCCGACCTATCCGAGCTCCCTGCGCTTCTTCTTCATCGCGACGGCGTTTCTGCTGCTGCTGTTGTTTCTGCTACCAATAGGACTACAGACCTTCTACATCGTTGACGATCTCAAAGTAAGAGCGCACTATGAATCTCGCAGCTGGACGTAATCTTCTTCTTGACGGTTGCGATAAGGCTCGAGCCGAGAGCTCACGTATATACAATCAATGAACGCGACGTCAACTGAAAACTTGCGACGGCCTGCTTATTCGAATACGCTCGAATGTCGGCTGCTTGCTCGTCGCGCGCGCACCTTACTCGTTTAATCGTAGCGCGAATTTGCCATCCAACTAGGAGCGAGTGCGCAACGTCGGTCCCTTCACGTTCGGCGTGATGAACGTGATCAAGTACACGACGGTGATAGCGCGGAAAGACAAGCTACGCGAGTGCCTGGATTGGCTGGCGAGCGACTGGCGCAGGACGAAGAAGCGCGCGTACAACGAGCTGATGCTCAGCAGCGCGGAGACGGGTCTCGCCTTCACGGCGATCTGCGCGTCGTTCATGTTGGTCGGCGGCATGGCCTACACCTGTTTGTTCAGCTTCATACAGGAGCGCGTGGTCGTCAACAACGTCTCCCGTAGAGCCTTTTCCTACCCGGGCTACTTCGTGTTCTTCGATCCCCACGTGAGTCCTCGGACGCGAGCGTCGCCTCAGCGAGCCTCACCGAAGCGACGCCCGTCCTTCTCCAGGATCACTTCTACAAGATCTACGCGCTTCAGTCGATGTGCGGCTACGTGGCGTTCGCGACCACCGCCGCCGTCGCGAGCATCGCCGTCGCCTTCGCCATGCACATCTGCGGCCAGCTCTCCGTCGTGTCCTACATGATACGCAGCCTCGCCAGTCGCGACTTCGATAAGGAGGCGTTTCAGCGCACCGTGGAGAAACACCTTCGAGCCCTGAGGTCCACCACCGGTCGTCTGGATCGGTCTGGAATGGATTCAGCTCGATCGTCTCACGCGTTCGTTTCGTTGCAGCCTCGCCAAAAAGTTGGAGGATTTTCTGAGCGGCATCTGTATGGTGGAAATGCTGGGCTGCTGCTTCTGCATCTGCTTGACGGGATATTACGCCGTCACGGTCTGTCTTTTCTCGACTCGTCCGGCGGCATCTTAGTCGCGACGACACAACTTTGCTTTCGTTACAGGAGTTCGATCTTCACAATCTCGCGCCCTACACTTACTGCGTGCTGATGGTATCTTTCACGTTCAACATCTTCACGTTTTGCTACATCGGCGAGCAGCTTTCCGAGCAGGTGAGTAACTTGAAAGCGCGTCGTGTTACCGGACGATCTTACGTACTTGATGGCGTGACTGCAGTGCAGCAATATCGGCAACGTCGTTTACAACGTCAGCTGGTACCGTTTGTCATCGAACGACGCTCGGAGTCTTCTCATGATAATAATGTCAACGCACCGCCCAGTGGTTCTGACAGCAGGAAAAATGACGAGCTTGTCGATACTCAGCTTTTCCAAGGTTCGCGCACCGATAAATCATACGGGTCAAGTCCTTAACGAGTTCTCTGTTACAGGTTCTAAAAGCCTCGTTAACGTACTTGAATATGCTGCGGACTGTCACGAACTATTAATCTAATCGACAATTTGCACGCAAGTCCACCTTCTTTTGTTCGCTGTATATAGAGCGGTCGATCTGACGAGGGCAAGGTTTTTCAGCTAGAACATAAATAATTAGCAATTCATACAATTAAGTTGAGAAATAACAAGTTATCGGTTATTACTGTGAGTCGCTGTGTTGGACCTACACAGTTATGATGCGTGTAAAAGTTCTTCTTTCACAGCCTTCCAAAATTGGTGGAGAAGGCTGGCAGCATAGCTCTCATAACTTTATAGGGAAACAAAGCTAATGCGTACATCTGTATCTACCCAGTAAACCCCTGCAACGTTCAAAACGAACGTAATGTTTGAATTCACAATAACAATAACATTTTCAACGTAATCGTCTTTACTTTTATTCGAATGAAAAAAGATTTAAAAAATTAATTCACAACTAATTATTGCTACGAGTAACGTTCGCAGTAACTGAATGTGACAGTTAAAGTAAATGATCGAAATTATCTCTGTGTGCCATCTCTATGTGCCATCTCTATGTGGCATTCCAGCACCAACCAAAGAGTCATTGGAACCATTAATTTAATGCGGCAATCACATCAATGATACACCAAAATAAAAGTTTTGATGAATAACTAAATAACTTTCCAAGCTACTGGCTTCGTGAATGCTCACTAGAATTTCATACAAAGACTATTTTTAAATGGTAAAAGTTAATCGTAGATACAACCGGAAAAGACATTGGTTTTCGATAATTTAGCATCACTATATTTACAATCGCTTACTTTATTCTCATCGAAAATTGTATTTGCTTAACTGATTGGTATTTGGATAATACACAATGGCAACAAGAAAGAATAACTAACAATAGTACACCATGGCGAAATATTTCTCATTGCCAAGGACTTGAAAATAAGGCCATCTGATAAATTGATTTTTAGCAGCTAATTATCGCGCCCAGGCGCATGTTGCACTCCGCTAATAAAGACTACGGTTGCTTGCCATTCACGTGCCAAACTGGGAAATTTCTTAGAAAAACACAAATTGCAATGTTGTAATTATTTTCGAGATTTCACAAGAAAGTCATGTAGCTGATGCTTGCGAACGTCAGGACGAAGGTGACGCTCACGACGTATTAGTGGCATATCGTACAGTACTAGCTTCAGCTTCATACAGAAGCGCACCGTCGTCATCAATGTCTCTTCGAAGGCGTTCGCTTATCCAGATTACTTCCGGTTTTTCGACCCCTACGTGACTCGAGCATTGACGGATCACTGAGAATGTCAATACACTGGTATATCAATAAAAGCGCTTCCCTGCTTTCAGGATCACTTTTATAAAATCTACTTACTCCAGTCGATGTGCGGTTTCGTTGCATTTACGACCACAGCTGCCGTGGCGAGCATTACGATTGCATTTACCATGCACGTCTAAGCCAGATGTCTGTAATATCGCATATGCTATACAACCTTGCGAGTGGCCCTTTTAACAGGGCAATTCTTTTTTCTATCGTAGAGAAACACCTTAATGTTCTTGAATAAATAAAAGACGAAACAATAATCCCTCAGATCGGTGTCATTCCATATTTCATTTGCACAATTGGCTTTCAGACTTGCAAAAAAGTTGGAAGACTTATTAAATTGCATATGTTTGGTGGAGATCATGAAATATGCTGCTTTCATATCTGCATCTTACGATATTCCATTATCATGGCTAGTTATCACATGAAGTTTTCAGTTTATAGGCATTACGAAGATGCAAAGAACTAATCACTCAAACATTTTTATTTAATACTTTGTTTGTAGGTTTTGAAAGCTTCCCTGTGGTACTTAAAGACGAGTATACTTCGTACCATCACTGCTTATTAATTTCTCTTTAGTTTACAAACGTGTATTGCTAAACTGACGATAATTAAAAAACAGCTATTTGTATTTCAAAGGCGAAAAAAATAGCTAGTCATCATCTGTATCGTCAGAAAGAAGTTTGAAAAACAGAAAAAAAGAGATAAATAAGTCATGTGATGTGGCGGCTTAGCGGGTAGAAAACAAGGCTCCCACGTAGAAAGATTAGGGATGATTCTCAGTGAGTATCAATGGCCTTTTCTAAATCAACTAAAGCAAATCGAAAATATTGGCGTTCTCCAACTATCTATAAGGGGCTTTACGTCAGCGAACTAGATGCGAAAACGAATAATGTCTATTACGCGATAGTCTCATGCTTTTAGGGGGTTCAGAGGTGGGATACAAATGCAAAAAGGGATGTTGAGAAGTAACAGAAAAACTTCCGATACTATGTCAGCGAAAATAACAACATAATATAGAAGCTATTTGTTGCCATAGCAGTAAATAATTTTATAAAACGTAAACAAAAAAATATATCTACTATGAAAAAGTAATATTGCAATATTTTTTATATCATACTTTATTTTTTCGAAAAATATACGGTAACCTATTGATTGTAACTACAGAAACTATGCGATGTTATGTATTTGTATATTTTGATTAAAAAAGATTATACGACAAGGATATCATTTCGCTTGACTGTTTTCCAAGAGCTAAATTTTATCTTACCATCCTTTTTGAAAGCGAAGTTTGATTCGGATGATCTTTTCAACGAAGCGGCTTTGAATTGTATTCTTCGTTTCATATAAAGTATCACTAATTACTGAGCTACTCTTGAAAGTTTTACTATTCAGAAATTAAATGTCTAAAACGATAAGTGTAAGTTGAATAAAAATATTTTTTCAATTTTGTTAAAAATATCTTTTCACATAATAATTCATCATATAATATAAAATATAATTATTTTAAAAAGTGAAAAATAAGAATAGTTTGCATATGCTGACAAGCAAAGGAAGAAATTAGAGTAACATATCGACTTACGTGATTGCTCGCTTTATTTATCCCGAGAGTAAGTTTTACATAAATGGAGATTCATAAACAATAAAACAAACTACTGACTGTATATGATGAAATATTTCTCGAAGTACTGCACGTAGGAAGATCTATATTAGTCGATTATATCAACAATAATAGTATGAAACATTGAGTTAGGTAATAAAAAAAAACTGGAAAATGCTGAAACAAGTTTTCATCAGTGCTTCCTGATACATTCAACTTGTATCGAAACTAGAAGTGCACTAAGAGCGAGCGGTCTGTCGACTTCAGGTAAATAACAAAAATTAGCCAAACAAAGGTTGTATGATAAGTGTAGTACTTTGCATTGCCAATGAGGAGAGGGTCGAGCATACGGTGTTTCGAGCGGCAGTCGTCTCCGCGCATCCGACCAACTCGATCGATCAAGCTTCTCTATACACTGTTGCCCAGCCAGTGTCAAGGAACAACAATGTCGAGAGAGAAGAGGAGGCGAGAAGCACTAGAGGTGGACGAGAGCGAGACGACCGAGAACTACGAATACGCGGTGAAGATCATGCGGAGGTTGCTGCAATCGGTAGGCATGTGGCCAGTCACTTCGCCCACCTACCCCAACTTCCTGCGCTTATTCTTGATTGCGGCGGTGTGCTTTCTGCTCGCGTTCTACATGATACCAGGAGTGTTGCACACGCTTCTTGTGGTGAAGGGCTTTCGAGTAAGATTGCGCAGCAAATGTCTAGCGCTTCATTGAGTCTTTTCGTCCGTCATCGTTTATATTGACGTCCGCTCGCGCGAACGACTTCGACACTCCGCTGCTAATAACGTGAATCGTCCGACGGTCTTTCCGTAGGCGCGAACACGTAACCTCGGTCCTCTAGCATTTGGCTTAACGAACCTCATCAAATTCGGAATCCTGGTACTGAGGAAAAAAGATTTTCGCGAGTGCTTAAACTGGTTGTCCACCGACTGGCGAATGACGAGGAAGCGCGTGGAGAACGAGCTGATGCTTGCGAGCGCCAGGACGGGGGTGACGTTCACGACGATGTGCGCGTCATTTATGTTGATCAGCGGTATGTCGTACAGCAGTGTCTTCAGCTTCATACAGGATCGCACCATCATCAACAACGTCTCCTACAAGGCCTTCGCCTATCCAGCTCATTTCGTGTTTTTCGACCCCCAGGTGAGTGCATCGCTGCGCACATTCGGGCGAAGCCAACCAGAGCTTGCTCTTTTTCCAGGACCACTTCTACAAAATATACGTGATACAGTCGATGTGTGGTATGGCAGCGTTCACGACCACGGCCGCCGTGGCGAGCATCGCCTCCGCGATCACCATGCACGTATGCGGCCAGATATCCGTCATATCTTACATGCTTCACAATCTCGCCAGCGGCACTTTCAACAGGGAGATTTTTCGCTACATCGTGGACAAGCATCTTCGCGCGTTAAGGTGAGCCGATCGAAGAAAAGCGCCTTTGGAAAATCTTTCAATCGATATAGTCTTCTCGGGCGTCGCAGCTGGCACTTTGTACGCGTGCAACGTAACGTGCTTCACAAGGACGGAAATAAAGATAATTATTGCGAAGCAGCAGGCTTTGCAGCGTTGATCAATACAGCAATTTCATTCTATCCATCGCATAAATTTCTTACTCATAAAATGATAGCATTTAAGTTATTGCACTACGATACGTTAGGTACTACTACATACGATGACTCGCAAATAATTTTATAGACTCGCTAATAAATTGGAGAATTTGCTGAGCGGCATATGTTTGGTAGAGTTTATGGGCTGTTGCTTTCAAATCTGCGTCTTGGGATATTACACCATTACGGTCAGATATACCGATTAATATTATGCCAATAAATGTTGAAATTTCAAGGAATCATGACAATTTTACCATCTAAGAGATGATGCGCTAATAGCAGCAACGTTTGCAGGAGTTTTCAGTGCGCAACTTGGGGCCGTACACTTATTGCTTTCTGGTCGCCTCATTTACATTCGATATTTTCACATTCTGCTACATCGGGGAACAGCTGTCCGAGCAGGTAGGCTGCGTGCAGCGAGCTTCATTTATAAATAACCGAAGGGCTCATCGAAAATGTGATTGCAGTGCAACAACGTTGGAAATGTCGTGTACAATATCGACTGGTATTGCCTATCTCCTGCGGACACTCGGGGCCTTCTCATGATAATTATGTCGGCCAATCGTCCTGTGGTCCTGACAGCCGGAAAAATGGCCATTCTTTCGATGCGCAGCTTCTCAACCGTGAGTTGGTTTACGTGAAAAGCTGTGCTTTAACGATCAGCCGCTTGTGACTTTACTGTTATAGGTTTTGAAAGCATCCATGTCGTACTTGAATATGCTTCGGACTGTGAGTGCCAATTAAATCGGTTGCCCGATTCATACAAATGGAACGCCTATATTTTACAACACTACTAAAACGAGACTTCTTGTCGCAAGGCAAGTTATTCTCTCACCGATTAATGGCTTCAATTATTTTTCAAGTTATATGAAATTAGCTTATCGAATGGTACAATAGATATTTTAAGTGTACAACTGGCATGTTTTTTTCCTAGAACCAAGTTATTGCCTAGGCATCAATTTTTCTTTCATTAGCGTTGCAATTTTCGTTACTAACAAATGCAATGTCGTAAATGTAGGTGATTTGTACTATTATAAATGAATCATATCAGACTAAATTCTATACATTTGTAAAAATAGTATATTTATGAATATATTAATATCTATGAAACGTCCAACTGTCTCCAAAAATTACTGTAATAATGATTATCTACTCTTTATCTACAGATTTTTTAAAAAAACGGTAATATAAAAATAAGTAAATTTCTAAAATATTACACTAAATAGGTTCTATTGATTTATCCTTATTATCATTGAAGTGCATTAAATTTAACTGTTAGATTACGTATATTACATCGAATAGCATTGTGAAAACATTGCGCTCGAAAAAATCTATAATTATTTGGTTCTATTAAGTATAAGATTTCTAAATTTATATGTTTGATGTTGCACCACCTCCCTACAATACTTAAACAAAGCAACTTTTGATCAAATCATTGACAGCAACAAATTAATGAAAAAATTTATAAATACTTATTTTAAAAATCGAGTTATTCTATTACGCAAATCGAGATATTAAAGATTGCTGATACTCAAATTCATGACTTTATCAATGCTTATTACTGCCCGTGATATAAAAAAACATTTCTAGATATGAAAACATTGAAAAAATCGATGAAACGTAAAGCTGATTATAAATACTAACGAAGAAACCAGTCGATTAAAGCGGAATATTGATATTCGTTTACTTGTTCTCTATCGACGATCAGTTTATCAGTACTCATTTGCAGTCTGGCAATGGAAAGTGATAACGACAGCACCGCATTTCCAACGGTTTACGGTGAAACATTTCAATGATAGCACAGCGATGGTCCTTTCATCTATGTACATCGTCTATTATTTATACAAATTTGGTCTCCAATCGGCGGACGCAATGCGTATAATATTGAAATACACGATTGAACGGAGTAAAGCTCGCAAAGTCGCTAAGCCAAGTTGTCATCGGTATTCAATACATCCAACTGGCGTTAAACCTAGAAGCGAACTGAGACCGAATGTCATGACGAATTCACGTAAACGATCCAAATGAGCCCATTAGGGGTTTTGTAATGAGCGCGCTACTTTGCATAGGCAATGAGAAAAGGGTCGAGCTTGCAATGTTTCAAGCGTCAGTCGTCTCCCCGCATCTGGCCAACTCTCATCGATCAAGCTTCTCTATACAGTGTTGCCCAGCCAGTGTCAAGGAACAACAATGTCGAGAGAGATGAGGAGGCGAGAAGCACTAGAGGTGGACGAGAGCGAGACGACCGAGAACTACGAATACGCGGTGAAGATCATGCGGAGGTTGCTGCAATCGGTAGGCATGTGGCCAGTCACTTCGCCCACCTACCCCAACTTCCTGCGCTTATTCTTGATTGCGGCGGTGTGCTTTCTGCTCGCGTTCTACATGATACCAGGAGTGTTGCACACGTTTGTTGCGGTGAAGAGCTTTACAGTAAGATTGCGCAGCAAATTGTCTAGCGCTTCATTGAGTCTTTTCGGCCGTCATCGTTTATATTGACGTCCGCTCGCGCGAACGACTGCGACGCTCCGCTGATAATAATGTGAATCGTCCGACGGTCTTTCCGTAGGCGCGAACACGCAACCTCGCCCCACTTTCTTTTGGCTTGATGAACATCATCAAATTCGCAATTCTGGTACGACGGAGAACCGATCTACGCGAGTGCTTAGACTGGTTGTTGTACGACTGGTGCAACACGAAGATACGCATTGAAAACGAGCTGATGCTCGCGAGCGCCAGGACGGGAGTGACGTTCACGACGGCGTGCGTGTCGTTCATGTTCATCAGCGGTATGACGTACAGCAGTGGGTACAGCTTCATACAGGAGCGGCCCGTTGTCAACAACGTCACCTTAAGGGTTATCGCCTATCCAGCTCATTTCATGATTTTCGACCCCCAGGTGAGTGCATCGCTGCGCACATTCGGACGAAGCCCACCAGAGCTTGCTCTTTTTCCAGGACCACTTCTACAAAATATACCTGATACAGTCGATGTGCGGTTTGGCCGCGTTCACCACCACCTCCGCCGTGGCGAGCATCGCAATTGCGATCACCATGCACGTATGCGGCCAGATATCCGTCATATCTCACTTGCTTCATAATCTCGCCAGCGGCACTTTCGACAAAGAAATTTTTCAGTATATCCTGGACAAACATCTTCGTGCGTTAAGGTAAGCCCAACCAAGAGAGGCAGTCAGTTTCTCGTGCGTATACAAGTAACGTAAACAACGTTATGACGTAGCAGGCACTTTGAAGCTTTCTGATGTTGTTACTGATAAGGTACGATCAGCCAAGTGATATTATACGACGATTGCTTTTACAGTTTGGCTAATAAATTGGAGAGCTTGCTGTGCGGCATATGCTTGGTGGAGGTTGCGGGATGTTGTTTTATAATCTGCACCGTGGGATATTATCTTATCACGGTCAGATATACCGATTAATTTAATTTGCCAATAAATGTTCAAATGTCAAGGCATCCTGAAAATTTACCAACGAACGTGGTGAAACATTTCTATGCTAGGATTTTCGGTGATTCGAGATTGCTCTAATAGCAGTAACGTTTGCAGGAGTTTACGGGTAGCAACTACGGGCCATATATTTATTGCTTATTGCTAGTAACATTCACATTCGATATTTTCACGTTCTGCTACATCGGGGAACAGCTTTCCGAGCAGGTAGATTTCGCGCAGCGAGCTTTCATTTCAAAATAATCGAAGCGCTCATCGAACACGTGATTGCAGTGCAGCAACGTTGGAACTATTGTGTACAATATCGACTGGTATTACCTATCTCCTGCGGACACTCGGGCTCTTATCATGATGATTCTATCGGCGAATCGTCCAGTGGTCCTGACAGCCGGTAAAATGACCATTCTCTCGATGCGCAGCTTCACAAACGTGAGTTGTCTTATGCGAAAAGCTGTACTTCAAAGATGAGCCGCTTGCAACTTTATTATTGTAGGTTATGAAAGCTGCATTATCTTACTTGAACATGCTTCGGGCTGTAGGCGTCCGTTAAATCGACTGTCCGAATAATATAACTGTAACATGTGTATTTTACGTCACGATCTTCGGCTCAGCCTTTTAGTTATTGTTCAAGCATAACACTCATTTATAAAATGATAGATTATATATTTTCAATATAAAATTTACGTATTTATTCTCCGGGGCTAAGTTATTGCCCAGGCAATTTTATTACATTATTGTTACAACTTTGGTTATTACCAAGATTAATGTCGTAAATGTACATTGTTTATGTGATAATAAATAAATCACATTACTCTAAATGCCTATGAAATCTTGAAAATAAGTATTATAAGTACGAATGAATATTTATTAAACGTACAGTTTCATTTCACAGTTAGGATCATTATAGTAGAACTTTGTACGCCATTATAGTGTCGATTGATTCATGCAAATTTTGCGATCGCTCGTTTAATGGCATCAATATTTGCAGGAGTTTGACTTCCACAATTCCGGGTCGTACACGTATCTCACGCTGATGATGTCGTTTGTATACCACGTGTTGGCCCGCTGCGACGTCGAAGAACAGCTGTTCGAGCAGGCAAAGAATTGATTAGCGTAATTACGCGGACAGTGTCGCGGAGGAAGGTCACGTGTTCGTTGAAATTTCAGTGCGGTGGCTTTGGAAATGTAGTTGACGACGTCGACTGGACCCATTCGTTGGCAAAGGATGCTCGGAGTCACGGTGCAGTAGATTTAATGGCGGCCAAACTGGCCATTCTCTCTGTGCGCAGCTTCTCGAGCGTAAATGTTTGCAACGCGCACGGGCTGCGCGTCGACAAGTCATATCGTTTACAAATTTATTGTCGCAGGTGAAAGCGCCTCGGCCTGTCACGATTTCATAAATCGCTCATTCGACTTATCACCATCACTTTTTCCACGATACTCTAGCTCACGTTTGCGCGAACGGTTGATTTCCATCATAAAACACCCATCATCGCCCATCTCGTGTGCTTAAAAACTTCAGCAACTGTCGTACATACTCATGCGCCGATCACACGTGACACTGTTTTATTTAAAAAAGACACCACATCCGAGTCCTACGAAAATATAATAATCTAATATTCCACAAGTTGATTTTACTTTTCCGCATTATTGTCGTTATGAATCGATGACAATTATTGAGTACACGTTCTTCTCATTGCAAAGAAGCCACTTAAATAATTATATTTAAACATTTATTTTACTAACGTGCACACGCGCGCGCGCATACACGCGGATACGAATGGAAGAACATCAAGACAATGCTGTCTATCGCTTATAAACAATCCGCAAATAAACCAATGACAAACAAATGACAATTTTGTTCGGAAGGCGTTCAAACACTCGATGTAAAATGCTCTGCGATCTAGGCGAGCGATCAAAAACGTCAACGCATTCAGAAGAAGTACTCGGGCGACGTGTTTGAGAAGAGATCGGAGTCAAGCTTCAGTCAACAGACAAGCACCGAGTCTCTCTCTATCTCCAAAGGTGAAACCTGTCCTGGATCGGCTAGCCACTCTCTTCGGCAATACGTCGACATCACGCTTAGCCAGGCAATTCCAACGGAGACTTCGAGCCGCGACTACGCCACAAGGCTTATTAAGATCGGCCCACTGCTGAAGGTAGTCCCGAGACTTTGTACGTTGTTGTAAGTAAGGCTTGTGATAAGTACCATTATCAATTTCTCCAAGCGACATTCTTAATTTTGAACAGTCTATTTTCGACAAATCGTCTTCCAGCTTCAGTTGCAACTCTTGCCCCCCCCCCCCCCCCTCCCATTGCCAATAACTTTCTCACAATATGCATTTTTACACAAGGTACGCTGCACTTCGCTCGTATTATATGATTTATTCAAATAACTGTATCTCTATGAAAACGATAATTACGCGGTGATGTTGGTTTAGGTTGCTAACTTATTTAATCGGCTTGTTTCAACTTTATCACCTGACACAACCAAATGGACAATAGATTCACTTTTACGGTTTGACTATTTCTATTTGAATTGAACGGCATATACTCGCTATTCGTTGCCTGCAGTGGAGCATCACAGTGCCCCGCGACCTCTCCGATGACACGATCCTCTTGAAGCTCGTGGCGCGTTTGCGACGAGGACGCTCTTACGAAATTGACCGCGGCTAGAGCGAGAAAAGCGTTAACGCTCCTTTGAGAATACCTACCCGGCCGCGCGCGCGATACCATCGTCGCCGCTAACCCTCTCGTGATTCACGCCCCAAATAGGCAATGATTCGCGCGCGGAGCAGCGACCGAATATTCTAATGATAGCAATGATCGAAGCCCACCTTTTGCCTCTCGGCGCGCGTGACTCATCCCTCGCTTACGTAAAGCCCGTCGCCGAGCTGGATCGGGCCGCGTTATCACGCGCGCGCGAGATAAAGCGCGACGCTCCCGCGTATATAGAAAGCTCGCGGCTGGCCCGCGCGTCCTCCGCAGTCCCGGTGCAGTGCGCAACCATGTCGGGCGGATACTACAACGGCCAGCAGCAGGTCAACACGGCGCCGCAGTACATGCACCAGGTCTACGGCCACGGCCACGGCCACGGCCACGGCTGCGTGCCGACGGAGGAGTATCTGAGGCAGCCGGCCACGTCGCCCTACCCTAGCGCGCCCACGTCGATGCCCGAGCCGCCCGTGGTGGTAAGGATGACGGAGGTACCCGCGCAGCAGCCCAGCGTCATCGTCATGCAGCCTCCTCCCCCGCCGCGCCACCACGACTGCTGCACGCTCATGTGCAGGTGCGTCGACTGGCTGTTCACCAGGATACTGCACTTCGTGCTCACGCTCATCGTCCTCGCCGTCATCATCGGCCTGGCTGTTTGGCTCTTCACCAAATATCGCAAGCATTGACGGCTCGAGCTAGTCCTCATAGATGTATCTATACATTCGTCGTTGCGTTGCCTTCGCGAGTCACCAAACAAGTTCTAGGAAATCAAGTATGACGCGTTGCAAATGCTTGCACATAGGAGCCATTGTGGGCGCGTGTGTTACTATGCGTTTACGATATAAGTACCCTATTTTATCGTGCATTATGTATGTGTATATATATGTGTGTCTGCGTGTGTGTGTGTGTGTATGTGTGTATCAGTAATAATAAATTATATTGATTTACAAAAACTACCGCTGAATTGTTAATTTACTCAAAGATACCAGAAAAAATGGGTTTTACATTTGAAGGTGGATGAAAAGAAAATAACTGTTTTTAAAAAATTGATAAGATCGTCGACTCGATACTTACCTAATTGCGATAAAGTTTACTGCGAATCGTATTATCTGTATGCTTAACAATTGACGTTTCATGAAAACAAATGTTGAAATCAGTTAACGGTACTTTTTTTGCGAAATCATTACTTCGGATGTTGAAACGGAAAAAAGGTTTCGCCATAAATGACAGCCGATCTTTTAGAAGAAAAAAATTGAAGCTCTATCACGTTCAAACTATCCATCGACGAGTGCACACTTCTACTTAATTCAAGTTTCGATGAACATTTTAATATTTATTTTTTATTTTATAAATATTATTACAGCAAATTTTTTATGAATTCACGACGTGAGAAAAACGTTAATACGTTAAAGTTTATTTCAAAAAAAGCTTGACTGACGTAACTTTATTTATCACAATCTACGGACTAAGTTTCTACAGGTTAATAAATAAAAGCATAATAGAGAAATTTATTTTATACATACCTTTACAAAATAAAGTTATTCAATACAGCGATTTTTCATATAACCTCAGTATTCTGTTTTTTCGAAACTTTTTTGTAAGTAGTAATTATACGCTATTATAAACTTCAATTTGACCCTTTCTCTAGTTTTACTTTTAGTATGACTATCATGAAACATATTTACACATACGCGCATTTTTATAATTATTCATAATTCTAATTCTTTTACCAAATTTCGAAATATCCCGCTATTTCGATCGGTTGCGCGAGCCTACCAATAGCTGGACACACAAAGCCCCAGACAAAATCAAACGCACAGCACTAGCCGGTATTCTGCTATTCCTTTGTTTTAAATTCGTGTGTTTGCCGGTACCTATCTCGAGATTTCTTCGAATGAATTCCACCGATTGAATTACATCTTTCGATGCATACTCACGATGCTTTTTTTTCGTGCCTGTGTAACCGTTGCAAGGCTTAGCTATCAGTGCTATGAACATTTTAGCAGTGTCCTATGTCGCGCGAGATATGTACATATAAATGTCAGAGACTTGATTTATTTACGAAAAGGTCAAAGTAGCGTTACTGCATTGTTTACCATCTACACCGACAACTACCGATTCAGCGACTCAGTTTTACTTTACTATATACAAATAATTACGTACTTGCACTGGCTGCGAATGGAATTTTATGATAGTTTTTATTGTCAAGTTCATTCATTTGCAAAATGTGACTTACTACACGGGTTTCAGCAACTTTGACAGCCAACTGTCGTAAGTTTTTTTTATTAATTTTCATGCGCATAACGCATGTCCGCTTTGTTTATTCTACTCGTAACGTACTCGAAATATTTTATTATGATATGAAGAATAAAATATCGTGTAGATTTTATTCATAAATTTTGACATTTTTGCGAAGTATTTATTTAGGTTCATAAGGCATACACTTTCAGATTTTCAAAATATTATGTCAAGAAAGTCTCACGAAAAAAGATTTTAATCAAAGAACGATTTTCAACATGCCTTGTTGGTTTTATGACAAAAAAGCACTTTTTAGCACACCATCAATTCAGGATGGGATAGATCATAACACTGAATGTCAATACCGTAAGGAAGGGGCTCAATTAATTATTCAAATTGGTTCACAAATGGAACTGGGTTATAATACTCTTGCTACTGGTATAGTTTATTTTCATCGCTTTTACATGTTCCATTCTTTCAAAACATTTTCTCCTTATGTAAGTGTTATTCATTGTAATTTATAGTTCTATTTTGTTATATTTTTTCATTTGTTAATTTTATTGTTTTATTTCTAAACATGTTATTAGATAACTGCATGTTGCTGTTTATTTTTGGCTGGAAAAGCTGAAGAAACACCAAAAAAAAGTAAAGATATTATAAAAATTGCAAAATCTTTTCTCAGTGAAGATAAGCTATTATTGCTTGGAGAAGATCCAAGAGAAGAAGTGATGACAATGGAAAAAATTTTATTGCAAACAATGAAATTTGATTTAAAAGTACGTCACCCCTATTGCTTCTTATTGAAATATGCCAAATGTCTCAAAGGTAGTATACTATTACTATAATTATAAAATTTTTTGACTAGACAATAAATTAATGATTGAAATGTTTATAGGTGATAAGTATAAAAAACAAAAAATGGTACAAATGGCTTGGACTTTCATAAATGACAGGTGAACTAGTGAATGAGTCCATCATTAGTTTGATTATAATAAAATTTTTAATTGCAATATACCATGTCTGTAGCTTATGTACTACTCTCTCAATTCAGTGGGAGCCTGAAGTTATTGCAATAGCTGTGATCTATTTAGCTGCTAAGCTTGTCAAGTTCAAAGTTAATGGTTGGATACACAGAAAACCAAGTCAAACACATTGGTGGGAAATATTTGTCGAAGATCTAACTGTCCAAGTTGTAGAAGGTAATTCGTTTTTATCTATTAAAATGCTGCGACGTTTTTACTATTTTTGAATAATTATTACATCATCTATCTAGATATCTGTCATCAAGTTTTAGATCTATACTCACCAATGAGTCGATATCAGGTGATTAAATCATCTAAATCTAATAAAATTGATCCTGAGAATAACATAAATAGACAATCAGATTGTAAGTGAACTATTCATAACAAAACTTGTAACTTAAGTTAATTGTTAAATTAAATACTTATTTAATTCATTTCAGTTTCTGCAATAAACACAGTTAATGGAACTGCTGTGAGAGATCCAAGACTTGAAAACAGTATTAGTACTGTTGTTACTAACTCTGTTAGTTCTTTGAAAGATCCAAGACTCGAAAGTGGATCTGTTTTTATCAAAAGTCACTCTGATAAGAATAATTCAAACACACCGTATATCGTGCTAACACAGTCTCCTGCAACACCAACTGTCCCACAACCTACGAATCAATCCCTACATGATAATATGCATCATGTTACAAACTCAAATACGATATCAGTAACTGAAAGTGAACTGCAAGAAAATTCCGGACTTCAAATATTTATTGGCAATTGCAGTACTTCAATAGTGTCTTCACCAATGAATCCTTTGGTAAATGGTGGATTACCAATGCTTATAAAAGATTTCAATGCCATGGATACTTTAGAAAATGGTGGGCTACCAATGCTCAAAAAAGGATTCGACACCGTGGATCATTCTCAATCAACTGAAAATCGAAACTTCGATTTTAACAGCAACAGAAATACTGACAATCGAATAATAAGGCGCAGAGGTTTTGGACGTGTAACCAATAACAGCAGAGATTATAATGAAAATCGGCCAATGAGAAATCGAGGATTCAGAAATTATGGCAGGAACAATCATGTTGGATTTAGTCATAATCGCTTCAGGAGACGAAACTTCGATAATAATTATGGTGATGCTATTGATTACATTGAAAATCGATTCATGAAAACTCGAGGTTTTGGAAATACAAGTAATAATAAAGATGATGATGAAAATAATCCAGTGGGCACTCAAGGATTCGAAAATACAAATTATAATAAAAATGAAAAGAAGCCGATAGGAAACCGAGGTTTTGGAAGCAATAACAATAGTAATGGGTATAATGAGAACAAACTATTAATAAATCGAGGCTTTGGGAATGCAGGTAAATATAACAGTAATTGCAATTATAACGATTCGAAACCGAGGATGAGATTTAATCGAAGAAATTATTTTCAACGATCTGAGCCTTTTCCTAGAAAATTCAATAACAATTATGAAATTGATAAATATTCTCATAAAGATGAAAATCAGAACGCTTTAAACGGCTCTATGGGGGATGAGCCTGATAAAACAGTAAACAAACAGAACTTTTACCATCTTATCAATGGAAATTATAAAAACGAAGAAGAAAAATCTTGGGATTAAGGTTAACGATAAAAGAGATGGAAAATTACGTATATATATATGTGTGTGTACGTCCAAGACATTTTTAAAATTGATTTCAATTCACTTTGATTGCCTGTAAGTGATGAGTAAATTTTTAAATGGATTTTTGAATAGCATATTTGCGTATACGTCATTTTTCGTCTTCGTTTCTAAACACAACGTGAAACATTGCGTTATCTATCGTACACTTTATTTTATTTATTTTGATGATTTCGATGGATCAATTTGACTGATAAGATAGAACTGATATTTTTCTGACCATTTACGAAACTTGTTGATTATTTTTGTAAAGTATTTTCTTAAACCATTTTCTTAAGTTTACTTGCATTGTGAAAATAATAATTTTTGTTAATGAATGTTGAACTGTATGAAAATGCACCATAGAATATAGTATTTTTTACTTTAAACATCAATTTACTCATTTATTTATCACCATGCCACAATTCAGTGTCATACATACGTGTTAAAAAATTAATACATTGAGATATACGTGATAATTATTTGCAGATAAAAATTACAAAATTATCATGTAGGTCTTGCAGAAAAGTTGACAACCACATATTTATAATTAAAGACATTCGATCGTCAGCTACAATCCTTCGCTTGCTGCTTCTGTGCACGCAGCGCACGTTTACCGAAAGGCATCCTCTTTTGTTTGGGATACCTGAACACTTGATTGATAGAGCTGCAGTATTTACAGATGTTCTCGTAGTTTGCGACAATAATTGGGCAATACTTGTGACGCCAGCGACCGACCGCGTGATCCTTTTGCGCGAGAGCGGCAGTTTGTGCAAACTCAATCGAGGGACCACCTGAACACAACGACAACCTGTCGACGTCCAATAATACTTGCTCCATCTCAGCAATGTCGCGTGGGCGAGGTGTCTCCAGTGGTGAGAATGTGTTGTTTATGTAAATCTTCAATTCGCTGCTTTCGTGGAAAATTACCTGTTGAGAGGGCAAAGAAAGAGAGAGAGGGGGGCCGCGATCATGGACAGGTATTGGAAAAAGATAAGAAAATTATCTCTTGAAAAGTACAACTACAAGTGTTACCTGTCGTTCGTATAGAGGCAAGGTACACGCATTTGTACTGAACCACTTGATCTTTGAGAAAACCATGATATTGTTGTCCTTGTCGTTTTTGTGATAGCCCCACATTGAATTTGGCAATTTGATTTTGTCGCTGTTTTGATAAATCTGATCGAACGAGCGCAAATTCATATCTTTCTCCGACTGTTGTAGAGGAGTCTGAAATGTACTCCTTTTGGACCTCTTTATTTTTTTCTGCGGAGGGCAGTTATTGTTCTTTACTTGACTTAAGTAAAGGACTTCGTCCTTGGGTGTAGCTACGGTAACTTCTTGACCCATTTGGGCATTTGATCGATCCGGATCTGGAATTCTTTGAAGTACTAGTTGCTTATCGACTACAGCTGTATCTGAAAGCAATGAAAGGCGTGAAAAAACAATTCTGTTGGGAATTTTATATTATCTCAATAACACGTAAAAGCCTTGTTTGCACCATTATTTTCTACGTTATTCGTAGCTTTTGTATCGAATCCTTGAGAACTTATTCAAATTTGTATTTAACCGTTTTCATTTATCATTAAAAATCGATTGAGTCCCGTCGATTTTACGGACTGAATAAGCACATCGACAATTAAAATTTTAAATATGTCACGCATAAAGACAGAATATCTTAAATACAATAATTTACTTGATACGGCTGTCACGTGTCCGGTACTATTAGCGTGTGCCGGCAGAGCTTGCGAGCCATTGATGACGTACTGTATGGAACTGGTTTGATTTTCGTGAAAGGAAACTACGATATTGCTGCACTTTGCGCCGGGATTACCCTCGTCGGAGCTGCCTAGAAATTCGCACGATAAGTAGCGATGACAGTCGTCATCTGGAATCTAAAATGCGACAAAGTCACTTTACCTACGGCATTCGCGTTATTTGGTTGCTCCAACGGAGGCGCTTTTCGTTTCTTGTCCGTGGTCACTTCGGTACGTTCGCAGAATATTGATGGCACGGCGTCTTTCGCCAGGGAAAGCTTGACGAGCGCTCCCTGGAATCATTTCAAAGCGTCGTCTTTCTTTGATTTTCACGCAAGAGCGATAGAAGCGGTGCGCGTGTCACTCGGAAATAACGACGAGAAAACAGGGAGGAAAAGCACTAGCGCCAGTTCATCTTCCGTCGAGCGTGAAAAATCCAAAAATATCCTGAACCACGTTTATAAATATACGAAGGCGCGCGCCTCTCGCTGCGCTTGCAGCCTTTCGCTCATAGCAGACCTTTGATTTATTTCTGATTTAGAAACGGAAGATCCTGTTCGTTTTTTTTTCTTTTTGATGATACAATAATTTCACTGAACTTTGAAAGGCGACTGTGAATTTTATATCATATGATCGGTGTAACTAAAAGAAATATAAAAATGTAGAGGGGAAAGTGCAAGTTGAAGAAAAGCGTACTGCGCTTTGAATCCATTGTCGATTGTTAATTCACAAAACACTGAGTATCTGTAAATTTGTCGTGTAAATTCGCTAGATTTTGAACGAATGATACGAGCCACTTTCAAATAGTTCTCAATCGCGAAAATACTCGACGAGTTGTCGTGGGAGCTTTCGATACTGCATGAATTCACGTGGCATAATGACTTGGAAAGTCGAGACGAGAAGAGCAAGACGGTAGAAATGGCAACGGCCAACCATGGCGTGCGCGTGTATACCTGAAAAGTAACATTGCCAAAAGAATCCCTAACAACTGGCTGCCTCTCAATCTGATCCTCTCGGAAATGCCTCTCGCAGATCAGACTGATGCTGTTGAACGAGCGAGCGCTCGGGCCGACGGCCGCCAGCCATCGGCCGCGTTGGTCAGCCTCGATCGGCACTCCGAACAGCGCAGCGGCCTCGTCGCACTCGGAACCGCTGTTCCTGCAGCTCGCTACGCAACACCTGCCCATCATCATTGCCGATTCGATCGCGTGCTCGCGCTCGCGCGGACGCGCGTCGACTGCGACGCCGCGGGCGCGCACGCCCGGCTGGGCACGCGGCTAAATATGGAGCCACCGCGCCGACGAGCTTCCCGAGGCAGGCAGCGGCAGCCACGACTTCACGACGCCGTTTATTTGTTTCTTTGTTTTCTCTTTCTCCGTTTGCTTTCCATTGCTTTAGTGGTGCATTGTAGACGGTTCGCGCGTGGTCAGTCGAACTATTGCCTAAGTCATCGGCACTCCGGCGGGACATGTGCCCCACTGTCGTTTTTCATTTTTTAAACTACACGCGGTAATGACATATTTTATGTCGGTTACCTAAATAATCTCTCCTCGGACATTCATCAATACGTTAGCGCGCAGCGGTTGTCTTCTTTTACAATCACACATAATTGTCCTGATTTAAGTCGCTTTTGCGATTGCGATTATCTCGCACTGACCGCGCCATCGCGCGGAACTCTTACGTAGTATTAAGAATACAGACTAAGGCGAAACATTTTTGCGCGCGTGTGTACTTGTTCGCCAAATCGCTCAACTCTTGGCGTCTTATTAGCCGGCCTTCAGCTCCGTAACTTCGGCGTACAGCATACGTATACGAGTGCGGAGAGAGTGCATCATAACCTCGATCGAACACATACTGATTTTTTTATTCATGTAAGTATAAGTGTATGTGTGCACTGATAAGAAAGTGATTTTCAATCCTAAAGCTTGGAACAAACTTTCGTCCAGTTGGAAGAGTCAGAAGTTCATTCTAGTTTTCTCTTTTTCGTATACTAACAACAATGGCAAACTTGTCGTTGATGAAACGAGCCTCATCTCTATTTCTCAATCAAACGAGATCAATTCTCCAAAAGAGAAACGCAGCCACGCAAGCGATCAAAGGTCATCTCGTCGAGGTTTCTCATAATGACAATAACGGTACGTTTATAAATAATTGCACATCCAACGAAATAAGCTTTCTCATACAAAAAAAAATTTTGAAAAATTAAATTTGTCAATTACAATTTTCTTAATAACAAAGTAGTTTTTTAGAATATTTTATTGAAATTATTATGACACTGCAGTTACTATCAATCTGCATATATTGAAAAAAAAACTGCATGATATTGCAAATTCTTGCAAGAGTCTGCAATATTTTATTTGAAGAGACTGTATGTTTTTGCATATTTATTCAATGTCTGATAATGATTTACATTATTTTATATGATAAATTTTATATTAACATATTATCTGTTTTCTATAGGAATCACAACAGTGTCTATGGGCCGAGCACCAGTTAATAGTATTAATTTAGAGCTGGCTCAAGAATTACGTAAAGCTTTGGAAAATGCAGTTGATAATAACAGTAAAGGGATCATTCTCACATCCTCATTAGCTAGTGTTTTTTCAGCTGGATTGGACATCATGGAAATGTACAAACCAGATATCAAACGTTGCACTGATTTTTGGTATGCACTTCAAGATTTATGGCTGTCACTTTATGGCTTGAGTATTCCCACAGCAGCAGCTATCAATGTAAGCTTTTTAATCATTATAATTACAAATATTTTGATAAACAAATAATCAAAATTTGTTATCTCAGGGTGCCAGTCCTGCTGGAGGTTGTTTATTGGCTCTTTCTTGTGAATACAGAGTGATGGTCAAAGGTGAGCATACTATTGGACTGAACGAAACAAAGCTTGGCATTGTTGCTCCAAAATGGTTCCAGGATTCAATGATTAGTACTATAGGCTATCGACAAGCAGAATTGGCTTTATTGAAGTAAATTGAAATTTAATTAAAAATTAAAAGTTCAAGAGATATTTTTTTTAACTTTAATTGAATTATAGAGGAATGCTCTTCAAACCAGAAGAAGCCTTAAAAATTGGGTTAATAGATGAACTGGCTTCCGATAAAAATGACGCCCTTGCCAAATGCGAAAAATATATAAGTGAATATGCTAAAATTCCTGGCAAGTCTTGAGTTTGTATCTTAAATTTATAAAGTAACTATGATTTTATTAATGATTTTGTGATAATTTTTCAGCCGAAGCCAGAGAAGCAACAAAAATGAGCTTGAGAAAAGAAAATCTCGTTTGGTTGGAAGGAAATAGGGAATGGGATACAACGATTTTCGTAAATTACGTTCAGATGCCTCAAGTCCAAGAAGGCCTTGACAAATATATTCAGTCTCTTAAAAAGAAAGCAAAGTAGATGCGACCCTTACCAAATAGATGCAATGTACCAAACATTTCCATATTTTTATATATACCGAAGAATGTTATTATGGAACCTAACTCTAGATCCTGGAGTTATGCACTTTTTTATGTAAAACCTATAAAATCCTGTTAATGGTCTTTGCACTTATTAAGACATTTTTTACCACTTGTTATGGAAATATAAAATTTAAATTAAAAAAATTATTTGTTTTTCAATCTTCTTCAGATTTCTCGGCTTCCTCTACAGTTTCTGCAACAGATTCCTCTTCCTCTTCCTCTTCCCCTTCCTTAGTTTCCATTTGAGAGGATTGTTGTCCTAGTATCTTCGCAACCGTTGAGTTTTCAATGTGATAGTCGAGAAAATGTGTAATCTCCAAAATTCGATCTCTTCTCATTTTAGTATTTTGCCTAAAAAAGCAAATTAATCTACCACTATTCTCAATCTATTAAATCTATTCAAATACTCACTCAAATAATTTCTCAACAAATTTAGTATTCCATTCTTTTAAGCGATTGTTCATGCGATCTTGTCGATCGTCGATCACCTGAATTAAACAAATTGAATGATTCACCTTCATGGTAACAATGTCGTGTTTTAATATACCTTCAAATGCATAAAATGCGAAGTAGCAAGGCAATTCTGCAAAGCATCTTTATCCTCCAGCAAAGACAATAAGAATGGTGACTTTTCTTCGTCCTCCAAACTATTCAAGTACGACATAACCAGGGGCCCGATATTGTCGTTATACTCAGTCTCAAGGTTCCTTAGTTGTGTGAAATATTCCTGGGCAGGTTCAAGGAATGAAGTAACCATATCAGTAATATTAGTTTTAAACATTCGAATCATCTCCTCGATCTGCTCGTCGACAATCGTCTCCTCGCGCATAAGTTTTGTTCGCATATTGACAAGGAAGATGTTGAAGTCTCGCGACAATTGCTTGGCAAGTCGGTCGATTTCATCGATCGTGTCGTCATCGAGGTCCGCATCCTCGGCTGCTATAGCTGCCTCGCGTAGCATTTGTGTTACTCGAACGGTTATTTCCAATCTTTTACCTTGAATGCTGTTGATAATCCTGTAAAGCAATAAAAAAATGTTGAAGTAGTAACTCGTAGATTCGACAGCGATTTTTGCGAGACTTACGCTCGAGCTTTTTTCATGACTGCCGCTTCGACCCTCTCAACGATACTTCTCAGGGCTTTCACCTCATCTTGCCTGCGAAGTTCTTCCTTCAAGCCGAGCTCGTATAACTGGTGGCAGATTTCGGAGAAGGTTTGCCGATATTGCTCGTACGCGACTTTGGTATCTTGAGTAAGCTCCGCCAATTTCCTTCCCTCTGAAAATCGAATATGAGAAGTCAATTGGAATCTGAATGAAGGATTCAAAAGAAAACAGAAGTTTGTACCATCATCATCGATGAACATCTGCAGGAACAAGCAATCTTCATCGAGATATTCAACGTAAGAGGCAGATTGCTGCTCGACTTTTCTGTGCGCAAGCTCCGCGGTTTCCAATTCTTTTTGTTTCTTCATTTCTGCTTCTTGCATGTTGGATAAAGCTCGACTGAAATTTAGCAAGCGATATTGTAAACGATTTCCACGGGCATTTTCTAACGGGGAATGGAGCTTATTTTAATAGCCAATTGGCAATTAAAGACGCATCAGCTTTACCGCTTACCGGTGCTTCTCATTGGCATCCTCACGCTCTTTATCCGTGATCATTTTATAGCCGTAATAAACCAATTGTGGTGCGAACGCCATCAGATAGCATTTGTATCCGCTGCGCTCCGTGCAAGGGTTCCCTGCCATCTGCAAGCTGCGTAACTCTTTGAACTGGCGAAGGTACAACACCTAAGGGAAAAAGAAAAAGACGAATTGAAACTTGCGAACTGTTTGTTTATGAATGAAAATAAAATGCTCGTTTTATTTGGAACCGTCGTATAAGGGGCAATTTTCTTTAACACAGGTAAACATTGATTTTTTTTCCAATAATCGTGACATGGGTGATGTTTCGTACATGACATAGCAAACATCACTATCGATTTTTATGAATAAGCAAATGACAGAAAAAAACTCACTGTGACGTACATGATCTAAATCGAAAATATTATTTTTGCCGAGGCTCAGAATCGTGAGACTATTCATACTGTCAAGCCCTTCGACGACTTCGATCTCATTGTCGTAGAAAGACAATACGTGGATATTTTTCAGTGCTTCCAAGTTTTCAATTTTGGTGATCTTGTTAAAGGACAAATCGAGCTCGCAAAGGTTCACCAAGGACTCGAGATTCTCGATTTTCTCAATCACGTTGTTGTTTAGCTTCAGCTTTACCACATTCGTCAGTGGCCACAGACAATCTATTTTCAAGATATCTGCGGACAAATGAGATTTTCTGTTTCGGAAAAAAACAAAGACAAAACAATCAATCATCAATTATTCGCTCACTCAAGTATTCCAGCCGGATTTCCTCGATTTTCTCCAGAGCAGTGTGGCGTCTGCCCTTCGTTGCCTGCTCATTCGCTTGTGAAAGCAGCAGCTTTTTCGTTATCACCGTGTATTTCTTCGGCTCGTACGATTGTAACATTTGGTCAATTTAATTGATGCGCTATTTCGAAAAATTGCCAGGATGCAGCGACGGACGCAAGACTGCCGATGTTTGCACGTTGCCATGGCGTCGTGACTATACATCGCATAATACAGCGGGGGTGAAAACTGCTTCAAAATCACTGTGCCGGAACAATCTCGACGTCTCCGTGAACATTCACTTGCGTATAGCAAAGAGGGAAATTACAAATGTAGTAAGGTCCTGCTAACATTCAAGACGGCCAAACGTCATGGAAAAATCGACAGCAATAAATAAAATGTCGGTCACGTAACAATGCGTACATTGACGGGTTACCGCCAGCGAGAAATTGGAGCAGCATAACACAGCAACGTATACACGTATACAGTAGCCCACCGCCACTGCCGCCGCACAGAAAATGACACTTTGCGCAAGGGGGTAAAGAGCGATCAGTGTAGCACAGCTAAAGTAGAAACTCGTCAGACGCTGTGGATTTTACTGTTGCAAATACGAATCAGCTGTATCGTCGTACAATACTACGCCAACGCGCACACGCATAGTCGTTTACTTTTCACGAGTGTTCGCTGATAGCTTGGTGTCGCGCGTGTGTGAGGCCTAGGTGCGTCCAGGCTGTCTCTTTTCATATTAACCGCAGAGACGCAGGCAAAAAGGCGCAGTTGTTAATATACGCGATATAGTTCGGCTCTCCCGTGTACCGGCTATCATCGTTCAGTCGACGTCATTGTTTTCATTGTGTGTCAACACTGGCTGCGCAATGTCGTTCTTTGGAGTCAACGTTACCAATCCGTTTACCTCGCCTGTTGGCCAGAGGATAGGTAAGTCATATAAGCACGGAATGCCCATGCAATTGTCACGAGAACAGTGTATGTTCTATTGTATTATTGCTTCTGAACTTTTTATAGAGCAAGCCACCGATGGCAGCCTACCCAGTGAAAATTGGGCACTCAACATGGAGATATGCGATATCATTAATGAGACTGACGAAGGACCAAGAGATGCCATCAAGGCTATTAAGAAAAGACTCAGTCAGGCAGCTGGCAAGAACTACACTATTGTCATGTACACTCTTACTGTGAGCACTTCAGTTTCATTTACAACAAACAAGTGTTTTTCATTACTTTCTAAAGAGTTGATTTGGTTTTCTGGAAGGTACTCGAAACGTGTGTCAAAAATTGTGGAAAACGCTTTCATGCACTGGCCTGCTCCAGAGAATTTGTCCAGGAATTGGTTAAGCTAATAGGTCCCAAGAACGAACCTCCTACAGCAGTGCAAGAGAAAATATTAAATCTCATACAGACCTGGGCAGACACATTCAAGAATCAATCTCATACACAAGGTGTTGTACAAGTATATCAAGAACTCAAGTCCAAAGGAATTGATTTTCCCATGACTGATTTAGATGCCATGGCTCCTATTATTACTCCTGAAAGGGTAAGATTTTTAATTCATATTTATTAGACTCATGTTACTATCAGTGTTAATAGATCAGGACTGACAAGCTTAAAGGACACCATTGTTGCAAATCAATTGTTGAACATTGTTAAAAAGATGCAGTCTAGAACTTCCAACTTTTGTGAATACTACTAATAATTAGTATCCAAAAGCAGTCTGTCACCAGTTTAATCAAGATTAGATAGACATTATGTGACTCATTTGATGACTCATGAAGTTCTGGTTTTTTCATTTGGTTGTAAAAGCTGTTTATTAATAATTTTGTTTACTATGTATAAAAAATATTTCGTTTTAATATTTCCAGTTAGTGTTTCACTTTATATAATCAACGTTGTCTGTCATGTCGAACACGGTAACGTTTTGTCGCCGTACATAAAAAGAAAAAGCTGGAGTAACCGAACCCTAAACTATTATTGTTCATTATGTCACAGTTTCACGTTATGATGAAATATCGCGCTCTTCCATACTGGAATAAGCATTTATATTTTTATTTTGAAGCCAATGCACTTCGGAAGGTCGCCAGATAATAAATTAATGTAGGTCTCTCTTCAGCGCGTTAATTTACAAACGAATTATCGTCAGGCTAAATATTACGCTCGAGGCTCACATACACACGAACATATACATGTTGTTCGTTTGCAAGTACTCTATACATAGGCGTTCATTGTTGTAATAATGATATTTGAAGTGAACATTTTTCTCAACCGGTTTCACGTTTGTAATATAATGCTAATCATGAGAGGCTATAATTGCAGAGTTGATGAATTTTGTATTAAATAGACCCGCTCTATAATACCAGCAGGAGTATCGATGCACAATAAAAAATAGGAAAACACGTACAAAAACTATATCAAACAATAACTAAGCTCCTTTTACCTCTAAGTTATGCTTCATTAAAATTCACGAGGATATGACTTGTAGAATAACGTTTTACGCAAAAAATGTGTCCAACCAACGTAACACGTTATTCGTGTTTCAGCGCATGGATTCGCTTAACATTTCTTATTGCATGATTTAAGTCCAAGTAACTTTTGATCTATCGTTACAGAGCGTACCAGAAGTAGTGGATTCAGGATCAGCCGGAGCAGCGGCAGCAGCTGCAGCGATACCGACCACAGGAGCATCCTCGACTTCATCATCGGCAGCAGCGGCAGTAGGAGCAGCGATGTTAACAGCGGGACCGACTCGTCGCGTACCAGTGCAACCGATGCAATTGAGCGAGCAGCAGATGCTCAAATTGCGCGGTGAACTGGACATTGTACATGGCAACATGCGTGTTCTTTCAGAAATGCTCGCTGCCCATTCAAGTGGGGTTCAAGACAAGGCCGGCAGTGAGCTTGTACAAGCTCGAGAGGATATGGAACTCCTTACGGTTGGTACTTTTTTTACATTTTTTCCTTTATGACATACATAAATGTAAGCTAATTTATTTCTTACAATAAATAAATGTGATCTGTGAATGATACCTCCAAAGTTGAACCACAATTTTGAAAAAGTGTCGATAATGCGTTAATAGATTCTCAGAGGTATAATGAGAACGTCCAATGGGCTTATCTTTTATATTGTTCTCTCGCAAAAAAGCCTATTCTAAAAAACATTACATTCGAACTTAAGCAGGCTAAAATAAAGTAACTTATCGATGACAAACAGATAAGACACTCGTGTAAAGTAACGATCAAGATAAAAGTATTTGCAGGAATTCATCTCGAATTAAGTAAATTTAAAAATAAGAAAGCACGTCTTTAAAGATACAAAATTGTTATTGCAGGAATTACACAACACATGCAAATCGATGCAGGAACGCGTAGTCTATTTGATCGGCAAGCTGGCACACGACGAACTTACAGCCGAACTGCTGCAGATTAACGATGAAATGAACAATCTGTTCCTACGTTATAGACGCTTCTCAAAGAACAAACAGGTGCCAGCGAGTGCATTGGTGGCACAAGCGATTGGTGCCAATCAGTCGATGGCAAATGCCGCTGCCGTTAAGAAAAAACTCGAGGCTGGTGATTCACTTATAGACCTTTCTGACGACGAGGCTGACGCTCAAGGCGCCGCTGCCCTACCTCTCAATGCTATAGAGAAACGTATTAATGATTTAGGTATAATCACGTGGCTTTAACCTTGACAGATTTCCTTCTGTAATCAATAATATAATTCGTCAATTTTGTTGTTGAAGGTATCGCTGATAGTGAGGACACGATGTCGTCTCGGCGAAAGGATCACGAAAAGGATGAATTCGACGCGTTTGCTCAAGCGAGAACTGCCAGTTTCGACGCAGCTAAAAACAGGTCAGACGCATTCACCACACTCAATCGAACATTTTATTCGTCAATCATACTTATGGGTTAATATTTAAATTACTTTATGTAGGCGGGGAAGCGATGATGAGGCAGATCCCAGCTCATCTCGTGCGAAAAATCCAGTGAGTATCCACTAAATTTTCCCGTGTGCTTTTTAAATAATTGATAAAGTAAATCTGTTTTATTAAACTCTACAGACCGACAAATCGGTAACGTCCTCAGAGTTCGAGCGATTCCTAGCGGAGCGCACCGCAGCAGTGGCTAGTGAAATTGGTGGCGGTAGCAGAGCTACGACATCGAATGGAGCCAGTAGTGGTGGTGGAAGTGGCAACAGCAAGGACCAAGAAGACAAGTCGTTGTTTGCCCTTTAAACGAAAATTCACCACACCTCCATCCTTGTCTCGCTCTGACTTATATAAATATTTAAATATCTCTAAACTATCTCTCTTAGCTTCAGGATACAAACTTATTCTTTATGCGCGCGACACTCATCTATGTTATGTTTCTTTCTTTTCGTAAAGCTGGAATCATTACTTAAGCGTTGTGGCATCGACGATTAGGTGGTTCAGTTTCGAAAGTTTAGTGAAAGTAATCCTTTTTTTCTTAGTGGAACTTCATACTGGCTTTATAGATATATGAGATCATGCTATTGCCAAATAATTTTTCAACTAGTTATTTAATTAAATTTGTAGGTTAAAGTGAAAATGTAAGGATTCCTAAAACTGCCTTCTAAACTGAAACATGCAATCGCTCCTATTATTATTGCTAAAATTAATATTGTATTGTGAGGTACGTGGAAAATCAATGTGAGCACATTTTAAGAGGTTTGAAAAGAAATCAGGTTTTACGATGTAGCTAATGAAGTGATGGAAAGAGTGTTACGTATTATATGTTTTAGATATGATTGTTTTGCTAAAGAAAAGTAAAAAATTCTATAGTTATAGTTTATACGATCTGTTAAAGGAATTTTATTTTCGAATTTAGATCGTCTTATACGTGTACATACATTATTTTTAAAGTAGCTTATTTACAAACACAGTTTTTAACTTTATGTATAAATTTCCAAACAAAAATTTTATTACAATCTTCCTTTAAAAATATTCCGTGAAACTTGCTGCAATATTATTTTTGTTAAAATCCATTGCTTATGAAGTAGATTTCATATGCGAAATCAAGAAGATTCTTTAATTTATAAGATTATAAATTAGTATTTTTATAAATATCCATAATAGAGAAAAATACAAAATTAATATTATATCTAAGAAATCTTATTACCAAAAAATGATCGACTTGAAAATTATAAATAGAATGGTTTTATTTATTTCACGAGTACTATTGCAATGATCATTTACGAAATTAAAATAACATTAAACAACTGTTACTAAACGAATATTTCACACATCGAAAGAATATTAATGAACTGATTACAAATTTTCCTAAAAGGAAAGTTGAGCCTCATATTTAGTAAAAATGCTTTAAACCATTTTTAACTATTATTTTATTTAGTCAAGTATTATTATTAACATACGGTTGTAAACGTTATGTACATGACTTTGGTTTATATAACAGAATGCAGTTTACCATCACATTGTTTCGCCATTATGTTGTTACGTTTATAATAATTATTTTATTGATATCATTTTATTTGAACTGTTAAATATTGATTTTATTGTTTTATTTGTTTATTTTTAAAGTAATGAAATTCACGACATAACAAATTTTATTATGCTTTATAAAAGAGTTAACACATTTTATTTGATGAGGCGTACATTTTGATAAATAAAATATTTGGTAAAGTATCAAACTTAAAATCGAAACGAAAGATGCACTTCTTATTTTAAGTACTTATTATTGAATACAAACTTTGAAGCCTATATTAACAATAAAATTTCTTTGAATCAATTTACAAATTTTTTTTAAGCTGTATACATTGAATAAATACCGCTTTTTAATTTGTATATAATAATGAAGTGTAAGCATGAGTGAATCGAATTCTTAAAATGTATAACTTTTAAAACATTATATGTAAAACATAAAACGTTGGTGAATGTGAGAATAATTTAAGATACATTTGTAAACATACGATTTTGAAAAATGTTGTTTTTCGGTTTTACCAGATACTAGAAAGAAATGGAAAAAACTGAAAATGGTAAATATTAAGACACTAGTATACCGTATGGTATTTAAGAAAATTTTAAGAAAAAGAGAAACATCCACATTGCAGTGAGCCTGACAATGATCCTTAGAATGTATGCACTTGTATAGTCGCAAGTACTTCAGATAATATAAAAACTTCTTTTTAGTATTAACTGGAGGTAAGAAAAATAATAAAGCGACTGTTGTTGTTTTAAATGACACTAATTTTAAATGTAATTTCATTGTTCATCCTATCATTAATTTTTTTCTTTCACTAATAAACTTTAGATAAAGAAAACAAAGACTATAATTAACAATTTGCGTCATAAACTTGATTTTTCTTTATTTGATATTTATATCATATACATCTGCTTTATTTTTACATATTTATGCTATATTTACATATATTTCTGAACACTATATAGTTATCATACAAATCGATCTTCTAATTAAAGAACGCTAAATGAATTGAAATAAGCGTTTTATGTCAAGACAACATTGGTTGTATACTGTCATCATAAGTTCAAACTTTGTGACTAGCTACAATGAATGTTAGAGCTACTGAAATAAGCTCGTCATCAATTGGTAAAAAATTATCTAATACCCATTATTTTTACAAAAGCGTATACATACAGCCAAGCACTCTACTGAATTTTTCTCTCATTTTAATGTAGCTGAAGACTAAATTGCCATATATTTTAACAAAACAACATCAAGATTATATTATTTTTCGATTCTGATGTTTCTCAAACATAAGAAAGTATATACAATAATGAAATATGGAAATAGGTACACATTTATCGCGTTAAGTAACATATTAACAAAACTCATTTTATGTCAATAATTTTATATTCACCACCTGCAATAATAATTAAAATGTTGCAAAATCATGAAAATAATGACTTATTACAGTTACATTTTTAATGAAAAAATTACTCTATATAAAATATGCCTTCTTTATGAAGATTACGCTTCGTTTAATGACAATGAAGTATCAAATTGTTCTATAGAGATATTCAAATTCACTATCTAAAAAAGATTTTCTTCGATATTTTCATAAATATGAAAAATATGCACGTACACATATTCCCAAATGTTTTCTGAATGTATGTTGCAAAGTTCACGTTCCATTTACACAAGATAAATAAATTCTATTTAAAAATCTGTGATTCACTTTATTAGTTGGACACTGTCAAATAACGTTTGCTAATTAGTTGAATAAAAAAAGGCTCAAATGGAATGACACTCTGGCAATTGAATAATCTATCACTGCACATAATGAGAGAGAAGGATGAAAAAATAGCACGCTTTAGAGACTGCCGACAAGAACATCTACAATTCACCATCTAACGTAACTTTTATACTCCTCGTGTATGCTAACTCTTTTGATAGTCTCATAGCCCAGAATAATAGAGAAACTGAAGCACGCCGATTGCACTAACCGTGCTGAGAGACCTTTGGTAAACATATGCATACCTTCTTCTTGCCAAAGCACCCTTATTGCATTGCACATGCTATCTAGTCTTTGTACTTGTAGTCTCGCGCGAACAACGTCCAGCGGGTTCGTTATTATTGTCGTCGTGAAACCGCCCAGCGTTCCAGCGACCGACTGAATAAATAGGTGAGATACCCAATTGGGAAAGATTTTAAATAACTCATCTGAAATAGCAAGTATTCGAGTAAATCGTCATTCCAATAGCCCTACATATTTTATTGATTTTACCTTGGAAAAACGTATAAAAGCCCCACCACAATGCGCTATTAGGTACATAGGCACAGAGAGATGCAACATAGCCCCTGTAAAAACCCCGGAAACCGTCTCTTTGATAAATTAGTCGGACGATTTCAGCGGTTATTTGCGCTCGAGATTTTCCTTGTTCAAACGTTACTCCTAAAGGATTCATACCCGTCTACAAGGAATCGAATAAGTGTAAAAACCTTATGTTTTTTCAATACGAGAATATCAAAGAGTTTTTGCCATTACCTTATCAACAACTAATTTTCCATGCTTGTAGCGTACACCAAGAACCATTAAATGTTGACTCAAGACATCAAATGGAACTACAAAAGTCTGACCTACTATGCTTGCAGAAGCACCACCGATCAGAGCTTTTATTCTTGGGTCGAAATTTGCAGTAACAGGATCTTGATTCAATACATGTCTAACACCTTCATATGTAAATACATAAGAAACACCTGAAACTATTTGAATTGAACTGATCCAGAATCCTCGGTATAAACCTGAGATACCCTCCAGCTGATAGATTTTTCGATAGGCATCTATCATACCTGTAATGTGCATATAGCACAATTAGAAGTTGAATTGATGAAAAAAACAAGGTTAATTAACAGACCTGTATACATGTGGCTTTTTCTTTGAATTTGAAGTCGAGTCTTGATGACTGTCAGTGGATAAAGACAACATCTTACTGAAAAAGAGGATAACATACTTAGAGGCAAGAACTTTGACTTGTCCATCATGTCCCATTCGATGGTACGAATGAATGGTGTCTCCACAGCAGTAGTCATTGTTGTGTGGTTTTTTTAACACAGCTTCAACTCTAACATCCAAATGAGTCCCTTCTAACGATGAATAGTAATGCTGTTGTTGCTCATCCCCATACATCTCACTGGATTTCTTTGGGCATTCCTACCCCTCGATAACTCTGAAATACAACATTACAATAAAGTCAAAGCTATTTTCATAATTGAAAATCAATGAGTATTGTTCCCAACATACTGATAATGTGTTATTCCTTGACAATAATACAATGAGAGAAAAAATCAAATCGAAAACGAGGTAAAACTTTACGAGATGATAAATACTCGCGGTTCTACTGCATTTTACTCACATAAAAGAATATTCACACAAGTATATGAAAAAATCACGTGTCGACTTGGGATATTTACAAAAAGTAAGACAGTATGATGCAATTCTACACACCACATTCCTTGAAAGAACATCGTAAAGGTTAAGACTTCAAATCGACTCACCTTTAGAATGACAAGAGTATGGATTGGAGATGTAAAAAATTGTGAATTTTCAGCTGAAGAACTCCCGCATTATATTTTCTTCGGTGAGTCTCCTAAGTCTCCTTTCAAAGGTTTCCGTACGACATCGACACATGTACCCACGTCCAAAATGCAGTGTCGATGTCGCTCGTTGAGCGAGATAGAGCAGAAGTCAATTGTCGTCGCGAACAATCGTCGATAATGAAGACTACGCCTTTCCAACCATAAGCATTTTCGAACATATATATTTTTAGTTATTCGAAAAAAATCCACATATTTTCCGACTATACAGCCATCAATCGCTTAGTTCATTAGCACGCATTTACACGTGCTGCTAGAATCTATCTTTAGGACAATGTACATTGGAGAAAACTCTTAATGGAAAATGCATTTGTTAGAGCACCCGCTCTCGTGGAAATAAATATTTCGTGAAAGCATGTGCACTTATATAATGTTCATTGTTTTACATGATAAGTGTGTAAAAGCTTGAGCCGACAGGTTACGATATGAGAGAAGGAAAGAAACCAATTGCTTGCGAAGAACTTAACAAATTCCAAGTAAAGTAAAACGAAATTGACTCACGGCTAAAATTAAGTCGGCCTCATGCAAGCTTTATTTACAATTATTTTAAGGCCAAATGAACCTCGCAAAGAAGAGGAAAATTTACATCCGATTATTTTTTTGTGATTATACGATAAAGTTTTCGGAAAGGATACTTAGCGGACTTTTCTGCTAAGTCACATGTTGCACCCACACCGTCGCAGCGGCGCCTCACACGCATACGCGTTTTTCTTGTGCTCACGTAATATCTCTCTTGCTTGGCAGCGCTCTCAGTTCAGTTTTTCTCTGTCTGTTCTCGAGGAGAGTGGTCGGCTTTATCTATCCCGTCGGTTTCTCCTTGCCGAGAAAGTAACATCTTCGTATTAACCGCAGCGTGGCTGTGTCTTAACTCGACATTAAGCATCAAGTTGTATCTGCAGGGTTTTTGAATGCACTGATCATGTATACGGTATCCAAGGGTCCTAGCAAAATTGTCGCCAAGACGAGGCGAGGTGAGTTTTGCACGTTATCGTCGAATACCTCCCGCGAAGGTACTTATTTCGCGCACGTAAGACACTATGTAGTCGCTTTCATTTTCCCCGGCGGTTACTTCCAGCCAACGACCTTAACGCCTCGAGATTTGCATACCAGTGTTGCTACGTAAGGGTTGTTTCTTGAACTTGGCGGTCGCTCAGATTATTTTTGGAGAAACGCGCTGTTTATGCTTTTTGCTTATCTTTGTTTTCATTCTTGCCTCATACTCTTGTTCTCTCCAAAAAAACAATGTTTTGATATGCATTGTTTCTGCTCCATCATTCAACTTATTTTTTGCAACTTCTACTTATGAATAATCTCATTAATATTACAGGAATTAATCAAAATCTTGAAAGACTAGAAAACCTTAGAGACTTGTCTCGCAAAAGTGATCCTGAGGAGGACACCTCTGAAGAGGATAAAATCAATCGGTTAGTACAGATGATCTCAATTAAAAATCTGCTGATGCATGCACATCTATCCACAAAAGTGACTGTGATGCAATTATGTTGCAATAGCTGAGTGTGTTGATCTTGAGCTTACAACATCAATCCATTGAGAAGAATGTTTGTGAATTAAAAGTTAATTGAACCTTTTTTGTTACTTTTTTTTGAACCTCTAGCAATGTTCCCAAACCAGTTTTCTACACAAATGGAAAGCTGAAACCTAGCCTTCAGAGGCATAGAACAAGACAAGAAGTTATCACACCACAGCACGAAGAGTTAATCAAGTTTGTTTGTGACTGTAAGTGTTACAATAGACTGTCAACTTCGGACCATTGACAGCTTGGTTTGCTTTCTTCTTACAGCTTGGAATCAGATCAATGCCAGGCAGAGATGTTCATCTTCGGATGATTCAGATCAGTATGAGTCTTCCACAAATGGTAAACAAACATAATTGATAGACAAAATTATTGCATTAAAATCAAGGTAATGTAGCGTTAATAAGCCATTTCCGTTACAGAAACGATAGTTTACTATAATGATGGGGAGCCTAATTACGTTTTACAAGGTATAGTCTTTTACTATCTTATCACTATTGAAAAAATGTGTCCGTCTCGCTTTCGAAGCGGCAGCTCGTTAAAGGAGATGTCGATAAATAAATCATTGACTGGCCCGTTTCAGACTTCAAACCGTTCGATCTGGAATCATGGTGGGGCAAAAGACTGTTTAACAACATCACAAAATCCCTCTGAACAACGAGGCCAAAACGCTGAAGCCTCTCTAAAAGATATAAATATGGTGTCTCCTTGTGTGTGCGGAGGGTGCATTTTCACTTCTCGCGGAGTGATTGCCGACTCGACGCCGGATTAACGTTGCCGAGTAGACAATAATAGTTATGTGCTCTACCGTGCGTGCGCGCGCTGGCATAGCAAGCCGCCGCCGCGCCGTGTGTGTTGATGAACTTTTAACGTTATTAAACGTGATTATTCGTGCGAGCTGAGAAAATGCCTATTATATTTGAGAAAGAGGAGTATGTCCGTGCGGTTGGGATACGATGAGTGCGCGCTGCATATATCATACACACACACATACGCGTATGGTCCTGTATCGTTTATTAGTAGTTTGATTATTTTCTATGATATATGAATATCGGTCCTTCGATCAAATGGATCTCGGAGCAGAAAACAAATTGTTACGCTAATTTGTATTCAGTCACTCGAACGATTTCTCTCTCTCTCTCTCTCTCTCTCTCTCTCTCTCTCTCTCTCTCTCTCTCTCTCTCTCTCTCTCTCTCTCTCTCTCTCTCTCTCTCTCTCTCTCTCTCTCTCTCTCTCTCTCTCTCCTCTCCTCATAAGGACATCAGTTTCACTCGTTGCTTTTGAGTGACATTTTTTAAAAGTTATTAAAAATAAAAAAATTAAAAAATATAAAAATATGTTATCGTTGTACTTTGTTATACCAGGTAAAACTGATGCTCCACTCTCTGGATACTTTTCAAATGGTAAAAAATCATGATTGCTCGAGTGAATGGTAAAAATAATGCGAATGAACTTTCGAAAGCCTCTTAGCAAAAACTCGTTAGACTGATATAACTTAAGATTCTAGTTATTGTTTAAAACTATGCGCAAGTTTATATACACGTATATGCATTAAATCGTCGCTGATGCCCAATCTTATACAGCGATATGATTAAAATAAAACCTTATATATGCGCAACTAACAAAAAAGAGGAATACAAGAGTTCAATGCGAACAAAAATTCAGTGCCACTATGATTACTCTTTTTGTCCTCGAATACGATCTTCGTTGTACTCCCATACGGTACTTTCATACACTTACAGAAGTTATAGTTCGTCTCTAACTGCAGTTTAAACAAGTGGCGCGTAGTCGAAGTGTAGTGCAATATGTAAATACGTTTGGCACATCCAGCCGAATGTTATTAGATGTTTAAAGAATATACATATCTTTACATAATTTTTTCTTCTTTTTTTATCTTTCCTCAATGCTTCTTTTACATTTACTCAAAAACCTTTCGTTCTTTTATGTTAATAAGTCGATTAACATGCAGCACATTCCTGAATAACTTTACACAATAATTATCTTGTATATCATGAATGCGACATAAATTTCCATTGAATAATTTCGTCCAAGGGTTAATTCAAATATACCGCCTGAAGTGAGCAAGTCATCAAGAGATGGCGCTAAGGTCAGGTAAAAAATATCGATGGTCGACATTTAAACCATGTTTATTACCTAACTTCAGCGTATTTTGCACCATAACAAAACCATGCGCTACCTGGGCTTCATGTAATATAAACAAAATTAATTCCTCTATTACAATACCTTCCAGTCAACTAATTTATTCTTAGCTCAATTGATTAAAAAATTAATAAAATGAAAAAATCAGGTAAAATGTTTTCCACTTTTTTAATTATTACATTAAAGGAATTTTGCATTATATAACACAATCATAAATGTTCAATTTTTCAGCTCTTAATGAGAAATTATGCCAAGGAAAAGATGTTTTTGAAAGAATGAATTATCTACATCAAGTAAAATTTAAACAAAAAATCTTATCTCATTTTTTTTATCTGAACTTATGCACAGCATTTTTTATTTTCCAGGCTAGTTTACTAGTATCATCCAAAAATACTGCTTTAGCTTCTTATTATGGTTCAGTAATGATAAGTTGTGCTAAAAAAGCAGTACTACGAGTGTAAGAATGTTTGTTTTTAAAATTATTTTTTGATTTTTGATACTTTACTTAACTCCAACAGTCAGTAATATCTTATTATTTTATTTCAGAGAACATCATCTGAAGCGATCTATATGTAAAACATGTCAATCTCCTCTTACACCTGGAGAGACAGCTAAAGTACGTTTATTATCAAAGAAGAAAAAAATCATCAAAACTACTTGTTCCATATGCAATAGGTCAAAAAGAATACCAATAAATAAAAAACACAATTTATGGTGGGATCAGCCTGAAGCAATTGTAGAAACATTTGATTATAGTTTGAAATCAAAAATCAATTATAGTGATATAAATAAAACTATTCCAAATGGAGTTAAAAAAGAAAATACTCAACCAGTTGATTCGAGCAATGTGCAAAATGTTGATAAGAAAACGGATTATTTAAAAATGGATATTAGCTAGTATTTTTTAATTTGTAATTATATGATCTTTATTCTATTTGTATATATTCCATTTACACTATTACAAAAACGTCAATAAAAAATTCATCTGATTCGTTTAACGTAATAAACATTTCACATTAATTGCTGCACATAAGTATTCTTCTTTGAAATAAGTTGCGCATAAAGAACTATTTTTGTGGGGGTAATTGGATCAGTAATAACAGACAGATCAAAAGAAAAAAAAACAATGTTCTTGTTCTCTAGTCGTAAACATTGCCTTGAAAGCATAACGCATGCGCGCAGCACTTTAATTCCTTTGTGATTGGCGCAAGCGAGTTTCGTCTGCAAATGTCAGATTAGCGTCCCTTTAAAATAAAAGTGCTTTTTACCGCGTAAAAGAAGGATAATAAATATTTTGACCAAACAGATAAAAAAATATGTCTGTGTACGATCCGTTACAAAAGCACAAGAGGTTATGGAACGACCCGAACAACATTTTGGTGGAAAATCTCGCGGGAACAATGATAATGCACCAGAATCTTCTCTTTGTTGATAGCTGTAAAGCCGTTTTACGACGAGATTATAACAAATTAGACGGAAAGGTAAGCTGTTTAAATTTCCAAAATTAGTTGAAAAACAACCGTGTTTATATTTTCTGATGTAAAAGGTCAGAATTATTGGTGGTGGTGCTCTGATTGATGGGCCTATGTATGCTGGCTTTGTCGGGCCAGGAATGCTTACTGCTGCTGTTCTTGGACTACATGGCACAACATCTTCTATGCCTTCGACAGATTCAATATTTGAAGTTATAAATTATGTTTCAAAAGATGAACACCATGGAGTAAATGGTAATACTCTGATCTTTGGATAATCAATTTTGTTTATGGATTATTCTTAGGGTTTGCCTTTTTTGCAGGAATATTACTTTTGGTACACGACTGTGCAGAGTATTTCTTAAATTTTCTACTAGCTAAAACAAAAGCAGAAAGTAAAGGCATCCCTATCAAGATGGTTCTAGTGCGAGACCAATTAAGTGAGAAACTAAATCAAAAACCCCTAAGCCCAAGGAGTCCGTCTGGCCTACTGTTTATTTATAAAATTGCTGGAGCAATGTCGGAAGCTGGAAAGAGTTTAGATGAAATATATGAGACATGTGATGAAATTATAAAGAGCGGAGCTATTTTTAGCATAGGTGGTTACATTGGAGACTGCGTGTATAACGATGCATATAAAATTGAAATTAGTAGAGGAGATAGATTGTCAGATCGAGATATCAAACGTTTTTCTCTTGCAAATACATCAACAAAGAATATTGTAGAGACTATTTTGGATGATATTGTACATGCAGATAGTAATCAGTTGTTTTCTCAGGGCTCTAAACTTGCTTTGCTATTTGATTATTTTGGCGGTAGGATATTTTCAAGTTAAACTCTTTAAAAGTTACGAAAGAATATTTTTAATGGTAGAATTGTATTATTTCAGGATTCAGTCATTTAGAAGTGAATATACTTATGAAAGAATTGGTGGAGCAGTTGGATCAAAAGGAATTTGAAATAGAAACAATTATTTCTGGATCATTTCACACATCGCTAGAAGTAAATGGATTCCACTTGTCTATATTGAATTTGTCTAGCAATCCACATTTCAAAAATTATTTGAATGCACCAACTGTTGCTTTCTCTTGGCCTAAAACAATAGGTAGAGAAAGTCACTGTATGTCAGAATCGGACAGTAAATCACAAATCAAGGTAAATTAGAAATAAAAAGTAACTGAGCATCATTATACATTTAAAAGTAGTAAATCATAATTTTCTTGTGATTACAGGATTTTAAAGAAAATAAGACTGTGGACGATGATGAAGTAAAAGTCGACCAAGAGATGGTTTCATCTACTGAAATGGGAACGCTTGAAACTGACACACTTTTAACGGCTGTACAATTTGCTTGCGAGGCACTGATAGCTTGTGCTGCTAAAATCGATATGCTAGACGAGGCATCAGTAAACGACAACATTGAAAAGTGTGGAACAAGACTGGCGAACATAGCTAGCGCCATTAAAAACGCGATACATAAGAAGCAGTTGGCTGGCTTGAGCCTATCTAATATTATTTTTCAAATCGCAAGAATATTTGAGCAATATGTTCAAGACGATCAAGCCGAGCTCTATAGACTTTTTTTTAATATAATTGGACGCGTGCGTGCTTTTATTATATTTATTTCAATGCTTTCTATTTAACGTGTACTTATTTCCAAATGTTTGTTTGCAGTCAATTGAAGATCAAAACAATTTGGAAGCTGGAGATTGGCTGGACGCTTTCGTCAGAGCAATAAATGCAGTTGATTATTCTACGCGAGGGACGAAATTTTCCGATACACTATTCGCTGCGAAAGCAGCCTTTTGCGATGCTTATGCAGAAAATGAAGATGTCAATGTTATCGATGCTCTGGGTCAAGCTGTTTGTGCTGCTCAGAAACAGACTTCTCACGTTATGCCAGATTCCGGGCGGATACCAAATAATATTAACGAAAATGTAATTGTTTGTTAAAATTATTATTATTTAAATCATCTTCGTAAAACATAAAATAACGTTGTATGAAGTCAAATCTAGCCGACATTCGAATTTTCAGGACTACGGTTTCTGTGGTTTAGCTGGAGCACACGCAATTGGTGTTTGGATGAGAGGAGCTTACGAAGGCATTAAACTCAAATACTCTTACCACAAGACTCGAGAGAAACGTCCTCGTATAGACGATTTCATTCCCGAAGATGTCGCAACTGCACTGAAAATGCCAAAACTGTCTCTCGACCACGACTCTCTCTAAAAGACTGGCTGTTTTCTTTTGATACTACTCTGGTTTTTATAGATATTTCACATCTACTGCATAAGGGAGATCGAAGTCTTACATCAATTTGATAATATCTAGTTGTCTTTGTTTTCTTGATTTTAGAACGAAATTGTTATTTATAGGAAAAATTTATAATTGTTGATCAATTGCATTATTTTATTAGTAATTTCGCTAAGTAATGCGCATCACTGCCACAATTATTTGCATTGCTATCGCGAGAAATCGGATTTTTGTATTAAAAATCAGAATTCGAAGTACTTAAACGTTGCAGAAGGAATATTTCATCGAAGAGAGCGCTGAAAATTGACACATTGCGATCTCCTTTATTATCAATTAACGTTGTTAAAAAAGCAAGAACGCTAACTGATTTTAACAAGATTACAATCACTTTTACACCCTCGATGTCAATAACGAACTTTGTGATTACATATCTACACACTGCCATGACAAGCAATTTTTATACGAATAAATGGTTTTTAGTAGATACACAATAAAACGGCAATTTTCACTTACCGACTGATCGGTACAACAAATGGAAATAACGTTACGTGGAATAGATTGGTTTACTCTGTTTTGTTGATCCAAAGGAGAAGCGCACTCGATTAATAAGGATAGCTGTCGTAAGTGTCGTAGAGCTCGTCCTTGTTGGCGTCGAGAAGCGCAGCGAGGTTGCCGGAGTAGTCGGCGGTGGCCTGTTGCGGTATTCGCGTGGGCGTACTGCCCTCCGGGCCGGAGTCGTTGACCTTAACCGGGTCCTTGATCGCAGCAGCCACGGGAACGGCGACGGACTCGTCATGGCTGCCGTCGTCGTCGTCATCGGCGTCGCCGGCCTCGTTGTTCTCGAGGTTGGCGTGGTGCTCGTGTTCGCGCGGGTGGTGGTGGTGGTGGTCGTGCTCGTGGTGCTCGCGGTGGTGATGGTGATGGTGGTGATGGTGGTGGTGAGCCTTGTTGGCCACCTCGGCGGCGTGGGCCGCGGCCGCGGCGGCATTGTTCTGGGCGACCTGGGCCGCGTGGGCCGCCTTGAAGTTAGCCGCCTGCGTGGCCTCGAAGTCGATGCGCGCGTGGTGCAGCTGGTCCTCGATGGCCTGCAGGCGCGCCTTGGCTGCGCCTACCATGGCCGTCTGGGCGGCCAGCTCGGCTGCCGCCTCCGCGGCGGCCTGGCCGGCGTGCTGGGACGTGGCTTGGGCAGCGTTCAGCGCCGTGGTGATGACTTGCACCTGCGAGCGAGAGGCACGACGTGGAGACGTTGAGGCGCTCGTCGTCGTCGTCGTCGTCGTCGTCGTCGGGGGCTCACCTGGTGCATGGCCTGCTGGGCGGCATGGGCGGCGGCGGTGGCGGCTCGCTGGGCCTGCTGCAGTTGCAGCTTCTCGCTCTCGAGCGCGCGGTGGGCGTTGTAGGCCTGCTGCTCGAGTCCCCGCAGGATGATCTGCTTGCCGGCGAAGGCGGCCGCGGCGGTGGCGGCGCTCAGGCCGGCGGACTGGCCCAGCCGGTTCTTGGCCACGTAGGCCGCCTGGGCCGCCGCCGCCGGCTGGTTCTTCTCGAAGGTGTGCGCCGCCTGGGCCGCACCCCGCGCTATGTTGACCAGCGGCCCGCCCACGCTGTAGCCCACCTACGTTTGGGACTCGTTAGAGCGCTCGATTTACGAGGGTCGACGGGGCGCACCTTAGGATGGTGGTGGTGATGGTGGTGGTCGTGGTGGTCGTGGTGGTCGTGATGGTCGTGGTGGTCGTGGTGGTCGTCGTGGCTGGCCGCGGCCACGGGTTCGACGGCCTGGGAACTCTCGTAGTCCGGCGACGACTCCGGCAGGTACTCGAACTCGTAGGACTGGGCCGCCTGGATCGCCTGCTCGTCCTCCAGGCTCTTCTTTACCAGCGTCCGCGTCGCCTCGTCCTTTCGAGCGGCATGGCCGTTAGTGCGGCTCCCCGGAGCGAGCGACGAGCGCACTTACCCGTTCGGGCGGATCCTGCTGGGCGAGCGCGAGCTCAGCCTCGCTGGCCGGGGCGAAGAGGCCGAGACTGAGGAGGACCGAGGCGCAGACGGTGGCTCTCATGCTGTTGGCGATCCGAGGGCTCGTCGGCGAGTAGCCTGCTTAATATCGCCTCTTCGCTGGACACCGCCGCGGCCGCTCTCCCCCTTCGGCAGGTTACGACCGGCGCTTTTTTCTCCCCGGCGACTTGTGCAACGCAGCCCCCTTTTTCTCCGCTCGCTTTCTTGCCAGTGTGTGCATTACGAGCGCCGTCTCCTCCGATCTCCAATTGATCGATCCAGCGGCTTTGCATCGTGACAGGCGCGTTTTTGATCTCGCGCCCACGGTGAGAGAGCGATTCGCCGCTTTGCCTCTCCCGCGCGTTTTTTTCCGTTTTTTTTTTCTTCCGTGCTCGCAGCCGCTGCTCTCTTGAGCAAACTTGGCGGAAATTCCGCCGCGCGTGTTTTGGGCAACCGCGAGAGCTCGTTTCTTCGCTCGGTCGTGTTTCGCGATCGATACAGTTTCGCGCGGTCGTCTCGCTGGTAATTGCGACGATCGCAGTCAGCGTGAGCTGCTCGCCGTTGGTCGCGCGCGGCGCTTTCTTCAAGTGCGCGACCTTGCGCGACGAGCAAATCCCCGAGCGGCTCGTCATTCGCGAGGAGAGGAATCGCGACGTCGCCGAGCGCGATGCCGTCCCTTGTAGCTCCGCCCCGTTGCGCCTATTACGCCGATTGCGCCGATTGCGCCGATTGCGCCGATTGCGCGTAGCCCGAGTTTTCACGCGAGCTCGCTCGCTGCTCATGTTCCCAAGCGCGATCGTTAATGTCTTTTACCGAGCTCGCGGTCGGCGCGACAGCACGGAACGCCCGATTGGCTCACGGCGATATCTCGGCTTCGCATTTCTCCGATGCGCGCATTATCAATTTCCAAACGGACATCAATCGGGTGAACTTTTGCAATTTTCTTTTAGGTAATGGAAAGAGGAGAAAAACGAACGATTGCAGCATCATCGCAGCGAGTCACGAGCTCGGCGCATTGTGGAGCTCGAATCATTGGATCGGAATTGAATGCTTCGTTGATTTATAATAATTAGCGGCTGAGACGGCGACTTTCGCGGGCATTTTCGCGAACAAAGAAAAGCCACCGGTGTTTTGCGCGGCTATTTCTTCGCGCAATGACAGTCGCTTGATCGACTAATTCGAGGGATTACGGAGCGCGCGCGACTGTCTTTCCGTGGTTCTGTCGAGGAAAGGCGCAGCGGATACAGGACGAAAATTCCAGTATGACAAAATTGTATTTTCGAATGAAGCTATATAAGCGCGCATCGCAGATGCGCGTCGATACACTTGCACGGCATCTACGTAGGGCGCAGCTGTTTCGATCACGAATTCGTCACTGTTCTGAGCATGTTCAGATAGGAAAAGGACGCTTTGATCACCTGCAAAGCGCGAATAGCACGATGAAGCTCGAGCCGGCTGTGTCGGATGGCCATCGAGGCACTTTTCGCTACGTACACTGGAGAAACAAGTCATGGATAGAGTTGCCATTTTGCCGGCGGTCAGCACGACTGGGCGCTGTGTCGACGCCACCATCATCAGCAGATTCCTCGCGTCTTTGGCCGCGAAATCGTACCAATCGACGTTGTAAGCCACATTGCCAATGACGCTGCACTGAAAATATTCGCGAGCCCACGCTGAATCGCGTAATCTATCGAAGGGTGCGTTTTGTACGTTCGGACTGTACCTTTCCGGTCAACTGTTCTCCGATGTAGCAGAAAACGAAGATGTTGAAGGTGAACGACATGAGTAGCATGCAGTACGTGTATGGCCCGACTAAACTTTGACTGTGCTCCTAAAAATTAAGGTCGACCTTCAAAAGTTTTGATAAACTACACAGAGCGAAAGGAAAGTAAACGACATTATATTTGTCTGCTGTCACGAGAACCAAGTCGAATCATTTGATTGGCGTACGCACGCGGATTGCGAATAACGATTTCACAAGAAAGAAAGCAGCGTAACCGTGATGAAGTAGTAGCCGAGCATGCAGATATTGAAGCAGCAGCCCGTCAACTCGACCAAGCACATGCTGCTCAAGTAGCCCTCCAATTTTCTAGCGAACCTGCAATTGGCAAAGCCTGAACGATAGAAGCACGCGTCGGTTAGACGACGCAGTATGAGCGTAAAAGGGCGGTTACGTGATGGCGCGCAGGTGTTTGTCGATGATGCGCCCGAAGGCCGCGACGTCGAACGAACCGGCGCTGAAGTTGCGCAGCATCCAGGACGTGACGGCGATCTGGCCGCAGACGTGCTTCACGCAGACGATGGCGACGCTGGCCACGGCGCAGGTGATGGTGAACTTGGCGAAGCCACACACCGCATGCAGCGTGTACACTTTGCCGAAGTGCTCCTGAATCATTTGACGTTCGCTGAGCAACTCTTCGGGGCTAGGGGAATCATTATGCTCACGTGCGAATCGAAGAACACGAAGTAGCTCGGGTAGGCGAATACCCGGGTGGTCTTGTTGTCGATGATCACGGGCGACACCATGAAGCTGAAGAGCGCGCTGTAGGACATGCCGCTGACGTACATGCACGTGAAGCAGATCAGCGTGAAGGTCTTCGCGGACCCGGCATTCTGCAGCATCAGGTCGATCTCCACGCGGCTGCGCACCGAGCGCCAGTCGGTCGCCATCCACTCCACGCACTCGCGCAACTGGCCTTCTCGCAGCAGCACGGTCACGTACTTGAAGATGTTCATCAGGCCAAAGCTCAGCGGACCGATCAACCGCAGTCGGATCTGTTTTGTTGCGCTCGACGAGCGTTTGAACGTTACAAGCAGCGCGCATGCGGAGCGTCGCTCGGAGTCGCGCTTATTTACCTGAAAGTCTTTGACGATGATGAACATGTGCAGGCAGAACGGTATGGTGAAGGCCATCAGCAGAAAACAGACGACGCCGATCAAGAGTAAGCGCAAAACTTTCGGATATGTCGCGGACGTGAACGGCCACATTCCTATCATTTGGAGCAGCCGGCGCATCACTTTCACCGAGTACTCGAAATGCTGTGCTATCTCATTATCTTCCACTTCGGCGAGCGCAGCTTTCTGGTCGATCTTCGTCATTCTATCTCCGGCGCTGAAACCAACTCGCAGTATGGCGATGTGCGTGTAAGGTCGTCGCGCGCTATCCGCTGTGCGGACATCAGGCCGCGAGCTCGACCCTCTGCTCATTTAAGATGCAAAGTGTCGCGCAATTAAAAAGTCGCTAACAGCCCTATCATGGCTATTTTCTCCAAGTTATAATCGACGCAAGACTCTCGGCTTTCCCTGCGCTTACACGCCACACATGTACCCGGAAACAGTGCTCGGACGAATCGCCTTCGTATGTTTTGCAATTTGCATTTCGATCTTCTACATCGTTGCAATTTAATAAGATGCAAAGTGATTATTTACGAATGACCAAAATAAAAGGAGGAAAAGCACAACGTCCGCATCTCCAATCAAAAAGTAAGTTGAATTTCGATTATCAGAATCTGTTAAAAAAATAGTCTATAGTACGGTTTGGAGTTATTAATGCGTATATATTCAGTATTCGTGTATCGTCCTTTGCGTGAAGAAAATTTTGAAAGTGATTCCATATGAAAGAATCAAAATAATTTCGATTTCACGTATATAGTTAATCAACATCACCAAAATTTTATCGCCGAATAAATTCAACACCAACTAGTTTTTAGTTCGTGAAGTAGGCACAATGGATATGCAATGAAATTTTTGAAAAAGTGAAACGCCAAAAGCACTGGACGAAAATTGACCATACGTGAAAATATATTTTCTAGTTGAATAACAGTACATTCTCGAGCATTTTCCGTCTCGCTTTTTCCAATAAACAGTGATTTGCATAGAAACAGCTATGAGAAATAATATTAAACTAAGTAATTTGCGGATAGCTTCCGTAATGAATTGAATCAATAGTTATACGTTGTAGAAATATTTAGTAGTTAGGAACAGGCAATTCGCCTATGAGAGCCTGACGTGCGCTTAAAAAAATAGTGAAACAACTTAGTAATTCGCATTTAACTAGCGAACCTATAATTATACAGCTCCTTCAAGAACAGCCGAAGGATCAAACACTCTGACAGTAACCGCAAATGACGTTATTTCACAAAAATAATTCAAATGTCCCTTGCAAAATAACCAATTGTTCTTATTTCTAGTCTTGGTTCGGCTGTATGATACAGAGTATCGAACAGGAATCTCTCTTCTTTCTCTCGACAAGTGACATTTAATGTTCGTTCTGAAGCGAACAAACATAGAATAATGAACGTCATCTTTGCTCCCGCGTGATCGATATGTGCGATAGCTCTTCTCTATGCCCACACCAGTGTCATTACACATTGATCGTACATCGTCTTTCGTTGAAGCTACGCGCGAGCATTAAACTCGATGCAAGTTCTTCGCAATTTGCGTCGAGTTTAATGCTCAACAACTTCGACAAATTAAAACCCATTACTGCAAACAGTTTCCTCGGAAGGAACAATCGAAAGAGTTTTTCTTATGCCCCCTTTCTGTATAGAGTTAGGAGCCATTACCGTTTACACTGCTGCTAATTGTTTCACAGGCATTGACATCGGTACAAAGTTCATATTCATTATTTCGCGCGCGCGCGTACGTAATAGTACATTACCTAACCTGTGCGGGAAAGTAGATTGTTGTCTCGAGTGAGGTTTACGCCCGAGCGAAGCGAGACTGGAAAGCGCGGCGTGTTGAAAAACAACTGTCACACGCAGATCGGTTCGGATGAAAAGAGCCAAATGCTGTCGCATTAGATCCAGTCATCATCGAAATTGTATTCAAGAACTAACAGTAATGCAAGCAGCAGCTACTGCGGAGCTTCGGTAGGTTTTAATTCGTTCGAGTTCTGTCCCCTGCAAATAACTTACAAAGCAACAATACATTTACGAAGCTTTCGAATCGTTCGATTTTAATTTATCATTATGTCTCAGACAAAAGTCATTTCGGCATCGACAGCGGTATAATCATTTGCATCTCGGAAGCGCCAGTGTGTGAATGACAAAGCATTATTAAAGATTGCTGTACACTAACTTTCACAGAGCGACTGCTGAAGGCTACGATTTTCTTTTTTTTATTCTTATCCTCAAGTTAAACAGACGATTAAGCAAATTACTTCAACTCTAGCTACCAACGACGGTTTGGTAGACATGTGCTTGTGTCCTCCCGGTATCCCATGATATGTTGGCGTATAAAAAATCTACTATTCTGTATTCAAAATTAATTTCTTTACTTGAATTTCTGAATTAAAATAACTTGGCTTATTATATTTTTACAGCGATAATTTTGCATAGGAAATATCTGTATTGAGTGGGGATTCGAGGACTGTGATAATTATTATCTCAAGATTAATAAATTTACAATTAAGTAATTATAATATTTATATAAAGTTTGACTACAGTTTATTCAACAAAGAGCAATGTTTGCCATAAGATGTTAATTTTGACGATTTCATTCATTAATTCACGCGATTACATATTATTCCGAAACATGGATTGAAGAAAGAATTAATCACTAATGTAAAGTGAGAAATGGACAATTAAATATATTAAACTGAAGTTAATTGATATAAAACTGTATGATGATAAAAATTATTTAGTAAAAATAAATGAATCGATTCTCTACACAAACAGTGTTACTTTAATAATGTGTTCTCCATTATTCGTTCGCTCAAAAATTTAAATACTCAGAAAGCTTCTTTACCATCGATCGACACATGAAACTTAGCTTCTCGAAAGTGCTGCTCGAAACCACGCCGCGTCTTGCGGAGAAATAGCGCCACGATCTGCTCAAACATGGAACTCGCGTAATAATGCCACAAGCGAGTATAGCCCACCTCGGGAAACTCCAGTCTCCCAGGCAGCAGCAGCAAAGTGAGAGGTGCACGCATACACAACGTATACGTACGTCCTTGCCTCAAGCGCGCGCGCGCGAGCCGATTCTCTGGGTCCTCTGCAGTGGGTTTTGTCAGTGCTCGACGCGGGACAAGGGAAGCGTAGAGAAGTAAGCGTGAATCAGGTTAGCGGCAACGACGACGAGAAGTACAAGGAATTGATGGCCAAGTGGCGTAGGTAGTGGTCGTGCGCGCGTACGTGTTCGCGATGATGACCTCGGCGCTGGCGGCGATACAATGAGTCCGGCGACGGACACGCTGAACGACGATACGGACATAGCCCATCACGAGGAGCAAATCGCCAACGTGATGAAGTCCTTGTCCGAGGGTGAACTCGGCACGGACGAGGTTAAACAACCCCCCGCAAACAATAACAACGCAACCACCGAGGTGAGTTTCCCCCTCCTCCTCGCTCTCTTCGTTCGCACCTACCGAGTTACTGTTGTTTTGTTTTCGCTGTGGGTATCCGAGTATTTGTTTGCCGTTGTCTCACAACGTTGTTTTGTTTTCACTTTTTCCACATTTAGGCAAAGAGAAGTAGCTTGAAGAGGACTCTCACCCTGCCCAGGATACTGCAGATTCCAAGGAGACGAGTGAAGGAAAATAACCCTACAGAGCAATCGAATCTTGATCAAGGTAGAAACATGGGAGGTAAAAAAGTCACTCGCAAAGTCTCCATTAAGGAACAGTTCAAGGTGATGAAACAGTATGTGTCCAACCTTGTGACTTATAATCACAAGACAAGCAACAGGGATGGGCTTGACTCGAGTGTAGGGGACATTCGGCAGGCCTTATCAAGGCCAGCTCACATGCCTCCCGACAGTGTGCCTGGTGTAGTTGGCTTAAGAAATCATGGCAATACATGTTTCATGAATGCAGTGTTACAGTGCTTATCGCATACAGACATTCTAGCAGAGTACTTTGTTCTGGATGCATATAAAAATGATCTGTCCAAAAAGAAAAACTCTAAGAAGTATGGAACTAAGGGTGAAATAACTGAGCAGCTAGCATTATTGCTTAAGGCTATATGGTATTGTAAATATGAGCCTGAGATGAGTACTGCGTTCAAAAGTGTTGTGGACAAGTATGGCAGTCAGTACAGGGGCAATTTACAGCATGATGCCCAGGAGTTTTTACTGTGGTTGCTGGATAAAGTGCACGAAGACTTGAACCAGGCCACCAATAAGAAGTACAAGATAATCAAGGTGAGTTGTCGCTGTGGCTTTCTTTCTTGAGGTAAATTAGTTCACAAGAGTGGCATTGAAGATCTATTTATTAGCCAGTGCACAGAAATAACAAGATGACTCATTTGCAAATATTTACACTTCGCTATTGTACATAGCGTGACGAAATTTGCATAGTCGTAAAATTCTGTGACAACACCCGCTATCGTTCGAAATAATAAAAATCCGCCGCGGTAGCTTCGATAACGAAATTCAATAAGAGTTCGACACACGCAGATTTTTTTGTTTACCCGTCACAAGATTGCGAGAGAAAGAGCGAGGCGGAAAAGCAATCGCGAAACAAACAAGCGTGATTCACGACAACATAATCGCGAGTAGCCGTTGAACTCGCGAAAAAAGCAAAGCAAATAAAAATCAGCAATGATCACTCGGGGCAGGAGTGAGGTTAGGTTGCGCAACGTACGGACTGGAAGCCAACGACGAGTCAAAATTGAGATTTCGAACGGGACGAGAGTGGAAATAAAGGGAACGAAAATCGGAGCAGTGCTCGCTTCCGGCGTAAACGCGCGCCTTTGCGCAACATCGTCCGTTAGGATCTCGCGTCTCTTTTTTTTTTCCTCTCGCGCACGCATAGTTCGCAGTCGGTCGCTCGGTCAAGTTGTCTCGACTTTGCATCTTCCTTTCTCGCTGGTTCCTTCCTTTTTTTCCTCCTCCTCCCTGAGTCTCTCCGCCCGCCGCTAAATTTATGCTTGACGTAGTTCGCGTCTTTTTTTCTTTATTTATTTTTTGTTTTCTTTTCCGCTGGCCGAGCTCGAATTTTCTCAAAGTCATTGTTTGCCTTGCGATGAGCCTTGAGGAATTGCACGCTCGCGAGAGTCTTGTTACGCGCGCGTGTTAATTGTCGAGAGCGTAGCGAGTAGAAAGCGCGCATCCGGCGATATACGCGCGCGTATGCGTTTCGTGTCCGCGCGGACCGCTCGCTTCGCGGTCGTGCGCGTGGTCGAAGTAAAAGCGTCGCGAGTCGAAGCGATCGAAGTCGAGAAAGGATCTCGCGCGTGGCACGCGTGTGCGTGCGCCAGCGAAGGCCTTAACCCAAATTTATCTCGCTGCCGACGCGACCGCGGGATGACGAGCGGTGAGAGGGGCTCTCCAGCCGGGACGCTGTCTTCGCGGCTCTTACTTTGCATTTGGATTGACTGCGACGCGGACGCCAAAGAAAATCCTTCCAGTCGTAAAAGACGCCTGTACAGTTAGATCGCCCGACCAATCTGCGCCAGCAGAGAGAGAGAGAGAGTAAAAGTCAAATCTTCCCCTCTCCGAAAAGAAGCCCATTGACTTCGCGGGCGGAATAAAAAAACTTTCTTCTCTCTTGTTCGCTCGGGCATTGTTTCTCGGCGAGATTGCGCCTACACGCACGATCGAAGGGAGAGAAGGATAAGCCGGCGAATCCGTCGCCTCCGCGAAGTCGCGCGCGCGTGCACCCACGCGCCGTTCGTGCCGGTTACGGCAACGAGTGATGATGCAAGGCTGAGTCATCTCGTCGTGGGATGCTGCGGGCAATAAGCCGGCGGTTCCGCCAACTTTCAGAACCCTTTGTGTTTCCGTTGCTCTCGACGCTATACGACTCTGCTCGCGTGCGCGCGACAAATTCTAGAACTCGGGCGCGGCGAGCGATCGCAGCCAGTGACGTCGCGAACAGCTCTACTCCCTATTCGATCGACAACTCGATTCGCGGTGGAACGTCGTTGTTTCGCATTCTCCCGTGGCTGCCCCGGAAACACTGCTCTCCTCGGTCTTTCAGTGACGAGGCGCAGTTCGGCTATCGATGAACTCGCAGGTGATCGCACTCTCGGCAGCTGTGCTGCGCCGACCACTCTTGATATCCACGAGAGAGAACGAGAGCAAGAGCGTGCAGCGGCGGCCTCCCTTTCTATCTTTTCTCGATTCGCAGCGCACACAAAAGCCAAGGCATCGCGCGCCCGAGAAAGCGTGCGTCTCGCCTGCCTCTCTGCGCAACTTAATTGCGGCTCACTTTCGTAGCTTCTCCCGAACGAAAAATTTCAAGATGCCGCTGCTGTTGCAATTCCAATGTAGCCTTCGGTTGTTCAACCGCGTCATTGAATCCGTCGGCCGTTTCTACCGCCGAGTAAACGCGGCTCGCTCGGCGAGAGAGAAATTCCCGCAGCGAGCTATCGGCGTTTTACACGCAGTCACCGCTGATAACAGAAATAGCGCACAAAAGAAATAATAAAATAAGAAAAATAAGAAAAACGACGAAAACAAACGAAAAAAAGCGCAAAAGTCGCTCGTTGCGAGAAAAGGAAGACGAGGTTGCGCGACACGGATCGAAAGCACGCGCGCGAACCGCAGTTATCTAATCGGCGCTGCAACGGCGCACATTTATAGCCTTGTGCTTTCTATCCCGCGCCCGATGCCTGTGCTCTCCGCGGAGCGCTCGCTCGTTCCGATCGACGCTGGCGCGTGGTAGTCGCGTGTTCCCGGAAGAAAGAGGATGAGAAAAAGAAACTAAAAGCCGAGATGTTTCCTCTCTCTCTTTTTCGTCTCGAAGCGACGAGCCGCCGCCGTCGGGGAGATTAATTTTCCGCTGTTGTTCCCCCCTTTCGCTCCTCGCCGGTGAGCGGAAAGTAGGCCGCGGTTCGTCGATACTTCAATACCAAGAAATGAATAAACGACGCCGATAACGTCTGATAATTGCTCCGGTGCAATGGGAATCGTTAGCGCTTGACTGCGCTCGACTGCGCTCGCTGGCGATCCAAGCTAGACGACGTCGCGGGCGTGCTCGGTGTATTCGCCGCAAAAGACGCTGCCGAGGGATCGACGGAAAATCGGCGAGCTCGCTCCAATTAGATTTATTAGCCGTGGAGACTCCATTTTTATCGTCCGCGGAAGCGCGTTGTCGTTGGCACGAATAAAATTACATGTATATGTCGCGCGAAAAATCCCTAAAACTCAGCGACACTGAGCTCACGTACGTACGGATTTGTCGTCGGAGAACGATTAAATAAGAACAAAGAACAGGAGAGGGGGAGAACGGCAAAAAAGAAAAATAATTAACATTGCTTTATGAACGACGTTGTCGTAGATATGAGTTGCCCTTCTCCAAGGCCAATAATTTCGGCAAGCGTATGGGATCGCCGACAAAGAGCTCATCGCCGCGGCAGCGTGGACGTGACGTTTGTACGGGACTCGCGCGAACAATGCTCGCCGCCCTTCACTCGAATAAGGCGGTCGAGCGTTTTGCTCGATTCCCAACTACGAACGATGCACCCGCGGCGGAGAGGAAACGTAGGCTGTCGATGCTCGTTCCAACCGCGCAAAACTATCCGGCGGCTCTCCAACTGCGACGACGCCGCGGCAATAAACTCGTCCTTTTCTCTTTCCTCCGCGTTGAGCAATCGACTTGCGCGGACGCGGAAAAACGGTAGAGTGATTCGCGCGGCGGCGGCTTTCACCGGCGCTGAAATCGCCGGAAGCAGATTGGCATCGCGTCGCGTGTCTCGGCGACGGATTAGCCGCGCTCGCAGCGGTGTGTAAGGGAGCTAGCTGCTCGTGCGCCAACGCCCACGAGATTGCGCGCGACAACGAAGCGCGTTACTCGATCAATTAAGCTGGAAAGGCGCGTCGCAGCTGTCATGGCTTTCCGAGGCGGAAACTCGAGGCTTAGCCCGGCGTTATCTGCCGTCGCTCTGCTCGGCCGAGCCGCGCGAGGAAGTGCGCTGTGCTTTCGTCTCGCTTCGGCGTCTTCGCTTACGCGCAGGATGCTTCGACTCGCGCTCTCGTCGGGTTGGCGCCGCGTCGGCCCTTTTCTTCGAACGTTGGAAAGCGGAGCCTCCCGTGATCGAAACGACGCGCCGGGCGTGCGAGGCGAGCGTCCAGAGACCACCCGCGAGACGGCGAGGCGGCGCAGCTGAAAAGCCGGACGAAGCTGATCACTGACGAGGTGTTCCCTCGGTCTCTCGCGTGGGAAGGGATTTCGTTGGCGTTTTCGCCGGTGGGAAACGACCTTCTTCCGGGAGACGATTCGAGCGTTCGGCGGACAGTGGCTGCGATTGTGTCGGCGCTGACGTCCAAGTGCACGCGCGGCATCGGATTGGAGTGGGCTGCGCCCGTACGCCGCTGTTTATCCCATCCCCGCGGATTTCCTTGCAAGTGCGTTTCGCGAAACTGAAAAATGAAAAATGAAAGTTCGGCGAGAGAACGCGAGTGCCTCGCGAGTGGCATATTCGTCACTGGTGACGTATCGAACGAGCGCGTTCGCTCAATGGCGTGCTTGTTCGTCGAGAGTCGCCAAACAAAAATTCTCTTTCGTTCCGAACGTCCAGCGCACAGCTCCGACTCCGCCCAAAACAGGCAAATGCACATGTACGCAGCATCCGAGTGTCTCGCCTCGTTCGCATTCCCACCGCGAGGTAGAGCTCGCGAGCGAGATGTTTCGATATCGTTCTTTTCTTCCTCTCCTTCTTTTTAACGAAATTACCGCTACTGGTTTTCCATGCTCGCGAGGAGGATACGCGATGCTCGCCGACTCGGTTTTTCCGTCGAACGATCGTCGCGCGCTCTTCTCGACACACGATGGCCGTTTCAAGGCTTTTCGAGCAGAGAGCGCGCTTCGAATTCCTTAAATAGAAGCGCGCGACCGCGACCTTTATCTCCCTGTAATTGAACGTTATATCGACGCGATTGGAATTCCATTCTTCGAACCGATTATGGAAATGCTCGTTCTATCTCGATCTTTTATTTCGGGACGACAGCGCGCGCACAAAAAAAAAAACGATATCCGTTCGCGAAACGAGCATATTTGCAAGCGAAACGACACGCATGGCGCGCCTCGACGTGCGAAAGCGCCGACAGCTGTCACGGCACGCCGAACGCGCGTCGACGCGATCGATCGCGCGCGGGGCAGCAACTTCCGCCCGCGGCCAATCGATAGGCCGCGTGCTTCCGAAAATGAATGAGAAAGCGGCGGCGACGAGAGGGGAGAGGATGTCTCGAACTCGCGCACAGATTTCTCGAGCGTGGCACGCGACCAATTTTCGGAAGGGAGTCCCGCAGCGAGGGTATAGAATCGACAGCGGCAGTCTCCCTCGTTGCGTATCGCCGAGCGAAAAAATAAAACAGAAAGAAAGAAAGACAAAGAAGCAGAATCCCTCGCCTGGCCAGGTGTCGTAAACAAAAGGCACGTTGAACCCAAGGGTCGGTGACACAATCGAGCGCCGACACTGTCCGTAATCGTCGTCGAGGAAGCGCGCATGGCTCGAATCGTTATCACGGGACCGACCGACCGACCTTCGGGGATTCACGACAGCTGCCGAGGACTCGCGCGCGGCCCATTTTATTTATTTACTTTTTAATTGTACAACGCAGCTTCGTTCGCCGAAGAAGTCGACGAACGAAGCTGCCACGACCGAGAGCCAGAAAGAGAAGCCTCGCTCTCTCGCGTGTGGCGCGGACACCGCTTTCCTTGCCTCAGCGGCGATTCGCAGCATCCTCGCTCTTTTCCCCGCGCCAGCGCTTTCGAGGACGCGCGGTCGATAAGCCTTCGCCAGAACCATGCTCCCCGGAGCTGCGGCAGCAGGGTGGAACGATCTCTCCGTCGCAAGGGAGCTCGGATTCCACGGCTCTTGAGTCGCGAGCCCTCGAGATCCCGCGACGGGAATGTCGAAGAAAGAAGCAGAGCGAGAGAGACGATGGCTCCGCTGCCGATGCGTTCGCCGATTTCCATCTGGCTGGCAAGGTCACGCGTGTCGCTTGACTTTTTGCTTTCGCTCCGCATCCACGGATAGCCATTGTTCTCGCTTCGCTTGGCCGTGGCAGTCGTCGGTCGGCACGATGCGCTGCCGATGGCCTTGCTCAGGACGCGGGCCGTGAGAGATTCGCGTGGACGCGCGCCTAGCATCCGGCTATTAATAGCGTTTCGCCGCCGAAGAGCCAGCCCTGCTCCTCCCCCCGGCACACGGCAGCGGAAGCGCGCGGACCCCGGGCGATAGCGCAAGAGAGACGTCTGACGAGCGCTGGTGCTTTTTTCGATTTGCAGAACTCGTTCAAGAATCCCGAGAGCGTGGCTGCGGAAACCTGGGCGAACCACAAGCGCTGCAACAACTCGTTCGTGCACGAGGTGTTCCAGGCGCAGTTCCGCTCGAGCCTGACGTGCCCGCGCTGCCAGCAGCAGTCCAACACGTTCGACCCGTTTCTGTGCGTGTCGGTGCCGGTGCCGCAGGCCCAGCGCCAGATGAGCCTCTACGTGAACGTTCTGTACACGTCGCAGCAGCCGCGCCAGGTGCGCATCGGGGTGAGCGTCAACCAGGCTGCCAACGTGAAAGAGCTGCGGGAGATCCTTGCCAGTGACACCGGCATCGACGACAGCCACATGCTGCTCACCGAGGTGCACGACGAGGGCTTCCACAGGTGAGTCGAGCGCGCTCGCCGCTGCTACCGCGCGTCGCCCGCGGCCCGAGACGCAACACGCCCAACGGGATCCGTTACGCTCGCAGGACCTTCTCGGATTGCCAGCCGTTGTCGGTCATCACGGAGAACGACCCGCTCTACTGCATCGAGCTGCCGCAGCTGAAGGAGCCCACCGAGCAGGCCTACATCCTCCTCGTGTGGATCAACGTGCTGGTGAAGGGCGATCTGCGCCAGAGATTCGGCAGTCCTTACACGATGCAGGTCTCCCGCGAGACCTCGTACCAGGACCTGCAGAAGCTGCTGCTGAAGGAGATGCACGCGAGCCTTGCCGATGAGGTGCTCACGTCCAGCCAAGAGCCCGGCCTGTTCAACATTCGCGTGGCCGATCCGGCCGCGACGCCGGCCCAAGACGAGCATCCCTGCATCGATCCCTGCGTCGAGCACCCGCTCTACGTCGAGCAGATCGAGCAGGCGCTCGCTTTGTGCGCTGACGACTCCGGTCCTCAGCACGTCAAGCTCATACTCGAGTGGGACGAGGCCACCAAGTGCAACATCATTCACGACGACAACGACCAGATCGAGGAGCACGCGAGCGTTAAGCAGCTCAAGAACAATTCCGAGCTTGGTAATTATGCCTCCTCATCTCGGCGAAACTTAGATAATTTTATCGTTTGATTTATTTCTTCGGCCGTTACGTAAGGCCGCGTTATTCAATAACAAAAGCTCCGATGGAAGCTCTCCAAGTGCACAAGTATGATTGCATCGACTGGCATCCTTCTTGCCAAGGTTGAATCTTAAAAAGTGCGATACGAGCGCCGAGTTTCTTCTTTTTTTATATGTACTAAATAAATGTATCGTTAATTTGTTTTGATCGCTCTCTGTACGCCGCCACTCATTTAGATAGTTGGATCGCAGAAATAAATTTGCATTTCATTTGCAACAACGCGTGGCGCGTGCAGCAAAAACCTTTCATCGGTTTAGCTAACAAAACTTCTGGGATGGGCATTGTTGTTGAAGGTACCGCGGTGACGCTGGAGGAATGCTTTGAACTGTACACACGGGCAGAGACACTGGGCGTGGAGGACGCATGGCATTGTCCTCACTGCAACCGCAAGCAGGAAGTAGTGAAAAAGTTGGGTCTCTGGTCATTGCCGTCGATCCTCGTGATCCACCTTAAGCGCTTCAGGCAACAATCCAAGCAAAGATCCACTTCCAAGCTCACAATGCTCGTCAACTTTCCACTCTACGGTTTCGACATGACTCCGCATCTGGCACGCAGTGACGAACAGACAACTCATTCGGCCAACAACATGACCGATAGGCTTACGAAGTGGTCTTGGAATAAGCCGCGTCTCAGGCAAAACAACCCCAAATTCCCCGATGAAAATGTTTACGATTTGTACGCTATTTGCAATCATCATGGGCAGGATTTACAGGTGAGAGGGAGTGGGAGAGGATTTTTGTGAAATTCTTCTATGTGTAAACGTTTAATAAATCAAAAGCTTTGCTGGATCGATGTCTGTTGCTTTCAAACAGTTTTATTTATTCAATGAGTGCAGTATTCGGTGCGATGTGTAGTCTTTTAAGCGGCAGTCAATCCGATCGACAAACACTTACAGTAAACGCTTCAGTCGCATCGGATGTTGCCCGTAAAAATCTCTATCGATTGCATACTCAGACATCATTTATTCCGTTTTAGGGTGGACATTACACGGCCTTCTGTCGTATTCCCTACGACTCTCAATGGTATTGTTTTGACGACACGCGAGTCGAGGTCGTAGATGAGAAGAATTTGGTGACCAACTCAGCATACATCCTCTTCTACCAGAAACGCAGTCCGACAAGTAACTCGTCAATGGGAAACTCGTCTTCTGCCTCCACATCATCAGCCGGCTCGGGTATCGACCATTGGATTACGAAAATGCCGCCAAAGTTTTTTAATAATAAAAATTCTACGACCAACATTGGCGTCATTGGCAACAACATGGAGAACAACAATTCGAGCAAGTCGCAAGAGACTCTGTGCCAGGAAAAGGCGATAGAAGAGAAAAACGTGAATAATTTTAACAGGAGGTGCAGAAACTACTCGACTATGCCGCCCAGCAAACGCTGTGCTGAAAGTGACTTAGATTTCGAGGATTACCTGAAGTTTAACTCGGAATGCGATGCGGAGTATGAAGATGAGGATGATGCATCTGTAAGGATCGAGTGGGTATGCATTATATTTTGTTGTTTTAGCTTCATTGTGATATCGATGTCAAATATTAAGATTAGCTTTAGTAAACTTTCGGAATATTTCGTCATTTTATCACAATAAAGTTTATTCAAATAACAATCATAATCATATTTCGATTGAAATTGAATGAAATATCTGACGTGTGGTGTTTATGTTTTGTCGCAGACGTCCCCGAAACCCATGAGGAAGAACTCTTCGATCTCACTGTCTCAGCAGCAAGCGTCATCGGCGATAGCAGCAGCAACAAAGACGACGGCGACGGTAACGCTATCGCCGACAAAAAATATCGAACAAAATATAGCGATAATTCACGAGTCGACGTTGTAACGTAGGAGCTAAGGCCGCGAGGCTGTAGGTCGCTGGTTGTGCGCCGACTGGAGTGCCTGGATTTTTGGCCTCGTGTGCCTGTGCGCGTCTCGCCGTGAGCCTACTTTCATCTGATTGCGTGCTGTTTTATCCGACGAGTGCTGATTAAACACACTGTACTTGATAATTTTTTATTGTGTTTCAAGAGACGATGTGTGCATTTGTCGTTTATTTACAATGTTTCGTCGATCTTACTGAATTGCACTATTATTGTGTGGAATTCAAATTTATAAATGGTGCCAATGATTTAATAAGAATTTTTGGGATAATATATGACTTATTTTGGAAATTCTCAAATTTCATACATTGACATTTTTATATGCATGTCAGCGAGTTTATGCGCCTGCTTAATTCAGCATTTTGATCGACGAAACGCTGTGGCGATAAAACCTTAAGACTGACACATCGGCGAAAGAAATTTTATTGTAAAGATTATTTTTAAGAGTTTATATTGTATATTATTATTTTTATTGCGAGAATGACAATTTTAATGATGTTTCATATGTGATAGTTTTGAAGTACGTTTAATTGTCATGTTTCAAGTTTTTATGGGTAGAAAAGACACGACTTTTTAAGAAAACAAAAAAAAAACACTTTAGTACGGCTAGAGAAAGTGTATGCGGCTCTCGTAGTTTCAAAACAATTTTGTATACAGACAAAATATAATGTATACAATCGCATTAAGTCAAAATTATGAAAATGAGAATTCAACAAAAAATCTTATGAGTAAAGTGTTACTAATTAGATTCTATTCTCGAATCTCAATTTTGATTTCCACATCATTAGTGAAACGATAGTTAAAAAAGCCTGTCATTGAAAGATAGAATTATATTCGAGGTATTAACAAGCATTGTATTTATAGCTTATTTGTATGATGTATGCGTGAAGTTTACGTATATTAGCGAACATAAGATATAAAAAAACAACAAATATAAAAACATAGGTAAGAAAAAAAATAACGAAAAATGAAAATATATAGTTTTTAAGTTATTTTCTGAAAGTGTGTCATCGAAGAGTTTATACGTGTGGAAAAAAATCCTCGTAAACCTTCTCGTTAATAATTTGTCATTTATAAGCGTATACATAAAGTGTACGTTTAAAAAAAATGCGTTCGATACAGTCGTTGATAGACGAAATTGAAAGTGGGAACCTCGTGTATTTTTGTTCTATCTCCTATTTTATCGAAAAGAATAAGCAGTGAATTTATGAAAAAAATAATGAATATAGCAAGACAATAAGTGAATTTTGTACTGTACAGTTTTGAATGTTGATCGTGCGTGGAATTTTTTAAAGTAAGACAAATTTTAATGACGATAATTCTTTGCCAGAGGTTCCCATGTAAAATCAGTCCGCCGACGATTGCCGAGCCTTCGCTTAGAGGTAATATTTATATTGTATTTGTATCACCCACTAGTGGCCTTATCTCTCTATGAATGATATTGATGCATTAAGTAATTAACACTCCTGTAATAAGCCTCATTACTTATTAATTATTTTAGCCAGCAATTTTGTCATTGCAATTGAGCGTTTGCCTACCACCGTTGTAAAAAACCATCAGATTGAGATTGTATTTCGTACGGACTTTTTGAAGATTTTTCCACACTTTTGCGTAACAAGATGAAAAAAGAACACTAACTAAAACATAAGTAAATACCAAAATGTAATTCTACGTATGACGAACTAACAGAGAGTTTTTAACCTGCTGTATAGCTTTTATCCTCGTGATAGATTTCGTCGCCAAGTTACTTCTCAGTCGTCAAGTTTTTAAATTACCACTCCAGATCAAAGCGAATATTTTTTCTTTTCATTTCTGGCAAATAGAGCGAGTAAAACTTAAATTGACTGAGATTAAAAAAGGTGCGTGGATAAAGGTAAAAAAGGCAAAGGCTGAACTCTAATTAATTTGCAAGCTAAAGTCGTGTGACAAAAGAAAATGTGTGTAAATGTTCACAGAACGAGTAAGATTTATATATTATTTTGGATAAAAATAATTTGTATAGCTAGTCACACGGATGGTGAAGACAGTAGGTAGTGAGTAACGCACACGCGAAATTACGAATATAGCGATAAACGGAAGGATCACGTGTGCAATGAATGAGCTGACAAAGAACGATAAAGCCAGGCCAGAAAAATGACAAGATTCGACACATTCGTCTGCAGTAGTTGTTAATTTAAATATTGTAATTTACGTTGATCGACTGAGAGGGGTGAACATTGATTTATTATAATTACTATTGTCAATATTCTTATAAATGCTGATTTTTGTTGCAATAAAACACTATCATGTAACATTGTCATACATCTGCATCCGCTAAATTCAACTTTTCCCAAACAAGATAATTTTTTCAGCATTGATTTATACTCATCCAATATCCGAACTGCGTCATTCGCTCGATTAGAACAAACTTTCTTTTTCTTTTATCTCGGATCATCAGCTGTTTATGGAAAAGCGGCAAGGTCGTTGTGTGCGTTGTGAAATAATGCCGCCATTTTTGCTTCGTCTTGAAATATCTCGCTCGAGATTTATTTAATTACAAAACTCATAAGAACATTCATCGGTTTACTATTTTTTTCACATAAAAACATTTTATTGTGCAACTATTTTTCTAGTGAAATTCAAGAAGGTCGGTTTACTCACCAGTACTTTAAATAGAATTGGTCTATCGACGTATATATTGTTATTTTGCTTGTATTGTTTATTTACATAATACTTGAAATATCGATTTTTAAATTAGCAAATCAATCAATTGTTCTTTTAGTTGTATTTTTTAAGTCTAAGTGAAAAAGAAATACGAAAACAATAGAGCGTTTTGCAAAGTTTAAGATAATATTTATAGCTGACTAGTAATTATGGGCGATTAATATGAGTATAGCTTTTCTGCACTGTCATCTCGCAATTTTAATCAGTAGGCAGGTTAAGAATATCAGTTGAGTTATGATTCTGATTTCAAACATAAATTTAGAGCCAAAGTATGAGAAGAGAATTACATCTCAATGATGCTTGAAATTTATTTAAATAGCTTTAAAAGTAGTATAAACTTTTATGAAAGAGCGAGATAATTTGTCACCATGCTAAGGAATTACAACAACGCCGCCTAAAGTCTAGTGCAGGAATTTGAATGATCCCGCGCATGCAGCTGCATAGCAGCGATCCGGCAACGGGCAACGTGACCGTAGAGTGATAGAGGGCCGGCCGGCCTCCCCACTCTATTTCCACACGCACATCGGGACTCGACCGCTCCTAGCTTGAGCGCGAGTTCACTCCAGCCAACAGCAGCCAGTCGAGCTCGGCTCTCGCTCGAGCATTCAATCTTTCGTTTTTAGACGTGCACACATCTGTTACCGAGACGCGCCGCGTGCATATCTTGCCTCGAGTGTTAGTTTTTTTTATTTTCATCCAAAAGTAAGAGGTCGAAGAAAGAAGGCAAGAAAGGCAACGAAAACGAGTGTCAGTGGGGACAGTGTGCAGATCCTGACATCTCCAATCTTTTCCCGCAGTCGGCTTGCTCGAGGTATGAGATCTCAGATTCTAGTGCGGAACGACGGTAGCCGATTGCGTACAAAGCGTCCGGCGCGGAGAGACAAAGAATCTGTATTTGATTTCGCGGTTAACGACAACGCGGTAAGGATATCTGTCTCTCATTGTCTCTTCCGTGCGCGCGGCATAACAACATCGATCCCTCAAGCACTTCGCTCAAGGGGGTTGACTGACTGGCTCCGCCCCGATTCCGGCCTACACCACCCCCGCGTCTTTCTCTCTCTGCCACTTGAGGGAAAAGAAAAAGAAAAATGGATAACCACGGGAATTTTAACGTCCAGGCTCGTCGCATCTCGCGAAAATACCTCGACGGAACATAACGCAGACAGAGAGAGAGAGAGAGAGAAAGGACGATGAACTCGCGGATTCGGGGTGTACAGCCGCTGAGCGCGCGCGCGAGTCAGAGAGAGATGTTATGGCGCGCGTCGGATCGATACCACACGGCGGAATTGCAACGACGCCGGCCAGCAGCAGCGGGGCTCCCGTGTGTTTATACGGCGACGATGCGCGCGCACAGGGTGTGTGTGTGCCGACGACGGCTTATGCGGGTGCCTTTTCTCGTTTTTTTCTCTCTTTCTCGCTCTTTCCTACTTCTCCTTTTGAAGTGTGTATAAAAGCCATAGGGGACGTTAGTGTGTGTGTGTGTGTGTGTGGATAGATGTGTATAGGTAGCTAGGGCTGTGAGAGCAAGCATAAGAGTAATCTTTCGTGTCACTGTTTTTTCGGGAGAACTTGAGCAACAACAGCTCGCGTGCTTCTATTGTCATTGTCTCGCGAGAATCCCGATGTATAAAGCGCTGCCGATAGCATGCACATCGCTCGCTATCGGCGAAATCTGTTGCTGCGAATAAGGTCACCGTCGAAACTAGTTATTCGATCTAGCTGCATAAGTACGCGTCGTCTAATTGCCTTTTCGACAAGCTAGCATTGCGGGACGTCATTCACGAAGGAGTCCGCTGGAAAAATGCGTGACTATCGGCGAGTGCCAAGGTCGACCTAGGGCTTAAACAAACAAGTAGAACAAGCTAAAAGACGAACGGAGATTGTCCGCGCGCACAATGCTTCCGACAGATCGTACGAGCGAAGCGCAGCGATGCAGGCGCCACTGGTCGGATGACTAATCGTTCGTGAGAGGAGGTGCCTAATGTCCCGAAAAATGCCAGTCGGACTTACGGTACCTATGCGCGCCGCCTAACGAGAGAAAGGAAGTGTGGGTGAGCAGCGCTCGCGTGTCCGATGCGCCTTCTCTCCTCTCGCTCTCTCTCTCTCTCTCCGTGGCTCGGGAAACCGGTTTTCTCTCTCGGCGCGTTCGTAACACTGCCGTGCAACGTGCCTCGCAGTGCTGCGTTCTTCTCTCGAATCTCCGTTGTGCCGAGCTCGCTTTTAATGAGTCGATTTTTGCGCGACGATTAGTCGTGGTTGCCGTAGCTTTGTGGCTGCGCTCGAGCGCCGCGAGATCGCCTGCGCGATTGCCCGCGCGCGCCTTTCACGAGTGACCTTAAACGAGAGAAAGAGAGAGAGAGAGAGGGAGAGAGGATAGAAATCTGTATTTGTTGTCGAGCTGTTGATCAACAGGAGATTTAGCAACCCTTCGCAGATTTACCGCCTCGAGTGCGCGTCGATTCCAGGAATCGAGCGATTGTCGTCGGGTCGACGTGTAACGAGAACGAAAGTCGCGTGCGAGCTCGGCGCTGTTGCAGCGTGGCTCGGGAGAGGATGCCCGACACGAAACGCCGAGGCGGAAGACAATCGCGCGTACGCACGCAACGCGAGCCGCCGCCGTCGACGACGACGAGATGCAGGCCAGCCACATGGGCGCGATCGGCTCGACGTGCAAAATATCCCCCCCCCCCCCCCACTCGCACTCTCTCCTCGAGTTGCCTAACTGCGGGACAATTACACGTCCGTCCGTCCGCCTTTCCCCTCACCTCCCCCGGCGCGAATTTGTCGTTTATCGCCCGGCCGACGTGAGTCACGGTGATCGATTCCGCGCGGACTCGTCCTCTTCGTGTCTGCGTACGCCGCTGCTGCTTCGCTCGACGACTCGTCAAAACGCTCCCGCCCCTCCGTAAACGCGGCGCTTTTCTCGCCCGAGTCCCGAACGAAGCCATCGGTGCTGCTGCCGCTCGTGCATTTACATTCCATCGCTCATAGGACGCTCGCTCCGATAGCGAGCGAGCGAGCGTAGTCCAATGCGCGGTCGGACGGGGAGAAGGGGTGGAGCGAGTCGCTCGCCCGAGAGTTGTCAATTCAATTAGGCGGCAACAGTCGATCAAGAGAGCAGGAGACGTAAGTACCTCTTCGGCGATCAATCAGTCGCGCGCGCAGCGCGTGTGCGCGATCGCTCTTTACGAGCCAAAGAAGCGGACAAGAGAGAGAGAGAGAGAGAGAGAGAGAGTGAGAGGAAAAAACTGGACACCAGGTGTCGAGCTGTAGAAGCCGGATTCCCTCTCGCTCGCTCTCCTGGGTTTATCGCACGCACGGTCGACACGCATTACTTTTAATCTATTTATTTATTTATTTTCCGCGCGGCTCTTGCGCTTGATTCGTCGCGCGATCCTCTCCGTTCCGACGCACGGTCGCTTGTGGTTCCCGCGCCTCGAAGCCACCGCGCGCGTAGGAATCGGCAGTCGATCCGAAACAGCGCAGTCCCGCGCGTAAAATCGCGCGCCGGCGCTGCCGCCGCCGCAGACCAACCGCGTATTGATCCTCAGCGAGCGGGCCGGAGACGCTGCTCTCTCTCTCTCTCTCTCTCTCTTTCCACGCGACGCCTGGATTTTCCGGCAGAGAGAGGGGGGAGGGAGAGGCAAGCGCTAAATTGGAAACGTGCCTTCCGCTGCCGAAGCGCGTTCTGCCTCTCCGCACCGAACTTCGACTGCAGCCGTGTCGGGATTAAGACACGTATGTGGGTTAACCAGCCGACGAAAAAAAAAAAAGAAAACACGCGCGCGCCGCAATTGTCGCAGTGTGTCGCGACGAGTGTTCTTCTTGCTTGCTATTTTTTTTTTTTTTTTTTTTTTTTTTTCGTCGTTTCGCGCGTCGGTCGAGTTTTATTACGGTCGTGCGCGCGAAAACGGCGTAACGACGAGTGAAGAGACGAGATTGGCAGAGGGTGGGGGATCGTAGTATTTCGAGATACCAATCGCGTCCGTTCGTCTGCAATCATTCAATCCCGCGCGGGCATATACGTATCCGGATAATCTCGATGAGCGCGCAGCCGTTGGAAAAAGGAAAGGATAGGTACAAGATTATTTACAAGTGATCCGTACTGGCGAGCAAGCTCGCCGGAATCAAATCGGTTCGCCCGCGGCGTATCGATCGGAAATAGCAAGCGACGCGTGGCTCCGACGGTTCAGCTGGCGAAAAAAGCCGAGAAACGGAATTTCGGCGTCGTCGGGGTTTTGGGGGATCGCACGGCGTTCCCGCCCGTGCTCGCAGACTCGAAGGGATCTCGGGCGTTCGCTCGTTCGTTTATCGCCGCGCTCGCGTGGTCGCGCGTGCCGATCGAGGCTTGCTCCACGGCCGAGCGGAGATCCGAAGAACGACGGACGGCGGTGAGAAGAGTCGACGCGCGCGCGCCCGACGGAAAGGAAACGACGCTGCCCTCTCGGAACAATCGCGCGAGAATACACGGCGCTCGCCCCTCGCCCCGGACTCGTTCTAAATTTAGAGTTCCGCGAGAGCGCGCCTCGCTCGTTTATTTATCCTTTTGCGTTTAGCCTATTTCCTGCCCGGCTTTCGGCGGCCGTGGCCGAGGCGCGGAAATTGCTCGATCGCGAGCTCGTAAATGTCGAGAGGACCGACTCCTCCGCGCGCTTCGTTCGACCGAGGGCCGCGCGCTTTCAAGCCTCGTCGATGTCTACGATTGCCCTTTTTCCGGCAGCCGGTTGTCGCGTCGGATTGTCATTTCACGCCAAGTCACCGAAGCCGCGACACATCAGCTCGCGTTCGCGAGAGGTGCGCGAGGATCTCCCTTCGATCCACGCGCGAGCGAGAAATCTCGAGAGTTGGCGCGCGAGACTGCGCTCGCGCGATAAATCTCAATCAGGGAGCGCAGCAGCGCCGGTAAAAGGCCTACCGCGGGCCCTTGCAACGGCAGAGGAGAAGCCGTGGGCCAGAGTGCGCGACCGTAGGAAGGGGCGAGGAGAGGGGAGCAGAAAGAGCCGTTCTCTGGCCGTGGCATCTGGTGGCCACGTTTATTTATGCGACGTCGCGCAGTCCCGCGGCGTGGAGAAAGACGCTCGGGTGCGCGCTTATATTTACCAGAAAAGCGGGCCTGCGCCGCAGCTGCCGCTCTCGCTGATTTCGGCCGAACGCGAACGGCTGCGCGAATCGCGCGCTCGGCGACTGCACGCGACGAGGGCGCTGCGGAATTCGGGAACGCCTCGACGATCGCGAACGGCTTCGCTTCCGCAAGCGCGGCGTGTCTCCTTCCGTGCTGCCACGCTTCGGGCTTCGAGCTTGCGGCAGCCCGGCGAAGATAGAGTTGGAACCTGCCCCGCGAAATTTCGTTTACTCGAAGACGTGCGTGGCACATGGTCACTATGCAAAGAGAGAGAGAGAGAGAGAGAGAGGGAGAGAGGTTCGTGGAATGCCAGCACCTCTGACAACACGCGTAGAAAGGACGTTTTCGCGATCGACTGTAGCCGAAGTGAACACTGTGCTCGACGCGCGTCTACTTTTGAATTAGTTTCTCGCTCGGTAATTAAGCGTTCGCGGACCGAAAGAGAGAGTTTGATTGCGAACAAACAGCAGTTGTTTGTTTTGCGCCGCCTAATCGCTCTCCCGTAGGAGGGCCCGTTTTTAAGCTCCAAGTTGTCGGCGCCGTTGCAAGTTGTCCGGCTCATTGCAATTTCATCGCGTAGGAAATGAAGCCTCACGGGTGGCTCTAGCGTTACCTGGCGGAGCATCAACTCGCGCCTCCTGCACGCGTCTTATCCGAATGTACGATTCGTTTTTCAGAACGCGAAGCATTTGTTAGTTCCAAGGAGTAGCCCGCGATCCGAGAAACGCTCAACGGTCAGCGTCATCTCTCGACAACGGGTACGGAAACAAAGAAAAAGCATCGCAACGCACGCACTCGTCGCAAGGGTCCGGGGGGACAAGGGGATAGGTGGGCAACGAAGGCAAAAGGAGAAAAGTGCCGTGGTCGTGACAAAGAAAGGCGCGCCAGTCCCTTAGCCTACATTGTGGTCACAGGCCACGCCTCGGGACGTTCTCAGCGATCGATTATGCCCGCCGCGCGTGCCTGCCGACCAGCGAACGACTCCCTCGGCCTCCGTCGCCGCCGGCCGGCATTTTTACGCCACTCCGAGCTCTGTCTCCTCGCGACCCCCCGGCCGAATGATCGGCAACGCTCTCGCCGTCGTGAGCTCCTCGCGTCGCGCATTGCGAATCTTCGCGCGTCGAGGTGCACGGTGATCCGTCACCTTGCCACGGTCGCTGTGTGATCGTCGAGTAGAGGAGCAGTCGGCTAGGAGGCGGTTCAGCCGCGGACGCGATGCTCGGGCATCGAAAGATTAGCGCGACTCGACTGCTATGATTATGGCTTGCCCCATAATCTCCCAACCACGCCGCCTCGCTGACTTATCTTGGTTTCTTTTGTTAAGCGCTGCTTTATCGCGGCCGCCGTGGGATTTTAGGGGACCTTGGTCGCATGCGCGTCGAATCGCAGCGCCATTACCGAGCGGTTACGGGCCAAGGGGCCGCTTACTTCTCTCGCTCGCGGCTTCAACGAATTGTCGCTTCGACGAGTCGCATTAGCAGTCAGTTTCCGAAGCTGCTGCAACGACGCGAAAAGGCGACTCGCTTGTCAAGACCAAACGTGCCTCCCTCTCTCTCTCTCTTCTCTCGCTCACGAGAATGGAATAGAGTTGAAGCGAAACAAACGTATACGCGAGTCGAACGCGCGACAACACCGATATGATTTACGATCGAAAGATAGCCAGGCTGCCTGCCGGCTGGTGATACGGTCTCTCCGATGCAATCGAGTCTTCGGAAAACGCTATCCTTTACTCGCCTATGGCGCATCGATAACTCTTAGCCCCCCCCCCCCCTCACGCACCCCTTCTCGCGGAGTGAAAACAAAAGCGACTCAGCGAGTCAAGGGAATAACTCGTGCGCGCTCGAAAAGAAGCGAGATGACAATCCGTAAGACCGCACCGATTATCGGTTTTCGATCGACGCGAAAGACCGGTCAGTGAGTGCATATACCATAAGGAAAGAGAGGGAGAGAGAGACTGCATGATAATGCGACTGATTGTACGAGCGGAGAGAGCCATTAGCGCGACCCACATTCGGCGTCACTCCGTCCGCTGCCAGTGCCACCTGATGTCATAATTCGACGCCGAGCCGAACCGAATAGCGAATCGACTAGTGCCGCCGCGCTCGATTAAGGCGACGTCAGACCGATAACCGAGCTCTCTCGTTGCTTCGTTCAGCTCGGCGATCGATCCTCGGCGCTCGTCCCTTTTTATCGTTTTCCTCTGTCCGTCTGTCTGTCTCGCTCTCCCTCTCTCGCTCTCTCTCTCCTCCTCCTCCCTCTCTCTCTCTCGCTCTCTCTCTCTCTCTCTCCTCTCTCTCTCTCTTTCTCTCTCTCTCTCTCTCTCTCTCTCTCTCTCTTCTGTTGTCTCACGCGCACGCTCTCGATTCCGACGGCGGCTGCAGCCGCGCGCGTGACGCGAAAGCCCGAGTATGCCGGCGCTCACGCATGCGAATCGCGTCCTCCCAGTGCGCCGGCGATTCGGGACAAACGTCGGTCGGCGGCGGAAGCGAGGCCACTCCACCCCGTTCGACGCTGCTCTCGAGCGAGCTGACGATGCAGCTTCGTCGACGTAGCCCCGGCGCACGCCGGCCGAACCGCTTTCGCGAGCCGAGGGCCGTGCCCCCTCGCAGCCGCGTGCGGCCGAAGCAGCGCGGCGCGGCCGAGTGTTCCGCGAAGGCGCGCTCGGCCCGCGGCGCTGCTATATCGCGTTGCGGGCCCAGATAAATTGGCGTACTGTTACGCGGTGCCTCGGGAACACCAGGCGATTAAGCAACTACTTCGTGAAAGACCGCCGCGCGCGCACTCCCTCTCTCTCTCTCTCTCTCTCTCACTCTCTCGCTAATCAGACCGTTCGACTGGCTTGCACACGCGACTCTCGTTTTCTCTCGTCAAAACAAACCCATCTGCTCTCGCGCGTAAGCTCATCCGATTTCCGCTTCAGAGTGCCCGCGATGATGCACGCAGTTGGCGATTGAAATTGAGAGTCCGGAATACAGGCGAATCCGCCGATCGGTTTCGTTCTCGGGTTTCGTCAAAGCGATCGCGTCGGCCAGAGGCAAAAAAAAATTGCGAGAGCGCAAAATGAACAAAGCGGGGCGCTAAGCAAGCGCTCGCTTGCTCTGCAGCGTCCCGCGGCATAATCCGCCGGCGAGAGAGAGAGAGAGAGAGAGAGAGAGAGAGAGAGAGAGACGAGACCACCGCGCTTTTGTCATGCAAAGCTCGGCCCCGGGCCCGGACGCGACGGCGGCGCGCGTCTTCTTTGTCGCTGCCGGCCTCGGGCCTGCAGGCGCCCGACGCGCGTGCTTCGGAGGCCGCGGAGTCCAATCGACGGGGCGTTGCGCGCAGTCAGTTGCGGCTGCGACCAGCACCCGTCCGCCGGGGACGACCCTCGCCGAGCCCCGACTCGGCGGAGAACGGCAGAGGCACAATGAACTTTGGTTCCGTTGCAGGAGCCGTAGCATGTCTTGACAAAGACAAGCGTGGCTAGTCGGCAGGAGAGCGGCGCTGGAAACGGCAACGAGGAGGAGTGGCGAGGGTTGCAAGGCTGGAGGGGCAGGCCGGAGGACTCGTCGAATCACCCGTGGCCGCAGAGTCGCCGAGCGCGACTAGGGGATGGCCAAGATGGCGATCGGCCAGCAGTTCGCCGGCAACTACACGCTGCCACCGCTCGCCAGGATCTTCCATGAGTTCCCTCACCTCAACGGCACCCTGCACTTCGTCAACAACACCTTCGATCCCCACTCCGAGATCTACCTCGAGGTCGGTATCCCGAGAGCGCTAATCTCTGCATCTCCCCTCGGCTCGCTTCCTCTCTCCCCTGCCAGCGATCTCCCTGCCGCCGCCTCCTCGACGACCTCCCGACTGTTCTGCCACGAGCACGTGCGCGCGCGCCTTTCGAGATCGGAGCACGACGATGCGCTCGTCCGCGCTTCTCGCTCCGCTCTATTTCCCATTCCATTTCGTCGAGTTGCCTCGTTCCTGATCGGGTCGCGACTAACGGGGACGTCGGCCTTTCACCAAGGTTCAAGTGCGCACGGCGAACCACTTCCGACGCTAGGGCGCGAGAGAAGGATCGAGCGAGAAGCCGGCGAAAATCTCTCTCTCGCTCCCTGGCCGCGTCCGCTTGGATTTTCCGCGAAGCTGCTTATCGGACGGCGCGCGGAGGCGCCTTTGAAAATAATTGGAGCTCGAGAGAACGTGCGCATCGATCTCGGAATTAGAAGCGAGAGAGGCCGCGTTTCTGTTCCAGCGTCGACTCTCCGCCCCGACCGAGCACGAGCACGTTCGCTTGGCGTTTGTCTTGTCCGCCCGAGCGAGAAAACCCATTGTCGAGCGGAAAATTGACCCCCCCGCGACCGGTCGACATCGAAACGGTCCGGCTGAAGAAGGCAACTCCGAGATAAGGACGTCTCGGCCGGGCGCGCGAGACGCGAGCGGACGGAGCCGCGAGGAGGGCGGCTTGTTTGTCGCTCGACCAACGCGTTCCCTTATCGCGCGCCGCAGCAGGTGCCTCGGTGAACTTGACCCGTGGGACTTTTGTCTGTTGCGCGCAGAGCCTGGTGATCCTGGGCAGCGTGCCGGCGGCATTGCTGATCCTCACGCTGCTGATCCTGCTGGTGTACTTGATAACGCGCTGCTGCGACCGCAAGCCGCGCCATCGACGCAGCATCGCCGTGCTCAAGTGCTTCTTGGCCATCTTCTCGCTGGTCTGCAGCGCCGCGGTCGCCGTCGGCCTCTGGGGCAACGACGACGTGCACAACGCCTACGACGACTTCATCAAGGCTGTGCAGCCTCTCAACAAGGACATCGAGCAGTTCAAGAACCAGGTCGGCATGTCCGCGCCGCGATCGCATTCCCGTTGGCGAATTCCGCGCGCGGAGCATCGAGCGCCGCCCGGGCAGCTGCACTCGGCGCGGAAGTCTCGCTCGAACGGATTCCCGGTCCTTTGGCGTCGGCAGACGACATCTCTCGCCCTCGCCGGCAGCCACTGGAAATCGGACATTCGATCGAGCCGCGAAAAATAATGAAACAAGAGTCGCTTGCGACTGGGGAAAATAGGGGTCTCTGATTCGCTCGCTGATTAAAATGACAACGGGGATAAAAGGTCAATGGAATCGTAATTAAAACCACTTCCATTTACGCTTGTGGAAGTATTCCACCGCGTCGGCAGCTGATTGAAATCGATTGGGGCTCGGATTTCTTTCTTTTCATTTCGTAATGAGGCGACTCTCCACGCCAGTTTTCCGTGGACGCAAGTCGCTAACGGCCCGGCCCCGTGTTCGCAGTCGTTCCTGCTGCAGGACCTGCTGAAGAGCAAGCTGCAGCCGGATCTGGACTCGCTGCGCGACCAGTTCGACGCACCGGCGAGTAACAAGACGGCGGTGGAGGAACTGCTGAGGTCGCTGGCGAGGATGCAGGCGAACGCGACGACGGCGCTGAACAAGAGCCTGGAGATAAGGAAGCCGCTGGCCGGCGTCAGCCTGGGCCCGGCGATCGAGCTGGCCAAGCTCGTGGAGACCTTCCGCTGGCCCGTCACCATGGCCCTGCTCTCGGCTCTGCTCATACTCTGCGTGGTCCTGCTGGTCGGCGTCGCGCGACACTCCCGATGCGCCCTCATCACCTTCTCCGTGTTCGGCCTATTCGCCGTGATCGTCTCCTGGCTCACGGCCTCCGTGTACCTGGCCTCGAGCGTGGCGCTCGGCGACCTCTGCGTCTCGCCCGACGGCTACCTGGGCCGCTCGGCGCCCTCGCCCTTCGCCACCGACGTGTTCACCTACTACGCGCACTGCGACAGCACGCGCAAGAACCCCTTCACCTACATGCTCGGCGACATGAAGAAGGCCACCGACGAGATGAGGCGCACGCTCGACCTCGTCAAGCAGATCGCCCTCGCCATCTTCGACGACGCCAATCTGCAGACCCGGCTCACGGGCGTGCTCAACGACGTCAACGCCATCGACTCCAAAATCGCCAGCCTCACCTCCGTGCTCGACTGCAAGAGCATACACCAGTACTACGTGAAGGTCGCCAACGCGCTCTGCCACACCGGACTGTGAGTTGGCCGCTCCTTTCTCGCCGCCCTTTTTGCCCCGACGACTCCTCGTCTCGACTGCGTCTTCTCGTGATTGCAGATTCGGACTGACCCTGATGCTGCTGTCGAGCGTCGCAGCAGGCTTCCTCTTCACGATCCTCGTCTGGATGGACTCGCACACCTGGATCTACATCAGAAAGCGGTAAGGCTCCCGAGTAAGTAAGTGAGACACTTCACACCCGAACATTGTCTTGTTTTTGCGCGCAGGAACGACTACCATCAGGTGAACGAGCACGACCCGTACCTGCCGGCGCCGCAGGCCTCGCAGGCAATCGCAGCGCGGACACTCCGAGGCCAAGGGTCGTACCCGCCTACAGCCCCCCCTCTTAATACCAATGCTCATGGCAACCATACTATTAAGCAGCCTCTATTGCTAACGCCGCCCCCGCCGTCTTATGCTACTGCGACCGCTCGCGCACGTCAGATGCACGACAGCATGTCAAAGTTTGTGCATGATCAGTTTTTTATTTACGCGCCAAGTCCTGCCGCCAACGCTCCCGTCCCCTCGCTCCCGCTCCTCCACCGATTTCCGAGCTTTTTTTATTCAGCCCCCAGCAGTTTACCAACGTTACCGTGTACTGCTCCGGGCTGATTATAGTCTCGTCCTCGCTGAGATATCGTTTAGATCCTCTTCGAGCGCGATGCCGATTCCGAGCGAGCCACCAAACACGCATACGCGCGGCTTTCTTCGGCTCGGCAACGCGCACGTTTCTCTGACGAAAAGACTTAAGACGTTTAGTTACAGCTGCCAGCTTCGGCTTACTTACTCCCTATATTATTACTCATGCTTAGATATATGGTAGTGCTGAGACTCGAATAGCAATAGTCAGTGCTTATTAGACAGCCAATTGCCGAATAACGCGAAAGTCACAACGCAGAACTAAGTTTCGCAAAGTGCGCGTTCCAACTTAAGTCTCTTCGTTGTCGATCAGTTCGAACAGAAGAGCGACGAGCTGCTTCCGCTGAGTCTTCTGAGCTTGCTTACGAAAGCAACACTGCGAAGATGCTTTGGAAGTAGCTCGTCGGATCTTCATCGTTTTAATCAATTTTAACTATAATTTGACTTCAGTCTCTTCAAATAATTCAATTTCTTGCTAATTTTAGTATTTAGAAGCTCGACTGGAATTTCTTTCTTTACTTAAGACTTTCTATTTAAAAAAAGGACTTTTAATAATATTTCTTAACAAGTAGTATTATAAAAAACAGCTGTGAGTAAAAACACGTACTAACTTCCCGTACGATAATTTTATTTTACAGTTCAAGATTTTTCAAGTAACATTTATGAATTTCTTACTTTACATTCTTTCACGATCAGAGTGAATGTTTTATTATATCTGATTACATGTTATGTGATATTTGACTTATTTTACCAAGTTTATAACTAGTATTATTATCGCAATATGTGTCATGATTATCGTTATCGTTCGCTTTACTTATTACATTACGTAAGAATCTTTCATTATTACACGAATAATTTTACTTTGATACATAGAAAAGCTTTTCTTAGAGGTGTCGAACTTTACGTTGCTCTAGATGACACTTTTAATTTCAAAGCACACAGTTATTACGCTCTTCTTCAATTCAGTAGTCGTTCGTTGGTTTCTCAATATTTTATGAAAATCGTATCGATGAATGTGCAAATCATCATGTCACATAAATATATATAGACAAGTTTACTATGCTCGTTGTTTTTTCAATACATTTTATCATCATCATCATCATCATCATCATCATCACTTTACTTGGAATCAAGGTCTGTAGGATCTAAGTCGTTGTTACATTGATATGATGTTTAGTGAAGTGTTTTGTTTTTGTTTTATACGCAAATATGCTACTTTTTTACACTAACATGAAGCAAAAGTGACAGACAAACGATTAGCGGAAGTGTGGTTTTAGTGAATCAAAGTCAATAACCTAAGAAATAAGTCACGAAAACCTCACGTCCATAGACTTAATAATTAAGATTGACTCTAGATATTCTCTATGCGCTATAAAAGTGCGAGTAACAAGGCTCATTGTTAATGATGAATCTCGTACCCTTACGTTCCACAGAGGTGGGGGCCTTAACGGCAGCGGAATCGGGGATCACAAACCGAGTCAGCATAATCAGTCAAGCGGACGGTCTGACCATCGTGCCGGGCTCGGGGATCAGCCTGGCCAGTACGCGACTCTGAGCAAGCAGTGCAAGACCCTCGAATCCAATGACTTTTACTGAGGTCACGCCCCCTCGGGACCGGGTAAGTCTATCTCTTTTTCACGTTGCCAGCCAACGAAGCAAAATCCTCACGACAAGTATGCATTACAGGAAGAGATCCACCATGGACGCCAAGTGTAGCCTCGTTCACAGGTGGCACGCTATCGCACAACTCACACGGCAACCTGGGCGGACCGCAGCACTTGGCCACGTTCCAGGATTCCCGTAAAACCCAAACCCTCGACCCAAAGAATTTGGCCAACCTGAAGCGCGGCGGTCCCGGCTGGAGTCAGTCCGGCCGACCGTTACCCGTACCCAATCCCACACCGGCGGCAAACAGTTGGGACATTGAGTCGCGCTCACAGACCAACATGAATCAGTTCCGCTCGCTCGTGCGCAGCAAGCCCGCCGGCCAAGTGCGCATCCAAGATCAACACCAGGACCACCATCAGCAATCGATGCAGGAGCAGGTGCGCACGCTTGATCGCAACTTCTCGCGGACGCACAGCAACGGCTACGACGCCCACACAGTCGGTAACAACACCACTGCCAGCACCGTGCCCAACATGTACGGTACGTTTGCCCGGCGACACGACAAGCATCAACACCAGTATCAACCGCCGGTGACGACGCTGAGCCAAGTTCAGGGCAGCGACCCCAATCTATACGCCGTTACCGAGCTCTAAGCGTTCACTCGATCGTCTCTCATCTTTCACTTTTGTCGATTTCATATTGCATGGATTACAAAAACAAGCTTTGCGTTTATTTTCCAAATGAGATCTGATTGTTTGTACAATATCGTTCCCAAGCTGTAGCAGACTCGTCCGATTGCACAGCGATAAAAAGTATATAGTCGCACTTGGTGCGCATGTATTTCTCGAAGAGAATGAGAGAGACGCGGGTCTGTTACTGCACTAGAGCGTCGTTCAACACTCGACATCGTGACGACGACGACGCTGGTGGTGGTATAAAGGTTATAGGTCGAGGAGACTATTTTTTCCTTTTAGTTAAAACGCGATAAGTACGCATCTCAAGCGAGAAACCAAAGAAGAGGGGGCGTTTGAAAAAGAAAACCTCGGAGAGAACGAAGAAGCCTAAAAAGATGTTCATCGAAAAAGGGAAGAGGAATGAACGAATTCCTTTTCGCTAGGCGTATTTCTTAACCTATATTGATTGCATTTGTATGTCATGTACAGATGGCCATGATAGAAACATTTTATTGTTTATCCGAATTCGTTTTGTCCTTAATAATGTCCCAAGCGCGATTGCATTTATTATTATTATTATTATATACTATATATAGTTTAGCCAGAGAATTGTGGAAAAAACTTCGATACAAAAACGTGCGCGTTATGTTTTATTGACTATTTTATGAATTTAATTTATATTGCGGTCGAGTATACGTATAATAATTTGAAGACGTAAAATAATTATGCGTTTAAAGAGCGTCAAATTCTACGTATCGAAGTGCGTATTTTACTTTCCGTTTCCTAGAAAAACTTAGTGTGTTAATGAGTTTTTTACGTTCTATTTCGCATACAAGTATATATTTTAATATGTACTTTAGTATGTTTTTTTTGTAAAAATATTCTTTTCTACTATAAATTATATGTTATACAATATGAATTGAGCTGCCTAGCGCGAGGTGGAAAAAGTGCGCCGTAGCATACATACTGATATTTGTTTTTAGAGTGACAACAAAAAAGTAATAATAAAAAGAACTCGATAATGATGATGATAATAGAATAAATTGTACGAGAATCTTATACCAAAAGACACTTTTTTATACGGTCTTTTTACGCTCTATTAAGAAAGAAAAAAAGAACGTGCAATTTGATAGATGAAGTACCAAGCACACACATACACGTACACCACTTGATTTCCGTTAAAAGTTCGATGCATTTATACGTGAGAATTATTTGTACTGAAGTTATAATAATTGTAACAATAATTATAATAATAGTAATGAAGTCAAGAGTTACCGCACGATATAAAAACGTTACACGAGTGATAGGGGGGAAGTAATTTATTACATTCAATTATATAATACTTTTTTGAGGTAATAAATGTTGACATACAAGAAAAATAAAACGAACACATCTATTTCAAAATACTGCCGTTCCTTGTGTGAACACCCGTCTTAAGTACAAAGCCCCGATCGGCTAATCAAGTTTTTTAGTGATGACTCCTTCTTATTGTCAGCGGTCATACATTCGTAAATTGTTGTTAAAACCGACGATAATAATTCTAACAGCATATAGAATAATCGACTGATTGTACGAAGAAAAAAAAAAGCTACAGAAAGAAGGAAAAGATGCGAATATAAGCGATGTATACCTTTTAAGGTTTCATTCCATAGAGTGTGCGCTTATCTTGAAAGGTTTCGATGAGAAGCATCCCCTTGAAATGTATATTGTTAATTTTATATTTTCTATGACATTATATTAGTTTATGTTTTTCTTTCTTTATACTTTTGTAATTATACTGATTAGTATTGAAAAAAATTTTTATTTTATGTCTTTTAAGTATATTATTATATTATACGAAGAGCAAAAGAAAATTTTGTATAAAAATTATTTAATAAAAAATTTTTTTGTCTTAAAGAATCATGCGAATTATTTCTAATGTCCAAAAAAAACATTCTTACAAATATAAAATTAACAATAGAAAAAAAAGTGGATCATATGGATTTTCATAAAAAGTAGTCAGCAATGAAAAATAACGTCGAACAGTATTTTCAACGATTCGCACATCACTTTTGCCAACTTGCATGTACATAATATTTGATGAAAAATACGTGTAACTTGTGAACTTATTCACCTATGATTCGATATGAAATGCAACTATTTAGACCCACCCTTCAATGAAGGCGGACTAGTAAAACAACTCACTCTCTCTTGAGTGGCATCACTTTGATGTTTATCGAGTTAGTATGCGTACTCGTTTTCAACAAAATGAGCTATCGATAATTCGAAAAAAATGTTGAAAAATATGAATAAAAATGTTTTAAAGAATTGCGTTTTTTTTCAGTTCCTAAAATTGATAAATAAGATATTTTTAGCGAATTATTAGTTTAGGATGAAATCGTAAAATTAAATAATAAAATTCGATTGGCAAAGCTCAGCATGTAAATAAGTGTAATATGTATTGAAAAAAATATAGCGTATAGAAAAATTACAAAATCGAGTTTTTAGATGAGTTTTTTAAGATTATCCAAGCACTGAAATGTGGAGTTTAGTCTTTATCAGACATTTAATAAAGTCGGATGAACATACTAAAAAAAATAACTTGGAAAATAAAATAAATTTAGTCCACGTATACATATGTACTTGATAATTACGATAAATATAAAGCAATCAGACAAACAAATTCTTGCCAAACTGTTTGTAATGGTTTTTAAAGAACATTTACATAATTTCTTTGTTTTTGACGTCTGAATGTTTTTCAAGTTCGAATCGATTACATTCGGAGTATGAGTGTGTTGAAATAGTATGATATTTATACACGAAGGAATATTGTGTTTTTGAATAGTTAACAAACCATGAATATAAATCTGTTTGCATGTAACAAATAATTCAACAATTCTATTTCGAGCAAAGCATAATTAGCTAATGCGAAATTTCAATATCAAATTAATGAAACGATTGTACGTAAGGAATACCTTCAAATTTTTATTTCGTACTGCCAATACTACCATATAGATCCCGTGAAATTATCGAGTCAAATACAATGTAATCAATTGTAAAATTTAGCATAAAGTAGTGTTGTTTCTACGATAAAAGGAAAATAGACTACAATTCTAAGTTGTTCAAGAGGGATCAACACTATAAGAAGAATAATTCAACGGATATAAAAATTACGGCGTAATATGACTTGACAAGAAGTTGGCCGATAATTTCCAAATAATCATTAACAAGAGAAAAGATAAGTAAATAAAAGATTTCGTAGGCAAAGCCAGTTCGTAAGTTTTTAACGTGAAGCAGAATAACGCATAATGTATAAATAAAAACAATATACATATAATTATGTATAAACTTTGCGAACCGATACTGTACAAATATGTATCTATACATGTTTTATGCACATCGTATGTACGGCGTGTATGGTTATATATTTGGTGTATTGCATTTCGATGAAAATGTTGTACGATGTAAGCTCGACTGACGAACGCGCCAACAATGCAAAATTAAGAACGTAAGCAATCTTTTCTAATTTTTATACAATTTTTAGTAGTAACCCGAACGTACACGCAGACGCTTTTGCGAAACACGTAAACTCTAAAAGAAATCATTTCATTCATTTTCGTCGAGTCCATCCGTACTCTTCTTTTTGCCGCAGTGAAGTTTACTCTGATAGCTTCACGAAAATCGAAGTCGAAACAAACGCAAGCTGCAGGCAAAAAGTGATTTTGATAATTTGTCAATTTGCGAAACAGCGTGGCATGATTGGGTTGAACCTGCAAATCCGAATAGGATATTTAACTACAAAATGTGTATCGCTACATTTGACGCACGATCGAATGGGAGAGCGACGCGAAGAACAAAAAAAAACAGGGAAATCGTAGCTGTGAGTGAATGTCCGAGTGAAAAGTATAAACAATAACAAATAATAAAAAAGTTTTAAAGAAATTGACACTAGGATTTGCGTCTAAGTTCGACATGGGTACGATTCCTAGGAAATTTCATTAAACTTGATTTGCTCTTTCTCATTTTGTGAAATTATTTAACGCAGTGTTTCAAGCGAAAGTTATACTTTAGAAGTAATATATATCGCAAGAAAGTTAAGTTTGTCCGTGTGTAATGTGCTTTAAAAAAATTTAATGATTATAAGGATATACGCGCGAATGATGTTTTTAATGAAAATATAGAATAATATAATTTCCGTCGAGAAATCTAAGGTTTTTCTCGTTACACACAGCAGTCAGTGTTTATCTGGCGTACCCGTCGACCTTTATTCCTCATATTGTACCATGATAAATGCAAATAAATTGAGAAAATTACGACGACTGAGTTTTCATTTTAGCAAACATTAAAATGTTTAAAATGTTTATGAGAGAACATATTGCTAACTTTACGATTGAAGTTATTTTTGTCCAGATATGTACATCCAAAGCAGTATTTCTATATTGTGTAGTGCTCAAAACGACTTTATCTGTCGATAAACTATACACGAATTACAATTGTTTCATTGCCGTAAATCCAGTGGTATTAGAAGCGTGCGAGGCTCAAGGTGAATTATCTGTTCGCCGTATTTTGCTTAGCTGTACATCCTCAAATTTCGTAAGTAGTGCGAAACGGCTAAATCGATTTCACAGAGGAGCGAAACAAAGATATCTCCATGTGTCGGATATAATACCATTGATACTTGCTTTCGGCAACTTGGAGGTCAAAGGTCGTATGTATGAAGCGTTACTGCAAACGGACTTTTAAAGGTGGTAAATAGACGCTGATTCATTAAATTAAAAGTTGCAATTTCGACAACAATAAACTCTTTTTTATTAAAATTATTAGCACTTCAATAACAATTAATGTCATAAAAGTCATAAATATTACATTTCAACAGTAATCAATATCAATTAGTACAATTAATAAATATTTGCACGATAGAATTCCTGCTTTATAAAAATCGTTCGAGGAATGTGTATATATATATATATAAAATGATTTTCTTAAAATAGTTAGAGATAAAAATTATCGTTATATTTATAAAACAGTCCGAGCTTTAAAAAGAAATAGTACAAAATCTACTCTAGGCCGTTTTTTTTATAAATGTTAAAACAGATCTTTCTTTTACATTAAAATTTGATCGAAAATGAACATTCTTTAATTAAACAAAATGTGTCACAGCATGCATTTTTTATGAAGTTAACCTCAAAACAATAAAAACGACATTAATACTGATCACGTCCACAAAGAAGTCGGCATTATACCTTCGACTGTGTTAGCTGCGGGCTTCAATGACTCGTTACATAAGAAATTCAACGGCATATCTACCAAGTGTCCCTGAAAGATAATTTTTTATTACATTTTTTTCAACTTTGCTTTTTTTTCGATTATTATGAGTACATACTTTTATATTTGTTATCATTTCTTGAGCTGCAAGAGGATCGCTTAAGCACAAAGGTGTCTCATCTAAGTATTGCTTCAACATTGCAAAATTAATGATTTTATTCGAAGGAACACAATGGAAGACATCTTCAAATATTTCCGTATTAACTTGACTCCTTTTACGCCAAATATCATGATAAAATGTATGTTTCACTATATCTTCTAAATCTACTTTTTCATCTGACCATAAAAGACCTAAATGCTCACGAAATAGCTGTTTTCTTAAAGATCCAGCCAATTTGCCACATTGGAAAGGTATATCATTCATTTTGCAATCATCAAATTCTGTGTCCTATAATTATGTTTAAAGTAAATTTCACGAAAAATCAATGTATCAAGCAGTGTATCTTGGAAATTAAATTTACATGGATAATCACGGCGATTTCACTGTCTCTCGTGGCAATCATACTTCTGTCATTAATATTCGCGGAGCCGCATATGACAGTATTATCATCGACAATCATCAGTTTGCTATGTACATAAATCAATTCTGTAACCATCGTACCATTGAGAACTGAATGTGTTCTCAAGCCATGGAAAGTTATATACTGACTAGGGTCTTCAATACCAGCTTCAATGAGCTGATTCATAATTGAATCTTTCCCTCTAAAAAACATAAATCAACTAATTAGAAAAAAGTTTCTGAACATTCAAATTAAAAAAAGTTTTAATTTAATTTGACCTTGATATAGAAGCATAATTCCAATGAGTAATTGCTCTCAAAGCTGCACCAGTGGGTCCTCCAACTTCGCCTTCAAAACCAGGCAACAAAGGCATTATTACAAAAACTCTAAACACGGAACCCTCCCTATACGCTCGTAAAATCCTCTTCATCAAAGTTTCTCCAATGCGATTTTTCACCATCGCATTATCATACGTCGCCAGCGAAATGAAAAACTGATTCTCGATATAAATATATCTCTCCGCTTTGTTAATAGCCTGGATATAAGCTTCATGAATGCTTTGCTCAATGGCATTGGGCTCGAGGAAACCAGCCGACCAAGAGCTTACGGATCGCAAAACTTGGCATCTCACATTGTGCAGCTCGTTAATTCCAATATTTGGCACATTGTTCTTGCAATCTTTATAGGACTTTGGCAGCAGGAATGGATAGGTTGCGTTTTGTTTTGCTTTCTCGAGCTGTCGAAAAGAAAACAAACAAAAAGTAAGTCAAAGCTTGAGTGCACGGTTACAAATTTTAAATCGTAACACTTCGAAAATAGCATTCACCTTGATAGCATTCCACCGCTGAATGAAGTGCCTGGCGACGTCTCTCGCGCTGGCGCCTTGCACCATGACACCAATGTCGTGCCAAGGCATACGAGGGGTGGTACTACGATCCACGAGATCGATGTACGGACTGTCGAGATTATGAAAATCTTTCACGATAAAATTTGTGTAATCCTTGCCGATCCACAATTTCCGGCTGCCAGGTAACTCCAATTCGTCGTAATATTGTCTGCCTTCACCATCGCCGTATTGCATAAACGTTGCGCTGTAAAATGAAAAATCAATGTCAAAAATCAATGTTTATTCGATTATTAGCAATTGGAGAAATCTTACTTATCAATGGTGTCCCCTTCATCGTCACTATCACCAGCGTGACTGTAAACCATATTGATAAACTCTTGTTTTTTCACTCTCACATTATGTTTCACTCGGTCGACGGTATTTTTTGCCATGTCAAAGAGATTTCTCCTCTGTATGCTTGGAGTATTACATTTATAATTTTCGAAACCTTGCGGCGGAGAGAGTAAAAACGGATCCTTTGGATCGAATTGTGGCGTGTCTGGTTTTTTACGACATTTTGGAACCATTGGTCTGGAACACGTTTTTTTATTTTTATCAAGAATACCGCCTAAAACAGTAGAGAATGTGTAATCACTTACAGTAGAGGTATAGTTTTCGTTGTTGCCATTGCAATGGTATTGGTCGCGATAGCCAATTGCAACAGCACGTGGCTTTCAGCGTTTTCTGTGACTCTCTTTGTACTCGTACTGGTAACTTTGCCCTTGGATGGTATATAAATCGTAGACAAATGCGTTGAATCTAAAATAAAATATTTATGTGAAAACCTAATTTTTCCACATTTAAGTTAACGGTGCATGTAATCGTACCTATATCCGTTAATCTATGTTCATTGGTATCCCAGCGACCATAACACAAATCAATACCACCTAGGAAAGCAACATTTTGATCGACGACAACGATCTTTTCATGATGTGCCCATAAAAATACACCAACTCTCGCATGATCGGGATGCCTAAATACTTTGATATTTGCAGGACAGAGTTCAACTAATCTCTGTTTGCTGTAATAGCTGTTTATTCCTAACGCTAATTCCACCTCCTTGTAAATCATTATGAATATTTTGACCCCATTTTCCTAAAAAAATAAAAAAATTATTCGTTATCAACGATATAATTTATTTTGAATTAAGTTAAGTACTTTTATGATGATTTGTTTGATTCCTGGTTAGACATGCAAAGTGATAAATACAAATATAAAGCTTTACGATTGTAATTCAAGTATTATCAACATATTAAGTAAGTTGAAACACTTACGGCTTTTCTTTTCAAAATATGATCTAGTCGCCAGTAGTTCTTCTGATCAGCCGGCCTTTTTAAGAAAATTTCTGGTGATAACCACCAGTCAGCAATAAAAATTTCCTCCTTGGCATTCTCTAACGCGTCCGCGATAGCCGACATGTAGCTCGAGCCGTCGACAAACCAGGATGCTTGTATGGGATATCTATATGGAACAAAGGATTTATGGGGGTTTGCTTGTATAAATGGTCTACCTATAATAAAACATCAAAAATATAAGATTTCACTAATACTACAAAAAAGGAGAGGAAAAACATTAATATTTTGTTATTTATGCTATGCTGACCTTCATTTTGCGCCAGATTTTGTATATACTCGAGCCATTCTTTAGCCTTTCTTCTAGTCCAGCATTTAACTAAAAGCTGTCTACTAAGATTCTGTATCTGTAGGCCGTTCCTCAAGCCAGTCGAGTACATGCCCGAGCTCACTTCGAATTGATTATCCATTAAAATAACGGACTTTACACGGCCATCCTTGGGACTGATGTAAGCTATAAAAGTATCTTTGACGACAAAGTGACGTTTATGCCACGTGCCGCACATAGACATGCAACAATGGCCACACCATATACAGCACTGACCATGCAGCAAGCCGCAGAAATTGCAGCCTGATTTTTTTTCCGAACCCGTTCGCTTTTCAATCATACCCTCTTTGCCTTTCTCTCCTAAAGGTCCGATAAATGACAAGTGTGACAGCTCCAAGAAACTTATCTGTATTTGAAATAATTTTACACATTAAATAAACAATTAAATATGAGAAACTGATACAAGAGCTTGACAAATTTAATTACAGTTTCTGGATGTCTTTTGTAGATATCAATTTGCAATAAGGTATCTAAATACTGTTCTAATGACCTCATTCTACGACTTAAATGTTCATGTGGTACTAAGACTTCGGGCCTGTTTGGAAATCTGAAAGAAAAATCTCCATTAGTAATCATCAGATCCTAAATGTGTCATACACTCAATAAAAAATGTTTATCTACCTTGGTAAGGCACCTCTTCTTTTAGTTCCACTGTCATGAGCCATACTTTTGAAACTGGTTCTCTTTTCTCTATGACTTTTGGTAGGAAAAGGTATATTTAGACTTGTTCTAAAAATTTTCAGCTGGCTATGAAGATGATGGATATGCTTGTATCTCTTCTTAATCGTCCATTTAAAAGATCCATGAGTAAACTCAATGGTATATAAATTAGGATTCAGAGGATGCGTTGTAACACTTCTTTCTACATCGATTATTTTTACATGTATATCTTCACATGGAATATAAACAAATCTATTCTGACTGTTGAATTTGACAGGTGGATTGTGTACTGCTAGAAATGGCAGTGCTCGCTTTTCACCTGGACAAAAAGTTAATGATTATACAGTGACATAACAAGAATCAATGAAATACAATATGTACTTTTGTCACAGGTGTCTTCACAATCTTTCTGGATATCCACTGGCTCTCCATTCTCATTAACTGTGATATTTAAGGAGTCAGGAACACCAAGCTCATCATCGTAGTCAGATTCGTGAGACAATGCAATTTCTTCTGCAATGTTTTCTGCACCATCATCCCGCAGGTCTGTGGTTTCCTCCATTTTAACCAAAATCAGTCTATATCAGTTGTTACTGCTAAAATTGCAATTGCTGCACTGTCACTGTATTCAAGATAACAATTAATCTTTGAATAAAAACATGGATTAAGGAACATCCAAGCTATATATATGTTTTATACTTTATAACCAAATATGCAATATTGAGCAAACGTAAACAACCAGTGATAAGATGATTATCAGATAAATTATCTTCTAAAAATGAATGTTTCTTTATCAATCTTTAATAGTCAACTAGCACAATTTCTGAAACGTCATGTGAAACAATGAAAATGATAAAGCAGGAAGTAGTTGTCAAGTAGCATTATGTAAGAGAGTAGAATGCCTTATACAAACTGAAAACAGAAAAAATTTAGAATGGATTTCTACTTTACTCAATACAGTGTAAAAACCATCATTGTACCATTATTAAATCACTTTGCCCAATATAGAATTTTATCAATATTTTCTTTAAATTATTAAAATTAACGTAAAATATTTTTTGAGAGTTTCAAGTAATCTAAACGTAACTTAGTGCCGTTATAAAAAAAAAGAAATTGCATCAATCTGATTACTGCAAACTCGAACTCACTCACGATTCCAAATACCCGCACCAAACTCAACGTACACATTAATCTGGGTAAAAACCGTAAAGATAAACATCCAACACGCACTCAACGGAGTTATGCAGAGAGCTCAATGAAATTTGAAATAGCCAAGTGGCCGACCACTACACTTTAAACTCGCGCTAGGCACTTTGATCTTCTAATGATTTCACTAATAACTTTCAATGCCAGCAGCAACAACTACTATAAACGAAGGAAAAACGACAAATCACGTACGCGCTCGCGCGTTAAAATGAAGAAACTGGAATTGGAATCGAAAGGAATCCTACTTTGCATAGATCTACAGCTATCCTTGAGTGTATATCACCATTGCTCACCTGCTTGCGATGTAGAAGCGTAGCAGCCGCGGCGCAGCCTCCCATGATGACATAGACAAACGCTGTTATAGCGGCCTTGAGAATGAGGTCACCCTTTCGGAGATTTCTCTCCCTCTCTCTTCCTCGTGCTATAGGTTATATGTATTTCCCCCGAAAACACACTACTACAACTGACGGCCTTCTGGAACGAACTTCTATACATAAGCCAACAGCCCGCAGACTTTCTATAAACTCGCGCGCGCCGCTATGTTGTTGGATCATGAAAAGAGGAGAAGGGAGAGCCGTCGCGCGCGCGCGTGTGTGTATGCGCGCGCTGGTGTGTTTTTAAAGAGCCTCGAGCTTTTCTAGCGTGCGAGTCACGTGGTGACGCGCACACGCGAAGATAAACGAACTCACACGACTGTTAAACGTGAAGTTCTTCCTCTTTTTTTTTTTATTCGTTCGCCGTTTGAGTTACGTTGCACGACGAGCGCAAAAAGAACGAGTTAAGCGCGAACAATTGCGCACTGCTTATTGGACGTTAGCTTGACTTTCCGCTCGGCGAAGCGGTATTAAAACTTTCAAAGCAATAGAGAGAAAGAGAGAGAGAGAGGGAGAGAGGCCCTCGTGTACAGCTGGTGCGTGGAGAGAAAGAAAAAACGAGACGTCGCGCACTCCCACCGAGATGCCTCGGCGAAGAGAGTGGAATAGCCCAAGTGCCACCTGCGTGCCTTTCTGCGTGGAAGGTGCACGCACTCGAGGGAGACCCGATGCAAGTGCGCGTTCTCGGAAGGGAGGATGTCTCCTTTTCTTCGATCGAACTGACGCACAACGTTGAACGCCAATAGCTGTTTGTTCGGGGGGTTCGGGTTTCGTTTTCACGGGGATTTTCGACTCTCGGAGTATTTCAATTTGTACGGTTCGATGCCTGGACGGCTTTTCACGACACACGTGCACGATCGGAATGCGTGTCTTGATCGGTCGAGAAATAGCTCGAGAAACGCAGAGACTCAAGGACAATCGCTCGCGAAGCCATGTCGCACGAGAGGTCTTCCGTTATCTCAGCGAGCGTATTCCAAGTCGAGCGGGCACGCGGGTCGCTTCGCAATCGTTATATTTCAGCGCTGTAAGCGCCGTACGTATGTGTCGTTTCATCTCGTGTCAGCAAGTTAGCCACTGGCGACGCTCTCGTGCCCGTGCGGGAAGATTGGGCCGCGCGCGGGGCACAAGCAGCTTTCGTGTGGTTACGAGAGCGATCATCGGAAGAACGCGACGGGGACCGAGGAGGGGAAGATGTGTGTGCTTCGCCGGAGGCCAAAAGAAAGACCGAGAATAAGACGCTCACTTGTGCCGAAACCGCTCGCGTGTTCGAGAGGCACCTTTCGACGCCGATAACTCTCCGAGGAAACAGAGCCGCGCTTTCTCAGCTTGCATTTCCTATAGGTGGCGCGCTTGCGCGCTGCTTGCGAAACGGTAGCAGAGAACGGTCGGACGCCGGCCAATTTTTGGTAGCGCGAACCAGGAAAGCGGAAGGCAAAAAATCGACAGCGGAGATTACGCTACTATCCGCTCTCGTTGGCCGCCAAAACGTCGGATACTTTGATCGGACGAGAGACATTCCTGTATATTGGAGAGCCGAAGAGTGACCGAGCAGAGCTTTTATCGGCGAGAGACCCTATCAAAAGTCGGCGACGATGACCCACTCCAAGGTCGCGCCTCTCCCCTTCGCTCCCCCAATCCTTTTGGTTTTCTTTCTCTCTGGCACGCGCGGCGCCAACATAGAAAACCACCGGCAGCTCTTGCCGTACTTTCACCGGGCCCGCTCTGTTCACGTGGCCGGCACATGTTTGTCTCCAAACTGCCCAGCGTCTCGCGCGTTTCTTTTCTACCTCTTTATTTCTCTCTCCCTCTCTCTTTTTTCTGATCCAGACTCTTGTGGACAGCCCAAGCACGCTCTCTCTGCTCTTTCGGGAACAAACTCGATGCGGGAAAGACAAGCCGCCGCGAGCGAAACTTTTTCGAGGCACGCACTAAACGTCCGCGCGGCATCTGCGATTCGTTCGATAGCCACGTTCGACGATCAAATTCGCCCAACTTTCGGCAGCGCCAATCGCCTGCAGTCGGAAAACCACACGGAAAAACTTGGCGCCGCCGGCTTTGAAAGATAGAGAGGAGAGCACGGGAATGACTGATCGATAGCGTCCCGAGCGTGATCGGGAGTGCCGGGCGCCGGTGCAATGACTGTCGCTTCAGTCCAGTGGTGGTAGCGCAAAAGATAATAGATGCGCGCGGGATACGAACCCAAGAGCGCGCGGGTGCGCGGCCTCGCCTCGACGACTTGTCGTGCCCTGCCATCCAATTGAACCAGTCGTCGAGCGCGCGCGCGGCTCCGAATTCCTATGAATAATAGGCTGCTCGCGCCGAAGCGGCGAGTCGCAGCGGGTATCGATTTGCTGCGTGCGCGCCTATTATCGAACGTGGATACGTACAGCGAAGCGAGAGAGAAGGAGGGCGAAAGCGTACTCGCGAACATTTTTTCAAAGGCGTGCAATTTGGATGGAAACGATCGCGCCGCCTCGAGCTAACAGCCAAAGAAGAAATAGGGCGCAAGCGCACGCGATAAGATAACATCGGCCACCAAGGCCAAAGAGTTTTCCCGGGAAAGCGTCGATGCGTCTCGCGCCCACGACGCTCGAGACGTTGCGGTTTACGGGCGATCGAACCACGCGCACGCACGAGCGACGCAAGGAGAGAGAGAGAAAGAGAGAGAGAGAGCCAAGTGTCGCTTGAACAAGGAAAGGAAAGAACGACAAAGACTGCGGGCAAGGCGAGGCGAGAGACTCGCGAAGATCGAGTCGAGAAGCGCACAGAGGGAGAAAAGGGCGACCGGGAGAGAGAGAAAGAGAGAGATATTTGTCGGTGCCAAGGCGTGCGCTGCGACATCGTCGTCGACGAAGTTCGGCGCTCGAAAAGCCAATTGAAGCCCCCTTCCCGCTGACCCGTCCGTCGACCCTTCGAGCGCGCGCTAATGCATCTTCGAAAAGTGATCTCTCTCTCTTTCTCTCTCTCTCTCTGGCTTTCGAGCGAGTGGTCGTGCGCGCGCATGCACGGCCCTTTAATCGCCCCCCACCGCCCGGCGCGCAAACTGGGTTAGAGCCACCACGCGGGCACGGCGAGAGAGTGGCTGGCCGACCAATCCACGGCCGCGCTGCAGCGGACGAGCCCCAAAGGCTCTCTGGCGCCGCGACCTCGAGGCTCGGCGGCTCTCTGGCGCAGGCTGCCTTCACAACGCCGCGCCGCGTGGCCTCGCGACCGCGGCGAGGCCTTCGCCCATCCGCGTCGATCGAACAAGCTTCACCCGGCCGCGTCCACTGCTTGGCCATCGTCGTCGCCGACGCGTGCGTTCGTGCCAACCCGTATCGGCAGTGACGTAGCCGCGCGAGCGAAGCGCCCGCAGGCCGCACGCCACCGCTGATCAATGATTTCGCGCGAGAGAGAAAGAGTACGCGCGCGCGCACGCCACGGCGCCGAGGCTGCCAGCGCGACGTCGGTGGGCGCCGAGCTTGCGGAGAAGCTCGATCCGCGAGTCGCGGTGCCTACGTTGCCGCCGGACCGTCGACGCGAGGAGGCCGCCCTACCCTGAGCCCGAGGGGCGCGAGCCATACGCCTCTGATGCCGGCGGAAATGCCGACGGAAATGATCGCTGCCGAGAGAGGCGACCGGGCGTGCGCTGCGTGGCCAATGGCGAGCCGTGGCCAATTAAATTCGACGTCGGCGCAAGGGGATGACAGCGCGACACAGCCGCACACGCGTCTTCAACTCGACGCGGCTACGGCTCGAATCGCTTCTCTCCGCGAAAACGCGTTGCGAATGCTGATCGATGCGCGCTCAACGTGTACGCGCCCCGTGCGATTTGCATTCCCTTTTGTTTTCGCCAAGTGAATCGCCGTTTCTGCCAAGATTAACAGCGAAACCGTGCCCCCGTAAGAGTTCCACGCCGGCGACAGTAAGCAGAAGGCGGACGCGTAATCTACCATTCGGACTGCACGTGAACGCCTTGAAAAAGCTCAAATACAGGTCCCACGTCCAACGCGTTTCGCTTGCATCAACTCCAAAACTTCGCCGAAAAATCCAAGGCTCCGACACTCTCCTGTCGGGCGCACGTTAATCCAGCAAAAAGAGTACGTAGGCACACGGGCTATTCGGCCGAGGTGGCATTCTAGCTGCCGCGCAGCCCAGAGTCCCCGACCCTAAGGAAACATTTGATATGCCTACACGATCCTCTCTTTCTATGGGCCGAGCGATCCCATGCGGCGAGAGAGCGAGACGATTTCAATCTCCCTTTTTCCCGTATAACGCCGCAATGGCATGTGGCTGCCAGCGGCGCTCGGCTGCACGTGCACACACGCGACTTCGCGCTATATCCAGCGCCGAACACACGCGCCTTTATTTATACGCCCGTATTTAAACCTTAGCTCCATTTTCCTCCAGCGTGATTCCTCGTCGCGAACTCACAATCGCGCCGTCTCTTTCGTACATCGAACTTCGAATTTCATCGGCTAGGCGTATTACGCGCTCCACAGTGTAATATTGCCAGAATAATAAATGTCACGCGCTGCTCCATCTACACCGAGGCATCCGCGCAATTGTTGACGATTCACTGAGTATGTAGCACCGACTACGTGCCGTTTCCCGAATATTGCTATTAATCGACCGTCGATTGTTATCGCGACCAGTTGTGTGTCTTCGTCTCCCCCGGTCGAGAAATGTTAAACTACACAGCTGTGTTATTTATATAGTGGTTAGTGCGGCAACAATAACTAAACAAAATTGCTTTCTGAATATCCAAATCGAGAAATATACGTGTAAACGGCCCCGAAATCGACGTACAATGCGCTGAATGAACGTTTAAACAATTGTTATAAATAGTCCGGCTGAGCTTGATAAACGACTTAAACTTGACACTCATACGCATTTACGTGCATTAAGAAGCTGACAGCGGCGCTGCTCGATTGCACGGTACCCCGACCGAACGAATCCACAAAATTTCCCCGTGAATCGCGAAGAGCTGAAGTAAAATCGCTACGTACGAGCATGGTAAAAGTGTAGAGGGTCGGGCACTTATAATGCCAGGCAGCGGCCAGTGGCATTTGCATCGAGCGAGGCGAAGACGTGCAGCAGTAGCACGTGCGGCCCGACGTTGTGAAGGCAGCTTGGTGATTCCCCTCTATGTCTGCCCGACCAAACTTGTGTGATAGGCACTGTAAGCACAGTAGCGCCAGTACCAACACAGCGCACTTCTGCGCGCTCGTCAGTACTCGGATAGCCACGGCGTAGTGTAGATCGTGCGCTGGACGTGTCAACCAGCACGCGCCCCACTCAGAACCTGTCTCTCTCTCTCATTGGTGTGTGACTGACTGGCTGGCTGGCTGGCTAGCACCTGCGATGAACGAGCAGCAACAGCAGCAGCAGCAGCGAGAGTGAGTGCGTTGTGTGTCGTTGATCGTCGCGAGCACACACGCAGAACCAGAACGAGGCCTCTCGCACACCTGGTGGGAAACTCATAGAATCGTTTGTTCGAGCAGCTGCTGTGCTGCTTGTACTTGCGTGCTCCAATTTCCGCTTCCGGCGAGATGAGCGAGGTGTGCGCGACGACGACGACGACGAACAAAGCTAATCGTGCGGTCGGAACAACGTGAGTGTGCTCTTGCACCTATGTACGCTGGCCCTTTAAAGTGCGATGTATAGTACGTGTCCTGTGCAATAGTTGTACTTATTGTGCGTGCCTGTGAACGTAGTGGAGAGACGCTTGCTTTAAGCTCGTGGGAGTGTTGCGACGAGGAGTGCAGCAGGTAAGAATAGCAGCAAGAAGATGGAGGAGTACGTGCCGTACAAACGGCCGCGACTGGTCGACTCGCTGCAGCCGTCAGCAAGTTTCATGGGTGAGGATTGAGCTCTCGCGAGCACAATTGCGTGCTGCGCGTTCAGCGCTCAGGAGAATGAGGGAGTAGGAGGGAGAGAGAGAGACAGAGAGAGAGAGAGAGACGGAGAAAAGCTACAGTTTCGTTTTTCTCCACCTACGGTACTGGTTGGGGGATCCCTTTGTGCGCGTTCTCGAGAGCAGTCGTTGCGCGCTAGCTGCGTAGTTGCCTTTTTTGGGGGAGAGCAGCAGCACCGTCGCGTTATACCCGAGAGTAAGAGAGAGAAAGATAGAGAGCGAACAGCAGAACGGAATTTCTGCCTCCTCCTCGTGGACGACGACTTCGCAAGCGCCACGGAGATGAGGTCTCTCGGCATCGATCGTGCAGGCTACTCATACTTTTAAGTACTATATCATTTGGTTAACTATATGTGTCTTGTGTCGTCATTTCTCACTCCCTCTTCGAAGAGTAGATAAAGGCTAGAGAGTATGACAGGCGTGGAAGGGAGTGGGGAGCTTGCGCAATGTTTATTTTCGATTGGATAATTTCTTTTTTTTTCGATAGACCGACACACGCGCATGCACGCACATACACATATATAAAGAGAGAGAAAGAGGTGGAGTATAGTGTATACAATCCACGAAAGGGAACGCGTATACGCGATGAATAGATAGGAGAGCTAGCTGCACGAGGACGTTTTGTATAGAGGTATGTATATAAGTGTTATAGCTCTGCTGCTGCTTTGCGAGAGTATTGACTCGATGGCTAGTGTCTTGAAGGTTAGTTCTTTCTCTCTCACGCGCAAGAGTAACCTTTCGCTAGAACTCCCTAGTGCGTTTTTATATTGCCTCATTGTTTCTTTCTCCGCTGACTCGCTCGTTCACTGTTTTTCTTTCATTCCTTTTTTTTTAAGCTGCGTGACCAAAACTCGTCGCGGAAAAATCAATTTTGCTCTCTCTCTTTCTCTCTCTTTCTCGCTCGCTCTCTCTCTCACTCACTCACTCTCTCTCCCTCCCTCTCTCCCACCCTCGCTCACTCTCTTTCTCTCTTCCCCCTACCTATTTGCTTATTTACTTTTCTCTCCTTGACTGTGATACACGACGAGTGAGGATCAAGGACACGAAACGGTGCGACTGAAACTGGGCGGGATTTCACATTCGCAGACTTGCGGAATAACATGGTGCCGTTCGGCTTCCTCGGCAGCCAAGAGCGGGAGCCAGGTCCCGACATGAACATGGCCGCAGGGATGCAGCCGATGCCACAGGGTTTGGCTGCAGCTCTCAATCAGCAGTCGCAGGACTTTGGCCAGCTGGCCGCGGCAGTCGCGGCCGCTGGTGTTGTTGCTGATTGGCGCCACGCCACTGATGCCGATACCCGCCATGGATTCGTCAACAAATTGTAAGCGACTTATCGCCTATTTTTTTTATTTGTGCGTGCGCGCCCACGTTTGTTCTTTTCTTGCCACGACTGATCTTTCAAGTTCGCGACAGTTCGGACATTTTCGCGACATTTTTGAGTATTCGAGCTTTCTTGAATTATTTCTCGATTTCGGCAATTTCATTCAGAAATGTATTCTCAAATTCATGCACGAGAACGATATTCGCCGTAAAATAAAATAGTTATCCGGGCGTTTCATCAGTGATGCGGGTATACACACTGAATACGAATTTTCGACAGGAAACATTACTAAAACATTTTTCCAATAGGAGATTTAATTCACGTGAAAGTTATTCGAGACCGAGCCACGAATAATACATAGACGGAGTCGCTCGCTCGCGCATGACACGTGTTTGTTGAAAATAAGTTATTCGTTGCATAACCCGATTGTGAGTAGTGAAATTTCATTTTTTTTTACTTGAAAAATTCAATCTATGCTTGCTAAATAATACAATGCTTTTATGGAAATTACGCTAGCTCACTGATTGCTCGGCTATTTATTATTTAGTACATCGATTGTCCTTACACAATTGTATCACCCATTTTTAATTGAACTGTTTGTGAACATCAAAGCATATGGCAAATTAACGATCTGCCATGTAATTTCGCCAGAGTGGCGGCGTTGACAAGGAACGTCGATGGCCCGGCCAGCAGATCACCAAAGTGGCTGGGAACAGCTCGGAAAATCGAGGGCAAGGCTTATAAGGCAGCGTTGTCGCGAGCCCACTACTTCGATCTGATGAAGGAGGAAATTCACAAATTACAAACGGGCGGTCTAAGTTATTCCACGATGTCTAGTCAATTTTTCCCATCGAGCAGTGCAACCTCAGCTGCTGCGACAGCAGCTGCCAACAACGTTCAACTCCTCAACATACCGCAGAATTACGGGCCAAACAGTTTTGGTGAGCCATCAGGTTAGACTAACAAAATCCAAAACACAATGATTAATCTACAACCCGATCAACTTTCCAAAGAGAGAAGATTGTCATCTCGAGATAAAAGTATCCCACGTGTAACGGAATTTTGGTTTTTGTAACAGTGACGGCGACGCAATCGCAAGCGGGTTTGGCGCATTCGGCAACTTCGGTGAACTTGTTTGGCGCTGACGAAGTAGTATCTAACCCTATGAGGATTCCTGTGACTAGCTCGATCGGCTCGGCGAGGCCACAGTTCGATGCGTTTAATGGTCGACAGCCCAGATCAATGGTTCACGATCAAGTGCCTGGCAGCAGTTTGCCATTAGGTGAGCAATCTCCTTCCTTACAATACAGATCGCTACGCATTTTCTCCTTTTTTTTATTGATCATGGTTTACTCACGTGCCTTATTTGCCCATCACACGCAAGTTTTTCATTATTTTATTGGCTGTCTGAAATTCACGACTGGGTCCAGAGCAGTGAATATTCTAGTAACAGTTACTTTAAACTAAGAAGACTATTGTTTTATTTTCCGAGCGATTGCGAAAGATAAAACTCATAAAAAATACAAATGTAAGGCAATCCGTCATCTTTTTGCATAACTTTTCGCTTTCAGTCTTATCTGCGACAATGTAAAATAAATGTATTCTGCGTCATAGATGCACGAGTCTGGAATGAATCACTTCCTAGCATCTTATCACGCGAAACATTAGCACCTAAGGATTCATTTTCTGCAGGCGATCCGACACAATTCATGCCGAACGCTGAGCCAGTATTAGGTTCGAACCTGTTGCACCCGATGAATGCTATTATTACCAATCCTCTCGGGCAGTACATGCCTTCGTCGTCAGTTAGTGGTGCGCCATCGCAGCAACGTGGCTTTGGACTCAACGACGGACAAAGTGTATTGTCGGAAAACAGTAGCATCGTCAACTCGCAAGGTTCAGCTCGGCTGCAGAAGGAGTGGCACAAATCCGCACCGTTCAGCTTTAGGAACAGTCTCATCCGAAAAATGTAGGTGTCGAGGAGAACGTTGACACGGTGTTGAAATGTTTGCGAGGGCTGCTTTTGACGCGTTGGTGCGTTTACAGGGCCCAATTTTTCTTAACTACACCTGACCCGCAGACAAACACCATGGAAAGCGCGATCTACGTAGCTACCCGTATCGAGAATGAAACTTACAAAACTGCCAATTCTCTATCCCAGTATTATGATGCGATGGTACAACGCTGCTTGCTGATCGCTAAAGAACGAAGTACGTAACAGATTATCAATAATTTACAGTACTATAAAGAAAAAAGTTGTTTTGAAAAAATGGAAAAATGTCCTATCGGTTTAGCTTTTACGCGTGATGTCATCGAAAATTATCGGCTCAAACCTAACCTTGATTAAATTGGTCAGTATCGCTTTTGATAAAACGAGCCACACTCAACAACAAATACTCAATGGACTTTACTTGTAAGATTGGTTTCGCTTAGTACTCGTGTACTTCGTATTTTTTAAACAATACTTCATTTTTTTTGCAAAACGTATTTTTATTTTAATTTTAATTTTATTAAAATTGCAGCTCCTCACGGTATTCAATATTATGTGCCAGACATCCGGCGGATTTATGAGGCTTTGGGTATCGCCTATCCACATCCAACGAATCAACAACCACAATTTTCCAGCAACAATGGTGGTCCATCGAGCAATGGTCGAATGCATGGCAACGATGTTGGTGCTGGTGTGATGCCGAGCCTGATGGGTACGGGTGTGGCACCACCACCACCGCCATTTTGCGCCATCGCCAGAGGCCAGTCGATGCCACAGTTTGCTGGCCACAATCAAATACTTGGTATTGATAGTAACGAAACCTCATATTCAAGTAAATATCGTGTCTCGTTTTTTTTCTCCATCAAAAATTTTTCTTTGCTGCTGTCGAACTGTCTCGCGCAACTATACGTGGAAAGGATATAAATCAGGAAATGCTGTGTGGCTTATAACGATTTTCAATTTTTCACTTGCTTCCATTGTAAATTTTATTGTCAAGTCAATTATTAAATTAGATATGTAAGTAATAATGTGGTAGAGTTCGATTTAATGATTATCTTGGCTTGAAAATTGAGGAATCGAATACAAATGAAAAATGAGTTTGATGTTAGACATAGTTGAGTCTTAAAAATTTTCAATTATAAATGCGTTTCAAAAAAACTAATAGATAGTACAATGACGTTTTTTTGAACGTACAAAAGATGTTATCAATAAAATGTTATCGATGCGACAAGCAGGTTAAAAAACAGGCATCACGAAGATGTTGCAGCATACGTGTGTATGGCGTCTGAATGACACACCCGTAGCGGCATCAATGGCGTAAAAGTCAAAAAAATTCATACAGTACTCATTATCATCGATTCTCTCTTATTTATGTTTACTAACAAGGATCCATTATTGTTATTATTATTATTATTATTATTATTATTATTATTATTATTATTATTATTATTATTTTTATTATTAGTTATTATGATTTTCACGGTTACACTAACATACATATTGATTTCAAATCTTTTTAACGCCACTCAACAAAAAAGCTGTATGTAGAACCAGTTGAAAGTCTTAACAAACGATATCTAATCTGTCCCGTTGTTTTTGTCGCTGTTGATCGCTTCATGAAAGGCATATTGTCGGAGATGGGGATGCCGATGAGCCAGGACAGCGTGCCGGAGGTGATCAAGCAGCTGGCTCACGCCTACAAGTGCCAGGAGCGCGAGAATCAAGAAAACGACGTGATGCTTCTCTGCTCTTTGCCTAATTGTCGTGAGACCAAGGACTTGCTTAATCACATCACGACATGCCATGTAGTGGGCAATTGTTGTGGCTCTACCAAGGAAATCATCGACCACTGGAATCGATGCAATCTCGCCGATTGCCCGATCTGCCTGCCAGTCAGGCAAGCCGAGAGAAATCTCAACTCGACCGTTGGTAAGTTGACTTTGCCGACTGCAACTCGTGCAATTTGTTGTTCCGTACTTACTCCGACAATTTAAAAAATGTCGGAGGAGTGACGCGTTTTTTTCTCGCTCTGAAACATGTGATCAGATCGCAATTCTATTTTCATTTAGTCGCGGCGTTCGACCTTCAGAAACAAGCTGTCAATTCAATTATCAAATTAAGAAAGCTTGGATTTTCATTGGATAAATTTGCATTATTCTGCCGAATCGTTTCCTAGTCCGAGAAAGGTATTACGAATTTTTCCCGCGAAATACTTATTGAGGCTTACGAGACGTCGTCGATAATTTTGTTTCAGAAATAAAAAAACGTCGTGTGAAAACAGCTTAAAAATGTATATCGTTTCATGACTTCTAATTAACCGTATCTTTTGTGTCAACAGTGACGGCGAGCCCGAACAATCAATTAACGATAAACCCATTTATGCGTCGACCGCACCGGAGCATGGGTTCGAGCTACCCCTCCACAGCCACATCGGGTCTACTGTCGAATCAATCGCAGGGTGGTCCAAGCAACGGTCTGGGTCCACGCAACGATCGTATCTCGCCACGCTCGTCCATGTGGCACTCGAATTACGACAGCTGGCGCTCGTCTAGCGGTGCCGATATGTCTATAGATAATAGCGGCGGTGGTGGTGTCACTGGTAATCGCCGCATGCAGCCCAGATTCTACATGCACAATCGCAATAATAGCGGCAATAGGCACGAAAGACGAGCGCCGCCTTACAATAATCCTTGGGCTGCTCCGGAGATCATCTTTGTGGAGAACAATAGGCAATCGTCTAGAGGACCGTCGCTGTTCGGTCCTATTGCAAGCAGGAATACCGACAGATTGCAGGGCTACGGCGCCCCTTGGCGTTCACCTGACGTTCTCTTTGTTGAGAACGTTCGACCTGCACATCGCCAACCTCAAGGTAATTTCATAATTTTAAACAATTCATACAGCCTTCACATTTTATTTTCTACTTTTGGTAAAATATTTTCCATCCACACAATTTTTTTATATTTTTTTCAAAACTACATTTAGTGATTGGAAATAGCAAGATTGTTGAATGCTTAAAGTACTACTTTTTTCTTATTATTTTTTATGAAAAGTAAAATGCAAATTTGGTTTTTCTTTGTAATAAATTCAAACTAAAACGAAATAGTGTTGACTTTTGTAGACTCTGATGAGCCAGTTATCATACCATCTGAAGAAGATGCTACTCCATCAGAGCAAGCGCAAATGATGGCGAGTATACAGTTCTATAAGATGTCATTAAAAGTTTCTTTGAGAAAGATGATTTAACAGTGTATATATTAATAGGCCATCGTCAAAACATTAAAATCATCTGGCGGTCGGTTAGAGCAGAAATACCGTTGCTCACGACGTAGTTGTTGCGCCTTGTGGCCGTGCCTGCACCGGCGTTTAGCCGCCTCGATTCAGAGCCTGAAGACGCCTATCCCGGGATGATCGGTACGCGGGAATCGCGGCCGACTATCTTACTGCATCTCAGGGCTACACTTCTATAAATCGTTCCTCATCATAGCGCTAGTTTATTTTCAAAGTGAGTTCTATTTTTATACGCAGAGAACGACTAAGGAGAATGCGCTTGGCAAGCAGGTACAAAACGATATGACGACTAGTAGAACGTCGTGGTCGTTGTTGTTGTTATTTACGAATATGTGCTGCTGCGTATGGCGAGCGACCAGTAACTATTCTGGCGATTACGCCTGTGTAACCAAATCTCGTACTGTGTGTAAATTTTCATTCGTTATTTAAAACGACTGCGAGTGATTCATTATTATTATATCTATATACATACATCTCTCTATCTCTCTCTACTTTCTTTAAATTGTACATTATTAAATACATCGGATTAACCTGGCTAGGTTTGTTTATATTTTTCTTTTAAGGCTCACGGCGGGTGAAAGCGTGCGTGCAAGTGCGTGTGTGAGTGTGTAAATGTGTGGTTGTGTGGAAATAAATGAGTATATCTGGTATTTTTTCATGCCGTCGTACAAAATTGTGATTTTTCATCGGTAGAGAGATATATAACGTCGAAGGAAATATTTTTTAAAGTAAGATGAATTCCGATATTTTTCTTTTTTTTTTTTGTTCGGAATTAACATACACGATTGTGAGATCTCGAGTTTAAGTTCTGAATGCGCGCGTGATATACAGCCTCGATTAAGGGAGCAAGGACCTTAGGCGAAATGATTGTTTATTTTATAAAAGAGATGGAAAAAAGTTTAATTTTAAATTGTTATCTAGGCACTTAACGGTATTATCAAACTTGCGATTTATTTTTTTCTGCAAAATTATACAATGAATTTATGATAATGTATTTTTATATAGGGCTCAATAGCTTTTAACGAATTATATAATTCTATATATGCGACTTATAAAGGGTATATATGTTTGGTATTCTTTCATTTGCTAAAAGCTTTAAGTTGTAATTAGCTAACGATCTTGAAGAAATAAAATAATATGTATGCGATTAATTGATTAATGATAATCTCTTATCTCTTTTTTATACATAATCGGATTTATATGTATTTTGAGTATTTAAAAACAACGTTCGCTTTATTGGTTGCTCATTCGCAATGCGGTATAGTTGTTGATAGAGGATACAAAGCAATGGACTCTTAATTGTTAACGGTCTTACTCTCTCAAAACTTAACTTAACAAATAAATCGATGGAATCAACTGTTAGGATTTCTGATAATCCAATAGTAGACTTTCAATGAAAAAAAGTTTGTGACGATAGATTATATGTACTGTACGACTTGTATTATTTTAAATGTAAGGACTTTCATTTATCATATCAATAGATTTATGTTTTACATATTAATGACATTATACTTGTATCGTAATTCGTATCATAAAATCGTCAATTAAGGGAAAGAAAAACACAAGTCACCCTTGTATAATTGTTACTGCTTGCTAGTAAAAAACCTAGAAGTAGAGACGTATTTTAATGACGAAAAATACGCATTTATAGTAAATTACGCTACGTAAAAGCAAAGTTAGCTGTTCTTGTCACGGATAAGGTGACAGGCGTGACTCTCTTTGCTTCCAAGTGGCGTATATGATTTTTCTGCGGAACGTAAAACCACTGGAAAAGCGCATGACTTTTCTCGCCAAAGTTTTGACGCCGTTGCTGCCTTCCAGGCATAGGTTATAAAGTATTACGGGCCATGACGCGCATTTACAGAAAGATGCGCAGTTGTACATGTGCGAAACTCGACCCCTGACCGAGAATGCAGCAATTGCGTCAGAATTACGATGAGAGAAGTCACGTACTTTCCCAATGAGGGATGCGGAAAAATAATAAAAAAATGAAACTTGTGATACAACATAAGAATGATTTTGTAGATAAACGTAAAAAAATGAAATAAAAAAGAGGCATATAGCCACTCGACTGGCAAAAGGAAATCCGACAAAACACTTGTGTTATATTGTATCACTGTTTTTTATATCGCCTTCAGACGAAATAAAAAAAAACAATAAACGAATTCTCTTTGTTGATCACTTTCGCTGTTCGTTAAAATGAACCCGACAACTGCGCGCGTGCGTACGGTGACCAAACACAGTTGTACATTGTCAATGAATGTTCCCTTAATCGAACGATTTTTGATTGTATACCGTGTACGATTGAAGCTACCGAGACAAATATAATGAATTTGTGAGACGCACACACAATCGATTCAAATGTAAGAAGAGAGATTTTCGGCGAAATTTAAGAATGCAAGGACGAAAAAGAAAAAAAAAACTTTAAATTGTGCAATATATGTGTATAAAGTGACGAGTAGAAAAGTTGGTTGAAAATTACGATCATCCATTTTACCAAGCGAGCGGAGCAAAGGAATAAAGCAAAGAATCTTGGATCTACAGAGCGTTCTCTTCTTTTCCTGTCCGAAAACACGCAAACATAGCCAACCGAAACGAGCCGACGCACTTTACACTTTCTCAGCGATCGAGCGAGAGCGAAGAAAAGCGCTGCGTCCTCGCGCCTGCAAATATTCTATTTTAACAATTCATGTATTTGTGCTGTTCGTAAGAATTAGAAATTTGATCAATAAAAAGACCAACAATCTCGAGCGTAGCGTATGTCGTGCCCCCCCCCCCCCCCCTTGCATCCCAGTCTTTCCTCTCCGCGTTCGTCGCGCCAATTGCCGAAGTGCTTGCTTGACTCGATAATCGCGCGTTCAATAATACGCGGCGCTGTGCATCTATAGATAGCTACCCGGATGTGTTGCGCCCGAATTGGAAGAGCGCAGATGGACAGCGGTTCAAAGTTCAGTTCGCCGAGACCTCATAATACCTTTGGCCGAAACGACGACGCCGGGCGCGAGCGGAACAACTGTTTTCGAGGGACCAGTGGAATACGACAGTCGTCGTAACGACATACGGAGATAGCGAAGCGCGCCGGTCGACGCGACTCGGCGACGAGCAGGGCGCTCCCGCTTCGGGGCAGTTCGAGAGGCAGCGGCTCGCGGCGTGTTTGCGCGCACAGCCGCGATCCGCGAGCACGAAAGGTGAGCCGATAAGGAGCGCGCGCGCACGGGCGAGGCGCGATCGTTGTCTCGAGCGGACAGCCGCGTCGATCCACGAGCGGCGTATTGGCGCTCGCGGCGAGCGCGATAAGGGAGCGTTATAAAGTGCAGGCGGGTCAAGGGTCGCTGTTATCGGCGCTGCCGCGGCGCTCGGCGACTTGCAGCGCTCTCAGTGTCGGCCCGAGAGCCGCGGAGCTCTGCGTCCAGTTGTTGCGGGCGCGCGCGCGACACACGCAGCCTGCGCGGTAAATGCCGCTGGAGGATGGCGGGGACGCTGCTCGGCCTGAGCCGCATCGTCGACCCACTCGTGGCCGTGGTCGCCGCCGCCGTGCTCCTGCCGACCCTGCTGCTCGGCTACCCAAGTACGTCTCTGCGTTCGTGGTTTGTTTGGCCGTCTCGCTATCTCGACGGGGCCGCGGAGCCGCGCCGAGCGCAAGGTACCGCGACGCAATTGCGCGTTATCGGCCGGACGAGACGCTGGGTGCAACGACGGAGATAACGTCGGCCTGCGCGCACGGCTCGGCCGACGGCCCCCTCGTCGTCGCCGGTCCGTCCCGCCCGCCGGTGCCCGCCGGCGGCCCGCGCGGCACACAGCGGCGGGCGGGACGGGGCCGTGCGGCGCGCGTGACCCTGTGCGTTGTCGCGCCCCCAGTCTGCCGCTACTCGCGGAGATGCCTGCTGCGGTTCGTCCAGTGGAAGTACCCGTACTGCCGCGTGGTGGAGGAGAGCAGCACGCGGAGCATCCTGGACCAGGGCAAGAATCAGGTAGGTGAGCGCCGGTCGAGGACGCGCGGCGGCTGATCGCGTGCTGCTCGGCGCAGGGCATCTACACGCTGCTGGTGGAGTGGCCGTCGCTGTCGACGGACCGGCTGCGGGCGCACCTGGGCCGGCTGGCCTCGGCCAAGCCGCTGCTGCGCCACGCGCTCACCACCAAGTGCTGCCTGTACGCCTGGGAGCGGCTGGATGAGTTCAGCGTGGACGACCACCTGCTGGTGTCGCCGGCGTCGTTCAAGGGCCGGCCCATCAGCGAGGCCAACGTGCAGGTCGTGGCAGCCGCGCCTGGCGCTCGCCGACCGCCCGCGCCAGCTCCGCCTCCTCTCACGCGCTCTGCTTGCAGGACTACGTGAGCGACGTGACGTCCAAGTACCTCGCGGGCGCGCTCTCGCCCTGGCAGGTGCACCTCATCGGTCAGCAGTCGCGCTACGTGCTCGTGCGCGCGCACCACCTGCTGCTGCGCCAGGAGCAGCTGGCCCCGGGCGACTTCCTGCCGCTGGAGCGCTCCAGCTGGCCGGCCGCGGCGGCGGCGCGCGACGCCGCCGACTCGCCCTTCGCCAACCTGTACGCCGAGCCGTCGGCGCTGCCCAGGCTGCACCAGCAGCTCACCGAGAGCTTCAGCAACGTGTGGAACGAGTTCCTCTGCAACAACGACCCCACCGAGCGCCCCGAGATACTCAAGAAGCGGACCAGTCTCTGGCAGTGCGCCAAGATCTGGATCATCGTCTGCTTCTGCTTCGTCAAGGAGCTGCGCAGGTAAGTGCCGCCGAGCGCCCCTCCCCCCCGGCTCCTCAAACCCCGATAACCGCCCGTCGCGCTCGGTTCGCAGGCAGCGCGCGCGCAACGAGGCCCCGGGCCTCGGCGATCTGTGGCCGGCGTTCGCGCGCGAGGCGCGCAAGCGCAGCCTCAGCTGGTCGCTACTGGTCCAGGCCTCGATCAACCTGCTCAATCCGGCCGAGATGCTGAGGACCGGGGCCGCCTGGCTCTGGTATCTGGCCGTCGTGGCCACGCTGAAGACGCCCATTCTGCTCTGGCGGGAGATCCGCGCCGCCAGTCTCCTCAACGAGCACCATTACTATCCCGACAGCCTCGTCTCCATTCTGTCCTGCTACCTGCCGCTGATATTCAGGGTGAGTCTGCCGTTTCCGTCGTCGCTTTCCAGCAGCCGAATCACGGAAGCAGCGAACGGAGGCTGGCTTAGAAGCGCGTACCGTGTCTTGTAAACGATACGGATAACGCGGACTCGACGACGATTCGTCGTTTTGAACGCGGGTACGAAGTATCGCGATCTAATATCGCGCTGCACGAGCTCCAAAGAGCACGAGAACTGACGAGCCAGCGTTTGCGCCTTAAAAGTGATCCTCTTTTACGAACGGCGGCGCCGAGAGCGTCCATTTTATCTTCGTTTTCCACGCCCACCTTCCGGCGCTTCAATGACGCATTTGCCTGCCATCGCACAACGCGTCGTTCGCTGAACTTAGCGTGCCCTCAGTTTTGCCACAATAGTTGAGACGAAGCGTTTCTCGAACAGCGGGCGTCAGTCACACGCACTTGGCCGAAATGCTTTTTTTTCTTTCGGACGACCGGCGCACGTGGACGGCTGAAAGTAGCGCCAAGCCATCGCCCGCTTCCGAATGGTGGCTCGTATTCACGCTGCATCTCTCGGTGCATCGAGATGGACTCGGTGTAAGAGGGCAGGACTGATCGATCGCACGCGCGTAGTCCGAATCATAGCTGCCGAATTGCCATCTTGTTTCGATGCTGTCGAAAGTTGCAGAAAGAGCTTCGAGGTTGATTATTATCGCATTGTCAAGTGCACGTGTCGAGCGTCGGCTGTTCGTCGGTGCCTCGCGAGGACAGCTTGCACGCGCAGAACCGCGGCCCCCCCGCCCCCCAAGCATCGCCGGGCCACGGCCTTCGCGAACGAAAGCCGCTCTCGCGCCGCGAGTAAACGCGCGACGAGGTAAACAGAACGGGGGACGGCCGCGGGAGAGCGACGCGAAAACAAAGACCGAGCATCGGGCCCGCAGGCGAGCCTGGAGGCGCTGTCCATCCTGGCCATCGCCGCGGGCGCGCCGCTGGCCATCATGGAGGAGCTGCTGCGCGGGCGGGGCAGCGACGAGCTGCGCGCCGTGTCGCAGAGCGGCCGCAAGGTGGTCGCCTGGTCGGAGGAGATCGAGGTGGGCCTGCTGCAGCGCATCGCGGCGGTGAGCGGCGCGGCCGACGCGGAGATCCTGCTCGCCGCCGCCGTGGACTCGCTGAAGGAGTACTTCCGTTGCGCGGCGCGGCCGCTGCCCGCCGAGCTGCTGGCCACGGCCAAGTTCCGCAGCCAGCGCTCGCTGTACGCGGCCGGCCGCGAGCCCGGCGCCGGCGGCCTGCTCTGCCTGGCGCTGCCCACGCGCGCGCCCCTCCTCGACGACGACCCCGTGGAGATGCTGCAGGCGGTGCAGAGCCGCGTGCGCGAGGCGCGCCGCCGCCAGCGCGCCATCTACGCCGTGACCGCGGCCGAGGCCTCCTCGGGCCTGCTCACCCGCTGCCTGCCCTCGGTGCTGCTCAAGCTCGCGCTCAACCACCTGAGCCGGCGCTACTCGCTCGCCATCACCCACGTGGACGGCCAGCTGCCCGTGGACGGGCTGCGCTCGGCGGTCTTCTGGCGGCCGCCCCAGGGCAACTGCAGTGAGTGCACGGCGCGCGCCGCCCGCCCGGCCGCGCTCTCGCCCGCGCTCTAGCCCGCGCTGTGTTGCAGGCCTCTCCATGACGCTGCACCGCCACGCCGAGGTGGTGCGCCTCGGCGTCATGGCCGACGCGATGCTGGGCCCGCAGCACGCGGCCATCGCGCGCAGCTTCCCGCGCAGCCTCGACAAGCTGGCCAAGACCCTGGGCGTGCCCGGCTGCCCGTCCGGCGCCGACGCCGCCCAGCCCGCCCGCTGAGCTCGCCCCCGGGTTTACAGATTACCAGATTACACCGGGCCCGAGCCGCTTTCGCATTTTTCAGCAGCTTATTCCACGTGCATCCAGCAAGTCGTCTTTCGGATAAGGCTAGTGAAGATAACAATTTAATATAGAACCTTACTGTTATTTAATCCAGATGAATTTTTGCTTGTCAATGTTCGTGTCTTTTCATATTTTTCATGTAAATACAGCAATAAACGTTATAAACGTCGAAAAATGCCGAATCCCTCTCGTTACTTCTCAGTTGTTTATCCCTGTCCTTGACTGCTGTGGCATGAAAATATCGCAACTGGACTTGTTGCCTAGCCTTTCGATTCGCCCCTCGAACACATTCACGTTGGCATTTCGACAAGTTTGCGAAAGAAATCCTAAATAATTCCTCTGCTGTTGCTCAAGACAGCAATATTTACTTCAGTCTCGCGAACGGAAGTCCGATTAGCGATTGGTTAGTCACACAATCGCCATAGCACAAATCCAAAACTTCACCTTGTATTTTCTCCATACGACTTTATTCGCACGAAGAAGCACGATGGGATTCAAATTTTGACGGATTTAATCACAACCTATGCAGAAGCTCTTGCATCCAGTTAAGGAAACGACAATGCCCACTAAAAATATATCGATTCGGATGTATTTCGATCGTTTACCGAATGTCTATGAGACGTATGATTGTCAATCTCACGAAAATATTCTCATTCTCATACATATTTTAATCGCTACGAAATTTTTCGATTGATCTCGCGGCAATTTGCGTTCCAAGCAGCAAGTTAGTTATTTTGTTGCATATTCGATCAGTAGTCTAGTTATCATCGCAGATAAGAAAAATAAAGACTAATCAGTGAAACGTCTACGTAAAAATAAATGTCATGCCGTTTCGATACGTTATGAAATACTTGTAGCAAGCGTTATTGCTATCTCGTTGCATCAGCCAAAAAAAAAAAAGAAGTTGTCGCGGTCGTAAAAGGGCGCTATATAATCAAATTAGAAAACTACGATGTTTGATAAGTGTATTATTATTACTTTTGTACAACATCGCAACGGAACGGTATTCACAAAACAAAGAAAAAAGAAAAAAGGAAATTTAATGACGTAATCCGACGCAAAGTAACGCGATCAGAAGTGACGGAATATTCTCAGCCGCAGAAAGAAAGGCATGTACGTAGCAGATAAAGTTCGTATGTACACGTATGTACATATATACAATGCGACGAGTCTTGCCGAGCGACAAAAATAATCAATTGAACACTCTGCAGGTGTGTATTTTTGTTCATCGTTTAGCTTTAATAACCATCCTTAAAGTTAATTTGTTTAAATACATTCTTGGGAAAACATGTCGAAGGCCAGTCGACGGATCGCCTCTCTACGACGCATAATTACATCACATGATTTAAGTTGTTCTCGCGCACTCGCGCTTGCCAGTCCGGATTACCCGTGAAATTGTCGCTAGATCGTAAGAACACTTGGAAACATTCAACATCGAAGTACAGAGAGGGGGAGGGGGGGGATGTTGGAATACACGCTCGTTAATATTTACATCAGACGTGAATACTTTCTAACGTTTAGAGTTACGCTATGTATTGCCATTTATTTACAAAAAATGCATTTGTTGTTGTTGCTGTCACTGCCCTGCCTTTTAGAAAAGACTCTCAGCCAGGTTTGATTGTTTGTCTCGTTTTCATCGCCAACCGGTCGCCCTAACTATATTCTAAGCAGTAGAAAACGATAAGTCGCACTTTTTTTCCTTTGTATAATCGATTACTTTTAGAATAAGCATATATAGACGTACGCTCGCTCGCGAAACCAATTTCACGCGAGCAAAAATGTTATCATTCGCATCTTCGTCTTTCGTGCCTGATTTCTCGCACACCGCTTCTCATCAAATAGTTGCAGCAGCGCATAACGTTATGAACAATTCGTAATGTATCGTGTATGTACAGGAAATTCGCATTTCTAACTTGTACTTCAAAGAGCCAAAAATCATCAAAAATTGCGTTTATACTACGAGTATACTTCCTTTTTTTTTGTCCTTTTTCGATCTGTTATTATAAATTAGACGTAGTATAAAACTCCTGCGTTGATTACGATAATTATCTAATCGTTATTCTTTGTATACATAGTTAGTTTTAATACCGTTGTAACATTGTATCATGCGTTTAAAAAGCCTCGATATAAGATCGACGAATATTCGTTCGAGGACTACCGGACGAAAATTAAAGTCACCGCACATTTGAATTTCGAAAATCATCTGGAATATCATCGTTGAAGCATAAAATATGCACTATCGCGATAGATGCAAGTTGTTTGAGCCATGGAAACAAGGGAGTAACAAATTACTTTCTTCTACTGCTTTCATTTCTTTCCGTCTGCGTTAATTCTGCAGACTTATCTTTGCGTTATCTTAATCGTACAAGGAACTGATGCCACGAACAAAGTAATAATTAGCCTTACCCCAAAGTTTCAACGATCGACCAAACACGTATCAACGATTTTCAACTCGATCAACGTGTGCCCTAGGTATAACTTTGCTCATCGCTGAGTGCGCAAATTATACCTCAAATGGAAAGTGTGTAAGATCGTTTTGGTGAAAACAAATCTATTCACGTGGTTCATTCGCTTATGGCAATTGTAACAATACACTTCATCCTAGCGTCGCTGGAATAAAAAAAACAATTCTCTCTCACGCCGTACGAAACGATCAACTCTCAACGTGCACGCAAGTAATCAACAAGGCAATACTAAGCTCGAAAGCAAAGTAAAAACACAGGCGCAAAAGATCTTTTCAACAAAATCGCAATCTCAGACTCGTATAACAGAGGACCTGAGATCGGTCGTAGTGTATACAAACTTAACGGAGACAGCGCGCGCAACGCAAAGAGATCGGGCGTCCTAAAAAAAAAATCAACGTTATTGTACAAGCACGGTTTTTGTTTTTTACCCCCAGAATTTCCGAAACGGGGATCGTTTCCGCGGCTTCGCCGATCCAAGGTCACTCGAACGTCCTTTTTACTGGTATAAAGCGATCGGCGCGACGTAGTCTCGCTCGAAATCCCGGCAGTTACTGACCCACCTCCTCGCTTCGGAAATTCTCTGAAGACAACGAATAACAATAAAAGACACCCGCAATCTGCCTTCATGAATTGCAATCGCTTGGATATGATCGATCAATCCTCGACTAATTAAACAATTGGCTATCCGGGCAACTTTCTCATTTGAGTTTTTTACAATTGACTATATATAAGGTTATTTCTTTGCCCTACTCAAATAGCGACTGCGCGCAGCACTATTCTACGTGTGCGCGAAGCTTCACGAGGAGGAAGGTAAAAAAGTAACGGTTTATCACACAGCGCTTTCTCTTTTCTTGAATTCAGTTCCGACGTTTACTGTTGCGAGGATATATTTGATTTTCGTATAATCAAAGGAAAACTGTGCCCTCGAAAGAAATCTCTTTTCTAAGAGACAAAAATGCTCACGTAATTTTAACTTGCCGTTAGAAGTCGACGAAAAATCTCATAGAGGTAAAGTATTACAAAACTAATGTTCTTCTTGCTATGTCCCGTGATTAAGTTAGAAAATGACGAGAATGCTCATGACAAACGCGCTTGTTTACCTGGTCGTTTTTTCATTTATAAAGTCACTTAAAATATTCCAGTACTTTGATTTAAGTAAACATTTATGAAATATTACAAAAGGACGTATATTACAGTTCTTCGAAGTTACGAGTGACTATCCAACATTCGCTACTGATTGTTACTAGATTTGCTCATTTGAAAATGGCCTTTTTCTCATTATTTTTGCTCTGCGAAAAAAAATAACAATCGATCCATAAATCTGGAATACGCTATGCAAGCGTTTACTTTGATATCGTACTCGAACAATCAACGCGCACAATATTAGTGTTTGACGAGGATTCGCGTTTTCGCGACGTCATCGAGAGAAATAAAAAGAAAGTAAATCCGTCAAACCGCTGCACGCGTTTGTCGTAAAAATCATACATCGAGGAGAAGAAGAAAGCCGGCCGTTGACAAAGAAAAATGCTCGGTACGAGAGATTCCTACTTATAAAAATCGATCCAGTACGCGTGTAAACGATCGTCGAAAAGCCGACGAAATTCTACACGTTGAATTGATAAAAAAGTGTAAGAAAATAATCCATTTTGTACCGTCGCTGCGCGAGAAGCCTCATTCAAAATGGAAGACCGTCGCGCTGCTCTTGCCCGCGGTCCAGTCGAGCAAACACATTTGTCCAGCGTAGAAAAGTCGATCGACTCGGGCACGCTTGCTTTCCATTTTCAATTGACGGGCCGTGTAACGCGTCGCTAAACTCTAACGGCTCCCTATGTACACGCGCGCTGCACTACAGAGCTGCGTCGAAACTGCGCGTACGGCAAAACGAAAAAGTGAAGAGCGCCGATCGCGCATTGCGAAGGGCGCGCCTTGGCGCAAGAGCGAGCGACGAAGCAGCGGCGAGGCGGCGAGGCGGCGAGGCGGCTGGACTCGCTCAAGCCAGGCACTCGCGCTCCCTTTCGGTTTCCACGGGACCGCTGCCCCAGATCTTCTTGTTCTTGGTGTAGGGGATAATTCCCATGAGCAGTCCGGAGACGATGATCCAGGCGCCGGCCATGAAGAACGACAGGTCCCATCTGTTGGTCAAGTCGAAGATGAGTCCGGCGAGCGGCGGTCCGAGCAGATTGCCGATGCCCTGGCAGAGCAGGCTGAGGCCGTAGGCAGTGGTGAACCGCTCCAGGGGGATGATCTCCACGAGGATCACCGGGGTGAAGCTGAAGTTGCTGGCGAAGAAGAGGCCGAAGCAGCAGCAGGTGACGCCCAGCAGGACGTCGTTGTGGACGAAGATGGGCATGAGGATGACGGATATGCCGCAGGCGATCAGGCACCAGGTATAGGTCTTGGTCACGTTCATCCAGGGCTGGTCGCCCGCCCAGCCGAGGCCGATCTGCAACCGAGATTAGCGCTGGAGCCAAGCACTCGAAGCCTCGGGGCGCCGATGCTCACCATTCCGATCGTGTTGGTGATGCCGATCCAGCTGAGCAGATTCGCGGCCTTGGCCTCGCTGTAGTCGAAGCCGCGCAGATACTCGGCCAGGTAGAAGTAAGGCACGATGAACCAGGTGAAGAGCAGGATCGTGGAGAGCGACAGCAGCAGGAAGTGCAGCTCCGAGAACATGGAGAAGTCCATCATGCCTTTGAGCAGGTCCAGCAGCTCGCTGTACCACTTCTGCGAACGGGCGCGAGCGAGCGGTCAGTGGGCGCGGCGACGGCGGCGGCGGCGGGCGCGCGGCTCCTCACCTCCTCGTTCTCCTTGGCCAGCGTGGTCATGCTGTTCCTGTAGATGTTGGGGCAGCTGCTGGCGCGCAGCCGGTACTTGTGCAGGTTGAGCACGGCGCCGCGGTACATGACCGAGTTGCGGTGCACGCGTATGTCCTTGAAGTAGTGCGTGTTGGTGCTGAACTGGCGGCGCAGCCAGGGCAGCGAGTCCGTGCGCACGACGCCCGGCATGCAGCCCGGCAGGTGGTGCCTCGAGCCGCCGCGCTTCTCCGCCTCGGCGATCTGCAGCAGCAGCAGCGGCGGCGGCGCATTGTAGCAGCTCGGCGCTCGAGGCTTCGCGATCGACTCACGGCTTGGGCGACTTCTCGGGCGAGCAGCGGGTTGGTCTCCTCCAGGTCCTTCCTCGACATGCGCCTGGCGGCCAGCACCTTGGTCGACGCGTGCGTGGAGCCGGGCCGCGACGACTGCGTCTTCTTGCCGGCTTTCTCCCTCTCCCTGTCCTTGTCCCTGTTCCTGTCCTTGTCCCTGTCCTTGTCCTTGTCCTTGTCCTTGTCCTTGGCCTGCTTCAGCCTGCAATCGGCCGGTTCGCGCCGGCGTGTTTTACGAGGCACGTGCTTGCGCGACACGACACCAAACAACGCGAGCGCGCACGCGAACGAGCCTCGTGCTCCGCGGTCCGGACGCAAAGCTGGAAAACTAGGGGCGAGGGTGTTCGGTGCGTGGCATGCGAGGGCGACCGAGTGCGGAAAGCGGAAATAACAAGTGTGCAGGTTGCAGATATCAGACCAGTCCTGTAACCTCATCGACATGGTGACGCCGCTCCTGCTGTTGATGTCGCCGTTGGAGCCGAGGGCGTCGAGCTTCTTGTCGGAGGCGCTTCGGCAGAGCAGCAGGCTCGGGTAGTTCTCCAGGATGACGTTGTAGAGGCGCGAGTTGGACGACAGCGACTCCAGCACCTCCAGCGGCACCTTCCGAGGGCCAAACCGATCGTGAGAGCCTCGCGGGACGCGTGGCAGCACGACTCACCTTCTCGCTCTGCCTGACGAAGGTGGGCAGGTTGACGACGCTGCGGAAGGCCGGGTTGCCGTCGCCGGCGCTGCGCGTCTCGGTGCTGGTGCGCAGGCTCTGCAGCAGGTACTCGGGCGCGTGGCCGCTCTTCATCAGGCGGCGCAGCTCCTCCACGCCCGGGAACTCCTCGTCGGCCGGCGGGCTGCTCTGCGAGCGGCCGTCCTGGCTGCGGCTCGGCAGCGCCGCCTGCGACTTCTTGGGCGACAGCTGGGCCTGCTGCTTGCGCTGCTCGCGTATCCACCACTCGGGGTCGCGCATCACGCAGCCGCACACGATCATGTTGAAGAAGGTGCCGGAGAGCAGCAGCACGCAGCCGCGCCAGCCGTACTCGCTGATGAAGAAGGTGGTCATGGGCGCGTAGACGAAGGTGCCGATGCCGGTGCCGCAGGCGCCCAGGCCCACGGCCAGCGTGCGCTTCTTGTCGAACCAGAACGCGATGCTCACGACCGCGGTGACGTAGCACAGACCCAGGCCCAGGCCGGCCAGCACGCCGAAGGTCAGGTACATTACCCCGATGCTGTGCACGTAGCTGCTCAGCACGAAGCCCGCGCCGCTGATGGCGCCGCCGGCGATGGTCATCTTGCGGCAGCCGTAGCGGTCCACCAGCGCCGACATCACCGGCCCCGAGAGCAGCGGCACCGCCATGAACAGCGAGCCGATCCACGAGGTGGTGGACTTGGACGCCTCGAACTCGTGCAGGAACTCGCTGTACAGCAGGCCGAAGCTGAACGACACGCCGTCGGCGATCATGGAGATGACCAGCGAGGAGACCACCACCACCCAGCCCCAGCCGCCGTCCGGGATGCGGGGCTTGCCGCCGGCGCGGCCGCCCGCCTCGCCGCCGTCGTCCTCGCCGTCCTCGTCGTCCTCGTCGTAGATCTCCAGCATGGTGCTCGAGCCGTCTATCGAGTCGCGCTCGCGCGGTTCCTTCTCCTGGTAGCCGGGCAACGAGCTGGTCTCCGTCTCGGAGTACTTGCGCCGCACGAGGATGCCCGCGGCCCGGGCCGCGCGGGGGCTCGAGGCCGCCGAGCGCACCGGCTCGTCGTCGGGGCCGGGGTCGGAGGCGCTCGCGAGCGACAGGTCGGCCTCGGCCGAGAGCAGCTCGGCCGCGCGCTCGTCCGCCGCGCTGCTCAGCCTGCCCGTGTCCTCGTCCGCGTCGTCGTTGTCGTCGTCGTCGTCGTTGTCGTTGTTGTGGTCGTCGTCGTCGTCGTCCTCCTCCTCCTCCTCCTCCTCCTCCTCCTCCTCCTCCTCCTCGTCGTCTTCGTCGTCTTCGTCGTTGTCGTCGTTGTTCTCGTCCTCGTCGTCTTCGCCGCCGCCGCCACCGCCGCCGCCGCCGCCACCGCTGCAGCCGAGGCCCGAGCTCTCCGAGGACTCGTTCGCCGGGACGGCCGGGCGCTCGGGGGAGCCCGGCAGCGGGCTCAAGCTGGCGCCGCGCCAGCCTGCCGCCGGGCCCCGCCTCGTGGCGTCCTCCACGAAGCGCTGATAGTTGCTGTTGTCCTTCTTGGCGTAGAGGCCCTCCTTGCGGCCGGCCGGCTGCTGCAGCTGCTGCTGCTGCTGCTGCGTCTGCTGCGCCGTCTCGGCGGCGGCGTTGTTGTTGGCCTGGTTCTTGGCACTGTCGTGCGCCAGCGGGTTGCGGTTGCGGTCGGCGGCCGTCTGGCCCGACATCGCCGCGCTTCTAGATGTAGGTGTTGCTGGTGGTCGAGCGTTGGATGAGCGACCAGCGCCTGGGCCAGCCCTTCAGGCCTTCGATCTCGCCGGGTGAGCCTGCGGGGTTGCCGCGGCAAACGCCTACCATAGGGCCGGCGACTGGACCCGACCGCCGCGACGAGCCGATCTCCCGCGCCGCGCAACTGTTGCTCGCGTCGGCGCTGCTCGTCGATCCAATCCTGAAGAGCAAACACACGCGGAGCGCGTCGTGCTCGTTAGTGGCCGATCCTGTGGCTGCTTTCCGCGTGCTCGCGAGAACCATCTCCAATTCGCCGCCCTGACGTCCGCCTCGTCTTTCTCTCCGATACCCGACAAAATGCTCCATTCCAGCCAATTCCTTGCGTGAAGGCAGCGAATTCGAGACAGTTCCGTTTGCCGCTCGACTTAAACAGCGTCGATATTTCATGCACTAGAATTCGAATCGTTGTTTCGGACAGTAAGCAATACAAATAATTAAAAGCCTTCATTCTCTTTTCTAATGAAACATTACCTGCTACTAGCGTTTAATGCATTGAGTAATTAAAATGATTAGCGTGCAGTGCATAATTGAGTACCTACATCTGTAATATTAAATGATACGCCATGCCAAGTCCGCGGTCAAAGTTATCAATCTCAGCACTTCCAAAATGCTCTCCAAGATTGACAACCAAGATCGCGCGACATGAAAAATTAAACAAGTAAATAAAGAAAACCAAGCAAAACTAGTTACTCACCATCGGGGTAATGTTAAAGAACCACAACATTAACGGACGTACAGTCGTGCTTAGGTCTAGGAAAGTGCATGCGACACCTAGAATTGCGTTGCGAGCATTACGTTGCATTAAGATTATTACATCAAGTTCGGTATACGCAACAATACGTCAATCAAACATTAACAAACTGAAAGGAAAACTTGAGTTTGTTCTTATTTTTCGGTTCGACAAGAAGTGCGTGCGCTTCGTAAAAACGGAACTTTGTGTGCTGTAATAAAATCATAAATTCAAGGCTGAAAGAAAAGAGCGTGATAAGGTAAAAGACTACAAGGGTTACAACCTGTAAATAATACAACAAATTATACAAGCGTAGATAGTAAAACAAAATCAAAAGTGTAATTAATCGAGTATATCGTTAGTACTTTGCGAACATGAGTTCGTTAGTAGGGCCATTCGCGAGGAGACGAAATTTTCCGACTTGGCGTGTCTACGGTTAGCTGTTCGACGACGGAACTTGTGGGGGGCAAGCGATTCTCGCTTGGTCGAAATTATTCTAGAGCTCAGACGAGCAGCTCGGTCGGCAGATTGATTTACCGTGCGACGTGTTTACCGGGCGCCCGAGTGCGTCAGCGTCGCCCGAGCGCAGCGCACTTCTCCGCGCCGTATATCATCGCCAGGCCTTTCGTCATTTGGTTGGTTGGGCTTATCGGCCGACGCCCCGCGCGCGTCGCGTCTTCGCTCCTCTCGGCCGATTACCATCACGGAACTTCGGGGCGAGGTCGGGGCGGAAGCTTTGCGCCCCCCTCCCCCCGTCCCGGTACCGATCGGCGCTGGCCGCGACAAGCGCGAAAAGTCGCGCGACAACGAAACCGCCGAGCATTCGCTGACCGCGGACAGTGCACGCGACGCGCGCGATGGAGACGTAACCCGGATTCCGCCGCCTCGCGGCCCACGTTGCACCTACGTCATCGCGCGCGCCCGCGCGCGATTCAGGTTTGTGGTTCATCGATTCGCCGCCGCCGCTCGGCCGCCCACGAGAGTGATCCGCCCATTGATGCTGCCAGATCCGCGTGAAGGTTTCGTCGATTCATCGCGAGGACGCGCGCGACTGCGCCGCTGTCTCTCTCTCCCTCCCTCACCGAGGCGCCCGCCGTCCGCCCCGAAGGAGATCGCATTGATCGTTCGCGCGAAGGTCGAGGCTGCTGCTTTCGCCTCGCACGCAAATCGAAGGAGGTGGCGGGGAGGAAAGCTTTTCCGCGTTTCGCACGCTATACGAATCCGCAGAGAAGCACGCGCGCGATCCCCGCGAGCAAACGGCCCGTGCTCCCGGAAAGCTCGCAAGCTCGCCAAGCGCTCGGAATCGTGCGCGAAGAGAGCGACGGCGGGAGGGGGCGGGGGGGTTGCGTGCTTCTCGAAGTGGGACAACGCAGGGCGGCGGTGCCTCGACTACGTCATCGCCGGCCAGCGCTGCTGGCTGCTGGTGACGTGTGGCGATGCGCCCTCGCGTCGCCATGGCGACCGACCGCTCGATCCCGACACCGACGACGACGTCGAGGAATGGCCGTGTGTTATTGGCTTGGCGCCGGGGACCGGGAATGCCGATTTCGCGGTCGCGCCGCTCGGGACGAGGCTTCGCCTGCTCGACCGTATCGATTCGCCGAACTGCCGCTTAACGACGCGCTCAAGGTGACGAGCGCTTGTGCAACGGGCTCATCAACAGATAACGCGCGCTCGCGCGGACGGCCGCGCCGTGGCGTACAATCTGATCGCGTAATGTACGCGCGACGCGCGAGAAATGGTCCTTTTGATAAAGCCACGCGGCAGGCACGTCGGCCTCGGGACGCCGTGATTTATTGGGCCCCGCGACGAGCCGAAGAGGGAAAACCAGCTGCTACCGGCGCGTGTGACTTGCCGCTCCTCCAGCGCGGGTCAGGGACTTCCATTCGCTCGTCGGCTCACGGATCCAGCGAGCCGACGCTTCGCGTTATCGCGCGTGGAAAGTTTGTCGAGCGGCGGTCGGCTTTCCACCGTCGGCACTCGTCGTTCGAATGTCGAGACGGAAGCTCGGTTTGCGCCCCGCGTACGCCTCTGCCGAGTGCGAGAGCCGCGGGATGCCAAGTGACTCTGCCGAGCGCGCAAATTGATTCCGATAATGGCATAGCTGCCCTCTATTTATCACTCCTATGCGGCGAGCGCCAACGAGCTGCAATTTCCTGTCGAGCTCCACTACCAGCATCGTTCCTCTTTCGATATCACCTATATATATGTTGCCTCTAGCCGGGTCGCTCGATCGAAGCACGCGACGCGCGGCCGATCGGCTGGCGCCCGATAATAGGGGCGCGACAACACGGAGCCTCTCGCGAGCACTGACTGCGCCAACGACTCGGTCGATCGCTCCGTCGTCGGAAGCGCAGCGCCGGTACGCGAGCAGCGAGGGGCGGCCGATGAAAAGCACGCGACCTTGACTTCCCGAGTGCATCGTCGCCGCGTCCGCGTAGCTCGATGTCCTTTCGACTTTTTTCCCGATCGAATTTCCGCGAGTCTAGCCTCGAGCCCCGAAAAAATAAACAAACGAATCGCGACTTCCAGCCGCGGACTTGGTCGGGCGAGCATCGATTTTTCGAAATCGGAGCAGCGCAGCGCAAAAAAATGACCTCTCGCTAATAAGCCTCGCGTTCTAAAAATACCCGACAAACACGCGAAGTCGCCGAGAAAGAGAGAGAGAGAGAGCGAGGGTGGGAGAGCTGCTTTCACGTGACGTTCACTGCATTCACCGAACCCCTCCCGATGTCAAACACGTGTCTCGGCAGGCACGTGGCGAGCGACGAAAAAGGCCAAGAGGCAGCGGCCGCCGATCAAAGAGATTCGCCCCCGCGCGAGAGTGCGGGAAAAAGTAGGTCGCGTCGGCGGATGCGCGTGCACGGATCGGATCGCCCCTAAAAATACTACGGCCGAGGGTATAAATAGAGCCTGGAGCGAGAGGGAGAGAGAGAGAGAGCGAGGCACCAGCGCGACCTTGCCAGTGATCCCGCGGCCGCGCGATAATTAACGCGGGAGGACGAGTCGAGGATCGAGAAAGGTGTCAGCTCGTCGCGCACGTGCGCGCGCGCTTCCCTCCCTCTGGCGCCGCCGGGGAACAAGTTTCCACGTAAACAGGCTTCGGCCGTCTCGTGGAGCGTCGTCGGGAGCCAGTCGCGCGCCGCCTGATTCCTTCGCGCCCGGATCGCGAGCCACGGCGAGCTGCACTCTTCGTCGGCCCATGGGCGCGCGGAGCGACGACGGAGGGCGGAAAGACAGCGCCGCTCGAAAGTCCGCGACGCCGTCGAGCGGGCGGAGAGCGAGAGAGAGAGAGAGAGAGAGAGAGAGCACGTGTGCAGGAAACGCACGGGGCTCTGGTTCGCGCGAGGGTGTCGCGCAGCCAGCCAGAAATCAATACCCGTCGCGGGCTGGCCGTAACGCGCGCGCACGCAGTGGCGGCGGGAGGCGCCTCCGCCCGGCGCCTGTACTCACCGACGGCAGCGGGCCTCGATGGCAGCAGGGAGCAGCCTGGTCGCCGAACGATCACCGCTGGCGACGCGCTAAACTCTGACCGCGGACGCGGCGCGTTGCGATCGGCCGTGCGAGCGCTGTCGCTCGCGAAGCTCCGGCCGACGACTGGCGCTAGCCGCGGGGGCCACTGCGCCGCCTCGCTCGCGCCCACCTGCGCGCGCGCCGCCAGAGCGCACGCGCGCGGAAGAGCGCGGCCCCGACCGAAAGCTCGCCCACCGCCCGCGGGCCGACGGAGCCGCGAGTGCTGGTCCCGCCGCCGCCGCCTTCGCCGCGGCTTCCTCCCTTTGGCCGAGCGCCGCTCGCGGACGCCAACGTAGCTGCGAGTTACGCGAGTCCGGCGAGGCGAGCGCAAAAATGGATTCGAGACCGTTATTTGGGCTTTCCGCGCCCCGCGTCGGCGCCGCACTCGGAAGCTCGCTCGCGAGTCGCCGCGAGTAAGATTGACGAGCGCTATATTTAGCGCGCGCCTGGCGCGCCGAGAGAATCGAAAGTTTTGCCGAGCGCGTAACGTCGGCGGGACGACAGAGGGTGACGAATTTACAACGACGACGATAAGGAGCGCGCGCCGCGGAGACGCCGGCCCTGAGAGATAAACGGGGCGAGTTTGCCGAGGCATCACGCCGAAGTGCGTCAGAGAGCCAGACGCGCGGTTTCTCGCGCGAGGCGCGTGGAGGAGGTCGGAGGAGGTCGGCGGAGGGCCGCGTCGGCGAACGGCACGGCCGGCGCGTGCGCCCGAGCCCCTGGCCTTCGATCGCGGGAAGCGACGCTCGGCAAGCTTCCGCGCGAGCTTGCGTTCTCTGATTTGGTCTCGGCGAGCCGTCAAGGCGATAAGGCTCGCGACTCGCTATCTCGCTCAACGAGGAGTTCGGTGCCAGCGCCAGTGCAGCTTCCGTCGTCGCGAAACGCTCGATCGGTCGATTTTGAGAAACGCGAAGTTACCGAGCTTTCCACTCGTCAGTACGTAGATGAGGAAACGACATTCGGGAACTATCGGCCATTGAACATTGAAAGATACGGGATGAAAGAATAACTCGGAGACTTTTTTCATATGATATTTTTAATTGAAATAAGACTTCATCACTTAGCATTATAATTCATGCACAGAGATGCTTTTACAGGAACGTGACGCCTTACAAGTGTATAGGTATGTATACAATTCCAAAATGGTTTAGGTTTCTAAGTCTTGTCTGCTCTTTTTTTCGTCATTTATTTTTCTACGAAACAAAGTACTTCGGCTGAAAGGCTTCTTTTTCTATAAATCCACAGAAAAACTCCCGAGTAAAGTAAATCGAGACGACAATGGTTAATGCGAAACTCTTATCCTTCGTGGGAAAAAATACTGCATTTTGTTTTTATTGACGCCTTGTTCTTACGATAGCAGAGATGCACAAACCGATGATCGCGACGAGCCAAATGAAAAGTCAATTCCTCTTCGCGGCATTGATAGCGATTCTGGACATTCTCAAGACTAGCCCTCTCGCGGACTGTCATTCCGCGTAAGAAATAGATAGCGTTGTGCTTTTTTTCTTTTCAGGACCTGCCCTATTGAGTTTGCCGTCGCGTCAGTGACTTTCGATCATAAATATCATCGTGTTTGAAGGCAATGCTTACGCGATAGTGCTATTCTAAAGCTTATTAGTAGCGGATAACTCGCTAATTCACGAAGATCGTTGAGTGAACACACGGAAGGGAGAGAGGCGTTGCTCGGTGCACGATTCTCCATATTGATATTTACTTTCGTTGCCGCTGAAAACTACGCCCCGGTGGCACGGTCGCGCTCCTCCCCACTCGCTTTGCGCTTAATCTACTTTGTACACTCCTAATTTATAGAAATTTATCATTTTGGCTGTACGCATATTTCTTTTCGCTAGCTTCGCCATCTGCCCTCGTGCATAGTAAAATATTGCTTTGTAAGATTCGTCGATTGATCATTTACGCAAGTGCTCCTCGCGAGGCCGCGGGACGCTCCGACGTCTCCGTAATCCTCGCGCAAGCAAAAAGGCAAATAGCTTCGCGCGTCGGTCGCTCGCGAGCGCGCGCTGCTCCGGAGAGATTACCATGCCGAAAACGAGCGGAACCTAAATTATTCCTACCAGCTAGACGCTTTGCCGTATCTCTGGTAAATTGTATTTTCCGTTAACTGCTAGTTTGGCGACAAAACAAACAGGAGGATAAATTATGTCACACACAATGTTCTTATGCTTAAGAAAATGTTTATTCAAGGTTGAATTATAAAAGTGCGGAAACTTTTTACGCTCTGTGTGACTCGATAAGAAAACGAGCTCGATTTTATTATTTTTTTTTTTGTTTTTTTGTTTTTTTGTTTTTTTTTTATCGAACATCATGTCCGAATTCAACGTAAAAGCGATTTTAAAGAATCGAGAAAACGAAAAACAACAATAGTAGGGACTGTGGAGAAGGGCTAATAATGTACATGCGGTATATCGTAACAACTATCAATAATGCCTTTGACGGTCTCACTAGAAAAGTTTAAAATGTTCATCGCTTTTTCTACGTATTACAAAGAATTTGAACCGTTTGAAGAAGGCAATTACGATTACCAATTGGATGCTTTCGAAAGTTTGAAGGAAAAAACTCTGGCAATAATATTTCAAGGTTTTCCAATACCCCATAAAAGCAGAGTCGTTTAAAACATGCCTCAAACAGTCCGTTAATTATTAAGATGTGTACTGAACGCAGTACAAAGCAATTGACTATCGGAGTAAAAGTATTTCCAAGAAATTGAACAATTCAATTCCAGAAGCCGAAAGTCGCTCGCCTACGGTTATCCGAATCGAATCGGAGAAAATTGCGTAAGTGGACTTAAAATTTAATGGAGAAAAGGTGATTCAACGATCCTTTCTATCTATTTTGCCACTTAATTAACAAAACTTTTCCTTTTAAATTTCTCAATGATACACGAAGTCTTAACATCAAGTCACTGTTTTATACTATATTATTGTATTATATATATAGTCATGCCGCACATTATTTTCTTTTTTCTTCGCAGTCCATAAAAAACACTCGACAGAGTTATACAAAAATAATTACTTTAATTCCTTTTTTTATCTCCTTCTTTCTTCATCCTATCTTTTCTCTACACACTCTATAATATTACAAAATAATTTGTAGTCTCACGCTTGTACGCATCCATCTTAATGCACATCACAATTATCAAAATAAAACGCATAAAAAAAAAACAACAACAACAACAAACAAACAGAAACCGCGGTGGCGAGCTTGCCTCGAAAAGCTTTGTGGCGTAGGAACGAATATTGAAAACGTAGATAACGAAACTGAACGACAAAGAAAAGAAACCGATTGTACGTACAGAAAATCACGACGCGTTAATTGTTTGGTAGCTAGCGCAAGTTGTACAAAAACGCAAGGTAATCAAGCACTTGATCGCACACTTTGTGTTTCTTCGCTTGCAAAGTTCGCTCGGTCGCGCTCTATTTACAAACGGCGGTCGTGGCTTTCGCGAGATGCCGAACGGAGAGTTCGCGAGATGCGAGGGAAAAACTTTAGGAAAATAATTTCTTCGGAGCGCTTCGTTTGCTCAACCGGAAGCTGGTCGATTGTCCGTCGTGCGAACGGGGAAACGAAGGACAAGACTCGTCGCGCAATCCATTACGAGTATCAGCGCAGTATCCTGAGATTCAAAAATTGCCTGCGCGGTTAATTCGCTCGAGCGCGCGGATTCGCCAGGATCTTCGACAATTGCACTCGAGGAGGCGAAGTATCCGCACTGCGCGGAGCGTCCGCCCCACCTTCCCCAGCGCTATTTGCATATTTCCTCTGATTCAGAATTTGCTGTCTACACATCATACTTTATCATTAACGTCTATCTGTCGTCTCGCACTCTCGCTATTATTTGCTGTTTCTTATTGACGAGCTTGCGTCGCCAAAATCGCGGAAGTAAAGGGGCAGCTGTTGTGTGTCTTCGTAAGTCATAATAAGGTTTTACTCATCCGGTTTTGGTTACGCACGCGTCATTAATTATTTTATTACGCCTCGTAAATAATCTGAAAAAACTACCTCTTAAATATATTTAGCCTGGACTACAGGTCGAAACGAAATTTGTTTTTTTATGACGATACTCGGAGGTCCACGGACTCTGCCGTAAGGCTACATTTTTCGTAATTAGTTTATCAACTAAATTATCTTATTCGGTAATGTTATTTTTTCATTTTTGAAACGTTCAAGAACGAAGACGCTGCATCGACAGAAATCTACTGATCGGTCGAAGTTTACTTTGTTGATTATCCTGAGACTATCAATTGAAATAGCAATTGTCTGACCAATGGAAATCACGCAAGGATAAAAGAAGTATCCGACAATGAGTCTGACACGAGTGAGAATAATCGTTGAATCGAAGCGTAAATCGCAAAAGTCGATTAGTAGCTGGCAAACGCAACGTGCTTTCGAGTTATCCCGTGGCTTCGGTACATTGGCGAAGAGAGTCCACGGAGGGGAAGAAGAAGCAGCAGCCACGCTGCCTGCGGAAACGAAAGAGGGAGCAGCGGCGTCGCCTCGTTCACACGCTGTGGATGCCGTCGAACCTGGGCTCGACTTTGGCCCCGTCGCCGGCGCGCTGATTGGACTTCTTGTAGCGGCCATACAGGTCCTGTAGCGGCATCACCAGCAGCATCAGTCCGCTCAGCCCGATGAACGTGCCCGCGAGGTAGAACGACAGGTCGTACGTGCCCGTGATGTCGTACAGCCAGCCTGGAAGCAATATTCGCACTTCACTTTTCCTTTTTCTCTTTCTTCATCGAAGATTACAAATAAGGCTATCTCTGCTCGGAAATGGCGGAGATAGCCGTGCTTCGAGAAGCTTCTTGGAGCTTCTTGATGACTTTCGACCGTCTAATTGTTTTTTTTATCCGTAATCGCGTTTCAATGTTAATTTGGAATATCGATTAGAAATTAATTTGCCCGCTCGCCATCGTCCGGCTTTTTATCGAAATCGATGAAACTTCCTAATCAGATATACAACAATAATGTTGACATTAGACGGCCATCTGCCCGCCAAGCTGTCGTATCTTATCTGCCGTCAGAGCCGATTTTTCGCTCCGCATTACTTCTGTAAGCCATCAATTAATAAGCTGATATCATCACCTCGTGTTCAATTACGATGATGGTAGATCGAAATTGACATTTCTCGCCGATCTCAATTCGCGAACGGAGCTCGCGAGTTATTCGTTCTCCATCGGCGAGCGGCCTTTTGTCGCGAGTTGCACAACTTTAAAGAAAAAATTAATGCTCAAGTTACGCGATCGATTCTGCATATCTCTGTGATCGCTTTGTAAACTTGTCTTTGCCTCGTTTTGCGAATCCTTTAATGCGATAATGCGTGTAAGCGTGGCAAGACAAGAAAAAAAGAAAAAAGAAACGACGAAGCACCGAATGACGGTTGCGAAACACCGATTTTACAATGAAAAAATTGGCGTTGCCACATCGTTCGAGAGAGAAACAAAAGAGGAAGAGGAAATTCGAGCAAAGAGCCCGCGAGGCGCTCTTCGACGCCTCTAAAAATACCGCCAAAACAAAGGACATCCCCGTCAGCGAGAGAGCGCCTCATTAAACGCGCCCGCAACTTGGGCTGTCCCTTTTGTCGGCAACGCGATCGATAAGCGTCTCGCGCGCGACTCTCGCTGTTAATTAAGCGTGCGCGGGGCAGAGCGCTGCTCGAGCGGATTCGGTCGGTCGCGCGAGTGAGAAGGAGAGAGAGAGAGGCGCGCACACGTGCCTCGGACGGGATAGGCGCGCGCAAGGTAAAGGTCAGGCCGCGCGACACGCTCCTCGGCCATTAGCTCTCCGTCCGAGCCGCTCGCAACCTCGTTCCCCACAGCGACTGCCCCGCTAAGGTCAACTGCTACGCCTAATCCGCTTTGCTTGCACCAGGGTGGACGATCCTCGCTCTCGCTTGCGCGATCGGCCGTAACGCGATTGGCGGCCGAGTGCCAAGCCAGTGCGAGACGCGAGTTCCGGCGACAACGTTCGCTATATCGCGTCGATCGATCCCACCACGACGAGGACTAGCCTCGGGTCCGTCCGTCGATCGCGCGACCACGCGTCGGCGCCGCGCGCAGCTTTCGCAATCCCGCGCCGACAGCCACGCGACAGGGCGGAGAGCGCAATTTTCGGCGACGGCCTCTCGCCGCCGACCTTGCACCCGAGGCGGCGCGTCGCGCGGCCAAGAGCGCACGCGCACCTACCGGCGAGCGGCGGTCCCATGAGGTTGGCGATGCCCTGGACGAGCAGCAGCAGCCCGTAGGCGTTGGTGAAGCGCTCGAGGGTGATGGCCTCGACGAGGATGATGCTGGTGAGGCTGTAGTTGGCCGCGACGAAGAAGCCGAAGGCGCCGGCCAGCGTGCTGAGCAGGTAGTAGCGCCTGACGGCCATCGGTATGAGGGCGGTGAACGCGCCGCAGATGGCCATGCACACCGCGTAGACCACCGAGGGGTTCAGCCAGGCGCGGTCGCCCGCCCAGCCCAGTAGGATCTGCGCCGCGTGTCGGCATCAGTTGTTCGCGTTAGTACTCGGCCGTGGACGACCCGATCGGGGGTGGAGCTCACCTCGCCGGCCATGTTCGTGATGCCGATGACGGAGATGAGCAGCGAGGCGTCGGACTCGCTGAAGCCCATCTCGATGGCGTTGTCGGTGAGGTACATGTAAGGCACGTCGTACCAAGTGTGCAGCAGGAAGTTGCTGATGCTGAACAGCAGGAAGCGCGAGTCCGCGAAGTGCGACAGGTCCAGCATGTCGACCAGCAGGTCCCGGAACTCCCAGAGGCCCGACTGCCAGCCGGCGATTTTCTGCTTGGCGATGGTCGTCATGGAGTTGCGGTAGATGTCCGGGCAGCTGCTCGCGCGCAACCGGTAGCGGTTGATGTTGAGCATGGCGCCCCGGTAGGTCAGGCTGTGGCGGTGCATGCGGATGTCCTTGAGGTAGGCGGTGGGCAGGCGGCGCGGGTGGTCCATCACCGAGGCGCGCCGGAACTGCGCGTCCGGGCTGATCTTGCGCCGCCACGCGCACTCGGCCTGGCGCTCGCTCGGCGGGAGCTGCCGGGGCTGGACAGTCGGCGTCATTTTCACGTCGGCGAGGCTCGCCTCCGCGTCCGAGACTCACCTGCGCGTCGGGGCCGCGCTCGACGTCGCCGTCGTCCTCCTCTCCCGCCTCCTCTCCCGCCTCCTCCCCCTCCCCCTCCTCCTCCTCCTCGATCTTGTCGCGCCTCTTGCCTTCCGGCGCCGGCGGCGCCAGCCTAGGGTTGGCCGGGCCGAGCTGCTCGCGCAGGCCGCTGGAGTCGCTGAAGCTCCGCGAGGTTATGAGCAGGCTGGGGTAGTTCTGCACGAGCACGTTGTACACGTTGCTGCGGTTGCTCAGCAGCTCGAGCACCTCCAGCGGCACCCTCTCGCCGTTGCGCACGAAGGTGGGCAGGTTGACGAGGCTGGAGAAGAGCTTGTCGCCGGCGAGGGCGGCCTCGGCCGGCTGCTGCTGCTGCTGCTGCTGCTGGCGCTCGAGGAGCGCGCCGCGGCCGGGCTCGGTGCGCGCGCTGTTGGCCGAGCTGCTCGCCGAGAGCGAGTCGGCGCTGGAGCTGTGCCTGTGGAGGCGGCGCCGCTGGCGCTCGCGCCGGCGCTGCTCGCTCTTGCGCTTGCCCCGCGCGGTCGTCCACTCGAGGTCGCGCATCAGGCAGCCGCAGACGGCCAGGTTGAGGAAGAGGCCGGCGAGGACGAGGGTGGTGCCGCGCCAGCCGTACTCGCTGAGCAGCCGCTGGATGAGCGGCGGGAAGATGAAGGTGCCGATGCCGCTGCCCGACAGCGACAGCCCGGTGGCGAACGAGCGCCGCTTGTCGAAGTAGTAGGCGACGATGACGACCGCCGCCACGAAGCAGAGCGACAGCCCGAAGCCGGCCAGCACGCCGAAGGTGAGGATGAGCACGCCCATGCTGCTGGCGAAGTAGCTGACCACGAAGCCCAGCGTGGCGAGCAGGCTGCCGGCCACGGTCACGCGCCGGCAGCCGTAGCGGTCGGTCAGGAAGCTCGCGATCGGCCCCGACAGCAGCGGCATGGCCATGAACAGCGAGCCGATCCACGAGGTGGTCGCCTTGCTCTCGCCGAAGTACTCGAGGAACTCGTGGAAGATGACGCCGAACGAGAACGTGATGCCGTCGGCGATGAGGTTCACGAGGAAGGCGGCCGCCACGACCACCCAGCCCCAGCCGCCGTCGGGCGGGCGCGCCTCGTCCAGGCAGCTGTTGCCGTCCGAGGAGGACGCGGTCGAGGTCGAGCTGCAGGCGATCGACGGGCTGCCCTCCTTGCGGTTGAACTGCACGTGCTGCGGCTGCTTGCCGGCCTCGGGCCTGGCCGCCTCGAGGATGTTCTCCTCGTAGAGGCTGCGCGCCTCCTGGCGGATCCTCGAGCACGACTCGGCCGCGCCGCCGCCGCGCTGGCCCGTCTCGAGGATGCGCCTGCACTCGGGCTCGTCGTCCGTCAGCGCCAGCTCGTTCTCGTAGCCCCCGGCCACGCTGCCGAACGCCGCCCGCTCGGCCATGTCGGTGGCCCTCTCTGTCTCTCTCTCGCGCGCTCCTCGCGTCGCGGCGCGTCTGTGGCACGCTTTCAGTTTAGCACACGGCCGACGTCGTCCTTAACAGTGTCCACTCGCGGAGTCGTCGGCGCAGCATGTCGGCGGCGAGACCGCCGCTCGCACGGGAGTCGCTCGGCTTTCTGCGCGGCGGCAGCGAGAGCAGGCCCAGTCCGCGCCGGCTCCTCCTCCTGCGTGCACTCGCCGGCGCCGCTGACGGTGCGTGCCTGCACCGGGTCCGCCGCCTCCTCGTCGTCGTCGTCGTCGTCGTCGTCGTCGTCCTCGCTCTCGTCCTCGTCCTCGTCCTCGTCGCCTTGTCGATCGCCACCTCCGCCTCCTCCGCCGCGCGCGACAGCGACCTAGCCAAGGCACCCATGCGGCGGATGGTTCCTGAGCTTCGCTGGGCTAGACTGTGGAGAGACAACGAGCGGAGAGACCGCGTTAGTGCAGCCGAGCGGCTCGTTCGCTCCAGGGCGAAGGACGCCTCGCTCGGGGCGGCCCGTCGTCCCCGCGAGGAATGCGAAAGGCCCATTGTGCGCCTCGGTCAATTCGCTCTGAAAAGGCCTTTGTGCGTAATTCCTCCTTCCTCTCGCGTACGTGCGGGCGCGCACGAGCCGCGGCGCGCCGAAAGAGTTGCGCCATCGGCGCGCCGGCTTAATTACGCGCGCGGGAGCCCCCGGCGAAAGTGGAGCGGCACGGCGGAAGCTGGCCGTTTGCCGCGAGCGCGATCGTCGCGCCAGCGCTCCGGCCGAGACTATTTAGAAGCCCGCGCGCGCGCCAGTAACGCTCTCGCCTCCAACGCCGTTCTGCTCCGCGCGATCTATTCTCGGCTGGCGAGCGGCGCCGTCCGCCGCCCCGCCCCGGCGCAAGGGTCGGCAGGGTCACCTGGATCCCGCGCGCGGCCAATTCCCGGCGGCACCGGCCGGCCGTCTTCCCGCGCGCGCTCGCCGAGAATAGACGCGGACGCCCGCGAGCACCGAGAGCGCCGCGCGGACAGCCCGGCGAGTCGCGAGCTCGCGCGCGTTATCGCACGGCCGGTACAGACGAGCCGATAGCGCTCGCGCCAAGCAAAGATCAGGGCGGAAGATTACCGTTGCGTACGTGAGTTGCGCTTGGGAAGCGGCCGTGATTCGGCCGATAACGTTCGCCAGCCGAAGCGAGAGAGCGAGAGAGATATCGCGAGTCATCAGCCGTATTTCCACTGTCGCTTGTCGACGGTTCACGCAACGCGACAGTAGAATTCGACTTTACGCTGGGCCGCGTGGGAATCCGTCGCGGAGATAATTGCGGCGACGAGCTGCCCAGGCGCGCGCTCGCGATTGTCCAGTGAGCTTCGGGCGAGGCGCGCGCGCGATATCGAAAAATCGTGCGGAAAGCCGCGTGCGCTCGTGGTCGGCGCAACGCGAAACTAGATGGAGAGAGAGAGAGAGAGAGAAAGAGAGCGGGAAACCGCGCGCTATCGCTGCAGTTGCGAAAGGCCACGGCGTTTTCTCAGAACGAGGCCGAGATAAAGTTTCATTGGGGAAAACTGGTCTTATCGAGAGTATCCCGCGTTGCTTTTCTCGCGCTTTCACCGATCACCCGCACGAGCGCGCAACGAATATGCCAAACGCGACCGCGACGAGAGGAAAGAAGAAGACATGGATCGCCATTATCGCGGTCTCGGCTTCTTCGTTCGTATGACTAATGCCACTACTGTACGACGCGGCCAGGTACAAAGTCCAACTTTCGTCGGCAGCAATACAAGTGATATCGGCGCGTCTTTCGCCTTCCTCGGCCCCGAGCACGTGCACCGATTAATTCGCCTTGCCTCCCACCGCCCTGTTGGTCAGCGCACACGCGAACGAACGAGCTCGGCGGTGTGTTCGCGCGCGCCATCGAACCCGCGATCGATGGTCGATCCGTGCGCGCGAGAAATTCACTCGCTACATCGTAACCGTTGTCCGCGCGCGATAGTCAGTCGACAGCTTCCCTCTTGACGGGACAGCTTTCGCGCTGGGTCGAGGGCGGCGATCGAGGGAAAGACCGGCGCGCGCGCGCAAACCAGCGGCGAACGGCAAGGCGCGCACCTGCTTCCTCGGTGGCATCCTGTCTGGCTGTCCTGACTGGGGTCCGGTCGAGATATGGAGCACTGCGTCAGCGGAGAAGCCTCGAGAGGTCGAGTGTCCTCGTCGTCAGCATCGTTCCACTTGCGCGCACACACACTCTCACACACACACACACATACACACGCGCGCGCGCGCACGTACAAGGTTCGGCTGCTCGCGGGAGGATGGCCAAGCTAATACTGATAGCCGGCAGCCGTCGCGCGAGGCGACGGAGCTCCGAAGGCGGCTGTTTGTCTCTCTCTCTCTCTCTCTCTCTCTCTCGCTCTGGCCGCGTGTGCGTGTAAACGCACTCAACGAAAAGAGAGAGAGAGAGAGCTCACGCTCATCTCCTCTTGTCCACGTGCCGATAGGCACTCTCTCTCGCTTTCCGCGTGACTGTTCGCGCGCGCGGCGAGGACGCGCTCGTAACGGCACCTCTCCTCTCCCGAGGTGAACGATCCGCGAGCGCGTCGACAGCCTCGCGCTCGCCGAATGTTCGGACGCGCGGCCGATGCGCTGCTCGTCGAAGGCTGGCGATAAAGCACGCGCTCGGCTCGCGCGACTGCTTGACCGAGCGAGAGAGTTCGATTCGCGACGAGGCCTTCTCTCGCTGACACTCGCGAAGCCGCGCGTTGCGCAATCTCGCGCGCGACTCCTAATTGCCGATCACGCGCGGCCCCTGCAACGAATTCCGATCGCTCGTGTTTACATCGCCGAGTCGCCGCCGATAAACCCCACTGACCCTTTCGCACGTGGGACGCGTCCCGAGAGGAGCGCGACCGCCCGGCGCCTTTATCGGGCAACGGGCCGCCCGAACCCGCGTCCCCTTATCTGCAGCCGCGTCGATTCTCTTTCGCGTGTCTGCGCCGCCTCGTCCGATTCGCCTCTTCCCTCTTGTTCGCGCTCTCGCGGCTTATCGGGAGGCTTTGTTTCGCTCTGCGGACGCCGCCTCGCCTCGTTCCAGTTTCTCGCGATCGTCGAGCGCCTTGTTTCTGCCTCGCTTCCAAGTCTATACGTACGCGCGGTGTTCGGCAATCGCATTCGCCGATCAGCTCGCTTGCGAACGACTTCTCCTCGAGGTTACTCGTTCCGAAGACTCTCGACGACTCGATGACAATCGACGCATCGCTCGCCGCTCTATTGTCGATCTCGAACGTCGCCGAGCGCGAGACTTATTGGTTCGCAGCTCGGTGAGCTTTTGCTTGACTCACCGCCACGCGGAAGTAACGGCGTTCCGCCGGCGCGCGTAGCCGCTTGTCCAAGGCCAGAAGCTCGTTGGCTTTTCGCTTTCCCTCTCGCGTCCGCGGTTAGTTCCGACGCGCGACCCTCGCCTGCGACGTAAATTCGCCGAGCGGTACCACTGCGAGACGAGTGCCGACCGAAGGATAAGTCCGCGCTTGCGAAACCGGACTCGCGAATATCCGTCTGGCTCTATTTGTTGTGGGCAATTCGTATCGCGAAGGTGAATGCACCACAGGGGAGGTAGGGTCGATCGCAACCTCGCCATTTATTCATCCGCCGGACGCGATCATAGGCAACACTTTAATGCTGCCGCGGGCAAACGCTATCGAGAGGAAGAAGCGTGGTCGCCGAGGTCATTATCGCGACCGAACGGTTCCTCCTCGTCGAATTTCAGTTGTCCCTCTTCGTCACGTCGAGCTTTTCGGATTATTCAAACGATGCCAATCGCGGAAAACACATCCGCGTAAACGTTGCCACATGGTGGTCTTAGTCTTTTCATTACGCTCGTCGTTTTTCACATATATGTTCAGCGCTCTGTACAAAGTAGCAGTTGAGAGCAGTTGCAAAGTGTGAGAAAAATAACGGAGCCATCAATTAAATTTCCTCGTAAACGTTCTCCGGTCGTAAAAATCAACAATGCGAATCGTTTACCACCCTTGACATTGTCATGAAGTGGAGCGGGGGGCGAGGGGAGGGAGGGAAGTGCGGTGACATCCGCGACCCTGGGGAGTAGCTCCCGGCCGCGAAATCTCGTCAGGGCCACGCGCGCCGAGTTACGTAACCAGGAGCAGCGTAGTGCTGGCGAGCCTCCAAACTCTTCTATAAGCCTACCAGCGACGGTCTTGAACTTGGAAATCGATGCGTCCTGTACATATATATAGCAAACTGCGGCGACGGTGTTATTCGTTATTAGGAAAAGTCGATCCTTCGTTTTCTCTCCCTTGCTTTCTTTCGTGCCTAGATGACTGCGGATTGATTATGGGCGATGAGACTCCCGGAGGTTTGACGCACTTTTGACGAGGCATTGTAAATTGAGCGATCAGGTCAACTCCAGAATTTAACAGCTTAAGTTTATCCTTCGTAAGAACTTCCGTAAACTCGATTCATTAACTTGAACTCGAAGACAAAATTAATCTCAACAGGTAGTTCTAAAGCCAAAAAATCGAGGTCTACGTGTCTTTCCGTGCCATTTGCCAAGACCGTTTTCCGAATGTAATTTCGCAGCTCGACAGCGGTAAAAATATTTGGTCCGTTGAATTTCACGAATATCGCAGTCTGCCAAGGCCTCGCCGAGTCGGTCGTGTTTTTACGACGCCAGCGGCTGCGCGTTCCCTATCGCGCGAATTGATTCTGGAGCGTTATACACCAGCGAACGGAGACGAGAACGAGCTAGATCCTCGCGGTGTCGGCCGACGCTATCGGCAACGGCGCGAAAAGCGAGTTTTCATTCAGCGATGCTGGACGCGTTGGAGCGCGAGAGCGAAGGTCGAGGGCGGCATCGACAACGGGGGCATTTCCGAGGGTCCGAAAATATCCGAGCGTTTGCAAAATCCGTCACGGGTTTTTCCGAGCGAACAGCTCGCCGTGTCAAGGCGTGCCTGGGCTTTGACGATGGAAGCGCCGTCGAGCGAGAACGAACGAGAAATTCGCTGAAAAAAAATTTCGGACCGTTTCGCGCTCCTCGATCGAGTCGCTAAGGGCGACAGATCGCGACAAATGAAAAAAGAAAAAAAAGAAAAAAAAAAAAAGCACGCACGCGGAGCGACGACGAGAGCCGAGGTGGCCGCATGTATACGAGGAAGCAGCGATCGGCCGATCGGGTTGCCCCGTCGTCGGATTTAACGCAGCCGCGCTCGTTCGTCGCTACACACATATGGGGAATAGCGCGCACATGCGCGCGGCCAAGACGTCGAAAAGGAGGCGCGAGACGACTGCGCTTTATTATTAGTCGGGGGCGCGTAATTATAGATATCGGATAATCGCGTGTCCGCCGTCGTGCAACGCCACGCCGCTTGCCCTCCGGCCCGCGACCACGAGTCACTCTCCGGTGCAACTCGGAAGGGAGGAGGGGGCTGCTCTCCACGCCCGAGAATCGCTGGCGGTTGTCCTGCCGCGGAGAGGGCGCCGATGACCTCGCAATTGGCGTCGACGATTGGCCGATGTGGGTTGCGCGCGTGCCGTCGCGTACGACGCGTCTGTAGAGCGACGACGTATCGTTGCGCAATTCGCGCGCGCCGTCGTTGTCGCGTCGGAACGATGCCGAAATGGGAAGAGCATCGTCGACTAATTGCCCGCGGCCTTGTTCCACAATCGCGGCGTGCGGCGTGCGTCGCGCGGAACGCTCTCCCGAGCCTCGAGATCTTTCTCGAGCTTGGAAATCATTACTCCGTCGCGCCGCTCTGCCTCGGATGCATCAAGAGAGCCCCCCAAATCGCTCGCGATCGCCGCGGACGGCGAGCGTTTCTGGAAAATTACCGTCCTCGGCTCGATACCGAAACGATGCATAGCCGCAGCGCGGCGTGCGAGCAATTAGCATGGCGCGAAAGCTCTCGCGAGCGGCGCGGTCGCGGCCTTCGATTTTTGCCGCGGCACTATAGTAACGTCCGAAAATAAAAGTTGAGGTCGAGCTGCGGTGGCGCGTCGGAGATTCGCGTGGCCGCGAGTTTGGCTGAAAAATTGAATGACGCACGGTTGCCATCGTCGTCGTTCCACGACTCTCGAGCGGGAACGCCGAACTGGCCGTCGGTGGACCGATGCCGTCCGAACAGCGGCGCCCGCACAGCGAAGCGAGCGAGCGAGCGAAGCCAGCTAACGCACTCGACAGGAAGGTGCGTGTGCGCGCGCGCGTGTGTGTGTGTGTGTCTCTCTCTCTCTCCCTCCCTCTATCGCGCGCGCGCGCACGCGGAGACGAACGAGAAGCTTACCGAGAGGCCTCGTTGGGGCTCGCGGCGGACGCTAGAAGATGCCGACGCGCCGCATGATCCGGGCGTGCTGGTCGTCGTGGTGGTCGTCGGCCGTCCGGTGCTCGCTTCTCCTCGAGGTCGGGGCTGGCAGCGGGAAAAGGGCACCCAGTAGCGCACAGCCTTAGCGCGCCTCGCTCGCTCCTCTGCTGGTTGCTAGCTAGCCGCGGCGAGGAGAGCACATGCGCGCCGCGCGGTACACACGCCAACTCTGACGTGCGCGTCTCCGAGTGCGAGCGGACAACTGCCCCGCAGGGCCACGCATGCGCCCCGCTCGAGCCGCAGGGCGCGCGCGCGCACGACGCGGATCCGCGACCACCACCGCAGGCCTTCTCGACTCCTCGCGCGAAGGGGGGCTTGCGAGCTTTGCGCCGAGTCGCCTCCGCGGAGGATGCTGCTTTTCCGTTTGCGAAGTCGAGGCCGCTCGCGATGCGGCATGCTCAACATCGATCCTTCGCTTCTTCCTCTCCACGCAGAATTTTCTGAATATCTTTCAGCTCCTGATAGTCATCGAGGATTTTTATTCTTCTTTCGTTTCGTCTTTAGTTTGAATGCAGCAACGTCCCTGCGCGGGATGCATCGATTTTTATCGCCGTCTCGTCTGCAAGCTCAAATGAGCTGAGTGCACCTAGAAAGCGTTCCGGGTGAGCCAGCACCTTCTCGGCGCAGTTCGTTGCCAAAGTCGCGAACCGCGCTCGCCAATTCCACATAGCGCTAATTTCACGAGCATGAGCCATGCTCAAGGTTGGCGTGTCGCGTATACCCGAAAAGCCGAATGTGCTAATTGCGAATTGCTTTTGACAAACGCGCGCGGACTTTCGCGACAATCTTTCCGTTCACGACCTACAATGGCTCTCCGCGCTCCTCGAGCCGTTCGCCCTAGTCGATACCTGTAATTTTATCGAAAGCAAGCAGTACTACGATCGTTGAACAATTAGTGAAATCGCAACGCGCTGCTAACAGGAAAATTTTAAACGGTGTTCTATTTTCGGATCGAAAAAGAAACTGGTTTCGTTGTATACACCAAGCCGAAAGGCGTTTTCATTAATGGAAACGTACGCGCGTTAGATATGAGTAGAGCGCGTGCCGCAGTACGAAAAGAAATTCGGATTATATACATGTACGCGCGATTGCCGAGATAGACAGAAATAGAAAATAAAAACTTGCGTGTTCATCGTTGAATCGCGAATATCGGTTTTGCGATTCTCCGACTCCCACGACTCTAACGCTTTCCATGGTCGTTCCATCAACGATATCGCAGAATATTCCACATAATTGGTGTTGGATTAATATGAACAATGTAGAAAAGCAGCGAGATAATTACATTACGCAATTTCATTTGATTACGTACTCTACTACCAGTTCGAGCGTTCCTACTGTAATTAATACGACTACAGCTAATTGCACCCGAGGAACAAACTCGTACATGTACTCGTACAGTTGGAAAATGAGAAAACAATAAAGAGCGTATCGCGACACCTTCAAACAAATTAACGATATTTTAGCGCGTCTCTTTGCGCTCAAGCCAGAGCCACTCCGTCGATTCAACTGGAACTTGCAACAGCTTCGTCTGATCGGCCGAAACCCGTCCGCCCGTGGGACGTGGGAGAAAAGTCTACGGGGAAAAGCTATCAGGAGAAAGGGCAGCGACAGGCGCGCGAAAATTTGCAGTCGTCGGTGACCGTGGAGGTCACCTGCGTGCTCGCAAAGATCGATCGCCGACCAACTCTGCCACGCGCGAACAATGTCAAGTTTGTTTGCGCGTGAGCGCCTCTCAAGCTTTTCTGCAGAGTTGCGACGGGTTCGCCCCCCCCCTTCCGCCCTTAAAGTTGCCATCGCAACTACCGATAGCCATGTCGTCACACGAAAACGGTTGATCCTGATTATATAGGCAGTTTGTTCGTACGTGAACGGAATCGCCGATATCGCATTAATATCGTTGCCATTAGTTGCTGGGATACACTTATATCGGCATCGGCTCGCATCGATTACACATATTTTCCACATGTTAAAGGAACTCAAGGAAAATCAAGTCGTATTAGTCAACTGCGGATAAGCCTTAATTAACTTTTATTACGCGACGTTTCATGCGGTATTATCGTTAAATGACGCTCGAAGCATCGAACGATGAAAACAACGTTGAAACCACTTTTGTAAAAATGTCGGCTTTGGCTTCGGCTGACGGAAAAAGCTCTCATCCGAATCTTGGATACTATGTAGAAAATTAATCAGGCTATGATTATATGCATCTTGTCGACGCTCTATGGCGAAGTGAAATTCAAAAGCGTCGGCGAGAGATCACCAGGGTATCGCAATCCGCAAATCGACCAAACAAATGTACGAAATCGCATTCGCACGCGACACACGATTGCCTCGCTCGTTCACCGTCAATCGTGAAATGCGTCGTGTCATCGACGATGTATCGACCTGATCTATATCAGCACTTGAAGCGAGAGTTACTCCTGACCGTTGCTGGTTACCCGGCTGCCCTTACGCGCCTGCGATTCGATTGTCCGTGTCGTCACCACGGCCGCCACGCTGCTGTCCCAAGCCAACAACAGTGCGAATGTAGTGATCGTCAGGCGTCGAAGGCGCCCGAACCGGGATAGCATCATCAGCGATATGTCCTCTGATAAGGTAGCTTATTTTTAAATATCCCCACAGGACTTTTAATCGAGGCGCTGTTATTATTTGCTTTCACGTTACTGTCGCTTTTCTTTTTCTTCTCTTGCGCTGATCGCGATTCGCGACGCGCACATAACCTGCAAATCTGCTTTTGTTCGTTTTCGCTGCAAGCTTTCGTTTTCAAAATCCGATTACACTATTGTCGAGCAGTTTGATCGATTATGAAATGGAGGTTTGGTAAAAATTGCCATGCATATTACACAGATTTGCGTGATAAAAAAGATGGGAAAATAATGTCGAACAATAACAATTTCGCTTTGCACGCGTTTGATCATTAAATTTAGCAGACAATTTGAATTTATAATGTCCTTGTGTTCCTTGTGTTATATTCATAAATAATATAAATAATTCCGAATTTTTGAAAAAATATTCGTGACTTTTAAAGGTTTATAAGATTTTTATTATTATAGATTACCATCTTCTGATAAATTTTATTTTAAAAATATTTAATTTTTAACTAAAAAACAAATATAAATTATTTTTAATTTTTCATAGGTTCTCTATCGGTTAGATCAACCTCATGGCCCTGGATCTGTTTATGTATCTTGGCGTCCTGGCAACAGCACTCACTTAGCCACAACAGGATGTGACTCCACAGTAGCAATCGTAGATAGGCAAGGAGAGTTGCGAGAACGCTTGCAATTAGCTGGCTTGTGTACAGGTTTTGGATGGGATTCAGATGGAGATATTCTAGCTGCTGTTACAAATAGCTCATCGATCATTATGCTATGGAATGCAACCACTGGCAAGAGATCCCAAGTAGATGCAGGTGTCAGAGATGGATTGACGTGCATGATGTGGGCAAAGAAAAATTGTTTGTTAGCTATTGGGACTCAAAAAGGGAATCTTGTCATTTATGATCACATTAATTCAAAGTATGATAAATGTCATATTATTAAAATTTTAAAGCTCAATGTTGTAAGAAATTATTAATCAATATAACTTGGTTTCAGGAGGATACCAATTTTAGGAAAGCATAGAAAAAAAATTGTTTGTGGTGCATGGTCAGCTGAAGGTCTTTTAGCTCTAGCTGGAGAAGATAGGATTTTATCAGTTAGCACAAGTGATGGAGATACTCGTAGAGAAATAGAACTTCATGGTGATCCAACAGATATACAATTTAGTGAAATGAAAATGGATCAGAGACCTGGTGGTGAACACACAGTTAGTAACTTTAATATTTTTAAGAAAAATGAAGCAAGCCTAAATAATATTTTATTTTTTCAATGTAAAACTTGTGAATTGCTCTATTAATTTTTATTTATATCTAGGTTTCACTTATTGTTAGCAAAACTACCCTTTACCTGTATAATATTCTAGATCCAGAAAATCCTATTGAATTGACATTTCAAAAAAGATATGGCCCCATAGTATCTTACAAATGGTAAATGTATTATCACTTGATATAGATTGTTAAATGACACATGCTATAAATATTCTAGAAAAAACTTTGCGATTTAATGTAAATTTAATTCTTATAATTTTACAGGTATGGAGATGGCTATATTTTGCTTGGATTCGAGGCAGGTTATATCACGGCCATTTCAACTCATATCAAAGAAGTCGGCCAAGAGCTTTTTCAAGTGAAAAATCATAGAGATTCGCTAAACGACCTTGCAATTAATCATACGACTGGTAAAGTTGTAACCTGCGGTGATAATAATTTGAAAATACACAGCATACAAAATATCGAGGAAACGGAAAAAGTTATTACTGTAACTGGCGAAACTGGAGTCAGTGCGGTATCCTGGTCAGCCGATGGGTCAATGCTTGCAACTGTTACTCATAGTGCAAACATCTTGATTTATTTAGCACAAATTCCAAAGTTAACTAGCGTCTGTGGAAATAGAATAGCAGTACTAATCAGTTTATCTGAAGTTGCAGTTTATTTGTATACTCTAGATAAAGTATAATTGAGCTACATATTTGTTTACGATCATTAATTTATAAAACTTAATGCAGTTATTTAATATTTTTCAGGTTAAACCTTCGCCTCAAATCGTAAATACAATCATAGAACCCTCGATAATAGCAGTTGGTCCACTGCATGTAGCGGTTGCATTGAATAATAGAGCTTTATTTTGGAACTTGTCTATAAGTCAAAATAGTAACTCTTCAATGACTCACTTTGAGCGAGATTATTTAGCGTCTGTAGAGTCGATGTTTTTAAATGAAATATACGCTTCTGTATTATTTGATGGAAAATTACAGTTACATACGGTGAGTATTTTTTTGTAACATTTAATGAAACCAGATTAATGGTATATATTATTTTGTAATTTTTCATTAGATTAAAAGTGATCCGACTTTAATAAAAGAAAGAAAGGATACTAAAATTTTCCCAGACCAAAGTGCCTTAAGTTCTAGAATAATGTGTCATGCAATTTCTGCCGATTTTTTGATATACGGAGACGATGTAAGTCGTTTCTACAAAAACAATTTTTTTAATTCTACAAAACACTTTGAAATAGCAGTTTAATTTTGTTTTAGATGGGTAACCTTGTATATTTTTACCTGGAAGAGTTTAAACAAGCTGTTAGGTATTCTCATACATGCGGTATCAAACAAGTATACTTAGATGCGAATGGATCTGAAGCTTGTTTCATTGACAATAAGCGAGATATCTTTGTATATGATCCCCTCAATGAAACTGTGTTCCAAGCACCTGATAGTCCTGATTCTGCGGAAGGCGTTGTTTGGGATCAGAATTTATTGGAACGTAATATATTTGCTGCGTATAATAGTAATATAATTACAACGTACGCATTCATACGATATCACATTGATGGTACGTTTCATATATTTTCACTCAATTTGGCGATGTTGTCATTTAATAATAAAACATTTTAATTAGGTACGAAGATAATTAGGATCAGTGATACCAAGTTGCCTTCAGATACAGTTCCTGCTCTAATGTACTCCGGTGAAATGACATTGAGCTCGTCGGGGAGTAAGTTAATTCAAGTCACTTTATCATCACACGAAGAAATCGGTAACATAGTTGAAACTAAAAAATTAGTTGAGATTCTCGATAAACAAATACTTTGTGGAAGGTAATTTATTGATTCGCTTGCAATCTTACAACAAACTAAATAACTATGCCATATCAATAAATCAGATTTCAGAAAGCTTGGGACACTTGCAAAAGATTAGGCGATAGAAATGAATGGTTAAAATTAGGAGATAATTCACTGAAACACTTAAATTTGAAAATGGGCAAGCATTAAAATTTTTCATTTTTTATCAGACTTGTCGATCTTAAGGTAAAATTAATTTTGTTTTCTTTAATCATACAGCGGTGAGGGCATACCGAGAAATTGAAGACGTTCCAATGGTCTGGGCTATACAGAAATTAGAAGACATCAGTGAGTTTGAACTGCTTTGTGGTCACGTTTGTACTCTTTTGGGCAAATATGACGAAGCCGAGAAGCATTTCTTGAAATCTTCTCAACCGGTTGAAGCTCTGTACTTAAGAAGAGACCTAATGCAGTGGGTAGCAGCTTTGAAACTCGCACAAACACTGAAGCCTGACGAAATACCATTTATTGCCAGAGAATACGCGCAACAATTAGAATTGACGTATGTGTAAAAACTGAATCAAACCATTTTACGTAATTTCGAACTCTATATATTTTCGATTGTAGTGGAAACTATCCTCAAGCTTTGGTAAACTACGAACGAGCATTAAAGGAAACTACCGAAGAGATGTTGGAGAAGAATCCTAGTCATAAAATTCAGTGTGAAGCTGGCATCGCACGCACTTCTATCAGATGCGGAGATAGCCGTAAAGGCGTTACCATTGCTTCGGAAAAAGATAAGCCGAGATTATTGAAAAAGGAGTGTGCCGAGATTCTTGAGAATATGAAGGTATTTGAATTTTGTAAGTGATCTTACATGATAGATTGTAATTAATATAATTGGAAATAGCAATTCAACGAGGCTGCTGTGTTGTATGAAAAAGCTGAATATTTCGATAAAGCAGCATCGGCATATATCAAACTAAAAAATTGGCATAAAGTTGGCCAACTCTTGCCGCAAATATCATCTCCTAAAATTAATATCCAGTATGCCATAGCTAAAGAAACTGAAGGGAAGTATGAAGAAGCGGCAAGAGCTTATGAGGCAGCCAAAGACTATGATAACATTATTAGAATTAATTTGGAGCATTTGAACAATCCTGGTAAGATAGAAAATTGCTTATTATTAAAAGCGCAAGTACTCTTCTATTCACTACTTTAACTGTAATGTTTTATGTGTAGCTCGCAGTGTTGAGATTGTTCAACAAACTAAAAGTATAGAAGGAACAAAGATGGTTGCAAGATTTTTTCAGAAAATGAACGATTACAACTCAGCTATCAAGTTCCTGATATTGTCTAATTGCCACGATGAGGCTTTCCAGCTTGCCAATCAACACAGTAAGATGGAATTATACGGTGAAATTTTAGCGAATACTTTGAACGATGGTAGCGTTAGAAAAGAGGATTTCAGAAGTCTTGCTATACATTTTGAATCTCAAAAGAACAGTTTGCTAGCAGGCAAATATTATTTTTACGCCAAAGAATTTCACAAAGTAACATTTGAATTTTAAGAATTTTTTAGTCAATATAAATACTATTTATAATTTTTTCATAATTTTATTTAGGCCTTGAAACATTTGTTAAAAGCTGCTCAAATACTAACAGATGATGATGAAGCATTAAGCTTGGCTATTGACACAGTTGCTACTTCAAGAGATGAAAAATTAGCTAACCAGCTTATCAACTTTTTATTAGGTGCAGATGGCATTCCAAAAGTAAGTGGAATCGGCATATTGATATGTCCTCATATCCATACATCGGGTATCAATATTTTTAATTTATTTTAGGATCCAAAATATTTATTCCGTTTGTACATGGCCCGAAAACAATATCGTGAGGCATCGAAAACTGCGATCATTATCGCCAATGAAGAACAAATAAATGGTAAATACAAAAGTTAAATTGAAAGCTACGGAGATATTAATTTTAGATTCGTTCTTGCAGGAAACTATAGAAATGCTCATGATGTCCTTTTCGGTATGTATCAAGAGTTAAAAAGAAATAAGATCAATGTGCCATTGGAAATGCAAACCAATATGAGATTACTGCACTCTTATATATTAGTGCGGTTGCATGTCAAAAGGAATGATCATTTGAAAGCTGCAAGAATGTTAATACGAGTTGCAAATAACATTTCTAAATTTCCTTCTCGTAAGTTTGATAGACAACCTATTAATTGCAATTAAAATCTTGCCAAAAACTTAATGGTTAATATCTTTGCAGACGTCGTACCTATTTTAACTTCTACTGTAATTGAGTGTCATAGAGGAGGTCTCAAGTCGGCAGCTTTCAATTATGCTGCTATGCTCATGCGTCCGGAATACAGATCTCAAATCGACCCAAAGTATAGCAAAAAGATCGAGGCCATTGTGAGAAAACCACCTCGTAATAAAGAAAGAGAAGAGGATGAACCGCTTACTGGCTGCCCATATTGTAAAAGTCGCTTGCTTGAGACTGAAGTTAATTGCGATAAATGCAAACATACTATACCCTTTTGCATAGCGACTGTAAGTAATTTGAAAAAGCAAACATTGAATATGTTATTTTCAATGTTGAATTCGTTTAATGTAATTGGTGCTGTGTAGGGTCGGCATATTATAGACAACGATTTTACTGCTTGCCCCCAATGTGATTTTCCAGCTATTAGAAGTGAATTTATAAAGTAAGTGCAATGAAAAGTATATTTACAAAATCTTTCATATGAATCACGTCTTTGAACACTATAAACATTATTTTCAGAATACTCGAAACCGATAAAACGTGCCCAATATGTTCGGAACACGTTGATCCAAATAATGTACCGAACAATTTGGATATTCGTCCATATCTATATCTACACGACACCAAGATTGAAACCTAATGGTCAAATCTCAATTAGCGTGCTTTGCACACTGATTATTACCATGTCAACGAAATCGAGGAAGCAGATTTATTGGGACTCGATTTTGAATATAACGATTCCGTCCAAATCAGCGTGACTAGTTGTTATAGTGTTTAGTAATTTTATTTATTAATTTTATTTAGTAACTTTATAACATGTATTGTGGCTTGAAAATTAAAATAGAATATACTCACATGTATTCGAACATGATCTCACGTACTTTGAATTTCGATAGACTGATTATTGTTAGTATTACTTAGAAAGTAATTTTTCTTTTTATTTACGTTTAGGACTCCTTTATCTTTTAAACTGTTATTTTGTTACATCAATAACCTCATTACATCATGGATAAATCGTAAGTTACTAAAAAGTCAGTATTAATGTGTAAAAGCCTCTCGTCATCGTATTCCATTGTAATTCTACTTGACCACATGTAGGTGTATAATATTATTCAAGATTTAGAAAATGGAGCTGCTAACTGTATTCAATAAAAATTGTCTTATTACATAAGAATCATCGTCTTTTCATTTTTATAAATTCTGTTGTTATGTCAAAAAAATCAATTCAACTTTCTCTGGATAATTCACTAAGGAACCATACTTTCTCTTTTGTACGTGATCTTAAATCTTAAATGAACGCAGCAGATTAAATCGGATCGCGATGAGTAAGGAAATTGAGTGTTTCGCAATATGCCATAAAACATTAAAATAAATTGTCTAAACCAATTCTTTGGTGAAGTATTACTAGTGGCACTTGGTTGAAATTATTGTATTATATAATAAGCATGTATGTGTATGTAAATAAACCTGTCCACAAGCTCGTATAGAATATAATGTGGGTCATTTGCGTTATCAATTACGGCAGCGCAGTGCCACGTACATATATCTTGTGAATCTACCAATATATGACAGAAGATATATATAGAGAGAGAGACAAAGCTAGAAAAAAAAATTTGGATGAGTCATCCTCGGTGACTTGTTCTCTCCAGCAACTCACAATTTCACTCTCTAGAAGCTTCAAAACGTCGTTATACTGCGCCGTGGGCTATCAGTCGCAGCACTTTGATAACGCTTATCAATTACAATTAATACATTTATGCGACTTGACTCTCTGTGCGCAACGTTGGGCTGTGAAATTTTTTCCTTGACGATCAATTTTGTCGACTTTCAATTAAATTTCGATATGCATCATGACCGTGTTTCAATTTTCACCGGTGGCTAGTAGCTGGTTTAAAATGAGTAGGATTTTAATTATTAACAAAGATGTGTCGTGATGAAACTGGTTTACGATTAGCCAAATGGCATTTCACAGTGTAATGAGTACGTTACCTTCCTGTGTGCATTGAGATTCGGTGACCCAAATATCATTGCACGCGAGATTCACTGCACTGTAGAACATCAGTACATCGACAATTTCAGATTGCGTTACATGGTTTATTTCACGCAAAATTGCCGTCGCATAAAAATGCACAAGCCGAATCAGGTGATGATGTAACTATAAACCTACGAGTAATCTTCGAACGATCGCGCATTGTCACTCTTACTGTCGTAAAACGAAGACGAAAAATATTCTCAGCCAGTATACGAAAAGAAAATATAGATAACCGGTCTTCAACCATCTTATCAGCTATATTGGAGTTTATCGCAACTTTTTCATTTTTGCTTCTAATCTTGCCAGTAATATTGAACGGCCACTCGAAATGCACTTTTAACGAGGGCATATCAGCGTAATTAGGCGTAATATTCATTCTCAACTGAGAGAGAAAACCAGGTGAGTGAACTCATTTTAATACGAAACCGTAGATAACGTGTTGATTTTCAAATACAGTTCATTAACTACGATAATACGTTGTACTAGATAAAAGAAGCTCCAAATCGTTCTTCACTCGGTTAATTTTCGAGCGAAACAAATGATAAACAAATAATATCAACAAAATTGAAAATTCGGATGTTACATTTCAAATAGTTTAAACGAAAAAGAAGTAGTTTTGCTTTCCTTCCGCGTATATTACGTGTATTAAAAAATTAGTTGTTATAATCAATCCGGTAACCAGCTGCTTGGATAGGAATGTTACTGAAATTTCACGCATTTATATGTAAAATTATTACAACCACTATCGCATCTTCGATATCAATTGCCCCTCTTAGGAAAAAGCAAATATGCCGAATAAAAGAAAGGTAAATATGAAAAGTGCCATTACACTCGGCTAATCAGTTGATACAAAGCCCCAGCAAAGTAGCTAAGTAGACAGACTGTCGATATAGATATATAGTATAGTAGATTGGTGGTGGCGCACCTCTTTCTCACTTCGTTCTATGCAGCTGTTGTATGCGTGGCGGCAGTGTGGCCACTGCCGACCAGTACCGACGGAAGGAAGAGAGACGAATACAAAGCATTAATGCTCTCACAACATTGCCTAATAGTCAGTCTGAGTTATAGTGAGCGCGTTGACGTGTACTAGGTAGCATCGTCGTAGTCGCGGTACAAATCTAACCTTCAAAAAAGTGTCAGTCTTGGTCGTCGACGGTGCGCGCAACACATTGGTCGCCTCGTTCGGAACAATTGAAATTCTGACTGGAGAGTGCACGGATTTATAACAGGTGTGGCGGCGGTGCGACAGAGCAGAGACGGAGAGCACGAGAGAATAACGATAACACAAAATGGCCGAAAGTACAAAGTCGGAAACCGGCGGCACGGAGAGCGGTGATAGCTTCCTCGGGAACTTCGTTAGCGAGGTCATAAGTAGCCCTGTAAACCTCGCGCTCGTCGCTATCATTGCACTCCTTGTCTACAAAATTTTCAAGAGCCGAACGAAGGTACACGAGCCACCATTCCAAATCAAAGAGCTGCCAAAAATCCGCCGGGACTTCACAGTCGAAGAACTCAAGGAGTACGATGGCACTCAAACTGATGGCCGAATCCTCGTCGCCGTCAATGGCAATGTGTACGACGTCACCAAAGGAGCTAGATTCTATGGACCTGGTACGTTATTTACAAGTGTATCGTTTTCGTTCTTTTTCTGCTTACTAGGCATTTTTTATGCACGCCTTGAGCCTTTTTCTTCCTATCCGACTCTAATTAGTCCGGCTGGTTGTTCCAACTGTTTTAAGATTTTCTTCAGACGATTTTTTTACTGTCACTACTGGATTGTTTTATATAAGCGACCAACGTTTCTCTTAGTAATACTATTGAATTTTCTTTCCAATGTTGCAATAGCAACGATGGAACTAAGTTTTTTATTAATGGTGTATGTTAGTGGAATTTTCTCACTATTGCTACATTTTTTTGCCTATAAGAATTCTTTCACTCTTGTGTTAACTGAGAATCGATTCTATTTATAGTTTTCAGTTATTTTTAATATTATCGAAAATATTTTATAAATAAAATTTTTGATTGCTACTTTCCCTTTGATTTGTTAAAACTGAATATTTTTAATAACTTCTTTAATTTGTACATTCATTAGCAAATTAAAAAATATTAAATACTGTGTCGCAGTACATTTTGTCCACAGCTTAAACTTAATTATTATCATTAAATGTTTGTGCATGGGAATTTTATTGATTGAATGAGAATTATGAAAGTATCATTTACATTTATTTCTACTTATAATAAATTAATTTAACAGGTGGACCTTATGCTGCTTTTGGTGGACGAGATGCTAGCCGAGGCTTAGCTACATTTTCTGTTGTTCCTGGCAAGGATGAATATGATGATCTCAGTGATTTAGACACAGCAGAAATGAACTCTGTTAAAGAATGGGAGGAACAATTCAAAGGTAAATGATCTTTCTCATGACTCGTTCTATAAATTTGGCATATTAAGCGTGATAGATAGTTTAACTATTTTCTTCATATACTACCTAGATATTAATCTAGACGGTTCAACTATTTTTTTATATACTATCTAGATATTAATTGGTTATCATTTCAATTTTAATTATTCCGTTCCCTGTGACTGATTCTTATCCAGGCTAGATCCAAGTAAATGAAGTAGCTTGCTGATTTTGATGATTCTTGAATAATCTTTAATACATGAGATCAACGTTCAAGGTTAATGTAACAATGCTTCCAACATTCTGTCCTCTGGACAGTTTGCTTTTGAAAAGAATTTTGGAAGGAAATATTTATTTTCAATGCTTCTTTATGTAAAGTCTAACACAATAATGTTTTTCTTAGTGTACACTTTGTATGATCAATATTTTTAAATTTTAAAGAAAAGAAATCAGTGAATTTCTAAAATTTCTAATTTACATGCAAATGGAATTTTTTTCCTGATGTAAATAAACCGAATATGAAATGTTAAATTTGGCTCGGAAATTTTCCCTAAGAGTAATTTACATTTCTATTTCAGAGAGATACGATTACGTTGGCAAACTGCTGAAACCCGGCGAGGCTCATACAAATTATTCGGACGAAGAAGAAGAGGGCAGCACACAGGATAATGATTCAAAAGCCAAAACCGAATGACCGCGTAAAATCGCGAGCAGAATAACATTTTTAATGAACACGGCGCGCACATTGTTGTTATACGAAATTATCGAAGTATCGATTATGAGCAAATTAGTGATTGTTCAACTGAATGTTACGCTGCTGCACGTTATTCAAATGTAAAGCAAATGAAAGAAAAAATGACAAAAGCAAGAAAACAAAAAAATAACGTCTGTTGAGTGAGTTGAGAAGTACATAAGTATGCTGAGTGCTAATATTACGATTCTTCATTCAAGTGTTGCGATTTCGTGCGGATATTTTCTTTTTATATGCTCATATATATATATATATATATATATATAAACGCTGGCTAGGAAAATGTTTTTGAAATCTACAGACAGAAGTCATTCATTACCTGTTTATAGCATGAACAATTAATAAGCTTAAGCAAATTAATGACGTTGCAGGTAATATACGAATGAGTAATGACTAGATTTCAGAAAAATTTTCATTTATGGGGCTATCAAGCAGACCAAAAGTGCGTTCGAAATGAATGCAATTTTTACTATTACTATAAAATTTTGAACAATTATACCTTTTTAGGTTATGCATTATTTTTCTGTGAAATAAATGTAATAATGTTCTTTATTCTTTTTTTTTAATAAATTTTTTGGTTAAAGGATTTTTATGGTGTGATTGTTAAAACGAATGTAATACTGTTCCTGCTCAGGAAAATTAAGTATATCTAATTAAAGTGAGATAGCATTGCAAAAATATTTTGCACTGGTACATGAGTTTTGTGAAAATAAAATGAATATTTTTATTACATAAACTGTATAAGTTAACGTGTTTTTGTCCATATTGAATTTGTATATATAATAGAGAAGATTTGTATGAACAACTATATTTTTATGCGTTCTATTCGCATTGCATTTATTGAGGTTATTGCGAAATTTGTTATACAAAATTTTATAAAATAGAGACAAATATGTAGTTTTTTTCGTACAAATCTTGATGTAACTATGAAAATAAATGTGTTAGAATCTATGTAAGTGATCGGTATTACAGATCGTTTTATTCCACTTAAGTAATATAAGATTGGTCTTCTTACTGACCACTTGTGCTTTGCTTTCTTCCAATGAAGTTAGAAATTAATTGCTTAAATTTCAACATAACACATGAATTTATAAATGCTAAATTGTAGCACACATAACTAAAAGAAAAACGAAAATAAATGAAATGTTTGGAACATGAAAAGGAATAATTTATATCTATGTGTGTATATATGATATAAATAATTACACCATAGTCATTTGGTAAATGACGTGAAATCAAATATTTCAACAAAACACAGATTTAAGAAATCCGGTTTATAAAATTATTGATTTGCTAAGTAATTCTTTCAAAGCTAAAATTGATTTTAAACTTACATGTCGGTGTACAAATATAAAAAATCGCCATATAAACGTTATAAAAAAGTCAATAACATATAGTATATCCATATTTTTTAATTAAACAATGGAAATTGGTATTTTTTGCATACAATTTTAAAATTTATACCTCCATCGATTAAGATTTGAACACTGATCTAAATAAATAATACAATTTAGCCTAAATAAAAAAAATCAAAGTTATTAATTCAATTGCAAACAGATTTACACAGTTCTTCATATGCAAGTTGTAAAAAAAAAACTATGTATGCCTTCAATCAAGTGCATTTAATTTCAGTTGAAACATTCTCAAGTAGAAAACACAAAACAAGACTGACGTTTTATCGAAAAATTCTATGCTAAAATTAAATTTCCACAAACAAAAGAAAAGTTTAAAAGCTTTCTTATACGACGACTATTCAACTAAGTTCGAAGTTAGCAACTCTGGGTATTCAACGGTGGATTGTTCATCACGTAAATGCACTTCTGAGTATTCAGAAATAAAGCTATAACGGAAATTGTTAATCGTTTTCTTCTCTGGTACAGGCAAAGTAAAAATAATGTTGTTGCAATTGAATATTTATAATAAAAAAATTTAATTTTTATAAACAACACTTCCAACACAAGACGTGTGCACGTACTCGCTGTAATTCAATTTCAATTCATTTTGTGAATTACTTGCATATTCATTTCCATTTATAACAGAACTATAAGGTTCTTTAAACAAACCAATAGAATTTCCTTTTTTAGCACGTAAGAAGAAGAATAGAAGTTAAAAAATCTATCGGTGTGATCTTGTGGCGTAGGTACTGTACAATGAAAAAAAAAATTATGAGTGTGTTATTACACTTAGAGGAAAATGTTGTGCGAATTTTATTGATTAAATGGCTGTTTCATTCAAAAGCTCGCCTCTTTTTTTTTTACCCGACCCAAGCATACACCATGCTCGAGCACGATATTCACCGAAGAGCGTGAAACAGAGGTATGAATGAACGAACAGCCGCACGGAAGAAAGAATCGGTAAGGTGGCCGATCACGTAACGACCGATCGTAAAGTTGCAGCTGGTAGTTTTAGCGTCAGCGATCTTTCCTTTGTTGTCTTTGTCTCGATGCAGCACCTTCTAATCGTACAGCATTTCCAGACCAATATATCGAATAACACGCGAGATGAACGTAATTTCAAAAGGAAGTCTCACACTACGGAGGTCAATCGAATAGGGCACACGATTATATTGCATTTTTATTGAATCAAATACATCCAGTCTTTCGCAAATGCACAAATTGCCTGCGTGTATACCCGTGGGAAGATACGTACTGGTATTATTTGTTATATAGGTTGCACCTTATAATCTCGACTTCCGAGCTATTATATATAGTGGAAGTCAGTATTTCTTGAAAAATACGCTCTCGAGCTTTTTCGATCATTTGCATGAGTCTACTTTCAATCATTATCTGAGTTGTTGACACTTTTCCAAATAGCGTTTATTTGGAATTTGATTGAAATCGATCCATGCCTTCAAATCGGCAGTACTCGATGCGGGAGCGTAGACGACGATGGACGCGCAACAAAGTTCTTAATTGTTTTTCAAATAAAATGTTTTTCAAATAAAGGTGTATCTCCACTAAAAGCGCAATTCTAGAAAGTCATGCTAGTTAATAGAAAATGTAAAAAATTATTAGGTTACTGATTTACTTGCTATGCAAGTAAAATATTGCATTGTTATTCGCGCTATGCAAATGTTTTTATTTTAAACGTTCCATTCTGGAAACAAAAAACTGTCATTATTCAACCATAATAAAAGTTACGAGTTCTTCAATCAAGATAGTTCGTATAATGCTTGATAAATATCTTTTTTTTAATTTAAAAAAATTTGATATAAGCGATCTGCCAGATAGCCGCGCATGCGCAAACACTTTCTTGGCACACGACTGGCACGCGACTGCCTCGCATTGTTGATCTTTCGACCGTCGCTTCACGATTTTCAAATTTCGTTTTGTCTGAAAAAAAAATTATTATCCATTGTAACTCCATCATATTATAATTATAATTGTATGAAGTATTACAATTTTTTACTTTGCAATAGTAAACCTTGTTACCTTTGATAACGTCCGAGTTAACAATTATATGGGTATTACGGTAATAGTTGTGTGGCAATTTTCCGCTTAAATCGTGAAAGATTATGTTTAGTACTCTCAAACGATACCTGACATCACGTATTTTTCATAAGTACGTGACTACATCAAACATTTTTTCAACGCCATGCGTTGCAAGTGGTTAGCTATAAAAATAATTAGTTGAAACGTCTTAGTTTTTCTGACTATTTGTTAGTTTAATGTTTTGTTTAAAGAATATATTAAGATGTTAATATATGCGCAAACGACACTGTGATAGTCCATGATCCTATGAATATTTCAAAATAAGAACGTATCTAAAAATTCGCCATTTTCAAAAATTATTCAACCATCGAATTATCCGAAAACAGATTATAAGTCGTCCCGTTGAATGCTGATAAATTACTATCCCCATCTTTGCCGGTAAATTATGTCCAAAAATTTACCGACAAATTATCGATGTCATTCTATGTTATCTTTAATTATTTTTCTAAAACTTTGTAAATCACAAGTGTCTTCGTTTTTGTACGCTCAGTCATCAAGCTATTTTTATTATGAATCGTTTCAAAAATACGTTAAAAATTTTCCAATCATTTCCTAGCTAACGAACCAATAAACATTAACTCGAATTAGTTTTTACTTTGACAACCAATTAATTATTGAATAAAGAGCTTAAAGTAACGTCTAGTGTAAATAGTGTATACAGGACAATCTTTCACAGAGCACGTGCATAATGCAATATGCCTATACATTTCATCGTTTCGTTATGAAAGATAATAAATCTTGGAGTTTGAGAAAAGGAAATAATCATTCAAAGAAAATAAGAACTACTTCCTCACTGAAAAATATTACTCGGCCATTTAAATATTTAAAGCTTTCGCGCGAAATTTTGTTTCAGAGCAAATTATCAGGTCCCACAATGTGTTCGAGAAAATGGCGGATCGCGAGCTTTTCATAGCTACAACTAAAACATAAAATTAATGATATATTTTTTTATTTCATATGTTTTTCTAAATATTTATAGTGAAAAATGCTACAAGTTGCGAGAAAAAAGATTTCCATAAAAAAAGAAAAACTAATTCGTTAAAATCACCCTATTCGTGTTTGCTATTTTGCTGTTATTTTGAACATGTAGACTTAAAAACATCGGAACTTTCTACAAATTCACGTGTTTTTTCAACGCGGTTGTCGATCGATTTCAAATTATTGATGGGAGATTGTCAAATAATTTTTATAAATGATTTTAGATAGTTAAAATATGTCAATACAGACTGTAGAATTCATAAACAACTTTCACGTTTGCAAGTTCGCAAGCTTGCAATTCCATCGAGAAATATATAAAAGCCCTGCCTTTCGATGGCAAATTAAAGTATTGAGGTGAGCGATACTCAGACTGATTCATGCTGTGAAAGTAATTTTGTTTTCATAACACATAAAATATGAAAATTTATAGCGGAGCCCGACTTTAGTATGCTTGATAGATAGGTGGCTGTAATAAATTTATGAAAAATCATCTACACGTTTTTATTATCATCGGGTATGAACTAATCGTTTTCTAATCTTCTATGCAGCTGCTTACCGATAAACAATTTAACTCGCTAAGTTTGATGTTCAGTCGTCATTTCGATTTACGCGGTGCCACACAATAAGGAGGTGCGACTTCGATAATAACGATTTCGATCGATCGGCCATGCGTAGGAAGTTGACAGTTGCCATTCGCTATATTGACAAACAAACGAAAAAGAACAAGTCGGACGATCGTTCGCGGTCGGTTCCAAAAATTTGCCGAGGAATCGGTGAACCACGGCGCGTCCCCGGGCAAAGGGCAGAGAGGGAGAATGGGAATGCTCGCGATTGGTGTGGCGCTCCGTGTAGCCACACCAGCAACCGAATTGTAGAACGCCTACCCGCCGTATAGGCATTCCACGGGAGGTAGGGGGCGCAGATAACATATGCGCCTCCGCAGCTTTCGCTACCCTCGGGCTCCGGTTCTGCGCGCGCTACCAATCCAGTCCCTTGTTCGCCGCTGCGCGATCTCCGCGCTGTTGTATGGCTCGTGCAACTATACTCGCGCCACGCGTTCGACCTGGTAAATTTGCCGGGACAATCCCGTGAACGCTCGAGAGGGCCAACTTTGCTTTCGAAGGTTCAGATTGCTGGAAGGTCGCGCTTTTTTCACCGCTCAGCTTCCGTGAGTAAAATTTTCATCTAAACGTTTTTCCGCGCGAGACTTGCTCCCGACGAATTTCGTTTCTGTGATTTATGTGAACGATCCTTTTACTCGCTCGCAAGCTGCTAAGCACTGGCTAACAAACTAGAAAAAACTTTTTAAAACGATAAATAATCTATATTTAGGATATTGAAAATATTTTTTTTAAGAACGAATCTCCTTCGATAGTCAGCTTCAGCGATTTTCGTGCTGAAATCTGCGGATTACTTACAATAAAGTAGCGTGCTAGTAAGTTTTATTATTGAGTGTTGTGCGGTTAAGAATTAGTTCTGGAACTTCCCTATCCGCCGGTAATACTCGAATTTTTACCCTCAAGTCTTTCTACATGCCCGGAAAGTTCGACATTATATAGGAAGAATTGTATGGAAATAGATCATGAAAATATTTGCTTTATACATAGTAATAACTAATTTAAAAACATTCTGGTGAAGATTCGTTAAAGAAACGAAATTCCAAATTTGCCAGCAAATTATGACTATCGATTTGTCGCCAAATTATAACGGCTTAATTTACTGGTAAATTATATGCATCATTTATTGCAACCTTTGTATTGGGATATATCTATTACATAAAAATACATCTATTGATTGCAAATGTGGTTGTCCAAAAATCGGTAATTTATTGGAACCGTGTGATCTTTTGCCATCGCGGTAAATTTTTAATTCATACTACAATACAATACATTATAGGCAATTCTTTTATTGTTTTATAAATACTAAGCTACTTTATGAAGTTAGAGGTCTGCTGTCTTGCAAGTACATATTTGTGATATTTTTGATTAATTAACGCTATTCAAATGTATTTAGGAATTTAACATAAACACAGTCGTGACTTTTTGAATTTAGATTGGTTTAAAATTTTTAACAAATTGGCGAGGAACTTTGAGATATAGGTCAGACTATTGCAATCCCTTAACGTACAGATTTAGAGCTTGCTAATGTTATTTTGCCGATTTTCATGACTGTAAAGTCCAATGGTTTCGACGTTTGTTGTTTCATAACAATTCAATTATCTGTCACCAGCAAACGCTTTAATAATTAAACTCACCGTATAATGGTATTTGTTATATTGGCAATATGACAGCGTGATAATGTAAGGGTAAATTTTAAAAGGCGCGGTGATCGAACAACCGAAGCAATTTGAGTAATTGGAGAGTCGTCACTAGGTTGTCATTAAAAAAATCCTTTACCGTAATATAATGTTTCTAAAGTTTAGGCGTGATGTAAATTTACAGTTATGACTGAACATTGAAAATTGAGATAAAAGCTACGATTAGGTCAAATATCACGTATGTAAGCGACGCATTCTAAAATTTGCCGTTTGACGAAGAAAAGTCTGCTCTTGCGTCTGTAATATTTACTTAATGTAAGCGAGCGCATATAACATAAATAGTAAATTTCGAAAGTCTTCCTCGCCGATTGACCTCGTATAAAGTTAAAGATAAGACATTAAATTGTCTATATATAGACTATCCTCATTTTGCTGTCGCAGAACCACAGCAAAATAAATCTTATCTTCAATCAATTCCGAGGTAAATAGGCTTGCGTTATAGCTCGAAGTCAGTGCCTTTGCGAGCGTAATGTACAAAAATATTAGTTTCTGTTGTGAAAGTTTTAAAAACTCATTTGATTCGTTTTGAAGCAAAAGTTTATAGCCGACAAATATTTCTGTACCCGTAATTTGCCGGCAAATTCGCAATCACAATTTACCGACAAATTACATGGTTGGTAATTTGCCGGCAAATTTTGCATGTCTAGTTTTTTTTGGCGAATTTGGTTTACAAGCTGCAGTCGGACAATTTAACGCTGAATTCAATTAAAAAAATCGCGGCTTCTGTGTTATGTGTGATTTCATCGTAGTCTTAAAAAAACATGCAATGAAAGTTCTTTCAAATCACTAAACGAAGCGTCAAGAGAAATTTATGCGTCTAGACTTTTCGAACAATGAGTATAAGCTTTAATTCACTGGCTAAGTTCAGTAACGAAGAGCGAGGAAGCTGCTGCATTGAAGAGAGAAGGATTGAAGTCGCAGTGACAAGGCAAGCGCGTGCGGGGGCAGATAGGCAAGCCGGTCGCGTGGCAGTCATGCAGCCACGCCGGGAAGCTCATTGTGTTAACGTCGAAAAGCGCGCGTCACCTGCGCGATTTAAATGGCACTGCCGCAATAATGCGAACCCCTGGCGTGTGACTGTGGACCACGATCACCTGTTTCGAATGAGAGCAAGAGAGAGAGAGAGAGAGAGAGCAGCTGTCCCTCGCGCACTTGACGTTCGTCGTGCGCGAGACTTACTCCCGTGCAGTGAACTTGATTTTTCTCTCTGAGCGCGATGATCCGTCACGTGCACACACGCGCGCGTGCGCCTGTTTCGTTGGACGAGCGATTAGCTCGAGAGAAACTCGAAAGTTTTACAAATGTGTATTGTTATAGCTGTACGAAGCTGTTGCGAAACAAAGCATTTTTACAGAAACGATAAGCATTTACTCTTCACTTTTGATTCCTGCACACGGCGCAAGAGATCGTTGTCAAGTTGGCACGAGCGCTATATATATCTCTATAGGTCTCGTTGTAATAATTTTTACCTAGCGAGACTTCAGTGTGTGATTCATTATCGACATTCAAATCAATCCTTGAATGCCTTCAATCATTTATATGGAGCAATTAATGAATTAATTCATCATTTTTAATTATTCTTCTACTAAATTTCAGTAGCTCTTTACATTCGAATATTCGTAGCTTCGAAACACTTTTGAGATTATCACGTATCGTTATTATCATCACTTATTATCGTCAATAAATCCTGCGTCATGATTTGCAAAAAGAAATGTACTCAAGGATGCATTAAAAATTTGTATTATCAAATATGCACTTGGTATTTAAATGTTTTTAGTTGACTGGTAGTGTACAGCTTGCGCGGTACTTTTCGCAAGCTCCGTTTGTCAAAGCTAACAAGCGATCTCGACGTTCAAGAAAATACGAGCGCAGAACTTTCCAAAATGTTGGTCCACGAAAACGTTGATTCGCGACTTGGCCAATGAGAAAGAGCCATCATTATCGCATAGCATCAACAGCAGCGATGTCCTTCATCTCCGACGCACCTGCTTCAGAGAGAGAGAGAGAGAGAGAGAGAGAAAAAGAGTCGGTGAGCAGAAAAAAAGAACGGAGCAAGATAATCCGTCGAACTCTAACCTCGTCGCACGGCGCTACCAAGAGAAATCTTGGGGATGCGAAAGAAAGATGCTGCTGCGCGGTGCAGATGCTCAGCCATCTTACGCGTACGTGATCGCAGCCATAACCTCGCGACGAACATATGATTTAGCAGGTGATACGAAGGAATAGATACGGTTAAAGGGCCGTGATATGCCGTGAATATTAAAGGGCGTTTTCCCCGTTAGAGCGCCGCCGCAGCTCTGTTCTTCGTGTTTCGTTAGACGGAGACGGAAAATTGCGTACACCAAAGGAGCGAACGCGATGAGTCAAACGTATCGTCGTCCAAGAGACGATTGCTGTGACGGTCCTCAGAACAATCATGTTTCTGCGATGACTCCCCATGATTACAAGGTCATATATAATCCTGGTGCGACTGGACCAATAATACAAAAGAAAACGGAGATAACCTGAACAATCGTGAAAGATCGATTGGATCTCTGAAAATCGAAATTCTTTCACAGGGCATCGCGGAGTTGTCAAGTCGGAAAGTTAGGCGGGAGCTGCAAACGATCGATTGAGAGTGCGATCAAGGAGGCAAAAGTCATGTAGCAGCAGCCCGTTATAAAGAAAGACGACAATGGCATCAGCTACGAGCGCGTCAGTCTCTCTTGATGTCCAGTGGGAGTGCGCAGCTGTTACGGCGCATGTAGAGAAACCTAACCTAAACCGAGATCCACCGTACTGACGGTCATAAGGCGTATTGAGACGGCTTGCCTTCGTGCGGTGCAAACTGCAAGAGGCCAGGGGGCGTGTGCGTGGGGTTGGCAGCATTGTCGACAAAGTGTGTGTTGTTGGCTGGCTTATGTGCAGACTGTCCGATGTCGAGCTAGAGCGAGAGAGAGTGTGAGTGTGCAGTGCTTAGCAGCAGTGAGTAGAGTGGCGCGCGCGCGGACTGGTGTGGTGTTTTGTGCGAGCGAGTGAGCAAGCAAGAGAGAGAGGCAGCGAGCGAGCGGAGCTAGCGCGCACAGGAGAGTAGCAGCAGCAGCCGCCGCCATTTTGCTTGTCGTGTGTGTCGTAGACGGTGGCGGCGGTCAGAGCTGCTCAGAAGAGCGCGAGCATCGCCGAGACGTGCCAAGTGTTCCCGTTTGGTGGTCGTCGCGTCAAGAAGATAAGCGCGTCGCGTTCTTTCGTCAGCAAGTTCCACACGATTTTCGCCTACTCGGATCTATTGGTCTCACGCTGGTCAGCCAATCGAAGAGACAGTGCTCGATCGCTGCTGTTGCTTAGTGCCGCGAGTTCAAGATTTGGTGCTAATCCAGCTCTGACGGAGCCGGCCAACTACGTCGCCAGCGTCCTCCTCCGCCGCCACACTCAGTCAGTCAGTCGTAGGCAGTCCGCCGCAGCCGTGTAGCCGCCATATAGCGCGACGTACTCGTACGTACGGCCACGCGAAACACAGAGGGCGCGGAGGATGCCACCGCTGCTGCTGCACCTCATCCTCGGGAGCAGCAGCTAAATTGGCCGCCGCGGTGGACGTCCCCACGAGCAGCAGTCGGCAACGCGAGCAATATCGGCAGCCCAGCCGGTTGCCCAGCAAACCACTGTGCTCTCTCGCTCTCCTACGTCTACGCACTCTCTGCTGCGCGTGCAGTACCCGTGTTTTCTTTTCGTCGCTCGCATTCAGAGTTGCGTGTTCTACTGGCGCTCTCTCAGTTCGGTCGCCGTCGCACTTCTCGCCGTGTGCATCGTGCGTTGGCCGCCGGAGCAGCGAACCCCCGACGAACGTTGTTGTTGTGTACGTGTACGTGTGTATCATCTTTCTGTGTATCTATGTTTACGATGTGCGCGTGATATGCGAAGATGCCAAATGGTTGATGAGCACCGGATCCCGGCGCTACTACTGCTGCTGGTGCGCGCTGCTGGTGGTGCTGGTGGTGCTGGTGCCGATGAGAAGAGGCTGGCCGGCATGGCCCGCCGGCGACGAGCAGCACCAGCCGATAAGTAGCTCAACACCAGCCTAGACAACAAGTCACTACTCGTGGCGCTCGGACTGTCCGACAGCCAAGAGCCAGCAAGTGCTCCAGAAGATGGCCGACCACCTCGTCGATGGGCCGCCCAATAAGCGGCCCAAGCTCAACGACCCCTTCCAGGCCGCCTCCGATTCCTCCAGTAAGATCATCGACTTTATCAACTTCTAACTCACTCTATCTATCCTTCTTGTTCTTTCTCTATCTCTATCCTAAGTTATTACTCGACCTTTGTTTCTGTTCTTTCTTTTTTATTTACCACCGTACCCAACCCTGGTCCGTCTCGCGATTCTCCACATAGCCGTTTTCTTTTGCCTTCTCAAGCTCACCTGTTGTGGACGTGGAATTTCATCTCGCTCGCAAACGCGCATTGTGCGATTGTGTGAACTTGAACTATTTATCGATTGTGAACCTCGCGATGAACGTTCCGTGCTCGTCGTAGTCAGCTGGACTATCTCTGTCGTTCGAACGCTCGAGAAAGAGGGAGCAAACAAAAAAGGCACACGATCAAGAGATCGTAGGTTAGAGCAGTGAACAGGTGGCACGCTAATAACAAAACAGTGGTTGACGTCTTCTATCCGTTGTCCGCGATTCTCGCGATGACTGATATCCAGCAGTTGACACTTGCGCTTCAGCAGCTGACTTTTGCGCTTCTGTTTGTCTCCCGCATAGAAAACGATGTGCGCGCGCGATCGTTATTATTATCGGCGTCATCACTGTGCATCGGTGGTCGCGTGCGTTGTCGCGAACCTCGGGTTTGAACCAGTCGAAACTCGTGTGATTCGAGGGATGAAGGTAAACACGGCGAAACTGCTCCGAGTTCCTTGTGTACCACCCTCTTTGCCCAGCAGCACCACGCTTCCTTCGCGTGGTGGCTGCTCGTCTGCCACATAACGTCTGCGTCCGTGTCTTTCGGAGTGTGTATCTCTCTTTCGCGGCGGCTGGCTCTGTGTGACCTATTTTGCGTGGCGCGCGCCGCCGTTCACTCGGCCATTCCACGCGAAGTAAAAACTCCACGCGCGCACTTCTCTGGCCATTATGCCGCTGCTCGTGTGCTTCTGCGCCCGCTGCCAAGGCGAAAACCGAGGGTTGTGTGCGAACGAGCGAGGGACGCGCGCCGCGCTCCCGTGCGCGATGTGTGAGTGTACAGTGTGGCGCGAGAAAGAGACAGCGAGCGCGAGAGAGAGAAAGAGAGAGCAAGAGAGTGTGGTGGCCGCCTACGCGGCGCTGATGCTTCGACTTCGACTTCGCCCCGCGCTTCTGGCGCTCGCTCGCTCGCTCCACCGAGAGACTCCGCTCGATATTTTTCGACGCTCGCCAACCAATCTTCGCGATTTGACTTTTTTCCTTCCCCCCCGGATATTACGACATCGGATACACACGCGGCTCAGGTGTTTTGTTGACTCTTGCTGGCTCTTCCTTTTTTTCATTTCTTGCGATCAGCTGACTTAGAGAATTTGGTTGACGATGATTCTTCCTATTGTGCTTCTATGTTGGTTTTGATAAACCATGTATTTCGTTGAAAAACAACTAGGCCTAGATTTGTTTTTCTCGTGATCGTATTCGCGAGAGTGCAGCTGATAGGCTGTGTTTTCTCAATGACAGGACAATGTTATGACAGTTGTCAGATCATGAAACTACTATCGAAAGCCTACCCGATCCTTTTATGTTTCCAAATTTTATTTCAGTTTTCTCTGTATTTTGTTGTACCTTATCATCAAAATAAAAAAAAACTCTTTATACTCTTTGTCTTCAAACACTAAAACCACAGTAAATTTTACACAGATTTGTTGATGTTCCTTGTGTTTCTTCTGCTGACTAGAGTCTTTATATGAGCACACTGTTTTTTGCATTGATAGTTTTCCTATTGCAGCTATTAATTTTCACCAGCAGAGCATGTTTTTCGTTTTTTGCATGATCATTAGAACAAATTGTTGAGATTCATAAATAAAAGCTCCCTCCAGCGCTCGCATGTATAATGCACTAACAATGTACACTTTATTACCATGCAATTTCCCTTTCCCTAGACTGCTCTTTCTGTATCTGTCAGTATCTTTTAAAAGCTTGGTAAAGCTGTCAGTTTCTTCCAGATCCTTTATATAAAAAAACCTGCCTTCTACTCTCTATGGCAATAAGGGTTTAAAAAATACATTTAGATTATCCGTCAATCGATGAATTTATGAGTTGACATTGAGTAAGCCTGCAATTAAGTCACAGAAACTGAAGAATTATTGTGTTGTATTCTCGATTGACGGAATGGTGTTGGGTGTATTTTTCTTAATCAATGTGTATTTAAGGTGACTATGAAGTAAAAATTCATATAAATTGTAAGATAATACTAATGGACAATAATCGAGGTTATTTGGTTACTTTAATCAAGTTGATGTGGTGAACTGTTCAAAATCGTAATGTTATTTCTTTAACTTGTCATATTGAACTTTCAAAATTTATAAGGTTATGGTATGTTAATTTTATAAATAAGTTCATAGTTTAATGAATACCGTCAGAGAAATACACATATAAGATTATACACACCTATGAAACGTTTAAAGAAAAGCTAACAGTTTTTACAAAATGACTATAAATCAGTGCTTAAAGCTATTCAAAATCCTGTAGTTTGACAGTTTCTGCGACTTAGTTGCGCCGTACTTAAATATGTATAAATAAAAAATTTATAAGTGAATGAGAAAAACAATGATGGATAAAAACCACAAACAATAATAAGTCTCATTTGAAGTAGCATAGTCTTAAATTATGAACTGTAATGTATATGTAGTGGGTATGGCGCCTCTAATGATGCACCATGCTTATTCACACTACGGGGGAGGTGGCAATGGTAACATGCAACAAATGCAGCTACATGTACAGCAGCAGCAACCGCTACATCTGCAACACCATCAGATGCAGCCAATTTGGAACAACAGTCATACTGGGCAAAAAAGAAGTAAATATTATTACTGAAACAGAAAAAGTGACAATCAAAACATCACAATATTAAAGTTCAAGACTCAGAATTGAGGATCTCGGAGGCTGCTCTGATGTTTGTTCTAAACATACTTCAATTGATAAATGTTCTTTTTATTGGATTTATTTTGAACTTATTTATGATAATTTTTCAGAAATATTTTCATTTTTAAATTCAAAAATTTAATTCAATTTTAAATTCAAAAAATTGCATAGGCTCTTTTAAAGTTTTTGATTTTACAACGTACAAAATTATATAATATCAGTAACATTTAAAATCAGACTCCGGAATCCACTTAAATTTTAAAGATAAAATTAGACTTGTCTAAGCACTATAAATGAATTTTATTCAGCTCCACTTCATTAGCACATAATTTCATAAATTTTTTTTAAATTAATTATATCTAACATTATTTTATTTAAGAGTGATCAGTTTAGTAAAACTCATTGATAATATCAGTGTTTCATTTTAATTATACAAATAATTTGTCTCAAATACTTGTGTGTAATAAATCAAAAACAATTTTAAATAACTTTGAATCTAACTTGATGTTACAAATGAAAGTAATTAACCAATAAACTTTTTTATGGACAAACTATTTTTTTGTCTTACAGTAAAATAAAAATTTTTTCTAAACAATTTTATTTCAAATAATGAGACATGCGACAAACACTAGAGAGCTCCAAATGAATCTATAAATTATGCTCTATTTAGGCTACTTAAATATCTAAATATTTAAAGTAATTTATATCAATTTAGTCAGAATGTCAGGAAAGACATAATCATATGTATGGTATCACCAGCGTTATTATTCGTAATACAAGGTTACAAAAATTTGTATTTTAAACCATATTAAATAACTACTATATACCTTGAATTATAATAAGTATTGAAAACAACTTAAGAGTTTGTACTGCCTCTGACATTCTGGCAGAAGGGATAGGAAGCTCTGTCGACTTTATTTGTTAAAACAGGAGTATATAGGTCATAATAATTGTAAAATTAGTAAAATAAAATCAACTTAAACTATACTTATTAGTGTAATATAAAAGTCTGTAGATCAAATCGAAGTAAAATTTCAACCTGCAATAGAAATTCTGTTCTAGAGCGATTACCTTATATCTCTACGCATGTGACTCTATACAGTTTGTCATCAGTAGCTTTGCAGCTTTTGTAGTTAAGCACGAGTTTACTGTGCATCATATTTTTTATTATCCGCTGCAGCATAAACTGCAACAAGTTTTGCTCTAGCGGTGTATGTCTCATGTCTTATTTTCTATTTTCAATGTTTTATATTTTTTTTTTCAATACTTGTTTGTTTATACAAGATGAATATGTAAATAATTATTTTGCATTCCTTTGTATATGTACATGCCTTTTCTTTTCTGTCCAAAAATCTGGTTAGTCCTGTACATAGAACTGAAGCTGTACCATTCATAGTTAATGGTGTAAAAATAGTTGAGTGTTCCTTATAAGTTTATTATAATTAATTTCATTTTTCAAGTTTATTTATTTTAAAACCAGGTCTATTGAATCATTATTTTTCAATGTTATACAAACATTACTACAGGTAGAGAGACAATAATTCATATGTACAAAAAAATAATGGTAATTTAAACACTATTATTTCTATCATTATGGTGGTGGTATAACTAAGTATCATTAATTACTTATTCATAAAATTACTAATGCTGTTTAAGGTATTTACGGTACATGACACATTATTCGTAAAGCCTGTCCTTTCACTAACTAGTTTTGTAGCTATGATAAAATGTACAACCCAAGCTTTAATTAGATGATTTTAGAAATAATCTACTTTTTTTTCTCTTAGCATACTTTACACTTTGATCTTGTTGATATTTCAGTAGTATTGTTTTTTTATTTTTATTTTTTTTCAAGCATCTCTACAAATTAGCGTGTCATATTACTGTGTGTTGCATTTTCTCATGTTCATTTGAAAAAAAAATACAAATCACACAACTCAAGAATCCAAATAGAAAAATCAAACAGTATCCTTTTTTTTTTATTTCACCTTGTTCTATCATTTTGCCCAATCCAACAAGTCCAACAGGACATGAGATATTGGATTAATAGCACCTTTTTCGTCCTCAGATTACATGTCAAACACTGATATGTTTGATCTTGAAAATGATCTGCCCGATGATTTGCTGTCTACGGGCTCATCATGGGGTTCAGCAACTGAAAGTGCTAAGCCACCTGCCACAGGACCAGGACCTGGACAACAAAATGGTGCATTAGACTCTGATTTGAGACATGTGCAACAGCAGCAACAGCTTTCTCATCATCTCATTCAGCAACCGGTGAGTACCGTCATATAGATTATTTGCTCACAGCACAAACTGTTTAATAAGTTACATAAAGATTACATACTATCCGCTCAATACTGTGACTACTATTTTATTATTAAACATATTGATTTTAAGGCAAGCATTGATATCAACGCACACTAAAAGTAGTCCATATTCAGACATTCAACTGGCTAAAAATAAAAAATCCATATTTGTTTATATTAATGAATTTATATCTACCATTTAATAATTTTGTCATTAAAATTTATTGTATCTACTGAGTAAGCATTCGCTTGTATTTTCGTATTTCTCATTAAATAGCGAAACGCGCAAGGCATACTATTCAGCTCGAATCTAAGAATTTTTCTGATCCCGAAGCTCGTAAAACATTCGTTGTTCTATTTTCGCTGCGTAAATAGTAAACATTGTGCACAAGATGCATTCACCTTCACAAAGTCGGCGGTGCTGCCATCTGCCGGTGTAGCTCGGCGTATCTTGGCTTTGAATATTTTTGAACAAATTCGCATTTATGTAATCGTGAAAATCAAGCTGACTCCCAATTTTTTACGTCGAATTCATTTTATCGTAAATCAATTATTTTAGCGAATCTCTGCAATTTTTTTTCTTCTTCATTCTTCAAAGTCTCACGTGAACACTCGCGGTTATGATATTCCAGTTATCAATGAAAATTTCGCGGAGTAGAATCGGACGCCCAGATAATTCAACATATTCCGCAAATTTTAGAGTTTTAAAAATAAATATTAACGGCTTTTGATGCGTTGAGTAGATATCAATTTGCTAGACTTATATAGTAAAATCACGGTATTACCTGTATATCCAGCAGAAGTATGCGCGAGATTGATTACAATAATTATAATAAACTCTTACAAATTAAGACAAAATGAAAAAATGTAAAATCCGTATATAGAATGAATATTTTATATACGTGTATCTTATTGTAATTCGCAATATTGCTATACATGACCTACAAGTTTTGTCAGTTTTCCTTTAATGCATTTTTTCATTTTCTAATACCTTAAGTTCATGCGGCAACAAATTAATATTCTTAGTGACAACAATGTAACCACTGCTATTATATAATGTTTTCTCGATCTTAGGCAAATGGAAGTACTAAAAGAACGTATTTCTTTTGCCAGCCGCAGGGCGGAAGCAAAAACTTAGTAGCGAATTCGCTGGTTATGGCGAGTAATTCACTGGGCAGTAAGTCGCCAAACATGCAGTCTCCGCCGAACGTCTCGGTGTCGAAGAACGTGGTGGATCCTAGCATGGTGGTGTCGCTGAGCAACTTGCCAAGTAGCATAGCGAGCTCCCTAGCGAACAATCAGCAGCAAATGTCGATAGCTAACTCGATGGGTGGCTCGATGAGCATGCAGCCGCAGCCTCAGCAAACCCAGGCCAATCAGCAGGCTATGAACCCGGGCGGCAGCCTCGTGATGACCAGCAGCAGCAACAACATGAGTGGCATGGCTGGCGGCGGGTTGATTATGGCCAATAACAGCCTAGCGAACAAGCAGCAGCAGCAACAACAGCAGCAGCAGCAGCAGCAGCAACAAGTAACGATGGTCGGCGCCGGAAGCGGCAACGCCCAGGGCATCGGTCACCCGGGCCAGCACGGCGTTAGCCAGATGCAGAACGGACCGGGCATGATGAACGCGCGCGCTGTCGCGATGCAGCAGCAACACATGCTCGGTGGGCCGACTAGGGGCCAGAGTCCACATCAGCAGCTCAATCCCGCGGGCATTGTGCCCGGACCCGGTGGACCCAGGATGGCCGCGCCAAATATCTCCAATATACCTAACATGGGACAGATGGCCGCGGCAAACAGTCCGTACGGATACGGTGAGTCCAGCAGAATTTCATTTAGTAAAGTCCTCCCGAACGTCACTTTAACGCGCTCGCTTTGCTCCTACATAGGTTCTCCGGGTGCACCAGGAGGCCCAGTGGGAGCGGGTAACTCGGTGGGCGTGGTAGCGCCGCAGCAGCGTGCCGTGGCTAGTGGCATGACGGCCATGGGTGTGGGGCGTTTCGGTGGTGCTCCTGGTGCCGCCGGACCCACTGGACCTATGGGTGCTGCCGCTGGAGTACCTGGCGGTCAAGAGGGTGGTATGGCTCAGCAAGCTCAACCACCGGCGCCGAGTCCTGCTCAGCCGCAAAGCGGCGCACCGAGCGGAGGACAACCGGGCCCTCAACAAGCTACGCAGACGCAAGTGCCCAGCAATGTCGCGCAGCAAAGTAAGTACTCGTTATCAATACTTGACAAGCGAATCTTGACAGCAGAAACTCATGGTCGTTACCGTTGCATTTGATCTGTTTAGGAAATAGAGCAGTGACCGCTGACCCGGAAAAGCGCAAGCTCATTCAGCGGCAACTGCTGCTATTCTTGCATGCACACAACTGTCAGCGTCGCGAGAATCAAGCAAACGGCGAGCAATGGCAGCCATGTACATTGCCAGACTGCCGTACCATGAAGAACGTATTGAATCACATGTCGACGTGTAACGCGGGCAAAAATTGTACGGTACCGCATTGCAGCTCGTCTCGACAGATTGTCGGCCACTGGAAGCATTGTGTTAGAACCGACTGTCCCGTATGCATGCCTCTGAAACAGGCAGAGAAGAACTGGCATACTAATAGCAACGCTGCCACTGGTGCTGGTGAGTTTTGGCTCAGACTCTACATGAGACTTTTCGGAAATGGTTCGTTGATTCCGTTAAAACAACATTATTTCTTTTTATTTTGTTCTTTTGACGCGACTCTTTGAACTAGTTCAACTTTGACCAAGTCATTCAATTCAAATACATTGTAGAACTACTTTGGTTGATTAATGAAAAGTTTAACATATATATATACATATATTTAATGCATGTCATACTTGATATTCAAACAATTGCAATACCACAATAATCGTATCTCAATAATTTTTATTTTTTTGTTGAAAAAAACCTTGTTCATTCGGCCAATTGTTACTCAACGGACGAACACTTGTAACAGTTGCAGCCCCAGCGAATCAAGCTAATGCCCAGCAGCCGAGTTCCGCGGATATGAGAAGAGCATACGACGCGCTAGGCATTAGCGTTCCACCTACGACGCAACCAGGTGTTTTACCAGGAGCTCAAGGTGTTGGCAGGGGAGTGCGAGTCACTACACCCGGAATGCAGAGTCAACCGGGTGCAATGGCCAATGTTAGACTAACTCAGCGGGACGCACCAGGTTCACACTCTTTTATTCTATTCGTTTCTGATAAATCATTTAAACGAAGTATCGTGAACGGTTAGTACTTTCACTAAATTGCTATTTCAACCTGCTTAATTTTTTCAACTATCGACGGTTATTTTTAAAGCTGTGATAATGCTAAATCGCTTATTGATTTGAACTTTTGATTCTTTCCTCAATTAGTAAGAAAAACGCCGGTTTCTAGAGAATACGTCGACGTAACTAAGAATGGTATAATAATGAAGTTTTTGAGGCCGTGTGTGATGTCAAAATTGATGTATAAGTTCGAAGTAAGTAAATTTACACTGAAAATTGATATAAAAATGCGTGAGGCATCATTCAATAACAGAAATTTAAGATCGCGCATATTTATTTGACAACTTCTATAGCATTACTTACGTTATACGTGTTTCACATAACTTCCTCTAACATTTAACGTAAAAAATATTCGAACAGTAGGTCCAGGTCAACCAGTAATAGGCGCATCTCAGCAAGTAGTAGCTCCAAATGTGTCTCTACCGTTGAGTTCGGACCCGTCGGCAGTTACCGGAGCTACTGCAGCAGCAGCGGCTGCTGTAACTCAAGCAACTCCGACAACTGGCACTGGTGCCGCGACCGTTAATCAGCCAACGGCAGCGGCAGCCGCAGTCACCGCAGCTAACATTCAGCAGCAACTTTTTGGAGGTCTCAACGAAGCTGGCCAACCTGGCAGTGGACTTCTAAACGACAATAGCAGAATGCAGCTGCCTGGTGGCTTGCAACCTGGGCAAGTCACGGCGACGCCTGTGCAAGGCACTAAGGAATGGCACCAGAGTGTCACACCTGATCTCAGGAACCACCTTGTACATAAATTGTAAGTGCTGTTGTGATACTGTTATGTTTGAGTTTACTCAGTATTTTGATGCAAGTTGGATAACAAACAACACATCTTTTCATTTCAGGGTTCAAGCGATATTCCCTAATCCCGATCCTCAAGCCATGTTTGATAAGAGAATGCACAATTTAGTTTCATATGCTAGGAAAGTGGAAGGTGACATGTACGAAATGGCCAATTCGAGGTCAGAGTATTATCACTTACTAGCTGAGAAAATCTATAAAATCCAAAAAGAACTCGGTGAGACTTGTTTCAACTCTGCAAAAAAAATACGCAAGCTATATATTTTGTCACTCATTTATCGAGTTTGCCTTATATTCAACAGAGGAAAAGCGTCAGAAGCGCAAAGAACAACAACAGATGCAAGCGCAACAACAGCAACCAACGGCCCCAGGTGCATCGAATTTGAGGCCAATCGCACCTCCGAACATGACAGCAAGTGTGCCCAGGCCGATTGGAGCAGTAAAACCGACGTTGCGCAGTCATTCTCCTGGGATGAGTCAATTGGGTCTTGCTAGTATGGGAATGCAACAGAACCGCATGCAGTTCAACCAACAAGCCCAGCAATTGCAAGCGCAACAGGTGCAAGCTCAACAGCAAGCTCAGCAGCAAGGTATGATGGGAGGACCAAGTCCCAATGGCCAAGCTGCCACGAGCATGGTTGGGCCCTTTGGTCAACCACAGATGTCCCAAGCCAATTTGACGACGACCACGGCGTCCGTGACCACTAGTCAATTCCCTACGTCCAACGGCACCGCGGGCTTGTCCAATAGCTCGCCCATACACCAGCAAAACCAGTTCAATGATATCATGAAGGCCAGAATAGCACAGGTGACTTGACTGCTTTTTTCATTTATACATATAAAGTATTGCGCATTTTAGTTTTCATTCAGCGTTTATTCAATCTAAAAACGATGAGTCTGAAAGAATGTGCTATATTAATTTGGAAGGATAATTAGCTCGTTTCGATCTGCATGATTGAAATGAGTCAGTCACCTGATCCACAATATTTTATTCAAAAATTAAAAAATTCCGACGATTAATTTTCGTTCCACAACTCACACAAGCTTGTTTAAATTGATTATTATAGGCACAGGCAGCCCAGCAGGGACAACAACCGACGAGTACGGCACAAAACGTGACAGCAACATCCATACCCCAAGCACCGTCGCCGTTCGGGAGTATGCAGCAACAACAGCAGCAGCAGAACCAACAGCAATTCCTAGGAAATCGTCCGTTGTCAACTTCTACTCCGAATGACAATGGGCTTGCCGTGTCGACGCCTCAAACTATTCCACCACCAGCCTCTAGTGGGCCGAGTCCAAGTGCTACTCCCATTGCCAATGGACCGCAGTCCACTACTTCCACACCTAATACACCATTAGTACCGTCGCTTATGACGCCCTCGCAGGTATCTTTTTATCTTTTAAGTTTGATGGCTTCAAATGCAGAACAATAATTTTGTTTTGAATATGCACGTCAATTTCAAATCACGTAACTTTGTTTATATCCATTCGCGCTGTACAAGCATACTATGCATGCTTCTCTGACATCTCGGTTCCGTGTTTATTTTCTTCTTAGTACTTTTCGGACCGCGAACAACACTTCATGTCTCATAACGCTCGATCATAAAGTATACTGTGGCTAATAAAAAGTATAAATTCATTCGAAACGTACAGATGGTGAAGAGCGAAAATCAAACGCCGCCGCATCCCGGCACAACTCCGTCCCCGGCGGGTCTCGGTAAAGGCATGAGCTCTCAGGAGAGAGCAGCTCTGAATGCACCACGAAGCTCGTCTATGTCGTCGCAGATGGCTGCTATCACGGCAGCACTCGAACGCGATCGCTCGCCTAGCCCGCTCATGGGCAAAGGCAAGCTGGATAATATGAAGGACGAGATCAAGATGGATATGGACCAGGAGGACAATGAGCACAATCGATCGGATGGGGGTAGTGGGAAGAATGTCAATAATGATCATGGCATGGGCAATGCTATTAAGACTGAGATGAAGCCGGAAGCCATGGATGAATGCGGCGAGGCTGGGACTGCCGGAAGCGTCAAGATCAAAGTATGTTTCCAAGTTTTTTTTTAATTAGTGCGAGTTTTATCATTGGAATACAAATTAGATTTTCATTATTTTGTAAACTGTCGTTATTAAACTATCGAATAATATTACAGCGCTCATTGCATTTTTGTGTACAATAAATATAGCAGATTATTCGATTGATATTATTTTCTTAAATTTAATTAATTTTTTTGTGTATGAAAAGTTTAAATTTTTTGTCGAACTCCGTGATTAAAAACCAATAACTAATTTTACATTTTGAAAATAAAAAAATTATGTTTGCAGGAGGAACCTGGTATCAAGGAAGAAATGGTGACAGACATGAATCAAGAATCAACGAGCGGTGATATAAAGCCAGCGATGCCAGAACCAATTACACCGAGCGGCAGCTCGACGGACAAAAAGCCGATCTGCTTGTTTAAACCCGATGAGTTGAGGCAAGCACTCATGCCCACTCTAGAAAAGTTGTTCAGACAAGATCCAGAATCACTGCCGTTCAGGCAACCTGTCGATCCTCATGCACTTGGTATACCTGATTACTTCGACATCGTCAAAAAACCCATGGATCTGTCGACCATCAAACGTAAGCTCGATACTGGTCAATACAGCGACCCATGGCAATACGTTGACGATGTGTGGATGATGTTCGAAAATGCTTGGCTGTATAATCGCAAGACTTCCAAAGTTTATAAATATTGTACAAAGGTTTGTTTATATTTTACCTTGACAAAAGTAAGATTATTTAATTGAAGGGTTGTGACTAATGTGACGCCGCGAGTGTATTGCAGTTATCGGAAGTCTTCGAAAAAGAAATTGATCCTGTGATGCAAGCTCTAGGATACTGCTGTGGCAGAAAATATACGTTCAATCCACAAGTGCTTTGTTGCTATGGCAAACAGCTGTGCACTATTCCTAGAGATGCCAAGTACTATTCTTACCAGAACAGGTCAGTGCACTCTATATTCATAATTATAATTTCTCAATCATGTTCATAGTGAAATTTGTACATCAAGCATGATTAGATTAAAATATTTACGTTTTCACAACTTGAAAAGATAAATTAGTGTAGGTCTTTATATTTTTTTTTAATACTTTAATTTGATAGCGCGATATATCACCATACATTGCTTTGAAATATATTAGTACAAAGTAAAATTACGCCTGATTTACATTTTCAATACCATGTATTTTTATCTGCTCTATAAGAACTTATATAGCTGTTAATCAATTAAAATTAGAGTTACGTACGTCAGTTATTTCATAAACCTAGTGATTAGTCGTAAAACTATATTTTTAAGGCACTTTCTTTCAAAACTTACTTAACTCTAATACCCATAGCATGATGCCTTACAGTTTCAGTCACACGCATGTTTTAATAGACGCATCAAATTAAAATCCTAACAGTCATTTCACAATCGAACTATTCTTGTATGTCAATGATTTCAATCTTGACGAATTAACTTCTTCATTGTTACAATTTTAAGTTTTGAAATTACGTGTCTTAAATTAATTGTGTTGAGATTTTTTTCATATTTTTTGTGTACGTAACATAATTCTAACTAGATATTATTTTTTAAAGACATCTGATTTTTTTTCTAACCATGGCACCATTATTTCTCTTCTTTGTATGTACCCTCCTTCACCTACCACGGATTGATCGCACACACGCACACACAACAATCCGTATTTGCCGCTTGCTTCTTGTGTTGCCTACGTTATCTCGCTTCTCCTTACGCCACAACCTCTTCGCCATCAATTGGTTCTTGGACACTCGGATGACTGAATAAAAATAAAATCGGCAAAAACAAATTAATAACTAAAATTTTTTATTAAATTATTAACATACGGCAATACGCAAAATTAAAATTTGGCAAAAATGAAACAAACGTTGAACCAAATAACCACGTAACGCACATTCATACGTACATGCATCCATCGATTGTGGATTGGTGTGAATGAAAATACGACCATTTGTGTGGAACTGACGCCTGTGCAATTATCACTAACGGCCACATGATATCATGAAACAAACCATTTATCCGAATGTCCGAAAAAATCCTCACATTCATACATGGATTTGCAATTGGGGTACTTTTATGCAAGTAGTATAAAGACATATAAAACTGTTTCTGACAGATACACCTACTGTCAAAAATGTTTCAACGACATTCCCGGAGATACGGTGACGTTAGGCGACGATCCTACTCAGCCTCAAACGTGAGTATCCATTCAACATTTTACTAAACTTGTTATCAATTGGTGTATTTTTTTATAACGGGCATATTCAAAATTTTCAGTGTTATTAAGAAAGAAGAGTTCCAAGAAATGAAAAATGATCACTTAGAGCAAGAGCCATTCGTAATGTGTACAGATTGCGGTAGGAAAGTGCACCAGATTTGCGTGCTATACATGGAACAAATTTGGCCTGCAGGGTATGTTTCATTAACTCGTTCAGATTTCAACGAAATAATTATTCAAAAGTTCAAGTAATAATTGAACTTTGCATTACAGCTACACGTGCGACGGTTGTCTGAAAAAGAAATCACAAAAACGAAAAGACAACAAATTTAGCGCCAAGAGGCTACCCGTAACAAAGCTCGGCACCTACATCGAGACTCGTGTGAACAATTTCCTGAAGAAGAAGGAAGCAGGCGCCGGTGAGGTTGCTATTCGCGTAGTGTCATCAAGCGACAAAGTTGTCGAAGTAAAACCAGGCATGAGAAGTCGTTTTGTTGAGACGGGTGACATGTCAGGCGAGTTCCCTTACCGAGCGAAAGCATTGTTTGCTTTTGAGGAGGTTGACGGCACCGACGTCTGCTTCTTCGGTATGCACGTACAAGAGTATGGTAGTGAATGTACACCACCTAACACTAGAAGAGTTTACATTGCCTATCTCGACTCTGTACACTTCTTCAAACCAAGGCAATTTAGGACGGCTGTTTATCATGAGATTTTACTTGGTTATCTCGATTATGCGAAACAACTTGGGTAAGTACTCCGACTGAAAACATAGTTATATTATCGTGCCGTATACTTGGGTTTGTAATATTTGCTGTTTTCTTCTAGATACACGATGGCTCATATTTGGGCATGTCCGCCATCAGAAGGTGACGATTATATATTTCACTGCCATCCTGTCGATCAGAAAATTCCGAAGCCTAAAAGGTTACAAGAATGGTACAAAAAAATGTTAGACAAGGGTATTGTTGAGAGGATTGTCCTTGATTACAAAGTAAGTGTCGCTGTGAAATTTTATATTTTAAACTAGTCTCAGTGTTACCTGTTTGTTAGAAATTACACTCGGGTGTCTTATGAGACTTAAATTAACCTGCCTTTTTAAAAGCTAATGTTCTTATGATGACAGTCAGTTTGAACATAGGATAATTAGGCAACATTTTATTTCATACTTTTATAATGTCTTGTACATTCTAATTCTCTGAAAAATGACTCACGTACATCGTCTTTCCAGGACATTTTGAAACAAGCAATGGAAGATAAACTGTCGTCTGCTGCGGACTTACCGTACTTCGAAGGTGATTTCTGGCCTAATGTTCTTGAAGAGAGTATCAAGGAATTGAATCAGGAAGAAGAGGAAAAGCGGAAGCAAGCCGAAGCTGCGGAAGCTGCGGCAGCTGCTGCTAATGCTGTAAGTTGAACAACCTTTCTTAGAAAACAAAAATTAATTTAGTAAATGTCAATTATTACATAGACAAATTAAAAATTATAGATATACTCGTTAACTGAGGATTCGGAAACCGGACCCGACGGCAAGAAAAAAGGTCAAAAGAAAGCCAAAAAGTCCAACAAATCAAAGGCAAATCAAAGAAAAAACAGTAAAAAGTCTAATACTCCCCAAACCGGGAATGATCTCTCGGCCAAGATTTTCGCAACTATGGAGAAGCACAAAGAAGTATTTTTCGTTATTCGACTCCATAGTGCCCAAAGTGCAGCTAGTTTAGCGGTAAGTTTTGTTCAACAAAAAATGCAACATAAATTATAGTGCATGGAAAATTAATGTTTACATGTCGATGTTTTTGCAGCCCATTCAAGATCCTGACCCAGTACTCAATTGTGACTTAATGGACGGTCGAGATGCTTTCCTCACAATGGCCAAAGAAAAGCATTACGAGTTTTCGTCTTTAAGGCGAGCGAAATTCAGCTCAATGTCAATGTTGTACGAACTGCACAATCAAGGATCAGACAAATTTGTGTATAATTGTAATAAATGTAAGAGCCACGTCGAGACTAGGTATCACTGTACTGTGTGCGATGTAAGTATATATTGTTTATAATGGTATTATAGTTTTTTGATTGATTGCCTAATATAATTTTTGTTGTTAATTTTCATTTATAGGACTTTGATTTGTGTCTAAGTTGTAAAGAAAAAGAAGGTCATCCGCATCAAATGGAGAAACTTGGTCTAGACTTAGATGATGGATCATCGCCGGCTGATGCAAAACAAGTTAATCCTCAGGTAAACACATTAGTTTTATCGCTTTTACATTTCCCGAGAATAAACAAAATTAATACTCAAACAAAAAATTTCTTTGATAGTAAATAACGTTTTCTATAACAATGTGACATAAAGTTTTAAGAAACACAGGAAAACAAATAAAATTTGTAATACATCCAAGTATTTGATCGCGACGCTATAAGCCAAGATGGCGGAACTGACGAGACCGCGAAACACATTTGTATATCTATATAGACAATGAGTGAAGGAATACGGGTCGAACTTGAAGCGCCATATTGGCTTTAAAAATTCTCCATTTTTACATTAACAGAAATTATGAATGCATTATTTATGACCTTAACTTAGCTTAATAATTATTAATGACTGCGATTTGCAAGTAAAAGCAGCAGTTTAAAAAAAATAACTTGAAAAAATTCAATGTTCCTGTTTTATTATATAAATTCATTGAAACTCGTTAATAACGAAAATATGATGATTAACATTACAGGAAGCAAGAAAGTTCTCGATACAAAGGTGTATACAGTCTCTGGTGCATGCGTGTCAATGCAAGGACGCTAACTGCCGATTACCCAGTTGTCAGAGGATGAAACGAGTAGTCCAGCACATCAAGACATGCAAGAGGCGCACGAGTGGCGGTTGCCCGATCTGCAAACAACTTGTCGCCCTTTGCTGTCATCATGCGAGGCACTGTCAAGAAGCGAAGTGTCCTGTGCCGTTCTGTTTCAACATCAAACAGAAACTCAAGCAACAACAGCACCACCAACGACTACAGCAGGCACAATTACTCAGGTAAGCGGTTTTTTTTTATGTTTTCCAAAAAGTTACGGAGCAAATATCAACATGATGAAACTCATTAATTGTTTTGCAGGCGAAGAATGGCTGTGATGAATACTCGACCAACGGAATCGACCATGGCGTCGGTGCCGGCAACGGCCAACTCGTCCATGGCGACTGGGGTGCCAGGCATGAAACCAGGCATAAGTCCAACCCAATTGCCGTCACCACATCATCATTCGGGTATCGGTATGAAGCCTGGCCCTCAGACACCACCGGCCAATGTATTGCAAGTTGTCAAGCAAGTTCAAGAAGAAGCGGCTCGACAGCAAGCGCCACATGGCTACGGTAAGGTCAATCCCGGTGGCGTTGTTGGAGGCGTCGGCGTTGGTGTAGGGGTGGCTGGTCAACCTGGTGGCGTTATGCCACCACCACAAATGCAGAGGCCTATGCCGGTCCAGATCAACAATCCTGGCCTCATGTCCATGGATCAATGGCAAGGGTAAGTAGACCGACATTTTCGTTATTTATTTATCTAACGCTGACTTGGAAACGGTTTAATAATTCTTTAGATTTCTCATGAGCAGTAGTACATCGTCTCGAAATTCTGCTTAATTTATTAATAATTTTGATGAAATATAAAAGGCTTGTAATGGTTATGTGCCTAATAACATTTATACGAGTAAAGGAGTTAAAGTAATTATAATTTAAGAATTTATTGAAAAGCATAGATTTTTATTTTGTCAATTGATGTATATCTGCAAAATAATTGAGTATGACAAAATATGAAGCAGGTAAAATAACCGATTTTCGTGTCGAAGATCGATATCGTAAAATACATTTCCAATGTTTGTACAAGCCTATTGCGTCTTGAGTTTAACATCGGTCGCCGCCATCTTGTATATTCTGCATTAGACTCACCCAGACTTAAACGTTTCTTTTGGTTTCCTCAAACTTTTTGACAACAAAAATAATATCCAATAATCGCAACGGAAAGACTTGAAAATGTCCAAACTACGGTTTAATTGTCCTCATGTTACGGTTGTACAAATTCTAATTGGCGATCCCAATTTGCAGTACAATCGTTCGAGAAAATCCATCTAACAGACGGATAGTGTCATCTTGACTTATAATGAAACGAAGTATAGTTATTTGAAAACCCTTTTTTAAACAAAGTAGAATTTTTACGTTAAAATTATTAATGAAAACTCAAGCGACAATAGGACAAAAGTAATACCACCTTTGTATTATAGTAAGAAATAATAGAGATATAACGAGAAAGACTTTTTTGTTTACTTAAATGATGATAAATGAGGGTTCAACGTTTTTATTATTAAAATAAGCAATTGGTACCAATACAGTTTGAATACAAAAAATTCCAACAATTAATCATAGAAAATTCGTTTGTTTCAGCAATCTGACGAACTTCAGGTACCAACCGAACGCAGTAATGCAGCAGAATACGGGTCTCCGACAGCAGACGCCACAGCTGTTGCAGCAACAGCAGCAACAGCAGCAGCAACAGCAGCAGCAACAGCAAGTTCAACAGCAGCAGCAACCTCAGCCGGGACAACAACCTGTTATGGGTGGAATGGCTGGACAGATGCCAAGGCAAGCTGGCGCAATGGTTCCCGCTGGAGGTCAAGTGCAGAATGCCGCGGGAAAGCAGGCCTTACAACAGCTAATGCAGACGCTCAGGAGTCCAAACACGCCCGAACAACAAAACCAAATACTCCACATACTCAAGAGCAATCCGCCTCTCATGGCTGCTTTCATCAAACAGCGACAAGTGAGTGATGCCTAAACATTAGGCTCGCGATTTTTGTGCACATATATTTGAATTTTTTTTTCATACCTTCTATGAATGAGGAAGGGTTATATTTTTGGGCTTTTAGCTATTTGACTCTAGATTTTCTAGCTGTGAAAGCTTTGCTGAAATCAAAAAATGATGTTTTCCCTTCCCATCTCTAGATATACTTTAAAAAAATGATAAAAAAACTTCTTCATTTTCAAACAATTGGAGAAAAAATGCAGTACACTCAAGTAACACGATATAATATGCACTATATATTGCAATCTAGAGCAACAGTGTAAAAAAGCGTAAAAATCTAACGCTCTGCAATCGAATATTTAACCCTAACGTAAATGTTATGGCTCTTCAGCAGTCGGCAGGTCAACACGGAGGTGGTGCAGGTAGCGCAGGAGGTACAATGGTTGCGACCCAACAGCAGCAACAGCCTCAACAACAACAGCAGCCTGGTCTGCATATGATCAATCCGCAGCAGCAGCAACAGCAGCAACAAGCGCAACAAGGTCGCATGCAGATTCAGGCAATGCTCAATCAACAACAGCAGCAAGCTCAGCAACAGGTGAATTATCATTGAGATAAGCGTTTGTAGCTCTGAGTCTCGGTATTATTGTACGATGTGTTTTTATATTGCAGCAACAACAGCAGCAACAGGGCCAGCAGCAAGTACCAAATGTGACGCAGCAGCAGCAGCAACAGTGGTTCAAACAACAGCAGATACTTATGCTACAAAGGCAACAGCAACAAGCCGCAGCGCAACAGCAAGCGGCCGTTGCCGCGGCCGCCGCTGCTGGAGGCCAACAGTTCACACAGCCATCCGCTCCACCCTATGGTCAGCAGAGGCCAATCAGGCCACCTATGCTAGGTAAGATACTCAAAAAATTTGTATGTTTGAAATAAATTAGGTTAAAATTGGTCGACTTGTTCATGAAAATGTAATTGTTTACTTAACAGGCTATAGCGGGTTCAACGAGCAAGGCTACGTGCAGCCAGGCCTGAAACCTACACCTCCGCCGGCGCCGTCGCCGCAAGGTATGATGGGCCCACCAGGAATCTCGTCCGTGCAGCAGCAGCTAATGCAGTCGGTTCGTTCGCCACCGCCGATACGCTCGCCACAGCCGAATCCATCGCCGCGGCCGGTGCCGTCACCACGTAACCAGCCGGTACCGTCGCCACGGGCCAATCCCGTACCCTCGCCCCACCACCACCCTCACGGCGGAACGCCCACGCACTCGCCGGCACACGAGCTCGGCGGTCCCAGCGAGATGATGTTGTCACAGCTGTCCCAGGCGGCGGCAGCAAACCAAGGCCCCGGTGGCCAGGGCCATCCTGCGGCTGGCATGGCCCACCATCCATCGCCCGCGCCGCCTAATCAGCAGAGCAACCAGGGGCAAGATGCTAACGACGTCACCCCTATGACGCCGCAGGATCAGCTGTCCAAGTTTGTCGAGGGCTTGTAGTGACTGTTGCTCGTTGCTCGCCGTTTACTGTATAGTTTATTATTGTTCATATATACGCGGGAACGATGCTGCGCGACCAGTGCTGTGACAACCACGTGTGCGTCCGTCTGTCGTTTTACTATGTTTGTTTGATGCGAGAGGCCGACAACTCTCTCTTTCTTAATCTTTTTTGTATTTCGCCGACGATGCGCCGAAAAAACGATTATCTCGATTATAAATATATACATAAATATAGATACTGTGAGTGCGTGCGTGCGTGAGTGTGTGTGTGTGTATGTGGATGAGCGCAAGTAAGACTGAACGAACATTGGCGTGCGTGTGTTGTTTTTATGTGAGGAAAAGAAGGCGGACGAATTTCCTACACACACACACCAGGGCTTTTTAACAATGACAGCCTAGAATTTAAGCGCGCACTCTTCACCCTCCAATAAGGGTGCGCTCTCGAGTATTTCAGACTATATATATACATATATATATATATAGATATATACATATTATATAAAAGACATTTTTACGAGGATAACGCGTACACTGTGACACGATATTATTGTAACTTTCTCCTTTTCGAACTCTGTTTGCTAGCCCCTCCCCCATCGCAGACAAATCACATACGCATACAATTGAGAGCAAGCAATTTTACTATACCAAGGTCCTTGTACGTTTTTTCTTCTACACATAAATATTTATATATGTATATTTATATACATACCTTATTATTACATTTTTTTTTGTTTTCTTGCTGCTACTAATCGCGTGACGGCGCAGTTTCAAGTGGAAATTCGTACAAATGTGTTGTGTATACTTAACGTTAATTAATTATTAATAGTACAACAAGATTGAGCAAAGCAAAAACAATGATACTACCCTAGCGATAAACGCAGTTATTACCATTACGTATATGTACTATATAAATATCTATTAATTATTGTGACAAACAGAAAAATACAAAGATAAGCGATAGAGGGCAATGATTTTTTTTTTTTTTTGTTGTACGATGAGAAACGACGACGACAAGCGAGAGTGTGCATCAAATAATTAAATACAAATCGGCTGTCCGCGTATTTTACTGTTTTAAATAAAGAAAAACAACAAAACTTAGTGCGAGAGTAGACGAAAATAAATGAACAATTTGTATGTGCAAACGCGATAGTGAAAGAGACGAAGTAAAAATAAAAAAATTTTTAGACAGAGTTATTATGCAAAATGGAAAAAAATAATAACAAAAACTGTTAGATCGTAAGGTTATTTGTTATGAAACAAAAAATTGCGCGAATCGGCCATCATTGGAGGCTATAGAGGGGTAAAAACCTCGTAGCAACTTTACATAATTATTGTACGAAAGCCGTATGAGAACTGAGCGACATAGCTTGTAAGAAGGGCTTCAGGCGGTTTTCATACTTTGAACAAAAGTTTATAAACGTAGCGAGAGAGAAAGACAACGCTAGATAATCGAACTTGGGAGCCTCCAGCCTGCGACCTGAACACTTATATTTCCCGTTATTTTTCTTTTTTTTCTATCTCGTTATTCATTCAAAGTCTTGTATTTCGCTGAGCTCCGGAATGTACAGTTCAACCAAAAATTTGTAGAGTATCTTTTTGGTTGCGGGGGCCCCTTCGTATATATATCGCAACACTCTGTAAATATTTGATAAATACTACAATTAAGGTAATAATAATGAATAATTATTAATAATTTACCTGTCTAATATAAATTTCATTGATTAATATTATTGCATATATTGATTAAAAATAATTATTGAGAGAGGGAGAGAGAGAGAGAGAGAGAGAGAGAGAGAGAGAGAGAGAGAGAGAGAGAGAGAGAGAAAGAGAAAGAGAGAAATGAACATTGAATAAATCTAAAAGAATTACTCGAGTTTGAAATATTGAAATATTTTGATGATAAATTGTGATGCGGGATACTTCTTCACTCTTGTTTTTTCTTTGCTTTCTTTTTTTTTTATCATTGATTCTTTATTTTTATTACACTGCTAAGTGCATATATTATCATAAAGCGACCATGCCAGTGTATCATATCGAGACAGAAATTCAATATAATTTAGAGACATTTTTTTATCCTTGTTTAGTTTAATTATAGTCTTGTCCTAATTTAAAAGCAAATCGAGTGTGACCGACAGATAACACAATGTACATTTATACATTATTTTCATTTTGTTATTTTATTGAGAGAAGGGAAACATCGTAGGGCTTCGGAGAGTGCATTTAAAGTATAAGGCAGTTTACAAAGAGAGAGAGAGAAAGAGAGAGTGAGAGAGTCTAATGCCAGCGTGATAGTGCGAATCGACAGTGAGAAATGAAATTTCCAGTGCGATTTACATAAAATAATTTTAGTGCTTTACATAAAAGAAGAAATCAATTTATTATCGATGTTCTATTTGTGAATCATTGTTTTTTTCTTCGCTGTACAAATGTCTTATCTATTCTCTTCTTTTTTTTTTATCTTTAGAAGCGTTTACTTGGCCATGCACAAGCGGCCGAAATATATAAATATATATATTATTATTATTTTTTAAATAAAAGATTGAAAAAATATTACGAAAAAAACCACGTATACACACTTATTGAGAGGGAGTTGCAATCTAAGTGGATTCGCGCCATACGTAAATTCGTTAGTTTAAGTGCGATCACGGATGAAAGGATAAAGCGACTTGCGTTTTGCGTGAACGAGACAGAAAGCAGAGATATTTAAGCGAGACAAATTAGCCCACTTAAATGAAAGAAAAATGTGCATGATGAACTTCTTCCTAATGAAATGAAAGCTATAATAACTAGGACAAGTTAAGACGCAAGTACAAGTAAATCCACGGTGTTTTACACGAAGAAAGAAATAAAAAGGAATACCCTACCTTTGTAAAAAATGTAAGCCAATAAATAAAGTTTTGTTAATTTAACGATATGCCATTCTATCGTTGTTAAATTGACAAAATTTCCTTATTTATAAGGAGGCACTTGTATCAAGCATAAGTTTTGTAAATATTCGTTCTACATTTGCTATTATACACTAGAGATTGGAATATAAATTATATCTAATTATAAGCGAACTATGAAAAATATAAAATTGATATTAAAAATATGAGTGTCTTCTTCAACTTATGAACCAAAAGTCACCTACATTTTTATTTCATCAACAATTCGTATTTTTCGTTTAATTTCCCTTTCAATATTGCTACGATTGATTCTCTGCTTTTCAATTCATTTGGACGGCATGACTTTGGCGACCAAAGCGATTAACTGCAATTCGCGAGAAAAACTCGGAAAGTTTTTGATCGGCGCAATTTGAAACACTCCAGATTTAAGCGATGATGATCTCGATGGCAAACTTAAAAGTATTCGGCACGTGAAATGGCTGTGTTGTTCGAGGCAGTTAATTGTCATTAGAAGTTCTCATACACGATTGACATGAAAATCACTCAGCAAACTCTCCTCGAAGGATTTCTGATTGATTGATTGATTAACTACTTTAGTACACTTAGGCTAATGCATTTACTTTGCGTACACCGAAACAAAATTTTATTTTTTAAGTTTTTATTTTGTAGCCTGACTTGTGTTATTATTTAAATTTTATTTAATTTTAAACGCTTGTAAATAAAAGTAAGGTTTCTTACTTTAATAAAAAAAATATTGACATTCATTTGGCTGCTTTTATTGGACTTTTGTACGATTGCAAACGAAGAGGAAACGTGTAAATACTGTTTCTGTACTTATTCGACGCATATTGTCGCTCCAATTCGCAAACTGGCAAACTGCGAATCGTAGAAGCTTATTTTATCCTCTTCTCCGAGAGCGATCTTCCGCTATCTCCAACTGAAAATCACGAATAAGAAAATTGTCGTGATCAGACCGATGCGCAGCTTAGTTTAGCAATCGGATGTGATATTACTCTATCGTCAAATATTTACAAAGTGTTGCGCAGTGAAGATTGCCCATTGGATCGCATTATTCTATTCTTATAAAGTTAACGATGAATAATCCACACCAAGTGATCGACACTGCGAGCTCGCAGCGAACATTTATTGTCGTCGTTTTGCAATAACCGATCGTTTCGACGGATGCGCGAGCGTCGCAGCCGAAAACTTGCAACTCAGTTCGATCGACTAAAGCAATGGCGAAGCAATCGGCGAGGGGACAGACTGCTCGTCGCACGCCTGCTGTAAATATTATAAGCGCAAATTCACACCGACCACCCTCGATCGCAAGTGATACAATAATTGTGCCGCGCGATGTAAATACCGCGGCGTCGACACCTTCCTCGGAGCCTGCCGTGAAGGAGACGCCGAACACCGGCTTCCGCACCGTGTCAACCGTCAAGTCTTTATAAGCGATCGACGCACGACAACTATACATATTATGTTCATAAGAGACACTTTATTAGCCAAGGCAACGTAGTTAATTTCAAGCGCAAAAGAGATTTATATATATACACATATATATTAGTTAGTGTAGGAGGGCGTAACGTTATACAGAGGATCGACGCCCAAGCCGTGCGAGCGTCGCGCGTCCAGTTTGTAGATAAACGACAGAGGATTCGCTAGATATCTAACCACTTGGATATTTTTATTTTGTTATACGTGCGCGATAGATAAAAGTAAGCCGCCGCCACCGATCCCTCGAGCGGATCGCCTGCGAGATGAAACAGCGTTCATACGATACTCCTGTATAATGTGACGATTGTCGAAGTTTCGAGGCGAGCTAGCAAAGGTTATTTTCTCATTGACTTTTCTATATGCTACAGCAACAATATGTTATACATATACATACACTTATAGTTCACTAGCGAACCTGAAAGGTGTGTGTGTGTGTGTGTGTGCGTGTGTACGTGTTCGCGTATGCGTTTGAGTATATGTGAGAAAGAGAGCAGAGAAGCGTTTAGTGATATGGAGTATACATTACGTCATGATTTACCGTCGGTTGTTTCCTTGTTGTTTTATACATACATAAAAATGATAAAAGTCGTGCGGTGAGGGATACGAATCACGTCCAAGAGTGACGAAAAATATGCTATGTGTATATATTTATACATACATATGATAAACATCTAGCGTAAGAAACTTATAAAATAAAGTTTACGTATCGTCATTTCAATTACGAGGCTTTGTTCTTTCATTTATTTCCTATTTTCATTTCATTCGCCTTTACGCAAATCTACAATTCAGTTCGTCGCATCGTCGACAAACTAATGTTTTTATCGATTTCAAGCAATCGAAATAACAGTTCGCTTCGCAGATGCCGTTGACCATCGAGCAGTTCGCCCGGAGTATGAAAGTCACAGCTATACTTCGGGCCGTTCAACTCTGGCAGCTGCAGGTGCAGGCAAGCCGGTCGCAATTGTAACACCGCAAAAAACGAGTCGCAGCTGTGCTGATCGTACAGCAGTAGTCGCTGGATCAAACAGATTTACAACCTTCCGTTCTGCAGTGGTGAAGCGAATGACGTAGCTCACATAACAATCTGAACATTTTTAATCAGCCGTGGGATGGCGCTTGGTTGGTTGGTTGATTGGTTGGGTTCCATTTTTTTTCTTTTGCTCTGGCATCGATTCACAGTCCGTGTCCCGAACGTCATCAACTGACTTGCGCGTTAATTGACTGAATTGGCGGTTGGTTTAAATTTGTCAGGTTGCGGAAAAAGTAAAAATAAAGACTAAAACGCTGACGAGGGATAAAAAAGCAGAATGCAGAGAGGTCAGGTGTGTCTAGGTCATGGAAATGGTCTTGAGTTTTTAAGGAATTTATATAGAAATTCAATGCTTTGATTGCTGATCTTCAAGAAGTTGGGATACGATATAGAGAGGAAAAATTTTCTTGAGTCTAAATAGCAAATATGTTCGCTGAGCGTTAATAGATGACATGATTCAGATCTTCAGCTTCTATTGACACACGGATGAATCAACTAAATACTTTCTATGAAGATTGAAAATCAAATTGTATAATGATTTCTTCGCATTCGCGTAGTAGAAAAAATTAGAGTTGTGCAATGAGATTTGTTTAAAAAAAAAACAATGGTTCAAGTGTTTCTTCGAAGTAGCTCTGAAAGTATAGGGCGCCCTTGTTAACGTCGACATCGGTTGGAAAATTATAAACGGTGTCTGTAGCACAGTTTATTGGCGAATTGACGAAAGTGTATGTACAGTAGGAGATAAACGGTCTGCTCCGCAACTTCATGACTGGAATGCTCTTGTTACTTGGTATCAAAGCGAAAATGGCTCTATGCGAGTCTGAGTTTGATTCGGATTTTGACGACGTCAGAAAAGTCAATCATAGTGAGTGGTATTTTGCAAGATGGGCGTAAGTGCAGAGCTTAGCGAGTCCGTGAATATACAGTTTTGCTCACCTTGTCAAGTAGTACAGATATTAAAGTGAATCGTAATAGTGAAAGTTTCAGCAGAATAAACCGTGAATCGCTAGCCTCTCATTCAGGGTCTGGTTTTCGACCCATCTGTAAGAAAGGGCATGATCAAATTCAAAGTTGACTTTAGCACCAACAGGGCCAATTCGAAAAATATGACGGTCACTGGCGTCTGTTGAGCTTCGAGTGCGAATACCTAAAAAGGCGGGATAGGGCTAGCTTAGATTTTCCCTTGAAATGAAGTAAGGTTTCGGTAACCGATGATCACAGGAAGATTATGTGAATATTGTAACGAGAAACACTTCTGTAGATAAAGGAGTGAAATCACGTTGGCAAATTATGAGTTTCCTTGATCCCTGTCGGTTGTTTGGGCATGGCGCCGAGAGGTATGCATGGTGCAGGTAGTCGATTGACCCTTTAAGCGGCTATCGGATATTTTTTCATGACCGCACCATTCCATAGATATCATTGATATTTTTGATGCTCGAACGTTGGTAATAATTTTTTGAAGGTTTATTTAAAGAATCGACATAAAACTCCAATTGTTACAAAAGATTGTTCGAGGTGTATGGATTCAACGATTAGAACTTGAATCTTAAACAATTGAGTTTTAACTCTCCTTCCATCTAAGCAATTTAAATAAACTTAGTTGATGAATTGAAATTGCCATCCGAATTTCAAAAATACTGTGTACTAAATATCTTCCACTGTTCGAAAAATTCGAATAAAATTGATTAGCAGTAGCAGAAGTAGATGTACATCATTGATGAAAGCGTCTCATTTGTTCCTTTTTAAGTTATGTTCGAGAAAGTGCAGACAAGCGCATTTTGTTATTGTTTCCTGAAAACTAACGAGTTTCGGGGCACAAATTTGAGTTTTATCATAACTTGGGATCGTCTGCTTTTTCACTTCGCTGGACGATCAAAAGGGCGATCAAAAGGACAATCATTCTACCGATATCATTATCATAGCCATCCACAAACCTGCAAACATACCAAATGAAATGGTACCAGTCATATCTACGATTGAGCAGCGACAGTTCGCTGTACAATCGCGGGTGCAAAACGAGGCGAGATTCTTTGATCTGCCATCGAAAACAATTATGTAAATGATGATGCCGAACTGGAATCGCATTGAAACATCCGCCGATAAAACTTATCTAAAAGATGCACTTGTCTAAATGCTAATCTTATGAACGTTTAAAGATTTTATGGGCTTAATTAAGCTGTAGATCGCGGTTGATTTGATTTTTCTTCGAAAGACAGTGATCTTCGAAGTAGGCGATAATGAGGCTTTTATTTTATTTATCCAGGAGAGTTGAGTAGGAAGGGTACAACCGAGGCAGCGAGAAGGCCGCACGCGGCAAATTTACTCGGATTCTCATGTTGAAAGAGACAAAATGACGAAATGTTGCATTGAGTCAGATCGAAATTACGCGATTTTCATTGGTGCCTGTTCCATGTCAGCTTGGGCCATCGCCCTTCCACGCGTTATCTTTTCATTAGCACGTACCATTTGTCAGCTCGAAGATATTGCTTTGCACGTGGAACGCGAAGATAAGACACGCCCTACATCTTACGCTTTTCCCACCGGTCGAGCTATGCATTTCGGCCTTCGATACACCAGATCTTTACTATGTGTGCTGCTCGTCTTTGTAAAATCAATAGTGAGCAACTGAGTGTTACGCACAGGCTTCGCCATCTCTCTATACAAGATAGTTCTTGGCGTTTTGGATTATCGGAATTAGAGGTTATCGTCACTTGACCAAAACGCTCGCGCGGAAGGAATATGGTGGAAAGATCGAACATTTCTCGGCGCTTGAGGTAATTGACGGTGTAGGTCAAATAAACATTCATCCTTTCACACGATCTTTCAGCAGGACAAAGTTAATACCTTATTCAGTTGTTATTACTCTTTGCATTGTCTGAAGAATAAACTTTTTACGCTTCAATCCTGCTTATTATGAGCTATTTATGGAATGCGCAGCAGCTATGGCGTAACTGCATATTGGTTCGTTAGGCGCAGAGTTCGCCGTCATTTTCGCCGTTATCTCTTCGCCTTTCAAATAAATTGGAACGATATGAATAACCATAATGTGTCGACACCATAAACGCGGAAATCTAATTTAAACGACAAGTCTTTCGAAAAAAAAAAAAGAAAAAAGAAATTTGACCGATCTTTGCAACTTCCGAAATGGATTCGTCAGCTTGCATTTGCGTTAAACAACGTCTCTTTACGCGCAAAGTCGCAAGGTGAAGCTCGTATCGAATTTCAGCTCCGATTCCATCCTGATTTTTCATGTGCCGTTTGTGTGGAGTGTGGACAAAGAACCGAGCACTGACGGCGTCCTGTATAGTACGTGCTACTACTGAAACTAAGGCAATTTTCCTTCCAAGTTTCCCCAAAATGTGTTGGCAACAGCCAATCAATGCAGTTTCGTTGAATCACGTCAGCAGATGTGTCGGATAGTGCGCTGTGAACGAGTCATCGGCTAACAAGTGACAATAAGTTACAGTTGAACCGCAGGTAAATAAGTTTGGCTAAATTATAACGTTTTCTTACCAGTACCTAACGAAAAGTTAGGCATCGTGGCGCAAATACAGCGACATATAGTACTTTTAATTTAGGCCACAAAGATTTCTTTAGGCAACGCGCAGTCGTTTCAAATTTAGTCCTTGTATTTATAGTGCGACGTAAAGTTTTTTGTACACTTGTCGTATGTAATTTTTTGTGCACACACAAGTATGTGAATTTCGGAATTCGTTGTTTAGAATAAGTTGGTCTAACCTTTTGATACCTATCTAACCTAAAATCGTAATGATCCTTCGTTTTCGGAACTTACAAGTGAGAGCATTACGTAATCAACTTAACTCAATTTTTTTAAAGCTCCCTTGCTCCTACATAGATATACAAACCTATGTCCGTCGATAGACACTCCTTTGTTGTATGAATATTTCTCGGGAAGCAACCTAGGAACTCACAAAAATTATCATGTACCAAATTTAAGGCGCAGTTACCGTTAAAGCAAGTTGTGGTGATGCCATGCAGCCGTTTGTTTAGAAAGAATTTTTGATAATGAACACTAAATCCAGTAAATTGTTTTATTTACAGCGAACACAACTAAATTTAGCGTTCATTTTCAAAGAAATTTTCTAAAAAAAATGGCTGCATAGCATCATCATAACTTGCTTTAACGGAAACTACGCCTTAAACTTAGTACATAATAATTTTTGTGAGTCCAGGGTGCTCTCCCGCGAAAAATTCATGAAAGAAAGGAGAGCCCATAGACGGATATAACCCGTTTTACCCGTGGAAAAAGCATTGCGCGCGTTCTATTCGCCCGTAAGAGAATAATTATAGGTAGATTTAGTGGATGGGCGTAATAACGATCGCACTGTGGCTTGTTAATAATAGCATCGCTTATAACTTAAAAACTTACCGTTACCTATTGTTTTTAACACGCTTATTTATTCCGAAAGTACTAATCTTAATTTTCTTTAAGCTTGGCGATTTTCAAAAGAAGCTTTTTACGTGAATTTTCGGAAAATAAAAAGATTTTCTTACGAAAGAATACATATAAAACTTAATTTTCTTGTGTTGAAATTGAGGATTCAGCTTAAAGCTCAGAAGAAAGCTTCTTTAAAAATCACTAAACTTTAAAAAAATCAAGATTAGTACATCCCGAATGGATAAACGTGTAAAAATAATTGGTAACAGTGTGTTTTCAAAAGTTATAAACTGTACTTTTGTTAAAAAAACCATGACGCATTCATTGTTACACCCTTTTACATAATTGTTTATATAATTTTTCCTTATACATATTAACATCTCAAAATTGATACACATTCCTGGCACCTTTGAAAACAATGTAGTACTGAATAAATTTGAAGTAGATATTTTTTTGGCAGTAAACAAAGGTTCGTACACCAGGAACAGTATCTTGACTATTGATTTTGGAATTCGATGCAGCAAGAATAGGTACTAGAGAACTCTAAGAGTGAGAAACCAAAAAGATTTCTTGAAATACGAATGTCTCTCATTCATTTCTTAATAAACTTTTCAATGCTTATATAATGTATTGCGAAATTAAGTAAAGGTTTTGCTTATTTCGCGAGGTGACTGGTGTATTTACTAATTGCAAAAAATATCTCAGCTGCAAACGACGAATTGTTCGCTCGCTCACGTTGGAAAGTATGACGGAAGTGAGAACTTTTCCGATCAGCCGTGGCAGAACAATGTACACAATACTGTACGCGTCTAGTTCAAGGCAATAAATAAGAGAACTGTTCAACCTTTTGCAGTCATGCTCGAAGACTTCGTGATTATTGGAGAAGATGGAAGAGAAATTGATAAACTTCCAGTCACGGCGAAAGTTGATGATCCCAATGAGAAGGCCGCTGGCCAATCGGGAGTCGCGTCCATCAACGAAAGCGTCCAACCGAAGAAGCAGAAGTTCATGGAAAAGCCGATGAAGGAATGGCATGACACGATTTTTGACGAACATAGAGACGGTATGGTGTTCAAGTTGTGAGTACCAGCGTCTCGTTTAGTTTTGCTTGACGCCTCGATGACCAACGACGTGTTTTTTCCTTTTCAGGAATAGGAAAATGGTCGAAGTCGGTCCCGGACCCTACCCTGTCACTGACACAGAACGGCCCAACTTTTTGGAGTGCTGCATAAATTTAGAGGCCGAGGCATTTTACGAGGCCGACTCTCGAGAGGAGTACGTACATCGGATTACCAAGATAATACAGAATATCAACTCTCACGTGCCAACCGATGATTGGCGCAAAAGCCTGAAACCCTCTATGAGAGAGACGGCTCGTTGCAAGCTGTAAGTATCAACGTGGTGCGATTTACTTGGAGGTTGTAATGCAATCGTATAACAGCTTTGGTTTTCAGCGCCGGGAAATTGAGCGATTATTACAATATTAAACCTTGCTTGAGCAACATGCATCCAGATCAATACGTCTCCGAGGTGGAAGCTGACCATTACAAAAACGCCTATTCGTGTAGAAATTATCACTCTCGAATTCTTAGAAGCGCCACCACGATCCAACAGGAGTACGGTGAGTATGTCTTTTGTTGTTGTGTCAAGCTACGACAGTGTTTCGCCTATTCATTCGTATTTATCTGACTTGCAGAGGACAAACTAAGGAAAATGAAAAACAACAGCTAAGTGCCGTAACGTTGTCATCGATGGTAAAGCCATTGAGAATTTTGAAGCCTCATTTCACAGCTTAAACTTTTTATTTTTAACGTATTGCTGCAATGTTGTTTTGTGATATTTTTTTTCATTTTTTTATCCTTCTGAAGCTTGTAACGATCTATTTCATCCACACAGTGACTTTCTACAGTGATACTTAAAAGTTACAAAGAACATCGTGACAAAAGTATTTCATACGTTACATTTTTAAATCATGCGCATTCAAAATACAAAAGGAGGCATTTAGTTCGGTTTGGCTATAAAAGATTTTACATTTGAAGGGAGTATTTAATACCCTAAATTTTATAGATTTTTAATTAAAACATTTCTTTGATTTTCGTAAAGTACATATTGCCACAGAGCATGATTGATGTCTTCATAAGCTTCTTTACATTTACATTTTAGATTGGACACAATGTTAATTCTAGCTAGTGTGGAATTGGTGTTGTGATTAAGCTATACCTACACAAGCGCAAGATATTAGGTATGTATGCTCGTGTTTCCAAGCAATCAGTAAACACGTCCGATCAGAAGGGTGTCTCAGACCGAATTCTGATAAAGGATAAACTGTAAAAAATACATAAATGATTAATATAACTTATGTCGTGTCGTGCTAACTTCTGTCTTCTAAAATTGGAATTATCATTCGGTTTGTTTGGTTGAGTGTAGAATTAAAAATGAGGAATCTGCACCATGGATATGTAAGTTAATAAAAATATCTACATATATATAGTTCAAAGAATTATTGATCATATAATCTTTATTTAATGAATCATCAATTATAAATTATTAATACACCAGCCTTGAAATTCTTCGCAATATATTTTTTATTATTATCCTTAGTTTTCTAATTATTTCATTTTTCATAGACCTTTCATTTGATATTTTCCACGATACATCTCTATTGTCTACAGAATCCACATTCCAAACAACGTGATCAAACTATTATTTTTACAAAAGTAACCAAACACAAATGAAAAGATAAAAATTGACAATCGTATCGCGTGTTTTGAATTATTTCGAATGGTAATAATTTTTACAAAAGACTATATATGTATCGTCATGAGCGACAGAGAACGTGGAACATGGATGTTAGGGGAAAGTGGAATGATAATTGTTTAGTATTTCGGCAGCCACGGCACTCACGAGTTGTACGCGCAGCGCAGCGTAGATGCCAACGAACAATTTGGCCGTTATCCGCGATTTATTTGTTGTTGTTGAATCATATATAGTTTTATCGAGGTGCGTGATTCACTTGTAGTTAACGCATATGACATTAAGCTATAGTGATACGCAAATGAGCAATCAACAGAGCACGAAATCAGACTTCCTGAAATGCTATTTCAAAGATTTCGCCTTGTAATTTCAGATAGACTGTCAGTCTGTTATTGTTCGCTATGTATACGTCGTATACATTTGTATGTAGCGGGCGAATTTCTTAGCGGTCATACCAGTATAAACAAACTCAAATATACTTGTGCGGGACAATGTCGACCGCGTAGTTTGAGAGTGGCTTCACGTGCGCACCTTACTACGACCATTGACTTCTGTTGAAAGTGGACAGAGTACACAGGTAAGATTGGCTGTGACGGTATATTCGGAAATAGTTGCGATTCACTGTTGTGCCAACTCGTTGATCTAGCGACGTTCGATTCGCTTTTACGATTTCAAAGCTGGTGTACGCGCAACTAGTGTTGTAATTCAATATTTTCCAACTAAAACGCGTATAATATTTTGCAAAATTGAAACGATAACGATCGATTGAGTTTGGCCGCAGTTTAAACGATTCCAATGTCGGGTACATCCGCGTGTGCCTTGGGTACTTGCAGAAGGTCGTCTGTCCCCTTAATTTTGGAGAAAGATCACATTCGCTTTCAACGATGGACAGAATAGGAGAGAAAAAGAAACGTTGTCGCCTAGCTCAGCTGCGCACCGCCGTCAGTAACTTCTCCAATCCCCGAATCACGGAAAAGATTTTGGCTGCAGGAGTGGACGTGAACAGCAAGCTCCAAGGCAACTCGCCCGAGCCGAGATTCACCACGGCGCTGCACTTGGCAGCCGCCAAGGGCAGCTTGGCGAATTTCGAGATCTTACTGGACCACGGGGCCGACGTGACGATGAAGGACTCGGACGGGCTGACTGCACTGCAGCGCGTCGCGAGGGACTGCTTGACGGGCAACGCCGACGAGCCGCCGAGCAGTCCGCTCATCAGACCGGCGCTCTCGGCGCACGTCAAGTCCAAGAAACCCGTGAACCCCGACGACGGCCACGGCTTCACGCACATGCACGTGGCGTGCGCGACCAACGCCGCGGACGCGGTGGCGTTCTTCCTGGACCACGGGGCGGCCGTCGATCAAGCCGTGAGCGCTGACGCGGCGCTGTTCCCCGGCTACACGCCGCTTCACTTCGCGGCGCGGTTCGCCGGCCTGGCGGCAGCACGGCTGCTCGTCGGCCGGGGCGCCGACGCGGCGCTGCGCGACGCGCGCGGCGCGAGCGCCGCGCAGGTGCTGATCGAGCGCAAGATCGCGACGCTTGAGCGGCTGGAGGCGGCCGAGGCGGGGCCCGAGGCCGCGCTGGGCCGCATCGCCGACGGCGAGGCGATCCTCGAGCTGCTGCTCGGCCGCGCGGCCGACATCGGCATGCCCGAGTACCACGCCGCCTGCGCGCTGCGCAGCCCGGCGCTGGCGGCGCGGCTGCTGGACGGCGTCGGGGACGTGGACGCGCGCATCGCGGCGGACGCGCCGGCGTGGCCAGGCTACACCGCGCTCCACTTCGCGGCGCACTGCAGCGTGGACGCGATGCTGCTGCTGCTGGCGCGGGGCGCGAGCGTCGGCGCGCGGGAGGCGGGCGGCGCGACGCCGCTGGAGATCTGCGCGCGGTGGTGCGGCGCCCGGGACCTGCATCGCGTCATGAGCGCGGCGGGCGCGGGCTGCGACGTCGCCTTCTCGGGCGGCGGCGCCGGGCTGCTCGAGTGCGTCGCCGCCATGAGGAGCGTCGGCCGCTTCGAGCGCTTCCTGCGGCGCGTGGGCGGCGCGGACGCGCGGCTGCCCGCGGACTCGCCGCTCTGGCCGGGCTCGACGCCGCTGCACCTGGCGGTGCTCCTGAGCGGGCGCCGCGCGCCGGGGGCGGCCCCGGGGGCGCGGGCGCGGGCCTTCGACGCGGGCTTCGCGAAGGCGTGCCTGGACCGCGGCGTGGCGGTCGACGCGCGCGACGCCCGCGGCCGGGCCGCCGTCCACCTGGCCTTCCGCCTGGGCAAGGCCAGTCTCGTGGAGACGCTGCTGCGCCACCACCGCGAGGACGCGAGCGACGACGAGGGCCTCTCGCTGCTGCACGTCGCCTGCGCCTCGAGGAGCCTGTGGCCGGTCGAGCAGTGGTCGAGGAGCAGCCGCGTCGACGTGAACCTCGCGTACGCGGGCGCCGGGGCTCTGGCCGGCGGTGCGGTGCGGCCCGGCTGGACGGCCCTGCACGCGGCCGTCGCCGCTAACGCGAGCCGCGCCGTGGTCGAGGTGCTGCTGCGGCAGGGGGCCAGCCCGTACCTCGCCGGCAGCGATGGCCTGACGCCGGTGCAGCTGCTGCTGCTCGCCGATCCGCGAGTCGAGCCGAGCCTCGCCGAGCTGCTGCTGTCTCGGCCGGACCTGCGGGAGGCCCCGGCCGGCGCGGCCTTCGCTCACCTGCACGTCGCCAGCTACTTCGACGACGCGCGTACCGTCGAGAGGCTCCTCGACCTCGGCTCCGACGTCGACGCGCCGTCGCGCTTGCCCCGGTTCCACGGCCCCTGCAGCCCGCTGCATCTGGCCATCGCGAGCAAGTCCATGGCGGTGGTGGAGGTGCTCGTGCGGCGAGGCGCCGACGTGCTCGCGCGCGGCCCCGACGGCTCGACTCCGCTCTCGCGGACTCTGGGGAGCGGTAAGCACAGCCGGTCGCTCAACGCGTTCGTCGCCGCGCTGCGGGCCAGCGAGGCACTGCGAGGGCGCGTCGAGAAGGAACTGGGACTGACGATGCTGCACGCGGTCTGTCACGCCGGCCACGTGGACGCCGTCCGGGACCTACTGGACAAGGGGGCCGACGCGAACGCCAGACTGCGCGACGACTCGGCGTTCTGGCCCGGTTGGACGCCGCTACACGTGCTCGTGACCACCGGCATCGAGGGCGTCTCTCGGCAGAACAACTTCACGGCCATGCTGGAGACGCTGCTGGCCCACGGGGCGGACGCGAGCATCGCGAACGCCCACGGGGACACCCCGCTGCACCTGACGCTCAGGAGGCACCCCTGCGACACGGGTGAGTTGGCTCGCGACTCGCTTGCCCCCCGGACACGGTTCCGCGAGATTCTGGGATTCTCGATCCGCTTGAAGGGTACTTCGTGATGACGTCGCTGCTGGCCCACCAGAGGGGCTCGAGCGCGAACCCGGCCAACAGGGACGGCCTGACGCACTTTCACGCCGCCTGCCTGGCGAACGACCTCGAGGCGGTGAGCGAGTTCTTGGCGAGCGACACCGGGCTCGACGTGAACGCGCCTGTCGACTACTTCGCCGAGCTGCACGCCGGCAGCACGGCCCTGCACCTGGCCCTCAACTCCAACTCCAAGAGGCAGTTCGGCGTGGACAACCAGCTGCGCACGCTGGAGCTGCTGCTGCGACGCGGGGCCGACCTGCGCGCGGAGGACGACCACGGCTACACTCCGCTCCACGTGGCCGCCGACTGCGACCCGTCGTGCGTCCGGCTCCTTCGCAGGCTGATCGAGTGCGCGTGCGCGCGCGAGCCCGGCCGAACACCGGCGAGCCCGCGCGCCCGGTCGAAGACACTGGCGCCTCCTCTGTTGCAGTGCCGGAGCCGACGTCGACGCTCGCACCCTGGACGGCAAAACGGTCTTCGAGATGCTGCTCTACTCCAAGGAAGTATCCGTGGAGGAGGTCGGGCTGCTCGTGCGCCGCGGCTGCCGCGCGAACGGCTGCAACCCCATGACCGACCGGGGCCACCTCTCCATCATCCTCAACGAGAAGAACTCGACGCTGCGCGCCGAGATCCTCGAGGCGCTCATGGCCGCGCCCGACATCGCGGCCCGCGACGAGATGGGCCGCAGCGCCGTGCACAACGTCGTCGCCACGAACGACCTGGTCATCCAGGAGCACCACTACGTCGAGCTGATCGACAAGCTGATCAAGCTGGGCTGCGACCTCGACGAGCAGGACAACTCGGGTGAGTCGCGAGCGACCGGGCGGGCGCGCCACCGCAGACGGCTAACGCGCACGGCTGCTGTGCCCGCGAGCAGGGATGACGGCCCTGCACCTGGCCGTCCTCTTCCGCAACACGGCGGCCACCACGGCGCTGCTGATCTGCGGCGCCGACATCAACGTCCTCGACCGCCGCGGCAAGACGGCCTTCCGCTACGCCCTCGAGCCGTGCACCCGCTGCTTCGCGCGCTGCAGCGCCGCCCACGACTGCCTCCTCAGCGCCCTCGTCGACCACGTGCACGGGCTCCGGCTGCTCGGGCTGCACGTGAACGAGCTCAACGGCCGGATGCAGGCCCTGGCCCTCGAGAACCGCTGGATCAGGTCCGCCGCCAAGCACGCCGACTACGACAGGAGCAGGCGCGTCGACGACATCGCGGTGGGCGTCAGGGGGTGGACCCTCCGCGACTTCCTCGTGGAGCGCGGGGTCGTCGTCCGTTACCACCGGCTGACGCCTGCGGAACGCGCCGCGGTCGACCGGTTCTTCGAGAGCCTCGACTACCACGCCTTCCGCGACCTCAGGTACATGCTCAAGATACAGTACAGGCAGGCCGTGGCGAGGGTTCGGCTGTTCGAGCCGGCCATCGCCGCGCTCGAAGCTCTCCTCCTGCTGCCGAGCGTGTGCGCCGAGGTGGTCGTGTGCCAGTTGCGAAATCCCGACTTGAAGAACGTCATCGCGGCGGCGGCGGCGGCGGCGGCGGAGGCCGACGACTGACTTCCGGCCGCCGTCCTCGCGTTCTCCGACGTTCGGCCGATCTCGGGGAACTTCGGGGAATTCGAGTCTAGAGCTGCCTTGGACGACGATCATTCGAGATGACCCTGGAAAATTTAATGAACGACCATCGGCAAGTCCGTTGGTTCGGTTGACGCTGCTGCTGAGAAGCCACGTTTCCACGTTGGGACAAGCTTCTTTTTCTAATCTTCTGCATTGTATACTAATTCATAGAAAAACTTTCTTTACTTTTTGCAATTGCTTTTTCGAGAAAAAAATCATCTAAAGATTTTAGTTGATCCAATGCAAGCCGCTGTTTAGTTGGTTCTATTCTGTTCCATTGATTTGCCATTATTATATATATTTTTCGTCAAAACAACATGGAAATTATTGCACTTGCAGCTTATCTATTTATCGATTGCACAAAGAACGATTATCACTATACGTTTTGTCAAACCTTTAAAAAATGATATAAATAAATACTAACCTACTTGCTACCTATGACCGTTTTTTTTTTTTAATTCTCTAGCATGGTTGCGATTTCCTAATTTCTATACCGTATTTTTCATTACTTCATCAAATAAACATCAAACAGTATAATCGTTGTACGCTGCTCTTAATGCTTCGATCACATTGATTTGGATTATTTTGTTAACTTCAGGTTAATCAAAATACACAATACTTAATTTAACCTAGTAATAAAGGTTAAATAGCTTGGAGTAGATAATTATCATGGAAACCGACGTAAAGATGATGAAGGAAGAGTACGAGCTATGTTCCAAAACGGATACGTCGACAAAACATAAGCTAGATGCAAGCTTGAAGTAAGTTTTCGTTTGAGAATTATGACATTGATGGAAAATCGAGTCGAAAACCGATATTCAATTCCGTATCGCGTACGAGACAAATGTGTGCTTTGAACGAAGACTCAGGGCGCCGGAATTGTCACGGAGCGACGCGGAAGACGCGATAGAAGTGCTGAGCGAGGATGAGCATCCGCCTAAGAGCCAGCTGCGACAGGTATGCGAACGAGCGAGCCGATCAAAGTTCAGCGCACGCCACTCGCACAACCGTCATTCCATAAGGCAGCCGGGCGACGCGCCGTCAACCCGCCGATTCGCCGGCCCATCAACGATATCCGGAAAACCAGGTCGTCCGCGCTGGCCGCGGCCGAGTTCTCGCGCCGACATCGGCAGTCGAGGGCGGAAACGGTGTCCAGTCCAGATTTCACCGACAACGGCGCCACCACGGACGAGGAGCCTTCGTACGACGGCGAGCAGTCGTCGACTCCCAAGGGTCATCGATTGCCGAAGCTGAATCGCCTGGCCATCTGCTTCGACAATCTGCGGTGCATCTGCATGCTCTTGAATGCGTTCGTGCTGGTCGGTACAACGGGAGGATATATATCCTGTTATATATACAAATGACGCGCGAACGATCGTCGCACCTTCCGATTGGGCTCTCGGCAGATATTCGCCGGCATGTACTTTGCCTGCGCGTTGACCTTCTCCGTTTCCGAGTCCGCCTGGCTGATCGTCTCGCGCGCCACTTGGATTCCCCTCGCGTGTCTGTTCTACGCCATGGCCGTGTGCTTATGCGCGCTGGCCGCGAGCGGCTTTTACCTGCTGTGGCGGGTGACGAGGAAAATGAAATCGGTGCGCGCGAGCGACGCTGTCGCCACGTTGCCGTCGCTTCTCCTCTCCCTCCCTCTCTCATCTCGTTCGCGCGCTCGATCGCCTCGCAGTTCGCCGTGGTGACCCTGATTTTCGGGGCCTTGAACGCGACGGCGATCTTCTACCTGGACTCTGCCCAAGCTGCCGCGCAGGCCAACGTCGAGTCGCGGCTCGCGGCGACGACGTCGCGAACGGACGAGTCGACGCGGAGCGCCTGGGACCAGATCCACACCACGGTAAGCGCGCCGCCGAATCCTGACGCGCTCGCGCCCACGGGAAAAGTCTTGCCGACAGTTCGCCTGCTGCGGCGTCAATGGATTCCTCGACTGGTGTCGCCGCGAGGATCGCGCGCCCGACTCCGCCAGCGACGCGGCGGATACGGATACCGCCAGGTACGTGGGCACGTACGTCTGCTCGATACCGCAGTCCTGTTGCAAGCTTAAGGAGAACGCCGCGCGGTAAGGAGAACAGCCTGCTTTCTTTTCCTCTCTCGTCGCGTCACTCTCGAGCGAGATCGAGGAATCCTTCTCGTTGCAGGAGTGAGCCTTGCAGCGAACAATTGAGCTCCGGCGAGCTTGGCAATTCCGGCTGCGCACCGTTCATCAAACGAGAAATTTATTACACGGCGATCATGTACAAAGTGATATCCGGCAGTGCCGCGACTGCATTGGTATGAATCGTTTCCATCGAGGTACCGTCACGCTTTACCGAATCACGGCTACTTGCAGATATTACTGGGCATTATGACGAGGATCATGCTAGCCTACATTATGAAATGAGAGCTTGTCACTTTCTACCGAACGTGCTTTGCTTTGCAAATGGAAAGTGTCGCTTTTGGACGAGCCCTCCCGAGCATCGCTAACGTCGAAGGGCTACCTCCTTAGCTTCAAAATTACTCGATAAATGCGGCCAAGAGTTTCCATCTAACCTTTCAAATATTCGCCAAAGTCAATGTATTATAGAAAATACTTTCTTAGCTGTAATCAATTTTTTATTTCATTGAGTAGAATGAAAGCGTCTTACTCATTAACGCGCCATATCTATTTTGCCACGGTAATCACACGTAAGTGATAATAGCGGAAAAGGAATGCCCCAACGCTTGACGTTCGATACCGCACCGTTTCTTATTCACGTTTGCACTCGTACTACACTACTTGAAGTAAGATACACTGTCGATCGCTGGCGAGCATGAATATACAGTCAGAACTCTTCCGTTTCGCAATCGTGTAGTGCTTTCGTACTCGCGCGACACGTGCTCATCGTCTGGTTGGATTTAAATACACGACCTCGCATACAGAATCTACCGTTGGAAGAGTACGTCTTCCTTTGCCCACATCTTGGTGTTATTTCCCATTTATATATTTATTATCTATTACTTTGTTAGGTATTTTTAACTCGTTGACAATTCGAGTCATGACTGGCGAGCCATTTAAACAATTGAATTTCAGGACTCAAATAAAAGAATTTATTTAAATCTGCTAATTTTTTTACGCATACACGTCTTCGGATGAAAACAGCGATCGCATATACTCTACACATGTCTTGGTAGACTCCAACGACCAGACTCCAAAGATTTAATTTAAAAAGTTGGTCGTTACACGAAACACCTTGCAGAGAAAGTTGAGAATGACAAATCCTTGGGACGTGCACGACAATCACAGCAACTGCGCAGCTTCCGGCGGTTCCTAGTTCACCGGAGCAGCAACCGCAAACACTCCGTGTACTCTAGACAAGTCCATCTTTGATGATCGCTTTCATAAAACATCGACGAGTAAATGCGAATAAAAGCAACGCGAGTAAGCGACTTTCGAGGAAGCGAACTTAACATTTAATAAAATATCAGCAGTTCCCCGCGGAACCGCAGTAAAGCTTGGAGAAACCGATAAATGAGATACCGACGGAGCTGGAAAATCTGGATTTGGCGAATTCGACCGCCGCGAAATGGACGTCTGAGTAGCAAAAATAAACGCGATATCAAATTAAATATTCAGATTACAGTTGTAAATCGGCAATAACAGAATAAACGGAGTTATCCAATTAATTAGCTCAGCTTAAAAAAATTATCGATAGCCGACGTTGAGCATTGCGTCTATACACGTGGAAGCAGGTGATTGAACGAATCTGTTTATTGCTTCAGTTACTATTTTCACGATTTGTTACGTCTAAAAAATCCGTCTTCATATATTCTCAGCATTCTCTAAAAATCACTTTTCACGTTTTGTTTGCCTTCTTTTCATCAAATTACGCGCGTTCACACGATGACAAGGCGTATCGACTTTTCCGAACAGATGGAGAGGTTTTCGAACGGATGACGACGTGTCATGCGTTAACGATAACGTAATAGCTAGTTAACCTTCATTCGAATTTGTCCAAAATTGGTGTCTCATCTTTTCGCAATCGCGAAACATCGTTCACGCAGCCTGAACCATCGGTGTTCCTGCGGCTGGCGTTCACTTTCAAAACGTGGCCCTCCTCCCATTTTCACTCGCCGAGCACTTTGATCGTGGACAACTTTGACGTTTCAGCCGACGCAGCGGGGCGACCTGGCGACACCCGAGCGACATGGGCGAGACGAATCCAGGCTCGAACGGCTCGTCAGGCGCAGTGGGCACGCGGACCGACGCGGAGGCGCGCAAGCTCTCGGCGGCCGAAGGGTACGTGCGCTGCCTGCTGCACGCCTATCGATGCGACCAACCCAGCTGCCCACTGGCCCACTGCCGGCCGATGAAGCGCGTGCTGCGGCACACGCGGAGATGCGCCCGGCGCGCGGCTGCCTGCCCGACCTGCAGGCAGCTCGTCGGCGCCTGCTGCCGCCACGCGCGCCACTGCCGGCGAGCCGAGTGCCCCGCGCCCTTCTGCGCCCGCGTCAAGCTCAAGCTCGCGCGCGAGGACAGGCTGTCCCGGCTGAAGGCACGCTTGCGCCGGTTCTTCCGGATGCTCGGAGGCCCGAACACGCCGGAGAAGCGAGGCCGAGTGCTCTTCGTGCTCAGAGCCAGCCCGTCGCTCGTGAGCGCGCTCCTCGAGCTGCGCCGCGTGAGTGCTCGTCGATGGTCGCTTTCGCGCTTGGCGCTCTAACCTGGAGATCGCGATCAGATTTTGGCGCTCAGGCGGTCCGCCGGGCAGCCGTCGCCGACGGCGGCGGACCGCAGGCAGCCCAACGAGTCGGCGATCCGGCAACTCGTTCACGCGTCCCGCTGCCGCGACTCGGACTGTCGGCTGCCCAAGTGCCGTCCGATGAAACGCGTGGTGCGGCACATCAGGACCTGTCGGAGGCGCACGAGCGGCGGCTGCCCCGTCTGCAAACGACTCGTCGCGCTCGGCTGCGACCACGCCAAGCATTGCGCGCAAGACGACTGCTCGGTGCCCTTCTGCTCCAATATCAAACGGAAGCTGCGAGCCCGATGAGGCGCGAGACAGCTCGACGGTTCTCGCGAATCTTAGACTTTCGATTCGGTTCGCAACAGAGTAAACGAACAAAAATAAATATCGAAATCAATGTAGCCCTTACATTACATTTTTCAGCGGAGTTTAGTTACTGAACCTCCGAAAAAATTATTTTAAATTACTAACGAAAGAGGAATAACACAGTCAATATTTGAATTGTATTTCGGTTTATTATTAAATATGCCTACTAGATACAAATCAAAGGACAACACAATTTTCTTCTATATATAATAAATATCGTGTGTGTATGTGTATGTGTGTGTATGTGTGTATATATATATATATAATACGTCATCTCTCGTTTATCAATTTTATTTATTTATATATATTCACAATCAAAGATTCTTTCAACTCGCTAATATTTCTCTCTCTCTCTCTCTCTCTCTCTCTCTCTCTCTCTCTCTCTCTCTCTCTCTCTCTCTCTCTTTCTCGCATAGTCACAGTAAGATGTGGAAAACAAAAATTATCTTTCCCTCTTCTATATTTTTTATTTCTTTTTACTTGTTTCCATATCCCCCCTTTTTCATTATTCACCGAATAGATTCGCGAAACTATCACATTAATTGATTGCTGCTTACTCTCGTGAATTTCAATACGAGATACTTGTAAAATCGTTACTGTATCATTTTTATTTTATTCTCTCCCCTTATCTCGCGCTCATTATTTTTAATTATTGAACTTTTTCGAATGTGGATATACATTAACTCTCTTTTTTCCGCCCTCTCTTTGCCTGCCAACACGCTCACGCGTTCTCTCGAAAAAGTCGTCTTGTACCCTAAGCCTCCGTTTTTATACAATATTTGTTTTTTTTTTGTTCTCTCGTGTTCCCTTGATTTGCACTCCAAAGATCACATTTCGCTTTGTTTTCATTCTTCGTTTTCTTTTCTGCATATGGCGATATATACGTTTGAAGGAATAAATTTTCAACGTCACTTGAGAGAAAAAAAACTATTATTTTTTTTGTACACCGTCACATATTCAGAGGGCAATTTTTGTAGACACTCGGAATTCTCAAATAAAATCATGTTGCTTTATCGTTAATATTATGTATTACTTACTAAATGTATGTATTATTATTTATTATATTTTATAATCACAATTTTCGCGAATTTAGAAGACACCTTGTACGCAATATATTTGTTTGTAATTTGTTGTAGTGAAAATCTGCTCTTTGTTCTATTTCTTCTTTTTGTTTATTATTTTGAACCTTCTCTCTCTCTCTCTCTCTCTCTCTCTCTCTCTCTCTCTCTCTCTCTCTCCCTCCCTCTCTATCCTTTTATATACACAATGATTGTGAAATGACACGACTTTAGTTTGTTTTTTTCCGTTATGTCCTCTATGGTACATATAGATTACAAGGAAACACCTTATTGTTCTTACAGATAGAATATACGACTAAGTAAAACTTGCTAGCATGTGAATACTTTTCTTTTCTTTATAGCTGGATAAATTGTCGACTTTTCAATTTGGATCATTTGCATTATCCATTTTCAATTAAAATTGCCATATATTCGTTTTTATTGTCGTATTGGGATAAAACAATTTTTGTATCATGGATTTTAAAAATTGGTCAGTTACTTAAAATTATCATGTAACAGGTAAATTAATGTTTACAATAACTATCACGACGTTTAATTCAGCCTGAATTCACAAACTGAACTTCTTTGAAATCGATTTTCTCAGCTTCTTATGTTGGTTTCGGTCTCTTTAAAATGTTATTATTCTTATTAGCATTTCAACGTCTTTTATTATTTTTAAAAATTATTGTTTTTGTAGTGATGAAGCTCGCGATGATATGAAATAAACAAAAGGTATACATGAGTTTACGCAGCAAAAGGTAGCAGACTCATTGAATTCGATAATTATATAAGATAAAAACATTCCATAAAAGGTGATCGCATTTATTTACAAAAGCTCCATTAATCAGTAATGAGAAGCGTAATTATTTATAAAATAGTTCAATTTGATAATATTAGTAGTTGCATAAATCAACTTGCATTTGGACTCCAGTGACATTCGCAAAATAAAGAATGTAGCTTTTAATTCGGTGCTTCATTTTTAATCTACTTTCTAATTGCGTGGAATGAATCCATCATTACGAATGCCTCTTTCCAGCTTTCTATTATCAGCTTATGTTACTTTTAAATGTAACTTTTCTTATGATTATCTAGATTTTTCTAAATATATAAGAGGACATCTTTATAATAAACGTAAGCAGAAATGTTTCATAAATAAGCTGTTCGATTTTTAAAGCTACGATCGAAACTCAAATTCGCTAGTATATTACATTCTTTTCCTTTGTTTAAAAATACTTCAGTTTATGCGTAATTTGCGTCGTTTTTGTATCCACCAATTGCATGCTTTTTTAGATATTTATTTCCCCATGGTTTATTATTTAAACAACAGTACTGGGGTAGTGTTATTTCATTTGTATTCTGCTGCATTTAGTATTAAAAACGAAGGCCACTGAATCCAGAACATATCGCAAGCTGTTGTGTGTATTTTTTATAAAATTTCCTTTCGTCAATTAATTATTTTCATTTACCATATTTGTCTCGTAGTTCCTCTATCAGGCTTTTTAACTACATCGAACACTAAAGCAAACGTTAGGCCAAGATCAGGCAAGATCCTACTGAACATCCACTCTCGGAGAAAAGCCAATAACGTATATTTTTGTTACGCATTGGGTGAATTACAAAAACACAAAATTGTAAGATATAATGAGATTCAACTACGATCAATTTATTTTTGAATAATTTTTCAATAAAACTTCACATTTGTTTTTTCGTGTGTGAAGATTAGTACATAAATAAAATATCGTTGTAAATAGCGTGAGATCATTTTCCATCTTTAATTCTAAGTTTACCATAATAATTGAAATATCATTTTTTTTTTGAAAAATCGTTAAAACCACAACAGACCTAAAATTAAATTTATAATTATTTAACGTTCAACAAATTTTCGAGTTGCAAACAATAATACATGAAGTTTTAAGCTTAATTTCGTTTAGTATGGATTTGTATAAGTAACTAATATTAAAACAATGCCATAAAAATTAGATCTAAATAAAAACGTGTTAGGTGATTATTCGAAGATCAGAGAAATAAAAAACATTCTTTGTCTATCAAATTACATAAATAAGATATTATCATGTTGCTACAATCATTGATATGTAAAACAGTAAAATAATAAACAATTATGCTAATTGGTAATTGTCTAATGTTTTCTCTTAGAATACTGATTGCATATAGCCCTTAGCATTGCACGTCTCTTTTGTTTTCATCTAGCTCGAGGAACGTACAAAATATAATACACATCCATGTTATTTTTTACAATTCAATGCGATAATGCTAATCGTCAAAGAAATATCACTCATTTTAGATTTTGTTTTATTTAACAGAAAAGAAACTTATCTCTTTGAACTAAACGGGATAGAATGTTATTTTGCATCTTATAAAATTAGCTTCGCATTTACAATAATATAAAGTTAGAAGATACACTTTTTGGAAGTTTTACAGAGAGATCACTCAATTTTATACTAGACATTAAAATAAGAAACGTATAATATTTCAACAACTCTTTTACATGCCAACTCTTGGGTAAATATTGATTCTATTGTCTAGCTTAAATAAAAACAAAAAAAGGGAAATTGATAACTTTTACTAAACAATATCAGAATACTAAATAATGATAAAATGACATAGAAAGATTATCATTTCTCGATGTTACAGTATGTACACCGTAAATCATTTAGCAAGATTACGTTCGAAGTATTAATTGTGCTGCGTACATCGATTAATTAGAAGAATACAATGGGACAAGATACCTCGCTAACCTTCAGAATTTTTTCGTTATTTACTTGGCCAGGCACAAAAAGGTTGATTTCAGGAAGTGTTTTTTTTTAGTGATCGAGTGCTTCGTGAAACCATAAACATTCGAATGCATTCATACTACAAGAGGATTAAATTCAGCTAAAATGAGATTCCCTTGTGCGCGCGCGCGTGTGTACGTGTGAGTATGCGCACGTGTGCGTGTGTGTCTGTTGAGTATTATGCAATGTCCTCTTCTTTCGAGTACAACATGACTAGGCGCCGTTTCGTAGCAGAACTGAGTGTGCATTTTGTTTTGTACACTATTAGTTGTTTTAGGTCGATCGATAATGCGTACTTGAGATACGATTAATAAAAAATTCAGCCACCATTTAACTCCACATATTTAATCTGGCAGTGAAAAATTGTCAAGATCAATTGTCCCTATGTACTTTTTAAAATGTCAAAGTAACGTTTGATTTGACAAGGAAAATCTAGTTCCATTTTAAGCATAAGCTTTGTTTTTCATCCTGCTTATAACTTTCTAAAAACGTCAATTGTACAATGTTTTTCATTAATTCAATCAAATAATTTTTTTGCAGATCAGTCGCTTGATTTCGAGGTCGAGTATCTATTTAATATTTTAACACTTTCTTATGAACAAAGTTTAAAGAACTTTCGCACTAAAAAGTTGAACAAGTATGTACATATGTATGCATGAAGAAATACATACTCATCAGTAGATACTTGTCTTAGTTGAAAAATTTTTTCAAGTGCAAAGTTCGCTCGTTTAAATAGATAATCAACTTTAATATTTTCAAGACGCTACATTTCTACATGTAATTCATTCGACACAATTCACTGCGGAATGCACTGATCTCTAATGCTCCCTAAATATATATTATTTTCTATTTTTTTATTACATTTTTATCTTTTACATGTTTTGTCGTATCTCACGCATTTATTGCCGATTAAGCTCGGCAACTCCTCTCTGACCGTCACTTCATTTTTTTCTTACAACACTTACATTTACATTGAGAAAATAATTTTTTATTGTATATATAGCAAGTTCATGGTTGGTTAATACAACTATTTGAGAGGCTAATTTGCGCGAGCAATTCATTTCGAACCCGTTCATTTTTTTTCTTTTTTTTAATGCTTGCTTCACACTTCTGAGAGTATCATTATTATAAAATTTGACCGTCATTGCTTCACGTTCGACAATAAGGGCAAGCTTGATTAATCATTTGAAGAAATACAATTTGTTTGTTTTTTCCTCTATCCGTCACAAAGTGACGCGCGATAAATACTCTGTATACACACAGGCCACAGCGATAAAAGTCGACTTGATAAAATCGGGCAGTTATTATCTGTATATTTGTTTGAAAAAGACCCTATAAATAAAGAGCAATAGTTATGTAATATCCTTTCACTTTGGTATTCGCATTGAAGCTTCGTAAGCACGAAGCGAACAATTTCATCTCGAAGGACCAACGACTTGGCAAACTTCCTCAAGTTATGAGACGAGGACTGTGAAGACCTTCGACTTGCGTGTCGATAGGAGGACAGTGTTCTGTGTCTGGAGGACCCCAGTCGTGTAAATTACCACTGTTTGCTAGTCGGTGAGTCAGCCGGTGAGCTATCGAGAACCCACCGCTGCCTTCGAGTTGAGTTAGCACTATTATAACTTGTCTGCAAATGTTAAAATATTATATAAACTCTATTGGACAAGAAATAAAAAAAATTAAAATAATAATAAAGAGTTATACCTATGAAGTGGAGGAACGCTGTCGACAGTTCGTAGTTGTCCCCTTGTAGAGACAACATTGTAGCTCTCGTGGCAGTCGCATTTAACGTGGATCCACTTATTGGCGTGGCGATTCTCTACCATTACAACTAAACCTGCCCACCCTTTGGTCAAATAATAAGCCGTCATACCTTCTCTGCCCTGTAGTAAATATTGAAATGTATATCAAATCATTGGTAATCGTGCAAGAAAAGGTATCTCACGCTTACCTCGTGTCGCTGGCCTTTGGCTAAAGTAAGACTAATAATGGCATCGGCAAGTACGAAAGCAGGTGGCGAAATCTGCTCGACAAGAAGCCTCTTAGAACTGTGTATTGCCAGTACGTATTCAGGATAATTACTCGTATCCTCCATCCCAGTATGCCAGTGATTGAAAGCCAAACACACCACGATATATAAGTCACTTTCAAGCATCTTATGGCAACCGACAAAACCTCGCACTTGTCGTTTGCTGTGTTCTACTAATCGACCAACTTCAGGAGCTGCTGGCGATCGTGTGCGGAAAACTACAACGCAAAGGTCCAGTTGGGAACGTTGCGACTTTTCCGAGTTTCTGAAATATTATAATAGCGTATAATACAAAATAAATATAGCGTAATACATTTATAAAATTTCCGACAATCACCTTTGTCCCTCTTGAAATAAGGTAAACTCAGTCTCAGTAGGTTCGAGCACCGTGAGTAGAACACACGATAAATGCCTAAGGGACGAAAGCGGCGGCAGTGTCCCACGTAGTCTGACCTCACTCCAGCCGACGCGAGTCTTGCAGATATCAATGCAATCAAAATATCTAAGCACGTCGTCAAATGAAATCCAAAATACGCCATCTGAAGCACCGTGCGGCATTAGCATTTCACGCATTTGAGGTGTCCAAATAGGACTGTCGTCTGACCAATCGCCTTTCCAACTGTAGTGACCCCATGGGTTTCTTAAACGCAGTAGTCTGATTCCCTGAATATAAAAAAGAAATAGATTTAAATAATTTTATTTTGAAGTTTGTCATTGATTTCCACCAAATTCAAACTGTACCTGTACATCGCGGACGTCCAGCACTGAATATGCATGCCTGAAAATAATATAAAATTTGTTCATTCAATATTTCATTTCAATCAAGATATGTTATCAAATTTTAATAGCGCAATTTATACCTTGGTCGTAGACCTTTCCTTTGATATTCTTCCTCGTCGACTTTCATATTGCCACCACCACAGCTAGCGCCCATGAGAAACATAGCTTGTCTTGATGATAGCAGCTGCGCCCAAATCAGGTCCTTGTCAAGCTCGTCTTCACTGGGTAGTGCCGATGGCTGTAAAGGCACACTTTCGCATGGAGCACCGGTTAACGTCGCTAAACCTTCGATCGCTCGGCCCGACACTAAAGCCTCGTAGCAACCATGTAATTTTGCTACAGCTTTCTCGATTAACGGTACCCAAAGCTGTTTTCGCTTGGCCTACAAGTCATTTAAAGTACACTTTACAATAAAAATGTCTTCAATAAAAACAAAAAGAAAATAAATAATATTGGTTGCATTCTTACTTGAGAGTAGACAAGATGTCCTCTTTTATCACAGGGCAGCAAATCATCAACTAGAACAGTGGTCCATTTACCATCTTTACATAATCTGACTTGATAAGCTCCCTCAGGACAAGTTTCTCGCATGACCAGAACCCTTTTGACTAACTCGTCACTTTCAGCTAAGACAGCTAAAGCGGAAAGCAACCAACAGTTACCAAGTACACCCTGCGATATATCGGATGGCAAAGGAGTACGAAATACTGCCCAGGGCAGATCAGCATCGACGCTTGAATCTACATTTATTTGGTGTGGCCGTTTCCATTGTACCACGTGGTTATCTTTCGTCTCCGCGGGGTTGTAATACAGTGACTTTGGTGCTGGTGGAAACGAGTCGTCCACAAATGGTTCGTTTGTCTTATAAATCAAATAGCATTGATTATTTTGAGTTTGAATTTAAGAAATCGCTCATTAATTCAACTATTTTGATTGATGAATCTTACCTCTTTGCAGTACCTAACAATTCTCTCCCAAGATTCGAGTGCCTCCCTTTCCTCAATTTGTCGCAGGTTCTCCATAACCACGCTCTCTTGACGCTGTATCCTCAGGGTGTTAGTACTGGGTTCGTGTAGGATTCTCGGTCTTTCACTCACTAGTTGAGATAGGGTCTTTGAGCTTTGGCACATCTCGCAATTGACACTGCTGTTTTTGTTTTCGTATGTGCATAGCTTGCATTGCCACTGTAAAGTAAAATCGAATTTGCTTTGTTTCTACTGAAATTCAATCGTGTATGTTTCTTAAAACGAAGAGTTAAAAATTAAATAACTTACCAACGCGTTCGAATCTCTACTTTTCAAATGCCTTTTGTCTCCGGCACCAGACGCAGAGTTGGGACCATTTTTCCTAACTGAATTCCTATGTCTAGGCGTTACGATTTTCTGTATAGGACTAGCGACAGCGTTCACTACGGCACTGGCCAATCTTGGACTAGGACTTCTTTGCGGCACCTTAATTTTTAAGAAAAAATTATAAATCTACAAACAATATTGATAGCCGTTTCTGTTACTCTGAATAGATAAAATCATTTTAATTTTTGTTTGATTTGAAATTGAAAATTTATATTTTTCAAAAATCAAAATTAATCGACTCTTGCTGAATTCATTCTATTCTATTCTTCGCTCTATCTTTGACAATTATCGTTATTTTTCTCTCACCTGTTGATGATGTGTATTGGCTACCCTCACCTCCCTAACTGGCGGCAGCTCCAAAAAATCCGCCAAATTCTTACACGCCTGGCATGTTTGAGCACTCAACGGATTTCTTAGTGTGCACGAAGGACAAACCCAAAATTCGCCTCGTCTTAACGTTGGATCTTCGAGATGAGAGCTGACACTGCGTAACTTCGAACCACCGCATGCTTCGCAAGTAGCACGTGATACGGGATTAAGCAGAGTACACTTTTTGCAAGTCCACGAAGCGATACGTTCAGGCGAGTCGTCCAGGTCGGATTCGGCAGTGGCCAAGGTCGCTGCTTTATTCGGCACGTAGCGCACACTGTCGCGTGATATGGCTATCGGCGATTGCAGTTGGTTCCGTGAGTTTGAACTATATTTGCCAGCTAAAAAGCAGAGTTAAAAAAAGGCCAAGTTCAAAAATACTTTTTTTTAGTTACATCTTCATGCACGACACTCATTGAATTGCAATTGACAATTGATATTTACCAGAATTGGACGTAGAAATCAGGCTTGACTGAGAAACGGAGGCAGGCGACCTAGACGAATTACAAATATCACAACTGGACGACCATAAAGGATTGTATCCGTAGGAGCATTTTCTGCAAGTCCACATCCTTTTCAACGGACTAAGCGACGGATCACTGGCATTGACCACAGGACTGGTGGATTCACTACGTGCTTGTTGGTGTTGTTGATGAGTAGCAGTATGTGCCATTTTGGAGCCTTGTTTCTTTGGTAGTGGCGGTGGTACGTCCGGGTCAGTAATACCGATGTACGAGTATCTCGTTCTGTTGCTGTTAAAGCCTGCTGAGTGAGGTGGTACTGCTGGAGGCTCGTCATCATTTAGGCTCCGTCGATTTGCTGCTTTGCGCTGACTTACATTGTTTGCTACTGAGTCTATTTCCGAAAATGATCGTCTGTAATACAGACAATTATATATTATGACTACGCAATCGATAATTATTTCCATCAACTCCAAGTAAAAAAAAAATTATAATTGCTATGCTTACAGCTTTTGATAATCAATAATTTTGATATCGTGTGGTCATTGAACTGCTTGCTGAGTTAAAAGTTCACGAATCCAGTAAAAAGCTTACCGATAATTCAAAGGACCAGCAGCAGCGAGTGCTCTAGGTTCCCAAGCAGGCACGCTAATAACAACACCACTGCAGGGTGCCGGACTTCTTGGCGCCTCGCAAGCTTCACACTGTTCTAAACCGGGATCATTGTCCAAAGTGCAATTATCGCAACTCCATAGCCCATTGTCGTGGTGGCTCATTTCGGCAACGATGAGACTGGTTGGTCGAGCAGCCGTGTCAAGTTTCTGCACTACCGAGCCGTTCGACAACGAACGACTCACTTTCGATTTAACTCTCTCATACATTGACGGACTGTGACGCTTTGGTGAGCGTTGCGACGAGTGGCTGTAACGATAAATTAATTGCTCAATTATCGTTGATTCGGTATTGATATCTGAATAAACTGTTTAAATATCTTACGTTGGATTGTCGATACCACTATCGATGTAGCTGGCCGAAGTACCAGAGTGCATACCCTCCACTGAAGGCAGACTCCAATCGTCGCGGTTATTGCTACGGGATCGCTCGCTTCGGCTCATACTTGTTAATTGGGCCATGCCTACAAGTAAAAAATTAGCAGTCACCTCAAATTTCCGCTCGAACAATGAACAATGGGCTTTTAAAACTGTTGTTCACTTGGCGCTCGTTATACAGTGTTATCAGTTATACAACGCGTATATATTTACGTCTATGAAAATAAACCGTACATTTTGCGCGCATAATTACTTACATTAACACTTTGAGAGAATAGAGCGCTCAGTCGTAATTCTCATTAAATATAAATATAGTACCCGAGGTCAAGGCAAATGTTAGCAGACTTCAAATATCAATAAACTCAAGAATCTCTCTAAAGAATCCACTAAGATTAGCAATTACATAAAATAAACATGCCGTGGAGTTAAACTTACCTTCAAATTTACTATTACAATCTCTCATTGATATCTTCACATTATTAGTACTGGTATCAAGAACACGCGTCACAGAGCCAGTAGTCACTTTAGTCACAAGGTTTAATTTAGTGGCTGGCTTTGGTACATTGCTCTTTCTGGTATTCAGCCTCCGACACTTTCTTACTCCGATTTGAGTAGCTTCAGTCTGCGCTATCGAGGAACTCGCGCCACAGGCTGCACAGACAGGTGCAGCTCTACAGTTATTATCTAGCAGACATCGTATACATGTCCACTGGGTCACCAATGATGGTAAGGATGGTGTTTTAACCAGTGTTGATCTTGGCTTCAGGGTTCCAGACCAAGAGCCTCTTCGTTTCTCTGGAGTGTAATTGGAGTCTAAATTATCTTTGTTATCACTGAAAGCACAAATCAGCCCTATTATTACCATCATTACAGCATTAAATATTTATGAGAGCTAATGTTAAAAGTTTTACTACCTCAATACTATGAAAGTTTCATTATGACTGTATTGGATAAGTAGGGCAGGTGGCAATATGACAGGCTCCTTTGGCTCACTTGTGACCAAGGCACCACAGACAATACTAAATAGTCTTGAATTTGAGTTATCGTTGGTGGCAACGGTAGTGGTGTTGCTGCTACTAGCTGTAATGCTCCAATGCCTCGGCGGTGGTGTTGGAGGACTTGAGGATCCCGAGGAAGAGTTAGATCTGGTAGTAATCCTCGGGCTACTTGGGCACTGGGCCAGGGAATCGCGAAGGAGGATATACGTCGGCGCAGCTCTCTCATCGCTCTTGACTCGCGTTAGGCCGCAGCGAGCACATTGGGAAGCCTCCGTTGGGTTTATCAGAGAGCACTCCGAGCAATGCCACTGTAGCACCGAAGCAATCGAGCCCATCCTCCATGTGTAGACATGGCTTTTTATTCCCTGAAAATCATAATAATTCTTATCAAATTTAAGTATAAATATTGTAAAATTGTATAAACTAATTCTGATAAAGTAGTATGTTAAGGGATTTTAGATAATATTGTTTATTGGAACAAAATTATGAAAACAATTTTTATAAGTAACACAATTTAATTGCATGATTTTTCATTTTTTTAGAAAAAAAAGTTCGGTATCATGTCATTCAGAACAGAGAGTTTGACCTAGAGTGAGCCTGGCCTATTAGAGAGGTCAAGTTCAATAATTTCAACAATGCATTTGAACATTTGACCAATCATACAACAAACATCAAATAGTTGTAAACTTTGCTTATTACATTGAAAAGTTTTAAGTAACAACTGCAATAATGTCATTTTATAATAAATTAGACTTACAATTGAAGTAAAAAACTTTTCTATGCAAATGCATGGGCCAATATAAAGTACACTTTTTGTCCATGATGAGACCATTCAGTGCATCTGCTGAATGCTTGCAGTGCATTACTCAATAAACCTAATGAATGACATCATTGTACCACATTAAAAAAATCCAAAACAATTAATGCGAGCCCTTAATCATCTGACATCTCCAAAAATGTTTACCAGTAATTATCTCAACAAAAAGCAGACATCAACAGCAAATGTCGTCGCCCCATCTGATCATTGTTTACACATGTGTTGGTATTGATCCAAAGTTTCAAAGAGTCCGTCATCATCGTGCCCTTAACGACTAAAACCTTTGGTTGTGTCAACAGCCGGAATGACTTTAAAAAACAACCGAACAGTCTGCGGCAATCAAAACAAATAAACTAAATTAAAAAAAATAACAATGCACTATTTACATTCTAATCATTAGTGATGTATGTTGAAAAAAATGTCACCGTGCGATAATCGATTACGAAAATCATCACCTCGATTTCAGTCCTAATGCGGAAAAGACGACACTGTTGACAACGGCACTGATGCACGCACTTTATCACACATATATACAGTAACAAATTTGCCTACCTGCAGGGTCGGGCCGCACCGAGTCCTCTCGCTGGTGATAAAAACTGCCTGGTCTCGCCTGAGAGTTGGCTGATGAGCTTAAATGGAGCTGCTACCCTTTGGCGAGGTCTCGAGGTAGCTACTGCTCCTACAGTAGCCCGCCATCCTTTGTCATATGTTTTCGAGTCGCCATCTTGCCTCGAGACGCAGGGGTATTGCGGGGGGAAAAGCTGCTGCAGGCCAAAGCAGTGAAGGTTTGTTCGCTTTCGCGTTATATACACATTGATAGTCCCGTCCTTGTCTGGAGCATGCGCGCTTTTGTTGTGGTTTTGAGGTTATGACGTTTCTCCACTTTGATGCTCTCTCTCTCCCTCCGTCTATTGTTGCTGTGCGCGCACGGCGAATCACCTGTCGCCCCTCCTGATGATTTCCTTTGTCTTCTTGCCTCCCTCATGTGCCGCGCGATGTGTATTTGCGGAAGGGTGATTATTGCGAAAATTTCGGCGCAGTTGAAGGATATTCTATTCTGAAAATTGGAGTGTGCGCTCCGTTCAGCACTTTTTTCGTTTATCATCGCGAGTCTCGGATATATATAGGAACCTCGTCAATAATCAGGCAAGCAGATTTTAATTTGAAAAAGCTTCGAACGAAAATTAGTCTTCGAGAGCGATTTGGCGATTTTTATATTCAATTGAAGTTGTTATATAGAAATCATTTCTAGGGGAGCGTGGCTACAAACTATAGCGAGAGAGAAAGAGAGATTGATGAAGCGAAGGAAAATAATTTGTTCTTTCGCATGAATCCCTCGTGTTCTTATTACGAACAGCGAAAACTCGACACTCAACAGCAACGATATGCAACGATCCCACGGTAATAAGTCGAAGCCCGATATCCGCAAAGCTCCAGGAACAAAGTGGATCGAAGCTTGCGAGTGGAAAAGGCATCGCGCGAGTCGAGGCGACACTTGGCAACGGCATCCCGCGCGAACAGACCTTATGGACGCGCGCTTTTTCGACCGAAGCTGTGCGTGCGCGCGCGCGCGCCTGCGTGTGTGCGGTTACAAAGCCAGTGGCCGCGACGTACGAACAAAAAGAACAAGTCGAGGGCGCTTTTCTGTCGCGCGCGCGCGCGCCGTGCCCTGCTTGGCTTCCTCGGTCTTTCCGCGCGCTGCTTTCCCGCGGACCCGAGAGTGCGTGTACGTGTTGCCTAGCCCGCCGCTTCGTATAGCTTTTGATCTAACCCTCCCTCTCGAGGGTAGAAGGGGCGATGCACGAAAAACTCGACTCGCAGGGCTGTACGCTTGAGTGTGCTTACGTCGTGTATCTTCGCTGGTTTTGTTGGCTCTCGGTTGGCTCACGATGCGTCCAAGATTGCGGCTTACCTTAAGTTGCAAACCGAGCTTGACAGGAGCTTTGCGTAACGCTTTCGATTCTAATACAGTGCCGTCCAGTTCGTTGCGTAACTCAAATTACGTGCTCTAGGCAATTTTATACGAGAGGCCAGCTTGATTCGACAAAACTTGTTCTTTTATCAACGTAATTTTTTTGTCAAATCGATTATGAGATCCGCAAAAAGAGTGCCAGGTTATCTACATTGAAACGTTAGTTGTTTCCGTGGCTCGCCTCAATAGTAACGCACGGATAATGCAGTTCCGACTGTAGATTTTTCTCCTCTCTTTTCCGAAACCAAAAAAAAAATAACAAAGCAATAAAACGCGGATAAGACGTTGTGGTTCTTCTTTTCTTTTTTTTTTTATGCGCTGCGTTTTTGCAAGAGCGTAAAAGTACACAGAGTACGCACAGCAACTTGGATACGCAATAATTATTTTGGTTTTTTTCTTTTTTGCCTTCGTAGGACACTGCGATCGTGACTCCGAGACTAGGGTACGGTAATTTCCACGTTTGATACGCGGCATGTCAATGCGAGCATTTAGCGGCTCAACGGACGATCGTTCGAGCTGAGAACGATCTTTTTAATGTATCGACAATTTTCATTGCTTGTTGCGCTGAATACGGTCATCGTTTGGAAGAAAACAAAAAAGAGTCAGAGAAAATAAAGCATCGCCGCGAGTCGCGAGACCCGAGGATCGCAAGCTCCGCCACTGATGCTCGCACGCGCACTCGCAGGCCGTCTCTCACACAGGCATAACGTCACGCGATATGATATTCAACCGCGCGGCCATCTCGCGGAACGCGTGCTCAGCTTATGAGCAGCCTGGCGGTAGCGGTAAAGCACTGATGTCCCTGTGGCGCAGAGGATAGCGCGTTGGACTTCTAATCCAAAGGTCGTGGGTTCGATCCCCACCAGGGATGCAATCCACAAAACGATCCTCAGTTCAGTCGTGGCTCGTTTTTTTTTCAACACTGGAGTGAAAAACTATGTAGGTTGGCGAAAGGTAGTGAGTTTTTGAGGAGGGATATGCATCTTTTATTGCAACGAGGTGGAAAGGGAGAGAGAGAGAGAGAGAGACAGAGAGAGAAAGAGAGAGAGAGATTTTTAATCTTTTTTTAATACAAGTTGCTACAAAATGTAGCGATAACACGCATAGTAAAAAATTAATTATTCCAAGTGCATGATGCCATAAATTTTAGCTAGTTTATTAGTTAATGTTTAATGTAACTGTAAGAAAAGTGAGTTAAACGAAGGTTAATGCAATATCGTTGTATAACATAGTGCAACTAGTTAAATCGCAAAAATTAAAAATCGAAAGAAACCGTCCTTAACTATCATCCAATAGTTATTTCTTCATTTTGTTTTTCTTTTAATTTCTACCATTTAAAGTGCGGCATACGTTGCGTCAGTGCTACAACACAGCGATGAGTCGCATTTACGTCAACTATGTAATCGACACGACGATAAGCTAACAATTTCTTTTTTATCGTGTTCCATAGCAAAGCAAGTCTGCTAATCGTTATTGATTTCCCTGCCGAAGCAGCTGTCGAAAAAGTCACTCGCTTGCTGGTAAGATTCCAGCCTGGAGTCGCACATTCCCGCCGACTCGTCCTCGTATAATGACAGTGCTCGAATTCGACTGCACGGCGATTCAATACTTTCAGAAGAGTGCTGGTGTAATAACGATGTTCGCTGGACGAATGACTGGTGTGGATAACAAAGTTTTTTCCGCGTAGCCGGTCGACTAGTGCTGCCATGTAGTAACGTTTGAACATCTTTTTACGAAGAACGCCGGTTACGCCACTCGAGTGCTGTTTGCAAATGATTACCACGAACAGATGGTGATATTATTATTGAGTTGATAAACATGTTTTCTTGAAAATATCTTGTCCTACCCTGAATTGACCACTGCTACTGGGGATTATTTGTATTTTGAAGAAAAAATACAAATATCTAGCTTGTATGCCAATAAATCACATCTGCTCATCGACACTCGCGAGCAGATAATCACCTCCGCGGTGAACGAATAGACGTAATCGTGCCACTTCGCCGGGGGATTAACAGCGACAGCACACCGAAACTTATCACCGCTGCTGGTATTTCTCTCCTCGCCGTTATCAGCCACAAGATTAGAAGCCATGTGCCCACCGTAATTCTCTCCGTAAGCGCCAACGGCCTCGTCTTCGATGCACTCGAAGCGAGTCAAAATGTAACCGACGACTTTGGCGTAATCGGTGATCTGCATCAATTCGCGGCGACGGAGGCGCAAGTGGCGAAAGTCAGAGCTTTGGAAGGCGCTGTCGCGCACGTCCGCCTGCAAGTCGTGACCCTTCGTCGACCGGATCGCTTGGGAAAATAGCGTTGAGCTCGCGTAGACGACGGCGTAACCCTCGACGGTAGTCAGGCAAGTCGTCAGGGAAAAGTCGAAGCGAGCGTCGACCAATTGGTCGCGCTGCTCGTCGGCAATTCGCAGCAGCAGCCTCGATTTCTCGTTGCACTTGCCCGTCCCGTCTTGCCGATCGGGAGGCAAGTGCAGGCGTACTCGAGCAGCGTGCTCGCCGTCGAGTTCGATCTCGAGTTCACGGACGACCGGTCGAGGTCGCGAGGCGTAACATGCTCGTGAATCCTTTTGATTACTTAGTCGATAGACGACTCTATTGCTTCGCGTCGATACCACGGCCGTCTACGGCACTCGAGGTCCTCTGAGAAATCACAGCTCGCGAGAATTATTTGAGATTGGCATTATTAGTTGGTTTGCTCCGTGGCACCGTATATTTGGCAGGGCATCTCGTTGCACGTAACCGATGTCGACGTTACGCCTCAATGGCGAGCACTCGCCTCGATCCGGAAGCGAAGCGTACCTGCAATAAAATATGTAATATCTGGAATTGGCCGAAAGCGCGGCATCGGACGAGGGGCACTCGAGTCCGTCGGTCGTCGCACCCTCGGGACACGTGAGACAACGCGCAGGCTCGCTGCCGTACAGGAACCTTTGCCAAGAGTCGCGTTTTTCTCTTCATCGCTCCTTTCTGCCGAGGACGTGGCAACAAAACAAAGAAAAAGACAAAAATGAAGAATTCACCTGAGCGAGGGGTTGCTAATGGGAGCCGCCACGAAGAAGGTGATGCCAGCCTCGAGGAGCATCTTGGTTAGGCGAACTACTTAGGCGTCGCGGCGCGGACTGAACGAACATCGCACGCATGTGTCGGGGGACCGAGCGCCTCTCCCCTTTAATCTCGGGGTTGTTTACCTCGACTCCATCCAGTCGCCGGCAGCCCTGCCGCTTCTGATGGGTGCCGGCCCTACCAGCGTCCGCCGGCTTCGGACGTCGACGCGACTGCCGCCACGTCAGCTGCACACGTACACAGGCACAATTAACGAGGATCGCGCGCGCGTACAGCTGTAGCTCCGAGGGGAGCGAGCGCCAGGGTGCTTTCGCCAATTTATCGATTGGACTCTTCGTGGGGCCGCCGGGGCCACGCGGGCCGTTGACTTTTGCACTCGCAGAGGTGCACGCGTCGGAGCTTTCCGAGATGAGACCAGCATTGATTTTTTTTTTTTTGTTTTCTTTTTCCGCGTTCAACACGAGCGCTGATCGCGAGCACCGAAACGCGATCGCTGCAGAGAATGGAGCTCGGGCGGCGGTTCAACGTCCCGTCTCCTCCCACGAGGGATGAAGGTGTAGTGGCACATCCAAGCAAGCGAGAGCCAAGGGCAGCGATCCCGCGCCGAGATGACGTACTGCGCGGGGAAAACATTGCCGAGCACGTCGATTGAAGAAGGGGAGTTGAACGATAAAAG